CTTGTGATCGAAAGGCCGGTGAGGTGGTAGCACATCGGCCTCCTTCTCATCAAAGACGTCTGAAAACTTCTCGTGCTCAGGAGGCAAGACAGGGATGGTCGAAGAGGAAAAGAGAGGGGAAACAGGAACAAAGCTCAAACCATAAGAGCGCAAACAATTCAAGCGGAATGAAAAAGAGGGAGAAGAAGAAACCGGTTGTGTGGTGGGGGACGTACTGGCTCCCAGAGGAGGTGGGTAGATGGTGTAGTTGAGCCAGTCTATTTGTGGTTGGAGGGCTTGGCCAAATGGGATGCCGAGGACGATTTGAGCGACGTCCAGTTTGGTGACAGAAAAGGTGGTGGTGTATGGTGGAAAGCCCTGACCCACAAGGAGGGTGAGTGTGATTGTGTGGGTCACGGCTGCGTGGTTGTTAGTTCCGTCACCATATATGATTGTTTTTGGGTGTGGTAATGGAACGAGGTTGAGGTTTAAAAAGGCAAGCAAAGAAGAATCAATGAAATTTTCGTCGGATCCAGGATCCACCAACGCCTGTAAATGGTAGGCAACGCCTGTAAATGGTAGGCAACCCCTGTAAAGGGTAGGCAACGCGTTGAGTAATGATACAGTCGATGACAATAAGGCCACTCTGTTTTTGGGGTTTTTGGGTTTTGTGGGTGTGAGAAGAAGATGTTTCACAAAAAAAAAGGAAAAAAGTGTTTTGTGGTTTTGTGGTTTTGTGGTTTTAAAGTGTTTTTGTAGTTTGGGGTTTTTGTGGGTATCAGAACGCGCAGAAAGAAACGAAACAGGGGTATATGGGGTGGTGTTGGGAATTGGTGGGGGTCCAAGGCTTAACGCCTCGGTGGGCCGAGGGTCTCGCCTTTCCCTTCTCGTCGAAACGAGCGACGGGACACTCCTGGCGCGAGTGGGGGTGACGACAGACTTCGCACAAGCCATGGGTCGCTCGGTAGAGCTTCTCCTCAGGAGGCTGACGGCGCTTGCTATCAATGGTTACCCAAACCTTGTGCTTTCTAGGTGGAAGGCCCGGAGATTGCGGAGGCTGGGAAGGGGACTTGGTGGGGTGGGAAGAGAAAGAATGAGAAGAAGAAGAAGAAGAGAATGAATTGGGTTTGGGTTTAGAAGAGGAAGGAATAGCTTGTAGTTGGGTGTCAATGCGACCCACAACAGCAGCGAAAGAAGAGACGGAGGTGGGAAGAAGTCCTCCTTGGGACATGACAACAGCGCGGAGGATGTCCAGCTTCAGTCCGTCTTTGATTTGCTCGACGAGAGCAGTCTCGTTCCACCCAGTGTAATGGGCTTCTGCGAGGAAAGAGGTATAATAGTGGGAAACCGCCGAAGTTTGTTTGAGAGCTTTCAGACATTGGATTGCTACTAGAAACGTAAGCAAGGCGGAGTTGCTCCTTGAGCTTGGCCCAGGAGTCAACGAGTTCAGGAGCGCTTTCTCTGATTCCTTGGAACCAGATAACGGCGTCCTTCTTGAGATACGTGGTTGCCAGCGGAAGCTGCATGTCCTCGGGCATGCAACTTACCAAAGAATAGTTCTCCATTTCAAAAAAGAAGGTGGAGAGCTTGTCGGGTGTGCCCATAAATGTGTCGGGTGCAGCGACGTCAAACTTCTTAGTCGACTCCGAAGGAGGAACGACTGGGGAAGGGGAAAGAGAAGAAAATTGATCATTCAAACGAGCAAAAAATGAATCGACAGCAGAAGGAACAACAGACTGGCTCACCAACACCGGTTCCGTAGAATTAGCGTGACTAGAATTGGAAGGCTCTCCTTGCTCCTCATTGGCTGACCCACCTTGACCTTGATTGGGCAATTCCTGTTGGCCTTGTATGGGTGGGGTGGGGGGGCGGTCTTGGAGGTTTTTGTCAGCCATGACGGTGGTAGAGCGTAGGTGGTAGTGGTGGATGGGTGCTATTGTTGTAGGTGGGGTGGGTGGGTGGGCGGAAATTTGCCTATCAGAGGTCTAGGCGCGGAGGCGAGAGGAGGCTCCCATACATACATCGTCCCTGAGAACATAGCGGCAACCCTGATACCAGACTCTGCGTTCCAATGTCCATGTCACTACATCTCCTACTGACCAGTCCGTACCAATCCCTTACAATGACCATGTTTGAATAGGTAACGTCGGCATTGACTAGATACTGTGACATTGACTAGATACTGTGACATAGACCCACTGTATCTGTGGATATCAAATTGTTGGGCTTGATTCCACTTTTTGATCAAATACCAATCTGACCAACTATGAAGTAGTGTTCTTGGTTGCTTGTACTGTGAAACCTGCTGTTGAGTTATACTTCCCTGTTGTGGCTGGGTAATCAGATTGTGTGTCCCCAGTAAATGGAATCGCTTGCATGAATAACTGTTAGAATGGTGACGCCACAACAATGTCGGTGATACGCGGAGAAGCGGAGAACGGGATCAATTGTGTAGCCGTCGTAGATAGCGCCTGGTCACTGGGATTCTCTTCTCTCATCTGACCATAGTTGGAGAGAGACTGAGACCAGTACCAGGTGAGTTATGTATCTGACCATAGTTGGAGAGAGACTGAGACCAGTACCAGCCACATTTCAACAATAACAAGGCTGTGCACTGCGATTGAAACTTATCCTTGACCCTGCATCACCGAAACGCGGGCTCATAAATCTGGGATTGGGTGGGTTTGAAAACCGTAATCAAGGCCTTGAAAACCCTTTCAAGACGCTTCAGTTCTCAACCACTGTGCTCAATTGGAAAAACCCACTCAAGGCCTTGAAAACCCCCTATGCAGTATTGAAAACTCATTTCAAGAGGTGATCAACCCCTTATGGTGGTTTGATAACCACGCCAATCCCATTTTTGAACTTGAGAAGGTTTGCCGGGGCTTGGATGCATTAATCAGGTCTTGAAAACCATCGCCAAGGTGCCGCTGGTATCGCTGGCTCACGCACCCCTCGATGCATAGCACAGCAAACGGTTGTAGCAAGCCTGGAATGGAAGCTGTCGAGATACTTTGTTCTGCATTTTTTTATTTACATAATATTCTACCCGTACCCGAACATCTAAGGGCCAAAGACCCCATGACTCCATACCACGCCTCCGCCTGGTACCACAGCTTCTTGTGCACCGTCTGCTTACGCACAAAGTATCTTGGGATCACGCGCCTGAGGTGCAAGCCTCGTGTCAGTCATGTATCCAGATGAATTTTGATGCGGTAGCAAGGGTCACGACCTATAGTAGTCCTCGATGAGCTTGGGGGGGAACGACATGCCCTTGAAGTATCCAGAGATCTTGAGGTACTGTCCCACGAGGTGGAGGTTGTCGGCTTGATCGATAGACAGTCGGTCCGAGAGGAGGTACATGATCTGTTCCAGCGGGGCGTCAGCCGAGGATGTGAGGTCGGAGTCCATAGAGTCAGTGTCATCGTCGGGGTCAGGGTATTTGGGCATGTTGTGAGAGAGTCTCTGTGAGTTCTGCATGTGGTTATGGTCAGGTGGGATATCAGAAGTAGTACGAACCGAACGAAGGCGAGAATGAAAGAGTCGGGGGGCTAAAAGTATCTATATATATGTATTCATGGCGGCCTGTGCGACGCTAAGTGTGTGCGGAAATTCGGCGATGCCCGAGTGTGGCGGCTTGTCCTACCAACGGAAGGCCGGCCTTCGTTCCGAGTTGTCAGTCAGCGGCAAGCGAAGGCGGTCGTCGTTGTGAGAAGGCTGAGCACTGCAATGTCGGCTGCAGGCAAGACTGTCCTAACGTCCGTACCATATCTAGTCATACCGACTGACGTATGTACACGTACGTAGTATGCACTTATGCATGTATGTACATATAGCCAAGTGGGATTGCCAAGGGTAGGACAATTCAATCAAGGCCAAAAGAATGATAGGCGGGGGTTGGAATGGACTTGAAAACGATTTCAAACTGGGGGCGCGCCTTGAAAACGATTTCAAGCTGGGACGCGCCTTGAAAACCCAAAATGGCCCAAATTTGGCCTTGAAAACTGGTGCCGCGGTTTGGAAAACCACCTCAAGACCTTGGCGTATTTTCCAAGGCGCGACCCCAATTCGCTGATGTGCCTTCACCTCTTCTTCCTCCCTCACTTTGACTCCTCCTCCTGGACCTTCACCAAATACACCGGGGTCTCCCTGCCCAAGCACTTGGGCTTAGCCCACAACAACACTAGGTGGTGACTTTAGCTTTCTCCTCAAAACAGACCTGGTTGCCATTGTGTGATCTTTGACTCAAAGAACATAATGAGTTGTATGATGCCAGGTGACATAGATATGCATGGACATACTTCAGATCAGAAGCCAAGGTCTTGCAGTCCAGAATTCATCTTTGATGATATCTAGATGCAGCACAACAGCCTTCCCATCTATTCCCAGAAACTGCTTGGCCTGCTTGCCCTTAGCAGATGTCTTTTTCGGCAAGTCTGTGCACTCTGCAGCATGTGAAACACCATCATCCCCCTTAGCTGTCAAGCCACACTCCCCATATTCTCTAGATGACTTCCGTACACATACACTCCCTTTTCTGAAAGCCTCAGGAAGGTTGTTGTAATTGATTTGGAATCTTGTAAATAATATCTCGTTTTTGTCTTTGGAAGTTGTGCCCTGGGAATGACTAGTCAGCTTATTGGATTGAGTGACCGTATGCCCACATACTTGCAATATTCTATTTGATTCAGTTGTAGAGCATCCACCATGGACCAAAGCCCAGAAAGTGGTGTTGTACAGGTTGTTGATGTGTGCTGATGTATTGTTAACAGACTGACAAACGAGCAGCAGCAGGTATGGACATACTATCGGCTTGTCTCCAACTGAAATAATCCCTGACTTCTCTTGCAGAGGGATACATCACTGCTCGGCCATCAAATGTTGGTGGATATCTCAGTGTGGTTTCGGGAAAGAACCGTTGCCAGTGGAAGACATATGCGGAGGTAAACAGAGAAACAATGGATGAATTGATCTTGCTGAGAGTTGGTGCTCAGCGCCGCATCGAGACAGTTGTACTGGGCTCACCTGCGCCGTCTGTTGTACAACTTGGCTTCCCGACGTAACAGAAAACTAGACTCAATCTCAGCGCCAGCCTCACAGACCATCCGTTCTTGTTATACGCACCTATATTCGTCGCTCTCCCCGAAAGCCATGACTACATCCTTGTATTCCTCCAGCACTGCTTGGGCTGCTGCATCCATAAGGTCGAGGGCCCTTTTGTCATTCGGTTTGCTGAAATCATGCTCATTTGAGAATCTGTATGATTGTTGCTAGATCAGAATCAAATTGCCAGCACTTCGAGAGATCAGGCGTACTTGTGAAACCCCTTGCCGTCAACACGAACGACGATGAAAGTATTGGGGGTCAAAGGATCGGGGAGCTCGTAGTTCCTGACGTATTCGAACCGTGATTTAGCCATGGTGTTGGCGAAGGATGGAAGTTGACAAATGCAGACTAGGATCTGTCTGTAGCAGAATCAGCTGAGGCGACAACAAACAAAAACGCGGACGTCTATGTATTACGTAACACGAGATTCTTCATGAAGCTGGCTGGTGGCTTCCGACTTTTCTTGTGTTGCGCACTATCCCTCACACACATTTCGCCCGTCAGCAGCCATGTCGTGCTTCCTCACTGGGCAGCGCCGCCTCAATCCCTCCATCTTCTTGAAGGCCCTCACCCAGACGCGAACCAAAACACATCGCGCGTCACCGTCTTCCCTCTGGCTGTCGCGCAACCATCTAAAACTCCAACCCACTGTCCCCCCTCCCTTGCCCCCTTCCTATCCCATGCGCGTCATCCTCTCAGACGGCTCTGTGATTACCGCATACACCACTGCCCCTACCCCCTCCACAAAGAAACTCACACGAGATGTGAACAACAACCCTCTATGGTCACCTGCGACTGAGAAGAAGGGGTTGGGAGAGGGCGACGAGGGCAGAGTTGGAAAGTTTAGAAACAAGTTCAAGGGACTTGGTGGGGATATTGTGGGAGGGCTGGATAGTCAGGATGAGGTGGCGGGCGCAGCGGGTGGTTTTGCTCTGGAAGATCTGGATTGGATGAGTGAGGGTGCCGAGGAAGAGAAGCTGTCAGAAAAGCAAAGAAATCCCGTCAAGGCGAAAGGAAAGAAAGGGAAGAAGTAGAGGGAGCATGCGTGAAGTGTCTTTTCATAGGCAAGGCCAGGAGCCTTTCATTATCATTCTGCATAGTTCCGAATGGCAGGCAGTCCCACCAAACCTTGTTTGCACATCTCCAGCGTACAGCTACATGACTCTACTTCCAGTGCGCTGTATTTGTGCAGTATCTCGAGTACCGGTTTCGCAACAACGCATCACAGAACTTCATCAGGGTTTCGAACATGATCCACCAGCACCTTGTTCATCCTATATGGTGGCATGAGACATAGCAATAAGAGGTTGTAAATGAAAGAGCCAAGGAACTCACGTAAACATGTGCAAGCGCTCAGTATGAAACACCCTGCTCAATTTCTCATCGCACAGAATGTACCTCCTGTCTCTGGGATCCTGTAGATCGCGTTCCTTGACATAGTCCCAGATATGTTTGACAACTTGGGGCCTTGATAGTCTGCTTGTGCCAACCAGATCGGACAAAGGTTCACTCCACAACGATGTCAGAAAAGACCGTTGAGAGCAGCGCACAGCCGAGCTCACCTGAGAATCAACTCCTTGTTGAAAGCACCGCCCCCGCCTCCGCCTCGCCGACTTTTTTTGGAAGTTTCGTCCGCGCTGCCACTGCCTTCTCCGTCGCTATCCACCCTAGCTTTACTTATGACCTTCCTCTTCTTGACGGGTTTTGAACTTTTATCGACCGTTGATCTCCGCGGTCTCCCATTTCCGGTATACTCTTCTTGTAACCGCCTAGCCATTTGCTCATCTGTCTCATCATCTGGGGAGGTTGCCCGATACCGTTTGGGAGGATTGGGTTTGGACAATGGCTGCTGAGAGGGTGGGAGATTGCCCGAAGATGATGAAGGCTCTTGAGGGGAGGGAGGCGAGGGAGGCGAGAGTTCGGGCGAGTTGCTGGTCAGGATGTCATATATCTCGCTGATCTGTAGCAGACGCGGTCAGACTACTCATCGAAGCTAACAGCTTGATCGACTTGCCTTTTGGTCAAGGTCTGAGCGCGCGTTCTTTATCGCCGTTACGTCTTCGCCCTCCGCGATCAGCTGTTTACGTATACCTTTTGCGGAACTGCATAGTAGATCAGCGTTGCCGAGGCCTGAATGTCGAGATGTCGAGTCTGAATTACACTGTGGCAAGATCGCTACTTTCGAGTATCTCTCGGATGCGGGCCGAGAGGCGTTTGACAATCTGGGGTGTGACGTGTGAGCAGGACATGGGATGGGGTGATTTCCAACAGACCTCTTGCTGAGCCATATCGGGAAGTGAGTCTCGGAGGTGACAGATGGCAGGGAAGTGGGCTAGAAGTAGAGGCAGGCCAGGTTCGCGGAAAACACCACAGAGACAGTAGTAGTCAGTGGATGTTCGTCACCGCGCGGGATTAAATTGTGCCCGTGCCAGCCACCGCCCCCACGCAGTGAAATGAATCGTCAAGTCTCAAGTGGAAGATGGTGCTGATGATGGTTCGCTTCTCCAAACGCACATGCAATACAGGCCTCCGCTCGACTACTTGGGCTCATGAAGTCTTGTGCATAGATACAAAAATGAGGTATGACGACGGCTGGACGGATATCGCTGGTCACAGGAAGAAAGTCCTTCGGGAGACTTCCATTTTGGGCTATCGAAAGGTCATGAGCGGAAGCACCAAGCAGCAGAGCACCTCTGTACGTACCTTCCACTTCCATTCGTACTCTTGCTCCTCGTCCAATGCGGGAACTTTGATCCCCTTTTGCTGACTAGCCTTCGCGGAGGGTTGTCCGATCTCCTTCATGGCCTCATCTTCGTCATCCTGTTCCTTTTTATTGATTGTCGCTTGGTCTATGTCTTCCCCGTCAGAGTCAGAGTCAAGGTCTGCCTCATGATCGCCTCCTGTTGGTGCGCGTCCGTCAGGCGCCGTTACTGCTGGCAAACCGTTGCGCAGCCAACGGAGCTTCAGCGTGAAACGAGGGCCGATTTCCTGCAACTTTGCCGACGTAGCTGAAGAGAACATGTATCTAGAGATTCGTGTATATGAGCCATAGTCCTTGGGGAAGTGACGGGATACGCACCTATGACGACGGAAGAAGAGAAAGTCCCGCTGATTATGCAATGTTACAACCTGACGGCCACGGAATTGAGGCTGAGGTGGGAACAGAGACCCAAACACTCTACCAACGCTGTTACCGAGAAGAGTGGTAAAGTTGTTGAGGATCAATTCAGCTGCAGTCAAGTCAGCAAAAGGTCGATAGGTTGTGGCTCTGGCATACGAGAATGGGGTGTTGGGCGGGCATGGCCCTGCGGAATGTAAGCAGGTATCAATGCTCACACCACACGATACGTACAATCAGATTAGCCGTAGGGATGACACTGGTCAGCTTGAAATAAGCTGTGGGGCCAGCAGGAAGGTTGATTAAAGTGATAGCGTCTGTGGTAGTGTTGTTAGCCGGCGGCAACATGGACAAGTTGGTGTTGGACTTACTTGGCGACTTGTGGTCCTCGTTGACAACTATCAGAGCACCGTAGCCACGCTTTCCAGCCCACCTTGCGACTCTCCCTATCTCATAACCTCTTCCCTTGGGTCTCTTGAAAAACTCGCCACCTGGAAAGACGTTCTTCAAATCATCGCAGAATTGATACGTGTACTTGCAAGGAGATGATGAAGTAGTGATAAGGATACGAGGAGGGGGGAGGGGGGCGGAGGGATCATTTGTGTTAGTGGCATCGGCGCTTTTTGTGTCTGCGTCGTCGTCGCCGTCGTGTTGACCGCCTTGTTCTCCTTCAGCCTGGTCCTGTTCCGGGTGTCGGTGACGAGAGGGACCAGCCTCTGGCATACTCTCGTTGCCCGAATCACTGTCGTTGTCTTGATCTCCAGTTGACCCTTGCCCATTCGCGATTCGGCTTGCCTCCTCGGCTTTTCTTTCCAGCTCTCTCAATGTAGCCGGGTTGGCGGTGAGATATGAGCTCGAGTCGAAAACACGGGTGTTGTCAAGAGTAATTGGGATATTCTTGGCCAGCCTCTCAGCCTTCAGAGCTGCGCCGTTCACTTTATCCTTCTCCGCCTTCTTGATCTATTGAAAAAGGATCAGCAGTGGTGTAGCTGAGGGATTACTTGCGACTGACCTCAAGGCGACGCTGGAGCTTGGACTGCTCCTTCTCTCGCTTTGCCTTTTTGTGGACGTCGGCGCGCTTGAAGGCATTCTTGATTTTATTCTCCTTCGGCATGTCAAAGGCGTATGCTGGGGTAGTGACTGGGCAGTGACTGATTCAGATAGTATGCGTCAAATTTTTGGTGCCGCCGCGGCGGAGATGCACATAATTGTAAACAATACTACATTACGTAAGTAACGCGTCGTCGCGTGAGGGAATTGAAGGGTCCAGTCAACCGACTACTTTACAACAAAATTGCTCGTCCACCAGGCTCACCCTCCATCGCGCTGGCCTTTACACGATGCCTATCGTGACACCAGCCTCCAGGTCTGGACAACACTCGTCGTTCTCACGAGTCAACTCGTTCAAGCGCGACTGGGGAGACGACCAGGCTGCTTCAGACGCAATCCCTTGGAGCTCCAGCCCAGATGTGTGAGTCATGTACTCTGCTTCATACGCATTGACGTGCTCATGGGTCACAGTGTCAGCCGAAAGCACAATACCACAGCGACAACCACGGCCACAGCCACAGAGACTGCCGCCTCGGCAAATGCTGCCGCTGCTGAAACGGCGTCACAGCGGAGAAGGCGAGCAATTCTTGCTGCCTTGAACGCCGACAATGCCAGTGCACCTTCAGAAGTCTCAGTGGGTTCGTCCAAAGCAATTGCCTTTCAACCGGGACACCTTGCCCCCCCTCACTCATTTGCAAATTTGGATGCCACCTCGCGTGCCCTGCCGGGGCCATTCGACGGAAAGGCTGGTGCGGACCGTTTCTATCAGCCAAAGCGGCCTCTGCCCTGGGAAGAAGAGAGCTCGTGAGCCACCAATTCAATCCATCAAATGTCGTAGCCGCGCTGAAACAACTACTAAGCTCTTACAAAAAAGCTATGAACACCATCACTCAGCCGACACTCGTTAGCAAAGTACAACCCAAGCTGAAAGGTTCCTCATCTATGACTATCAAGCAGCAAGTCGTATTGAGCGACGAGCAGAAGAAGGTGTTGATGCTTGTCAAGGAGGGCAAGAATATATTCTATACTGGTAGTGCTGGTAGGTCATGGTCACATCTATAACAGTGAAATTCGGCTGACACCATTGGAGGTACGGGAAAATCAGTTCTACTCCGAGAAATCATCACGACGCTGCGATCAAAATATGTCAGGACTCCCGAGGCAGTCGCCGTCACCGCTTCTACTGGCATTGCTGCCTGTAATATTGGCGGCGTGACTTTGCACTCTTTCGGCGGCGTCGGTCTGGCCACTGACCCAGCTGAGGTGCTTGTGCGAAGGCTGCGCAAGAACCCCAAAGCTTCGGCGAGATGGATGAAGACCAAGGTGCTTATCGTCGATGAAGGTGAATTTCGACGGCGACTTTTATAGCATCGAGGGTCCGAGGCTGACTTTTTCAATCAGTGTCCATGGTGGACGGCGACATGTTTGATAAGTTTTGCAAGCTCGGACAAATGATGCGCAAGAACACAAAGCCTTGGGGAGGGATCCAGATCATCGTCACTGGAGACTTTTTCCAGCTTCCCCCAGTCACCAATGGCGGACAGCCGAAATTCGCCTTCGAAGCCGAAATGTGGAACGAAACCATTCCCCTGTCTGTCAATTTGAGCCAAGTCTTCCGTCAAAAAGACCCTCGTGTGTGATTTGCAGCTCTCGATTTGAGAACCAAGGCTGACATATACGCGCCAGGATTCGTGGATATGCTCAACGAGATGAGATTTGGCCGATTGACATCTGCATCCATCGACACTTTCAAATCTCTCGCTCGTCCGGTCAAGTACCTCGATGGCATCGAGCCAACCAGCCTATTCCCTCGTCGTGAAGAGGTCGAGCGCGCCAATCTGTATCGGCTAAACCAGCTTCATACAGAAGGCCACACTTATATCTCTGTTGACGGCGGTAAACTTGAAGGAGCTCAAAGAGACAAGCTGTTGTCAAATTTCATGGCACCCAAGACCATCGAGCTGAAAGTCGACGCTCAAGTGATGTTGATCAAGAACCTCGACGAGACACTGGCCAATGGCTCCATGGGCAAAATCATTGGCTTCTGTTACAGGCCATTCTTCATAGAAGAAGCTGGAAAGTGGGCGCCAGATGCCAAGTTCCGAGATATGGACGAGAGTGAAAGAAAGCGAGCGATCGCACTTCGAGATGGGTCGCTGGAGAAATGCAAAGCGAGTGGCTCGCCCCCTTTGCCTGTTGTTCGTTTTAAAGTACCTGGAGGCGGTACCCGCGATGTGCTCATCGAGCATGACGTCTTCAAGTCAGATCTGCCTAGCGGGGAAACTCAAGCACAACGCACACAAGTAAGCAACCATATTTATACAGGGAGCATTCGCTGATGTCTGGACAAAGCTCCCAATCATTCTCTCCTGGGCGATGTCTATCCACAAGTCACAGGGTCAGACTCTTGACAGGGTGAAAGTCGACTTGGGAAAAGTGTTTGAGAAAGGCCAGGCTTATGTAGCGCTTTCCCGTGCAACCTCTTTGGAAGGGTTAGAGGTGAGAGGGTTTAGTGCCGACAAGGTAAATGTGACTCTTTTTTTGACAAGCCGTGAGCTGACGATTTTGCAGGTCATGGCTCACAGAAAGGTTGCAATCTGGTCAAGCACTCTGAAAGATCTCAATGTATTGTAACGCGTACGTAGAGTGTACTCGAGTGTACTTGATTCTACCGAGTGGTCACTCCCCTTGTACAGTTATGATCCGTTATGCCCTTATCTTATGTACGACCCGATATGATTGTGCACATCAATCGATTGCCCGCTCTCCTTCACAGACATGCATAGATCTCTCTGGGCCTGAACAGAACAGTGATGTGCAGAACGTCCCGTTGGAGGAGACAGAAGGGGCAAAAGGCCCGGGAAAGGAGAATTTGTAGAAGTAGTCGTGGCATCATCGATGTGAAAGCAGACATCGCAGGCCCGCTCGACAGTGAGAACAGCCTGGGATGGGAACTGCTCTCAGTGTCCGACATCTGCTTATCCGAGCGAGGTAACGACACCGCGCAACGTCCCTTCCGACGAGACTCGGAGGGTGAACAAAACCCACCTTTTCCTCAAAAATTATATGATAAAGGAATCGGAGTTTCTATCGCCACCAGACATCCTGTCAACCCGCTGCACGAGAAGTTGCAAGGGACACCTCTACAGTTCCGGGTTTATCTATCCCTTCCCTCTTTCACCGAATCCGCTCCTCTTGTGAACTCCTTTGTGGAGTCCATATCCATGCGCCCCCCTGCCCCACCTGGTTTTGTCTCGTCGCTGGACGTGCATGTGGGCATTGCTCCCATTTATCTGGGGGACCTGCGTTCTGTCACGATGGAACAGATAGATGGGAAGTTGTCACACGTAGATATTCCCTGCACCTTTTCCAGTCCTCTCCCCTGCTGCGTCCCAGCAGGCCGTGACAGAAGTACCTTGCCGAGGCCTGGACATGGATGTGATGTCCATCGTCGGTGGTGTTGATGGTAAGCTTTGGCATCTATGATCTTGATCTGGCGGCTTATGTTTCTTGACCTAGTCCATCCACATCCTCTTTCCCAAATTCCCTTTCACCTTGTCACTGCCAAGGGTCCTGTCAACGTTGATCTCGGCGATCTGGACATCCCTGATCCGGAAGGTCTTGGACGTTGGCGAAATATCACGTTGGAGGAAAGGGGTCAAGTCGGGTCCAGTTTCTACCACGGATCTGTCTACTGGGAGAAGCAAAGGGAAAGAGCAGAGGCGGAAAGCAGTTCAGAGATACCCAGTGAGGAGAGATCAGGTTCTGGCTTGATCAAAGATTCGCCACCTCCATACGACGGGCCCAGGGGCAGAGGGATGCGTGTCAGGACCAGCGTGGGGGCTATCAATGTTGTATTCTAGGGACACAGATCTAGATCTATACTGTTGATCATTTGACATTGTATGTATGTACATAATGCCGTGCTGCTTTCCAGTTGCTTTAAACAGGCTATGGCGGCGAGGGCCGCTCTCCGGTTGGCCGGCCCGTGCGATGTCGGAGGCGCGGACCGATCCATTTCTCTGCTTACTCGTAATAAGTCTCGTATAAAGACAGCCCAATCGTGTTCCCATCCGTTTCCCACCCATCCATCAGAATGCCACCCAAGCCCCAGGTCCTCATCGCAGGCGAGTCCCGCCCCGTCTGCCCTTCTCTTGCTCACACCAGCGCAGCCAACCCCAAGACTGGTCTCGTCTGGTCCAAAGAAGAACAAGCCTCCAAGCTTGGTCAAGTCGCGGACGTGCTTGTAAGTTTGTTTGATGTTCTCGCTAAAGACGACCGTCTAACCACTCTGTAGGAGCTCACGTCGCCCGACCGTGCCTCATTCTTCAAAGACCTTGCCCCCGGTGGCCAGTACGGGAGTATCGTTGGTATCTACCGCCATAACGATTCGGTTACAGCTATAGGACTCTTTGACAAGGAGCTCGTCAACAAGCTCCCCTCCACTCTCAAATACATCTGTCATAATGGTGCCGGGTACGATCAAAGTGAGTGACACGAGGCTGGAGCCGTTTCCGAGACGGGGCCAAAGCTGACAGCGATGGCAGTCGACGTCGAAGCCTGCACCGCTAGGGGCATTCAAGTGTCACACACACCTCAGGCTGTTGACGAGGCCACGGCGACCGTCGGAGCGTTCCTTGCCATCTCTGCCATACGTCAATTCTGGCGTGCTGAAGTCAATGTCCGATCCGGCCAGTGGAAGGCTGGTCTGGCTCCTGCCCGTGACCCCGAAGGAAAGACTTTGGGCATCGTAGGGATGGGAGGCATCGGATCTGCTCTTGCCAGAAGACTACTGGCTTTCGACATGAAGGTCATCTACTACAACCGACGGCCAATCCAGCCTGCTCCCGACTTTCCCTGTACCTATGTCAGCACTCTGGACGAGCTTCTGAAGCAATCGGACGTGGTCTCTCTCAATCTTCCTCTGAACGAGAAGACGAAGGGTAGTTTTGGAAGGCGCGAATTTGGATTGATGAAGGAGGGGAGTGTCTTGGTGAATACTGCTCGAGGAGCTGTTGTTGACGAAGAGGCTTTGATCGAAGCTCTGGAAAGCGGCAAGGTGGGTCCATTGGAGATTTGTTCATCTGTTCGGTCCCCTGATGATCATTTTAGCTCGCCAGTGCCGGTATCGATGTCTTCCCCGATGAGCCCAATGTCAACCCTAAGCTTGTGGCTATGGACAATATCACCCTGCTACCTCACATGGGGACTGAAACGCGCGATACGCAAAAGAAGGTGAGAGGCCCCAAGAAGTCGAAAGATGTATATTGACCTGAAGCAGATGGAAATCCTCGTACTGGATAATCTCGTATCCGCCCTTGAAGGGAAGGGATTGCTGAACCAAGTGGCTGAACAAAAGTTGTAGATCAGCGCCGGGAAATGTCCTTGGATGAATACGTGTGCTCTATTATCGATTTCCATTCTTGATGTGATAGCTCTCGTTGATCATCATGTACATGGTTGCTATTTGATGACTGTACTGTACGACTAATATTGACATATGATAATGAAAGATGAGACTGTACAAGATGCTGCCTACAAGCTTAGTCGAGTGCTTTGCGCTTGGCCTCCCACACCCTTCGCTCATCTTCCTCTTCGTCCATCAAACCCAGCACCAGATCGTCAGGTCCACCATCCTCCTCGACCGCTCTCTTGTATTCCTCTTCCCATTTGTCGCCCCAACCACTTTCCCCGTCGGATAGATCTGCCTTTGGTGGCGGAAGTGCACTGCTGGATGGTGGGGTAGAGCCAGAGCCAGAATTGGAAGCAGATGCGGAAGTCGACAGCGATCGAGATAGCTGTAGCTCAGGTGCAGCCCCATCCGCCTTCTCACCATCTTTGTCATATGCTGCAAACACCGCGTCATCTTCAAAGCTCAACCCTGTACTTTCCTCTCTCAGCCTCTCCGCTTGATCAGCCTTCCTGCGCTCTCTTACATACTGCGCTCTCGCATACTCCCGTCGCATACGGCCCACACCCTCGTTAAGGCCCGCCTTGACGGTCCTGATAGGGACAGCACTCCATGCCCCCCCTGCTCCGCCATAGCCGTTAGGAAGCCCCGGTATCTGTCTATCAGGAGGAGACTCGATGATCTCATGGAGGGCTGAGAGAAGGGGTTCTTTGAAAGAGACCGACATCTTCTCCATACTCTGATCCGAGGGTGACCGAGCTTCCACCTCGTGGCGAAAGTGCAACTTGTGTGTTCGCGCCTCAAGGTCCAATATCGACAGCGGCGAGTAGTCATCGATGGGCCTTGCCGAGTAGAATTCTGCTTGCCTGGACAAGTAGATAGAGTGGGGAAGGATGCGGGAGCTAGGACTATGTGTGCGTATCTCGGCAGCGGCTAGGCTTCCCATTCGGGAGGCCCGGCTTCTTCGTATGCTAGCGCTCGGTTTGACAGACGCAAGATTCAGAACGACTGGCTCGGGGGTGGCGCCGGGTAGCGACCAGCGCCCTCTGATGTCCTTTTCAACTTGAAGATCGCAATGACCAGATGATCTGTTGCGCATCATGTCGGTAAGAGCGCTACTTCCCCTTTGCGAGTGAGAAGAGCGGTGCCCTGCCTCTGCACCTATGCTGTTCGTCCCTTGAGACTGCTTGCGTGTGTGCAGCCTGGCGTACTCTAGGACACCCATCCTGGGTCGGTAAATGGCGAGATTGTCCGTGTACGAGACCTTCGAGGACGGTGGGAGGCCATGTGGCAGGAACGTAAAGACTGGTTGACCAGGTGAAAGCCTGGCAGCACCTGTCGACCTATCTCCATTTGCCACGTCTCCCATGGGACGACCAGGACGCAGACGGGCGATAGGAGCCACCGGAGTAGATAGCGGGTACATCTGTTGAGGATTGGTCACAGTCTGGGACAGGTGCGTGGCTGTTGAAGGTGGTCCACCGCAAGGATGGATGGGAAAGATATCTACAATCTTGTCAGTGCTCGTTGATTCCATTAGGACGCGATACTCACGAACGGTCCCTTTACCAGTTCCGACACCAACCCATTTACCGCTCCTGTCCCATTGTATGTTTTCCGCAGCCGCAATCGTATGCCCGCGCTTCAGCTCGTAAAGATGCCACGTTTGGTTTTTCGTTTCCCGTCCGGCAATTGCATCTGTGATGCTCGCCGGGTGAAGCTCGACTACGTGGAATGACCGGCCATCGGTAGGGGCGATTAGCAGCTGTGTGCCGCAGCGCGAAAACGACAATTGACTGATGGTAGGATACGAAGGACTGGGGGGGTGTGAAGGTTCGAGGGGCAAGCCAGAGGAAGGCGGCAGCCGGAAATGTGCAATCGTTTTCTCGGGCGCTTGACCTCTGGAATGACTGCCAGACAAGTTGTCGGGTCCGCGGCTGCCGTCTCTGGGGTACATATCGATTACCTTGACCCAATATCCATCGCCTGGGTTCAGTTCCGATCTTGCAACTTCCATCTGGGACTCGAGCACGCTCTCGCCATCCAGTGACTTGCTCTCCACGCCTTCAAAGTCCTCAATGTCATCTCCTTGATCGGCCGCTGTATTGACCGGAGCGCTCCTGGCCAATCTATCATTACGGGATCGCGCTGCTGCGTCGCTTGCAGCCCTTGCACCCAGCTTGATCCCGGCCCATACGCCCCTCGCGACGCCACCTCCTATTTCTACCGCAGAATTGAGCAATGCTCCCCCTTGCGCTCCGTCGATTGTTGACCTGGACGACTGTGGCAGCCTTTGTGATTGCTTTGCAGTAGAAATGGAAGAGGAAGTGACGAGGTTTCCCGCGGAGCGTGAGAAAGAAGGAGCGGGGGGAGAAGATACGGCATGGGCAAGGAGCCGGCCAGAGATAGAGAATGCAGGAAGTTGGGTCTGTGAATTGGTTGGTAAATTGATAATGGCAGGGCGAGTAGATTCCAGCGACAGGGGGTCCAAAAAATGGAGTGAGGGGGTCGGGTGTGACGTGGCCTGTGGCGTCCTTAGTTTTCGTCCCAGGTGTTCGATATTCACTTACCACCACGATGACTTTGGGAGATCCTTGTATGTCTGCCGTCATCCCGTACCCCAGCTCAACTCTCTTTCTGGCTACTTCTGAGCCCAAATCCATGAGAACCAGCGCCAACGCGCTCTTCCTACCCGACGTCTGAGTGACTAACAGCACCCTCTGATGGTCCAGCATGAGCGCACTGAGGACTTTTTCACGGGACGCAGGAGCGGCATTCTGTGGAGCCGAAGACGATGCGGTGGGGGATTGCAAGGACGAGATGTGCGTCTTGGCTCCATATCTGATGGTTGGGATCACAAAGGCCTCTTCCGGGGGCCGAATCGGTTGTGAAGCTTGCGAGTCGTCGTGCGAATCAGGGCGAGGGGCAGTGAATATCTGCAGGGCGTTTACCGAAGACATGACGAGTAGGAGAGGTCTGGCGAATGTTGGCTGAGCTTTCATCGTAACCGTCGACATGCCGACTCACCGGATGCCTTGGCCGTCTCCCAGATCGCCCTCTTGCCACAGGGCCTTCCCCGGCTCAGGCGCGTGGGGCGAGTCATTGAAAGAGCTGGGCTGTGCTGTAGGAGAAGTAGGCAGGAACCCCTTGAGGTTTGGGATACTTGGAAGGGCAGAAAGGTGGGAGACGATGGGGGACAAGAGGGAATGAGGGTTGTCGCTGGGAAGGCAAGATGCGAGGTCAGCAGGGATAGGCGAGCAGGAGGAGGAACGCACACGGTCTCTACGGCTGAGCGCTGGGTCAGCGATCTCGGGGCAGCGGCGGGCAACTCACGTATGGCCAAGCGAGGGGCCATGGCAGCGCGGGATCAGAATGCACTACTCTCGTCCATCTATACGAGTAGAGTACTCGTACTTACGTCTCTCGCCACCCGTCGGCCCCCGCCGCGCTATCTGCCCCCGCCATTACGTAAGTGCCTCTCTATCCCGCGTCGCAATCGAGGGCATGGCTGTTTCGCCAGGAACGGCGAGGAACGGCCAGGAGCCCAGGAGTCCAGGGCTGGCGAAATATCAACAACGCCAAACGAACTCTCCTCTGCTGAGCTTATAATACGCGTCCGCCCTCTGCTGCATACGTGCTGCATACGTGCTCATGCATCCGCTGCCTCCTCGCCCCCCCGCCCCACCCCCCACCCTCGAGCTCGACCCCAGCAAGCGCCGGCGGCAGGGCGGGGTGGACTGTACACGGACCAGGTGGGTGTGTGGGTCCGAGCAGTTGCTTTGTGCGCTTCCCATCCGGGCAATAAATGAATCTCCTTTCTCCTTTCCATTTCCATCTCTTTCTCTTTTCTCTTTCTACAATCTACATCCTCTATCCATCTATATTCAACCCCACACTCTTTCCATCTATAACAATGTCTGCCCAACCCACCACCGTGAGTCTATACCCTCCCCTTCCACTCCGCCCCTTCATTCCCAGCCATCTGGGCCACACGCAGCACCGGGCGAGCAGGGAAGAGAGGCATTCCTCCGCCAGCTGCTGCCCATCTCTCCTCCCGCCTGTCCTCATGGCCTGGACAGAGACTGTGGCACGCCACTCGTGGGGTATGTCAGCTGCCGCCGGGGCCCAGTTGGGCTGCTTTTCCTCAGCAGAGGGCCTGTGCATCAACATCGGTGCTCAAGCATCCGTGCATACCTCTGCTGTGGACACAGCGCGCCCTGGTCTCTGATCTTTCCGGCTGTGCTTCACACGGCGTGCCGGTTGCTATGGCTCGCTCGCAACACCCGGTACGAGAAGCCCAGGTCGTTTGTCTCTCTCTTCGCTCGGCTCTTCCGACTAGCTTGCCCTCGCCACTGGCTTCCTGCATCCGCTCTCACTCTTCTCCCTCTCTTCTCGCGCTTCGCAATCTCACTGTCGAACGCTGCTGACCACATCTTGTCTTTTCGCCACTCCCTTTGTCAACCAATTTGCCACTCCCGTGTCTACTTTGCTCAACCCGTCACACGACCACCCTTTGGTCTGCCATCCTTCTGCTATGCCTAACAACAGGAAGTTCTCCCCGCCGCCGACGTCCCCGCTGTCGAGGCCGTGCCTACTCCCCAAGAAGTCGAAGAGGCCCTCAAGACTGAGCCGCCTGCGACTGAGGAGGTTGCCGCTACCACTGTCACCGAGCCCCTTGCCGACGATGTGAGTGTTTTCACATGGTGTACTACCAACGGCTGACTTTTTTCAGGTCAACAAGCAGCCTACCGTGACTCACGCCGAGGCTGGTAACGCTCACGTTGAGGAGGAGCCGGCTACCAAGGTTGACGGTACCCAGGCTGATAAGCCCGCCGAAACCGTCCCGGCTACCGAGGAGGCTACCAAGCCCGCCGAGCCCAAGGAGGAGGAAAAGGACGACAAGAAGTCTGCCACCAAGGCAAGTCTCGTCATACTCTGCTAGTAGCTCAGCTGACTTTTGCATAGGACAAGGTTGAGAAGACCAAGGCTGAGGGTAAGGGATTCTTCGCAAAGCTCTTTGGAAACAAGGACAAGTCTCCCAAGAAAGAGAAGAAGAAGACCCCAAAGGTACATTCTTGGATGATCCCCGTTTCTATAGCTGATACATTATTCAGACCGAGAAGGCCGACCCTGTTGCCACTGCTCCTACCGAGACCACCGAGCCTGCCCCTGCCGCCACTGAGCCTACCCCCGCTCCTGTGACCGAGCATGAGGCCACTCCTCTTGCTGAGCAGCCCAAGGTCGAGGAACCCAAGATCGAGGAACCCAAGCCCGCGTAAGTCACTGTTTTGTGGTTTCTGTCATTTTCCAACCGATCGTTCAGCGAGACTCCCGCTCCCGAGACTGAAGCAGCACCTGTTGCTGAGGAACCCCAGACCGCCGAGAAAAAGGAGGAAGTCGTAAGTCTGCAAACTTGAACAAGATTTACCTATTTTGACGTCGTTCTAGTCCAAGCCAAACCTCAAGGCCCACCGAAGGCTGTCTGCTAGAATTGGCGACATCTTCAAGCCTAAGAAGTCTGGTTCCGCAAGTCCCACCAAGGAAGAGGCCCCCAAAGAAGAGGCCCCCAAAGAAGAAACCCCTGCCACTGTCTCCGAGGAGACTCCTGGTGTCGCTTCCGAGGCCCCTAAGCTTGAAGAACCTGCTGCGACTGAACCTTTGAAGCTCGAGGAGGAGGTGAGATACTTGGACTTTTCCCATGCAAAGCTCCATGCTGACTTGTGTCCACAGCCCAAGGCTGCCGCCGCCCCTGCTGCGGCTCCTGTTGTCGCTGCTTCTGCTTGAGCGTGATACCCATGTCATTGTTAATCCCTCTGTCTATATAATCACCTATCTTACCCCCCTAATGGAGCCCTATACAATCTCTGGCTCATCCTCTGCGTTCTTCCTCCTTTTCGTGTCATTTTTGTCAATATACTGGATGCGTTGGCTCTTTGCTCCGTTGCGACGTGCTTGGTGTCGGTTTTGTGGGTCTTGCTGATGTGATTACGAACGTGATGATGCATCTACTATGAGCAGACCAGGCAGAATATCATTATGGCTTTAAAGCCTTTTCTCGCAGGTTCTCGGGCAACCATTCTATGGGAAAGCCACGAACGCCGCCGACAGAGGTTTGGCGAGGCAAAAACGTCTGGCCGGACGCCCATGTAAAGACATTCTGGCGTGATCGCTTCTTCTGGTGTCGAGCAAGAAGATGTCGAGTGTCCAGGGGGATATCGGAGGGCAAGGGTGAATTGGGGTCCTGAAATTGTATTCCATCAGAATCGCCTCAGTCTCAACATCTGCAGAACTCACACTAGCAGCCTCCACGAGTTTTTGCAGCGTCAGAGATGCCGACTTTTTGTTCTGGACAGAACTCTCAAATCTCTCCTCGCTGATCTTGAACCAGCCCTCCTTTCCCAGTGTGTCTTCGTTTTGGATAAATTCTTCTCGACCTGGCCTTCCGGGCGACCATCTGGGGCCTGCAAGCAGCTTGAAGCGGTGAATTGCCTCAGGGCTCTTGAGGGGCAGAGACGACACGGGGACAGTGAGGGCGCATTTTGTGTGGAAGCGGGAATCAGGCTTGGAAAGATCTATGGTGGTTGTCATGCGGATTGGGGACGTGGGAGGTGTAAACTTTGTTTTGTTGGCAGCTGTTGAAGGGCATGAGGAGGGGCATCGAACAGTCAATCTCTGCCAGCCACGTACCTCGCAGAACTTGTCTGTCCTGTTCAATCTTTTTCACAAGCCCCTCCCCTTCTTCAATCCTAAACATACGCATCCATCCGAGACTTGTGGCGTCATCGAAAGCGTACTTTGGGACTGCCCCGAGATCCCATGGTCTTGTACGCGCAGTGGATGACGGCGAAGGGGCGGGAGCCCTGGCGGAAAGGGAAGAATGGGTGGAAAAGAGACGGGCAGATTGCCTGGCAGCTGCTCTAGCTGTGCGTGCGTGGAGATGAATGGGCATGGCGAAAGGGCGGAAAGTGCATGAGAACCGAAAGACTTTCCGACAATAAAGCACAAACTGATGGGCGGGCGCGCCTATCTCGGCCTTGGTTTATAGATTTGCTCTTAGGCGCATGAGTCGCGACTTGTTTTGTCATCGCTTTTGCAACGCTTTTGCAAACCTACACCTACCTAATGCAGTCCTATTGCATATCAAAAATACTGTCCAGTACTCTACAACGTGCATCTACACAGGCGACTCTACTCGGAAAATAGGCACCACAAAGTCGATACTCGGCAGCATCTACACGTGTCATGACCAGTTGGTGGGGCAGCTCACACGATGAAAAGGGCGTGGGGGAGCAGGGCCAGAGCAGGGCACAAACTTAGCCTCCGCCCTTTGTACATCAACAAAGTTTATCGCGTCTCAAGTACTCGAGGAAAGAGCTGCGAGGTCGCTGGACAAACACAGACCGGCCCCTGGCTCGACACAAGCCCTTCCCCTCCTTGTCGCCCCCCAACACCGGGCTTGCGCCGAGCCAGCCCCAACACAAGCAATATTTCAGAATTCAATATTTGATTCCGTCGCACCCGTTTGGCCACAACTCATGCAGATCATATGATACAGCCTTCAAACTCGCACAGCATGCAGTCAGCAGCAGTTGGAGCACACCTGTGCTTACCGTTTCGTCTTACACCCAACCGTTGCCTATATAGGCCCAGAAAACGATTTTGCCAGACCACCATGTCAGTCAGGAACGGCGATTTCTGGTGCTGACGCCGTGCCTGAGATGAATTCTTCGTTTTCGAGCTGGACGCCAGCGGCTCTACAGCAGCCCACAGAACACGTAGAAGGATGCGGCGGGTGACGTTGGATCCAGATTTTCCTCCTCTACCATACTGCCAAAACACAGTTTCCCAGTTATATGCATGAGCGAGCAATGAGCTGAAAGGTGCGACGGAATCAAGTCTTGAATTCTGAAATCCGTATAATGCTTGTGTTGGGGGGAAGCCCTTCCCTCCGCGGGTCGGGAAGGGCTTGAGGGAAGGCTTGCGCCGAGCCAGAGACCGGCCCAGGCTGGAATCACAAGCAAGATCATCACCAAGTAGCAGGGTCCTAGTGGTTCGCATACCTCATGGCGTTGATTCAGTATAACCTCATCCTTATCTACCCTTTGAGACTCTTTCAGCGCCCTTATGTACGAATGATGCTGCAAGGACCCTTTCATGGATCGATTATGAGGCTTCCAGAAGAGAGCTGTCGTTCGAAAGGCAATGAGACCATGAGAGAACGCAACCTGACTAGAAGGAACGTGATTGAAGTCTGTCACCAAAAGTAGGATCCATAAGACCCATTTAATATGACTGGTATGGGCTGCCATATCGTCTGCACATATCTTTCCAGAAAGGCCGACGCACAATGGCTTATTATTATCCAGGACCTCAGGCGGCAGCTGCTATCGTGAGCATCTTCTACCAAGCTTTGCTTGTCTGTCTGCTTATTATTGCATTTGAGACGCATGGCCCTAAGAGATACATGATCAGCCTTCACGCTGGAGATTCCTTCTACGCATTTCAGGTGGCATTGGCTGATGGCCTATGGCGGATTGGACACTCGACGGGATCTCAAGGTATGTCTTTGGCATCAATGGCTGCTGAGCTCATAGTGCGTAGTCACATACCACAGAGTAGGGGGCGACGATCAGAGATACCTCATAGTGTTTGAGAGTACCAATGGCTGGACAGCTAGCGCTACAGCTCTACTGGTATCTCTCTTGGGTCGCATAAGCAAATCATCCATCCAGTCGTATGATGGTGGCTATGACTAAAATACACTCGTAGGGTCGGCTGTTGACAAAGTCAGCTTCCCGCTCGTATAATGGTATCAGCCTCATAGGTTTCTCCTCACATGAATCAATGTGGCCTAGTAGACTGAATGACATATATCCATTTCCCCATGCAGTATTGTTGAATGAGGGGTGTTACGTAAGCCCCCCTGTGCTGGCCAACAACAACTGTTTGCGCTGTCCTCTCTCGCTCCCATCCGCCATGGCGTCTGCGCATCCCATCACCTCGGCTGCCCCCAGCTCGAACCCCATCACCTCCGTCTCCCCCAGCCCCTATGCCCATGCGCCCCTCTATCCCGCCACCCCCAACCCGCAGCTCCTCAGCCGCCTCAACCTCGACCTCAGAGGCACCATCTTCCCCGTCGACAGGGAGATGCTCATGCTGCTCCCAGAAAGTGTCCTCCTCGGCCTCTTTCCCCAGGGCCTCATACTCAGCAAGCCCGCCAGCTCGGAAGGAGCAGACGATGGTGTCTTTACTGTCGATGTGGGTCCAAGCACGTCCTTATGGGGTGAATGCTGACGAAAACATACGCTGTAGTTTGACCCAGACTGCTTCCGGTACATCATCAGCTTCTGGGGAGATGCCCAGGCTTCTTTCTACGGCACCTCTTCTGCGCCCGGCCTCTTTGACGCGCAGCAAAGCATCCCAAGCATCGACCCCCTTTCGGACCACTCCCAGAACCCGCTCCTGTCCAAGCAAGCGATCATCGTCCTCCGCGAGGAGCTCGAGTACTTTTCCATAACCAAGCCTGGGTCCTCAGCTCGGACAGACATTTCGTCGGGGCTGGCCAATGATGAGTTGAGGATATTGAAGAGGAATTGTGGAAAAGCCTTGGAGGAGAAGAAGGCCATCTTTGCTGCCTTGGAGAGAAACGTCAACAACTCGGCAAACTTGGCTGAGAAACACCTCATCGATATGCTTTGCGTTAGGTACGTCACCTTGCAGCATGTCGAGCCAGTCTGACGACGTGCAGTGGATTCAGTCGCGAGGATCAATGGGGGCACCGAGCTTGTGAGCCTGGGCGCAATGTCATTTCCTCCATGGCCCTGGTCCTTCTGAAAACAGGCATAAATCACTCAAAGGAGCCAAGCCAAGGCCCCCCTACAATCGATCCTGATCAGATGGGCACAGCCCAGAAGCTCTTACTCTTCTGGAGAAAGCCTGCGGTAAGTCCATAGTTATTTCCTCCGCGGGGCTAATGGGTCGCCGATTCAGCGAAAATGCTGGTGGGACTCTGTCGAAATCGAAGTGCCAACAGACATTGGAGCCAAGTCGCCCTCGACAACCAGCGTCAGGGTGTGGGCAAGACGAGTATGGACTCTGGAATTGTCCCTTGTACGTTGGCCATTTGTGTTTCTCTGATAGGTGACTGACGGTTGCACAGATCTAGAAAAGATGTGTTGTATCATATATGACTCTCCTTGTAAAGAAATTTGGTCTCAATGCATGTTGCGGTAATCACATACGACAGGTTCGTGTCCAAGGGTTGACTCGAGGGTACTTTCTGTGCCCGGTACAGTGCATATATGTCGTGCCACGAGTCATGCGGGCTGCACATACGTCCACATATTGCCCGGCGATAGATTTCGGCCGCAAAAGCTGTTTCCAGTGGCCTCTGACAGACCATCAAATCCGTACCGCTCCTGACCATCCACTCAATTCTGGCCACAGACAGACACGGCGCGCAAGATCCAAATCCCATCCATGTGCATGAATCTACAACACTCCCAATGTCCGACTAGTGAGGCAAAGGCGTGACGACAGGCCTCTCGTATTGTCCAGGCTTGATAGTGCCCTCGTGGACGAGGTGGTCAAAGTGACCCTGCTTAGAGTTGAAGTATTGGTACTTGTTGCTGGCCCAGTAGTAGACGCCGTAGACTGGGGAAGCAAGAATCAGTCTCTCGTTTTCCTGGACGAGAGGTATACGCACAGAACATGAGGGGAGGAGCGATATAGGGGAGTTGTTGCATGGTTCGCTTGGAGCCGTTGAACACGAGGGATCGCATCAAACCATGCATGGGCTTCTGTCGGTAGGGGGAAAGACCTGTGGCGGAGATGAGCACTGTTGTTGTGTCGAGAAAAGACACTCCACTCACCGTAGGTCTTGATACCCTTCTGTTTGGCACTTCCCATGTCACCCCACCAACCGATCTGCAGCACCACGTCGTCAGCACCCATTGTTTTATTCGATATGCCCATCTGTCGCGTCTCTCATAGGTCGGTTGCCGCTGCCTCTCCCCTTGCAGAATGGAGCGTCCCCTCAGCCTTCTGGGCCACTCCGTCCCCTAACCTCGTGCACCTCCTGGGGCACCTCTAGACGATCGACGGCGGCCCGCAGGGTGTTTGAGGATTTTTGACGTCTTGACGAGGACCAGTAAAAACTCACGTAGGTTTTGGCTGGCGGGGGGGTCAGTATTTTGCAGCGTGCAGGGCAGAGGGGGACTCACGGCCGGGCATACCGGAGTGGGCGGGGGCGGAGGACCTCATGATGCTTGATGGATGAGAAAGATGGAGAGATGGCAGACGTTCACGTCGTCGACGATGGCCAATGGGAGAGGCGGCGTTTTGGAAAACTCCGAGTGCGCTCAAGAGACGGCTCAGAGGCAATCCTCATGCATCTCTTGCATCTCTCGTCATCCCCATGTCCCTCGCATCCACCATCCTCGGCTTCAGCGCCTTCGGCTTCGGCGCCAGGTGTCTCCAGCTCGGCATCCAGAAGAGGCCCCTCTTTGCCGGTGCGCGACCTCCTGCAGCCCCCCCGCGAATGCTAATCCTGTCCTAGGCTTCCATGGCCATGCCTATGCATCTATCGCCTTCGGTATCCTCGGTGCCGGTGCTTATGAGGCCGACAAGAAACAGTGCGTTCCCCTCTACATCCATACGCCGCGACTGATTCATCGCCTCCCTTCCCTCGTCCATTTCCCTCAATCACCTTGTCATCACCTAGGCGGGCGCTCCTGGAAAAGAAGAAGGCTGTTCTTCTCGAACACCGTGAAGCTGAGAACAGGGAATGGGAAGCCCAAAAACAAGCACACGCCGTCTAGGAGAGGTCTGAGGGTGGAAGGACAAGAATTCGGTTTTCTTTTCTGCATGCGAATGCAATGTATTTCTAATGGGACACGAGATATATCAAGTGGGGCATCGAGCATGGGTGCAATACATTCATGGCAACAGTTAAATCGACGTAGCGCATCTTTAGTGATCCGAGACTATCAGGAGTTGTAATCAGGGATACCATAATCTGCCCTCAGACATGTTGGCCAGATACTGCATAGAGTCACACCTTTGACAAACTCATGTCGTGCCCAAGCATACAGTGACATGGATGCATGTGCCACATCTATCCAACCCGTCTTCCCTTCGTACAACTAAGGCTCCACTTCCGGCTCGAGATCACCAAAGGGTCGGCTCCGGAAATACGAGTCATCGAACCAGTGGACACGAACGAAACCGTCTTCAGATCCGGAAGCGTAGGCTCGACCTTCGGGGTGCACAGCGAGGGTGTTGATAGGACCGCTGAAGATGATGTCAGAGAAATCCTCATCGTGGCAAACGAGACTCACAAATGGCCCTTGACACGACCGACCTCCTCTTCAAACAACTTGTGGAAGAATCTTGATTCGAATTTACCAGCACGCTGAGAGGTGGTTGTGACGTTCATCGCATCTTGACCACCACCGAGGATAATCTAATCTTCTGTCAGAATCACCCTTTGCTCATGCAGACACTCACGTATGGTCTACCGGGGGTGATGACAGCACTGTTGACGGGGGTCTCGGTAGGGAACACCTTCATGACCTCGAGTGTCTTCAAATCCCACAACTAGGCATTGTCAGCATGCATTCCGTCTCGCCGTCGCCTCAACTCACTCTCGCTGTCTTGTCCTTACTGGAACTGATAAAGTAGGTTCCGTCCGGGCTCAGTTGGATATCCGTAATAAGGCCAGAGTGCTCAGTCTCGACAGCCTGCACTTCCTCACCAGTCTTGACATCATACTTGGCAATCTTGCCAGACTCGTGACCAGTGACAATGTGGTCGGACAAGGGCGCCCAGACAGCAACAGTAGCTCGGGATCCAGTCAAGCGCATTTCACAAGTGGGTTCGGTGGGTTCTAAAAGACGTCAGAAACATACTCGAATATGAATGACCATGGGAGCATACGGGAAGTGGGTTGATCTCGGTTGAATTTGAATATACGGATGACACTAGGCTGTCGGCTCCTTTCCTCCGTGACGCTCAAGAACTGAGAGTCGTCCTCGCTACGGTTCATGTCAGCTTCGGGAAGACTTTGCTAGTCGTACACGCGTACCTCCAAGCAACCCTCTTCACTGCCGTCAAAAACTCCCAAGTAAAGAGACACTCTCCGGTCTCAACCTCCCAAAGCTTCATCACGTTGTCGGCTCCGCCAGTCAAAAGGAATTTCGTTTGAGCTGCAAGCGTCAAAGGTCAGCCACGTTCTCTATCATATTCTGCCGCCATCGACATCCTTGCTCGTCGACTTCCCCTCTGACTCTTTAAGACGTCATGCAGCATTCCCAAGAAAATGATGTGATTATAAAGAGCAGACTCACAGTCCACAGCGACAGTCCAGACCGCACCATTGTGCCCGACACCGCCCTTGATTCCACCATACGTTCCGAGTCGTTCTCCATTTGAAGTGTACCAGGCATTGACGACATTGTCCTTGGAGGCGGAGAAGAGGATGTCGCCTTCGGCGTTGAAGGCGATCTGGTTGAGGGATCGTTCGTGTCCTGCAGCGGAGAGTCAGTACGGCGGCGGTATGCACGGAAGGGTGGGCGGACCTTGAAGGATGATGGGTTTCTGTGCATGCGGTCAGCATATCGGCCTTGCAGAAGGAAAGCGAGGGCACTCACCATTTTTGTTGTCTTTTGGCAGCCAAGCTTATAGAACAATGCCAGTTGCGTCAAAATCGTCAAAATCGCGACCACCAGTGCCACCAACGGCATTTTCGGCGTTATATGTTCACTCTCTCTATTATATGCTGCAATGCATGCATATAATAATAGGGCTTGTGGACCGCGAGATATAGTGTACATGCATGTGTGCCAGCGAGCGGGTATAGAAACAGTACAAGCTTGCCCAATGAATAGAGACAAATGAATATATATGTAACGTAGTCTTAGAATCGTTGCTTCATTCTCGCGCCGACCGCCTTGAGATGAGCATAGACCTTGCCTTTGTCGGGCGTCAGCTGCTGGACCGGCTGGGAGCTGAGGGACGACATACCTGGGGGCGAACCGAGAATCAAAGAAACGATAGCATCACGAGCAATCTTGATGTTCTGGACGGATCCAAGGATATGGATGTGTCTGTTCATTTTGTCAGTATGCTGAGAACCTTGCACCTCTGCCAAGCAGAGGAAGCGGGCAATCCACTCACGTGTCGGCCAAGACTATTCGTGTTCTGCTAGCATTCTCGATGGAGAACTTGACTTTGCCGCCCTCACCAGCTATACGACCTGAACAGAGTCAGATCACGTTTCAAGCTGCAATTGCAGATATCATTAGGCGGGGCGTGAACATACCGATAGCTCGAGCCAAGTGGTCGCCATGAAGGGTCTTGACATCTTTGATCTCGAAAGAATCCAGATAGAGGTCGTCCAATCTCAACAGGGCCAAAGCATCCTAACAAGAGCGCCACTGATCAGCAAATGGTCATTTTACCTGTCCAAGTAAACTTACGTTGACATCGAATCCCAAGGCGTAAGCCTTGAGGAAATCGGCACCTTTCTGAATAGCTCCGGAATCCACAGTGTGACCAGAGGTCTAAGCCGACGTCAATAACTTGCTGGCAGATATTGTGGGGTGGCGCCACTTACCTTGATCTCAACGGCCCGCCTCTTAGTGTTCATCCTAACTTGCAGACCAAGCATTTCCACCATAGGAGTATACAAATTGACCCAGTCTCTCTTCAAGGGAGTCATTCGGTGCGGAGGAATCGGCACTCTTCTGAACTCGTTTTTGAGCACAGTAGATTGGGCGGCGGCACTCAGAGGGGCAAATCCCGAGGAAGACGCCTCGGCAGCGTCTGAGGGGCCGGCTGAAGAGGAGGCGTTGTCGATGAGGACATCTCCGTCATTGTCGACATCCACTGGTGTCGTTTCCGGCTTGCGGGTTTTCTGGGAGATGAGGGAGATGGTGGGCTGGGCCTCGAGCTGGGCCTGGAGGGCCTTGTGCCTGTGTGACTTGTGGGCCATGGCGGATAGAAAGAGAGTTGAGATAGAAATATATGGATGTATAGATGGCCGCTGAAATCTTGAACTCGCAGACGGTGTCCCAGGCACGCAGTAGAAAATTTCAGTTTACGGATGTTACGTAACCCGCGACGCGTGCTTGTGATGTTGTTGGATTCCGGCGGTTGACTCATTTGCATCTCCATCTCTTTCTTTCTTTCTTTCTCTTTCTGTATTTATTCTTCTATCACTCACCATGCCCCCCACCCCCACCGACAAGGGCTCCTCCCGCAACGCCGCAGCCCATCCCTACCAGCGTCCGGCCCCCTCCGCCCCAGCCCACGTGTCGCCCTCTACCTCCAAGGCCTCCAAGAAGAGCAAGAAGAAGGCCAAGCGGGAGAAGAAGGAATCAATCGTGTGTCAACCGACAGCGAATTCCGTCACATCCCTCGCCGGACCCTCTCCGGACAAGAAAAGGACCAAAAAGAAGAGAAAAAGTCATTCACGAGAGATGCAGCCCAGTGATGCGCCCCTTGCAGCCGTCGTTCCCGTACCACCCAAACCTGCCGCCAACGCTGCTTCGTGCCGCGACGCGGGTCCGTCTTCTATTGCACCCATTGTCCTCCCCAAGAAACCTGTTCTTGCCGACTCTGAGACCAATGTACCGGTCTCCTCTCCTGCCCAAACGATAGCGGGTGACCGGCCACAAAAGTCTAGTATAGACCGAGAGGTCGCACGTATGCGAGAAGAAGCAAAGCAACGCGAGGCTTCCAGACTGGAGCTTTCTCGCGCTCATGAAGAGATTGAACAATTGAAGATAGCGACAGAGGTGGCCAAGAAGCAACAAGAAGACATGCAGAGAAAGGTGGAAGAGCTTGAAAAGGCGGCTGCCCAGGGCGAGGAGCAGAAGAAAGCCTTTGATGGTGTCAGTAATACAGGTCTACTTATATAGCTGTCGCTGACATCTACGATAGGTCCTACAACGTCACGATGCCACCAAGAATGACCTTACGGAAGCCCTCTCCTGTAATGTCTGCTTTGATATCTACCGGGACCCCTATATGTTGGTTCACTACAATTGTCGTCTTCCGAGTACTGATCATTGCTACAGACTTTCATGTGGACACATGGCTTGCAAAGAATGGTAGGTTGTCCCATTCGCCGCTCGAGTATTGTTGCTGAGATACTACAGCCTTCACCAGTGGTTCCGATCTTCAGCCTCGTTCCGTCAACCCCTCGTTTCTGGCGAGATCTCTCCTCTCAGTGACGTTTCCCATCGAACCAAGATTTGCCACATGTGCCGTTGCAACATCGTTCGTCGTCCCACCCGCGCATTCTTCCTCCGCACTATCCTCGAGCCTCTCGGCCTTTATAACAACACTATCGAAGAGGGCAGCGGCAACCAGGCTGGGCCTTCCGATCCTTGGCATTTAACTTTTCCAGTCGATCCTCAGTCTCACAAGCTCCATGACGAGGCAGATGGCATTTGGCGATGCCCCGAGTGCCTCGGTGAAATTGCAGATGGGGCGTGTCTTGGTTGCGAATTGGAGTTTAGCGAAAGCGAGGGAGACGAAGAGGATGAGGGAGATTGGGATCATGCGGACGGTCGGATCGCAAATATTATGAGCGATATGTTTGAGGGCGTCTATCGCCGGGTGAACGAAGGTTTGAGGAATGAAGGAGATGCTGGAGACGAGAGCGACTCGTCCTCTGAATCATCCCATGCTTGGGAAAGGCCCATCAGACAAAGTCCGCCACCCCGCGCCAACCCGTGGCTCGGGGGATCGGACCATGACGAACACTCAGGGTCCGAGGAAGACGGCTACGAGGATTCCTTCATTGATGACGATGAGCCGGAAGCGCTGAGTGGAGAGGACGACACCTTTTTGGATGATAGCTTTGTGGATGATGAGAGCGACGAGAGAATTCCAGCCAGAGGCGGGCCGCCTCCAAGGTACGTGATACGCCTTGGCGAAAATGGCCTTGCTGACGGTCTGTTAGGGTGCAAACTATAGCCAGCGATACTGAAGATGAGAACGACCAGCCTGTCTTCATGGGGCGAGGGCGCAGGACGAACGGACGAGTAGTCATAGCTGACAGCGACAGCAGCAGCGACGAAGAGGAATGATGGGCCTATCAATGCACTGGCACAGTGCCAGCATCCTTAGATTATGTAGCGAGCCAGATCAAGTCGCCATGTAACCAAGTGTACATAACGATACGACAGGCAGGACCCACAAACAAGTGGCCAAACGCCGGCTCCGCCGAAGACGGAGGGTGTTCGGATATATATGGAGACCGGGGAACGGCCAGTCGCCGAGGATCCCTGTCTCGGATCTGTTAACGAGAGAATTATTGGCGTCAAGGTGGAGGCGCTTACATACGTACTATGCCCAAACCCCATATATACCCTCCCCGATCCCTCGCCACCCAGACATCATATACTCTACACCATGGCCGCCAACAAGAACAACCAGATCGTCCTCAACGAGCGCCCCCAGAGAGGCCCCGTCACCGACACCACTTTCAGATCCAACGTCGTCGACGTCCCAGAGCCCAAGGACGGCGAAGTGGTGGTGCGCATCGACTATGCCAGTGTTGTGAGTATTCAAGGCCAGCATCAATGTACTCGTCAGTATACTCACGACCTACAGGACCCCACTATGCGAGGCTGGGTCGATGATGTGCGATCTTACCTTCCTCCTGTAGAGATTGGAGCTGCTATGCGTGCTCCCGGTCTTGGCACTGTCGTTGCTTCAAAGTCCGATGCTTTCAAGGTGGGCGACCTCGCGGTCGGCCTTCTCGGGTGGCAGGAGTACTACGTCGGATCTGCTGAGGGTCTCACCAAGAGAGTGTAGGTCAGAAGTCTCCTAGACCGACCGGGCTGACGTTCCATTCTAGAACCCCCGAAGGCGGCAAAGACATTGACCACCTTGGTCTTTTCGGTATGACTGGTATGACAGCCTACGTCGTACGTAGCTCCAGCAATTGATTCTTGATCGAGGCTGATCTGCTTTTTCTAGGGTATGTTTGAAATCGGCAAACTCCAGGATGGCGACCACGTCCTTATCTCTGGCGCCGCTGGTGCGGTCGGCCAGGTGCGTTCTCCTCTATAGCTGCAGTATGTGTGGTCAGCGGCTGACACGTAGCACGCCTGCTATAGACCGCCACTCAGATCGCCCTTGCCCATCCCAATTGCAAGGTCTCTGTCATCGCAGGCTCCAAGGAAAAGCTCGACTACCTGAAGAAGCTTGGTGTCCACAATGCTCTCAACTACAAGGACGCCGACTTTAAAGAGCAATTCCACAAGATTGGAAACGTGGATGTGTACTTTGACAACGGTGAGTGTTCTTCATCAGGCGCCTATCGAGCATTGCTAAAGCTCTCCCAGTCGGCGGATCCATCCTTGATCTCACCCTCCGCCAGCTCAACCCTCACGCCAGAATCATTGGATGCGGTGCCATCTCTGCATACAAGTGGGTTACAGGTACTTGCGAGACTTGCACAGGAAGCTGATCGTCATCAGTGCCGAGAAGCCCGAGCCCATCTACAACTACTTCTGTCTCATCACCATGAAGTCCACATTCCGAGGCTTCATCGTAATGGAACACGCCAACCTTTTCCCCGAGGGCATCGCCTACTTTGCCGACCTTGTCAAGAAGGGCAAGATGGAATTCAACTACCATGTCGTCGATGGCTTGGACAATGCCGTTACAGCTTTGAGGGAGATGTTCGACGGTAAGAACCTGGGCAAGACTGTGGTCAGGGTCAGCAAGGAGGCGGTCAGGCAAAGCAAGCTCTGAGGAGCATCATAAGCAATACAATGCGAGAACTGGATGTATCGGATCTTGATACGCGCCCCGTGTGCTAGAAACTGTGCTGACTCTTGTCCCACGTATCTATCTCCACTTGCATTCCCTCCTGTGGAGAAACCGAAAGATGCTTCCCGGCTTCCTGCACGAGATCCTCGGTGAATACATTACACATATCTGTGGCTTTGGATACATCCAGCTGCGCGCCTTCAGGCGAGAGGGGACTAGAGACACTCCGGGCAAGTAAGGAGGTACCAGACAATACCGGTTGCCCTGCCAAGCTCGCATCGTTCAACCTCTCGGATGTCAGGGTGTGTGCTAACGACTCGACAGCCTTCGGGGCGACATCGTTCGAGACTGGGGTCTTACGGTCTCTCTGAACGGACCCCTTGTGCGTCTTTGCAACCCCTATCTGAACTCGGGATGTCTTAATACTTGGGCGATCTCTTTGACGTTAGGATGGATGTCGAGGTGTCGTTGCAATGGACCCGTGTTGTAGATAGTGAATTCTTGCTTGATATCTATAGAAAGTACCGATTTCGCGAGAGACTGAATCACCGATCAATACACGCTCGCCAGTAAAGACTACACTTACAGGTCAGCTGCATCTACACACCCATTCAAGTTTGCGGGGATCAATCCAAGGAGTTGGGCTCGTTCCCAAATGGCTCTTCCTTGCAGATTTAGCCTTCTTGGGTGCAGAGTCCGTGCCAACGCTGATCACCTTCCTCTTGGTGGTTGCAGTCGGCAAGCTTGGTTCGGGACCAGGGGCTCTAACGGCAGGCGCGGGTCCTTGATGCACCTGCTGAAGTCCTCTGTATGCTCCCGGTTGTGAAAAGGTAGGCCCCCAGGGTACATTGTTGGGCATGTGCGGCATCTGGAGACTGGAAGTAGTTGAACTCACTTGAACGGGATGGGTGGCTGGCCGCTGGCCTGGGTGGCCCATCAGGGCGGCAAGCTCCGCCCCAGCCGAATAATGCCACCTCAGCCTCCTCCACGCTGCATGCTCCCCAAATTTTGCATCTCCTTCCTCTTTCTCTTTTCTTTCTTTATAGCGTTTTACGCTGTGCGGCAGCGCGGGTACAACTTCCCCAAGTTGCTCCTCACTCCATATCAACAGTCGAGTCGAGCGTCAACCCCGTGCGAGAGCAAAGTTATCGAGGACGTCTTAGTTCCCTTCGTCTTCTCCCCCGTCAAGGGTATCGTTCTGGTGAACGATGTGGGAAGTCGAGGGACGGTGGTCCATACATCTTTCTATATTATGTACTTCATTTGTCGCACATACTGTTCTTTTACCTATCCGGATCCCGCTCATGTTGCCTTCTCATGTACGTGCAACACCATGTAGGACAATGAAGCCCTTGCTGGTGTTACAAGCAGAACGCGTTGAATGGTTGGATGCATGGTGCATAGATCCTGTTGTATTATCATATGGCTATGAAGGTCGTATCTTCTTATCAATGATCGAACTGTTTTGGAGCCGACGCTCCCGCTCCTCATCATCCCTCTTCTCTTAAACAGTCTGAGCGATCTGATTCAACCTCTCGGCATACTCGGGGTAGTTTTTGAGGAAGTGAATTTGAGCTTTACTAGCGTGTTCGTCTGATCATCATTAGTATCACGTACACATGTTGGGTAAAGACTCACAAGTAATGGTGTTGATCAACTCGCCCTCGGTCCTGGCCAACTGAGCACTCTTCTCAAACCAGGTGATGGCATCAGTGATCTTGCCCTGCTGCAGACTCAACTGCGCAAGTGTCGCAACAGCCACATCACACTCAGGATCAACCTCAAGCGCCTTCTTGCAAAGCTCCTCAGCACCTGCCGCATCCTGCTTCCACTGGAAGAGAGCCAAAGCTTTGTTGACGAAAGGAAGGACGTTGCGAGGGCTTTTAGACTTGTCAAGGTCGATAGATTTGTCGAATCGTGCGAGCGATTCTTCAAACTTTTGCTGGTCCAGAAGGATTTCACCGCTGGGAATGTAATGTCAGTGAACAGTCCATTGAACAGGCGTTAGACCCACTAATAGTTGCTAGGGTCGCCACGGTCAGGGAATTGCTTGAGGATTCGCCTGAAAGCGGCCATGCTAGCGCCGACATTACCCATCTTGTATTGGGCAACAGCAGACTGGATGTGGGAGAAAATGAAAGTGTCGTCAAGCTCAACCGACTTTGTGTAGTCGGACAGCGCTTTGTCAAACTCTTGGGTGATAAAGTAGACTACGAATGATTTAGCCCATAACTTGACGTAGCGGATGCTTACCTTGGCCTCGGTGGTAGTAGATATCGGGGTCGTTAGGGTTGTGACGGATGGCGGCCTCGAAGTCCCCGAAGGCTCCCGCGGGGTCACCAAGCTCCATGTGCACACTCGCAATTTTGACCCAACTCTGGACAAAATCGGGCATAAGATCCAGAGACTTTTGAAGATCCACTCGAGCGCCCTCCGAGTCACCGATCAAGAATTTGAAAGTACCCCTCAGGTTGTAGGCCTCCGCCTGGACCTCCTTGGTGCTGATGCCTTGTTCGATGGCCTCGTTGACATATGTCAAAGCATGGGGGTAGTCGGCAGCATCGAGAGCGTCAAAAGCCAATGAGAGAGTGTGGTCACCCTGAGAAGCGCTTTCCGGGATAGCAGGTCGGGCCCGTTCTCGGAAGGCGGACAGGTAGGCGCCAATGAAGGTAGGAGAGGGAAGCCTGTCTCCTCGGTTGGCCAAGATCTCGGCGGCACGCTTGGTCGCAAGCTTTTTCAAGCATCGCTCGACAGAGGCAGCAGCCTGTTCGTCGGCGAAACGCTCAATGATGCTGACCGCGGTAAAGTCCTGGACAGCCTCCTCGTTGCGGTCGAGGTTTTCGTAAGCGGTCGCTCGTCGCTTGAGGGCTTTGGTGTAGGTTCGGTCGAGCTTGACGGCCTCGGTACAGTCAAGCACACACTTTTCGTATTCGGGAGGAGTGAGGTTGCCGTAGCCTTCGCCATGTCAGTCATCATCGTGCAAGAGAACCACAAGCAACCCACAAGCAGCTCGGTTGGAGTAGAAGACAGCAACCTTCTTGACCGAGATTTCAATGGCCTTGGTGTAGCACTCGATGGCCTTCTTGTAATCCTTCTTGGCGTAAAGCTTGTTTCCCCTGTCTTTAAGCGTTGCTCCGAGCTCGTCTCGCTTCGCGCCACTCATGTGCTCAATCTCGCTGTCGCTGGGAATGCCCGACAGGTGTCCGGGCTCCTGGGCGGGCTCCCTCTCTTCCAGAAGAGGTCCCTTGTCGCCATCATTCCTCACGAACTTTTCATCCTTCTTCTCGCTGCTCTTCTTCTTCTTCTTGTTCTTCTTTTTGGAGGCCGATTCGCCTCCCGCAGGTGACGAAGGACCAGGGGCGTCAGGCCGCGAGTAGAAGTAGTAGCCCGCACCAGTGGCGGCCAGGACGGCACAGCCGAGGAGGATGAGACGCTGGTTCTCCTCGACAAACTTTTGTGTCCGGCTGAGAAGCGAAGGCGGGGGGGCGAGGGTCGAGGCGGGGAGGGGGGCTGAGGGGGCCGGGATGGAGGGCGGTGGGGGGGTGGGGAGGGGCGACATCTCGGCGTGACAGGGGCGAATGGGCAAAAAAAAAAAAAACACAACAATTGACTTGCAATTATTGATGACGATGATCGCATCTCGGGGTTAGACGGAGCTTCAAGTTTTGGCACTTTCTAATCCATTACACTTCGGGGCTAATGCGCCTCTCCTCTTCAGCATGGCTATTCATGCAGTTCCTCTATGGCCCCCGCTACTCTTCAATCTCCCCGACATGCTTGTACCTAAACAGGGCTCGCTCTCGCGCCTTCTTGTGGTCAACGATCGGCGCGGGGTATCCCAACTTGACGAATTCTCTGGAGGACATGTGGTGGTAGGGATCATGGATCGCCTTACCCTTGATGTTCTTGAGCTCTGGAACCCAATGACGGATATAAGTCCCGTCGGGGTCGCACTTTTCTGACTGCGTGATGCTGTTGAATATCCTCTGCAACGATAGTCAGCAGGCGCAAGACACCGATGACCGACTCACAAAGTAAGGTTGAGGGTCAGTCCCGGTACTGGCCACCCATTGCCAGCCACCGTTATTGGCAGCTAAATCTCCGTCTATGAAACTCTTCATGAAATGGCGTTCTCCCAAACCTAGACCGTGTCAGTGTAGCGGACCAAGCAGGCAAATGGGGCTCACGCCAATCCAACATGAGATCCTTGACCAGAAAGCACGCGGCCACCATCCGAACCCGATTCTCCATCCAACCCCGGGCCTTGCACGCTCGCATCGCCGCGTCGACTATAGGATAACCAGTCTTTCCGTCTTTCCAGGCTTGCAAGTTGGCCTCGGACGTTTCCCATTGTACGTCGGCGTATCTCTCCTGAAATGGTCTGCCCATGGAAACACGGGGTGAACTCGTCATGACCTAGCTCCGTTTCAGCCAACATGATATAGTCATAGTATTTCACTCACCTGGTTGTAGAAATCCCTCCAAGCAACTTCTTGCACCCACATGCCGATCCCCGTATCCCTCCCACTCTCCAACTTGCCACCCGGACAAAGCTTTTTCACAGTGTTCAAGACCTGACGTACGCTGATGACACCGCTCGCAAGATATGGACTGAGCTTTGAGCTATTATCACCGTCGACAAGATTCCTCCCTGTCGTATAATTCTGGACCCGGGCATTTTTGTCGTCTGGCTCAACCTTGGATGCCAAAGGAGAAGTATCTTGGAATTGGGACTTTTGGGCTTTGGTATGCAAGAATCGATCAAGAAACTGCGTTCCGTCAGTTTTGTCCGTCGTGTAAGCGCCGTACCTCTTTAGCAGCATCGATGCCTTCTGGCCATATTTGAGCCATAAAATCCGCATCTTTGCACTCAAACTTGGCGACACTGTCCGGAACTTGGGTGTGGAAAAGCTGAGAGAACTGAGCATTGTCACGGATGCTCGCGTCGTTGGCGTCGGGTAACGGTGACATGTCGAGATGCTGCGGTTCTTCTTCCAGTACCCTGGCCCATACTATACACTCGATCAACATGGAGTTTCTCGCAATCGGCTCTATTCACCTCTCTGCCAGGGGCTGTAAACAGACATGGGCTTGCCTGCTTTCGTGAATATCTTGCCCGGCGGTACAGCGAGTCGATCATGATACATCTTTACCTCTGTACCATTCTCCGTGCCCAACTCTACCGTCCTGATATCCCGAACGAGCTCGTCCACTTCGTACTCGATGTTGCCAAAAAGATGATGGGACGACAGTGACGGAAGGACGTTCTTGATGACTTGCCGGGGAATAGCCAACCGCTTGTCGCAAAACTTGATCACGAGCGGAATATCCAAATTGTCGAGTTGACGCTGTCCAAGCCATTCAGTACACCAAGCATTGGCCTATACACCGACATACCTGGACATAACGAAGATTCCGAAGCATAAAATCGATCCGCCTCGAGCTTCTGTCATGCCATTCATAATCACCCGGGCTTATGACAAAGAGTGTAAGCAGAGGTACGCCGAGCAATTTGGCCTTTTCCGAAGCTCTTCGTAGGGCAGTATTGTCTTCGACTGAGACAGCATCAGTAGCAACTCGTTGAGCAAATCAAGCTCATACTACGCATATCTTCCATCCTCATCCAATAGACCACACTCTCGCCCCTTTCAGTATTTTGGTTGCTGTCCACCTGTACCTTGAGCGCCTGATGTAGCCGGACCATAGGCGGACGCTCGTCCATGCTCGCAGCATCCTCCACCGTAGCTATTTTGCCCTCTTCCAGGCAGTATCAGCTGCATGTCCATGGCCCCAGAGTTAGTGACACACTGATCTCATACGCATTCTTGTGCTTTTTGGATTTTGGAAACGCAGCTCCGTCGCCATCGGGTGGAGATCGCTTGAGACCTCTACCCTCTCCAGTTTGTGCTTTTGCTCCGTTCTCGGACCCATTCAGACTCGCACGCCCATCATCCTTGATGTTTCGGCTGTGTTTGCTTGAAGTGGAAGTGCCAGTCGCGGGATTCTTCAGCCCCAATGATTTCCCCTCCGTGTCGGTAGAGAGCTTGAGCTGTTGCTGTGGCATTGACGGACAAAGGCGTGGTTGAGCGACAGATGTCAGCCGAGGTCGTACAGTTGTTTGTAGTATAGGGCGTATATGGCGATAAATCGTGGGCAGGTGAACTTGTCGCTGTATCCCGTGTCCAAAAAAGAACAACTGCATGCGACTTGGGACGAATCAGTAGAGACAGGCGGCAAGGAGCGATGGACGCGATTCGGACGCGCCCAAGATCGCGAGTTGATAAATGAGGAAGCAGTTGACGTCATCAGACGAGATGAACGCCACTTTCGTGCGTGCTTTGAAAAAAATCTGCTCTCTTTTCATCTCGACTTTGGGCCCTGCCCTGAGCTCTGGGAGTCATATTGGCTTGTCGGACACTGGTGTCAGGTCCCCCGGGGATTCATGCAGTCAGCAGGCAGCCTACAGCCTATTAGCAGGCTCGCTCAGCAGGTGCAAAATTCTCGTTATGGCAGAGGTGGGACCCCAAATCATTCCGTTGTCTCATTATTGCAGATGGATTACAGATGGATATGTATATCTGGCGAGCAAAAATTTTATGCTGGTCGCTGGCTTGTGCTGAAGACGACGAAGAGACAATATGCAAAAGGAGACGACGTTCTTGATGATGGCATGTTTACGATCCTATTCTGCCCATTCTGCCGTGAATGACCTCTGTTAGCCTGATACAGTAGAAATGGCATAAATTGTGGTACCCGTACAGAAGTACTCGTACGGCAAGGGGAGAAGGGTTCAGCGGTAGTTCTCAAACATGTTTTGGCACATCTTGGTTATCAAAAGCCCCGCGGCGGGTCAAATAGGGTACCACTTTTAACCTTCTTGCTGTCTGCCTTCTTGGCCACGAGCCAACGCCCCGGCCATCTGGATGCATCTGGTTCGCTGATCATCTGGTCAGACAAGACACAACAGTAAACAGACTTCTAAACTCTGATCACTCTGAACCACCCACGTCGTTCTTCTTACCAGGCGCTTTTGCGTTTGTCACTCAACTTGGTCAGGCGACAGGCCACAGGCGACCAACGCCGAGATAGCACCATGCGGCAACACAAAAAGCTTCCAACGATCCAAAATGTGCTACGTATTACCAAACCGCCAAGGCAGTTGTTGTATTCGGACAAGACACTCACCCATATCATCCAATGCATCGCGTCGGAAGTCTTGAAAAGCAGCGCGAGCAAACATGAAACAAGCAGCCGTATCGGCGTATTCGGTCCGGACTCCGGAGTGTTCGGCTTGGACATTCGGCATAGACAACCTGTCAACCTGCTAATCTTTTTCCTGATTCGGGGCCAGTTCAGCCTTTCAATCATGCCATATGCTGCTGATGCACACATGCAACCACTGCGATTCGATATTCCTGGCTCTTGGCCCTAGGTCCCAGGCCTCCCAGGCGGACAGGTAAGAAGGCCGAATATGACCGACGGTACATATCACGGTGTCTACTTGTTGATGGATGGCCATGCGTGACAGGGAAGGAAGCGCAGTCGGGAAAGGCACTATGTACACACGAGGCCGAAAGAAGCAGGGGGCCCAAAAGGGGGCGGTCGCCGTAGTGTCGGCTGAAGCGACAGGAGGCCCAGTTACGGGCTTACGGCAGGGGTGGGCTGACGCAAGAATGGAACGGAATGGAAGGCAATAAATGCTGGTGCTCCATTGGGCAGGAGGGATCAGACGCTTACATAAGCCGCGGGCAGGTGCCGCTGGAGGCAGAAATAGACGCATCAGGGCAGGCGCCGCCGGCTAAGGGGGCGGTGACGTCACGGGGCTCGCGTATGGGATTGCCGCATCGGGAGTGTGCAAATTTGCTGCCAAGGAGATCGGGCCAGGGCTCAGGGTGCGGGGGAGGAAAGATGCGGGGGACGCTAACGAGCAAAACAAGCTCTTTTTTCCGCCGCAATATAAACACAGACCCCGTCCATCTCCCATCTCTCTTCCTCTTTTCCATCCTGCACTCCTCGCCCAGTGCCCCTCCACCTGCCCCACGCAACCCCCCACATCCCCCATGGCTACCACAGAAAAGGCCCCCGTCGTCGGGTCCGGCAAGATCGTCACCTATGGCGGCCTGCACGGCGACAAGCTCATGTACGCCATCGTCGCCATTGCCACCACCGGTTTCAGTCTGTTCGGTTACGACCAAGGTAGGCCTCATCCCATTCCGAGCGCTATGGTTGCGCAGAGTGGCACCATGCTGACCTGCCCCAGGTCTCATGTCAGGTATCATTGCCTCTGAGCAGTTCAACTCGGAATTCCCCGCTGTACGTTTGTCCCATTCCGCCGCGCATCGCGCTGACCCGTCGGCAGACCTACCAAGCCAGCCCCGACGATGTCCACGCCGGTACCGTCCAGGGTTCCGTCACTGCCTGTTACGAAGTCGGCTGTTTCTTTGGTGCTCTCGTCGCCTTCTTCATGGGTGAAAAGCTGGGTCGAAGAAAGATGATGTTTGGCGGTGCCATCGTCATGATTATCGGTACCATCATCTCTATCACTGCTTTCGGTCCCGGCGCTCCTAACGGAAACGTCGGTGGGTTCGTCCAATTTATCGTCGGTCGTGTCGTCACTGGTCTCGGAAACGGTGCCAACACGGCTACCATTCCTTCCTGGGTCGCCGAGACCTCCAAGGCCCACAACCGTGGGTTCCTTATCTGTATTGAGGCCTCTACCGTCGCTGTCGGTACCGTCATCGCCTATTGGATCGACTTTGGTCTCTCTTTCGTCGACGTAAGTGCTGCAGTACATTCCGCTCTAGACACAATTGACGCATTCTGCAGAGCTCGGTCGCTTGGCGATTCCCTACCGCTCTCCAGATCCTTTTCGCCGTCATCCTCATCTCTGGTGTCTGGTTTCTTCCGGAATCTCCCCGTTGGTTGCTCGCTCACGGTCACGATCACGAGTGTCTCCGGGTCATGGCTGCTCTCGACTCCAAGGCCGAGGACGACCCCGTTGCTATTGCCGACAAGAACAAGGGTGAGTCTCTTATCTTTGGTAAAGCTATAGGCTAACGTCATCCAGTCTCCGACGCCCTCGCTGCCCAGATTGCTGCCAAGGCCTCCAGCTCCAAGGACATTCTCAAGGGTGGTAAAAACCAGCATTTCCGCCGTGCCATGGTTGGTGCCTCTACCCAGCTCTTCCAGCAGATCGGTGGTTGTAACGCGTACGTATTTCGATTTCTCGCCTGTATAACGCTAAACGTCGTGCAGTGTCATCTACTACTCCACTGTCCTCTTCCAGAACCAGATTGGTCTCGAAAACACCCTTTCTTTGATCTTGGGTGGTGTCTTGGCCATTGTCTACGCCATGTTCGCCCTCACCTCCTTCTTCCTCGTTGAGCGTGTTGGCCGAGTCAAGCTTTTCCTCATCGGTACCGTCGGCCAGGCTGTCGCCATGTTTATCACTTTTGGTTGTCTCCTCCCCGGCGACTCTCAGTCCGCCAAGGGTGCCGCTTTTGGTCTCTACTTCTTCATCGCCTTCTTCGGCGCCACCTGGCTTCCCCTCCCCTGGCTCTACCCCGCTGAGCTCAACTCGATGTCGGTCAGGACCCAGGCCAACGCCATCTCCACCATGGTTAACTGGCTGTTCAACTTTACTGTCGTCCAGGTCTTGCCTACCATGACTGCTTCCATCGGCGCCTACACCTTCTTGTTCTTTGCCTGTATCAACGTTGCCTTCCTTCCCTTCATCTGGTTCTTCTACCCCGAGACCACCAACAGGTAAGTTCCAAGTCTTTCCGCCATTTCTGTTGGAGTTCTCTAACATCTTTTAGGTCTTTGGAGGAAATCGATGTCATCTTTGCCCATGCCCACATCCACAAGCGACGACCTACCCTCGTTGCCGAGGAGCTCCCAAAGCTCACCGACTTCCAAGTCCAAGAGATGACCGACCGTTACGACATTCACGGTGGCGCTGCCGACACTGAGAACCCCTCCGCTTACGGTGCTGCCGCCAGCGGCGCCGACCACACCACTGCTCTCCCCCCTGCCGAGCCCAAGGACCACCCCGACTACAATCCCGATGGCACCAGGCGAGGTTCCGCCGGCAGCGGTGAGCAGACTAGGGTTACAACCCCCAGCCACAACGCTGAGAAGCCCACGACCACCCCTCCCCAGGCTTAAGGGAGTTGGATTTTCCTTTTGTGTATAATGGATTTCTATGGGGCCTGGTGAAGATCTTGTTGGTGTGGGATAAAAATAGATGTTTAATGAAAGAAGCCTCGAGTTCGGATTGCACGAATCGACTGCCTCGCACTGTAGCATTTAGAAGTTCGATGCATCTGTAGTGGTGCTCCGTAGATGAACTTTTTTCGATACAATTTATAATTTGCTTGACATGTGATCCATCTCATCTCTTCGCGCATTGTATTCAAGGGCACAAAGTAGGGCAAGCAGAAAATCTACTGGAATTTGACGGCAGGCAAGTCGACCAACTTTGGTGGGGTACGCCTAGTTCTCGTCTGACGAAAAGTCCCAGGTCCGCTTCTTTGCCTTGCTACCGCCGCCTTGGCCGACCTTGCGGTATTGGCTGGGACACTCCTTGTTCTCAGCGGTACCGTCCTTCGATGTATCTCGCGATGCCAGAGACGATTCCGCATCCGCATGAGGAAGGCTTTGCTGCGTCCCAGATGCATTTTGAGCTATACGGGAGCTGTGTCGAGTCTGTCGGCGAGGTTCATCACCAGGCGAGAGAATGGGGGCGTGCTTGCCGGGTGCAGAGTCATCGAGAGGAAGTCTTGTGATAGTTGACAATTGAGCGGTGATGGGCTGTTTCTTCTTTTGGAGTCTGCCCCTTTTATGTGATTTCTTGTTGGAGACCATTTCTATCATAGGAGAGGGGCTGAAGACGGCTTGGGGGTATGAGAGGACAGGCAGCGGAGGCTCCGCCTCGTCAACTGACATGCGCGAGCCCCCTTGTCGAGTGTCTTGTCTATCGGAGGTTGCGCGAACAGGACCAGGTATGAAGGCTTTGGGCCCAAAAATGTCAGCCAAGCTGTCGCCGACAAGAGGGCGATCATCAGCCAGGCTAGACTGGGAAGAGTCTTGTTGAGTCGAGGATTCACGAGAGGAAAGAGTGATACGGCCAATGTGACCTTCAGAGACAGGGGTCGTCATGACTGGCTGACTTTCATCTTGGCTGCTGGCAGGGAAATCAGGAAAGCTCGAGGTCGGGTATTGTCGCTGAGAGCTAGACAAGGCTAGAGGTAGTGCTGACAACCGACCGAGCAGGAACTTCATCTCATTTTGCCTGGTCAGGATGAGTGTGAGTAATTCGCGGATCTTCAGAGTGGCCGTAGCTTGGTTGGCGTCGCCAATGGCCTGTGAAGAGTGTGGGGTGCGGTCCAAACAATGATGTAAGCCTTGGACACTTTGCTGTATAGACAGCAGGGTTTCGCGCGACTTGTGGGCTGTTGCCTCCATTTCTTCAGTGATTTTGGGGAGGCAGTTCAGAGACTCCCGACACAGGGCAACGTCGCCTGCTATCTGAGAGATGTTGTGGATGGTCTGGACAGAGTCTCCGACTGTTTCAATAGCCCCGAGCTTGGCGATGACGTGGCTCAAGAGGTCGTGGAGAGGCTTGATACGTGTGAGCAAGCTGCAAATCCTGATGATTGTAACTCACTTGTGAATGAGACTCATTTCCGGGTTTTCCGGGTCTGGCATCTTGCCCCAATCTCTTGCATTCCGCTTGTAGATTGCTCAAGTGCGGGGCAATAGCTTCTACCACTTTGCCAGGAAAATGCGCAGTTGTACTCTCGAATCGGCTCAGGGTAGACTGGAGACATTCTTGCAGCTCGGGGGTTACTAATGAAATATCAGTACTTGGCGGATGACGAGAGGAAGGCTTACTGTTGTTGATGATCTCATCCGTGACCTCATCTCGAGAGGGTAGACACCGGACGCTCAGCTGTAGTTCATGAAGCTGGTCGCAAAGATGACGGTTGTCTTTCTTCAAAGAAGAAACTTCGCTATGGAGATCTGATATCTGGGAGCCCAAGTCTGAGACAGGTCAGCGCACATAGAATGTAGCATGAGAGATGGGTACCTTTGACGGCAGCCAAGATCTTGTCGGACGCTGTAGCGACAGGCTTTCCTTTTCCCCGTAGAAACAAATCTCGGGCAGCCACCTGTCTGTGCTGGGAGCTGGGTGGAGGGGATGAGGGAGTTGGTACGTTGGTGGATGGTTGCCAGGCCTTGTTGGGGGACGGAGCAGGGGTGAAGAAGGGGGCGCGGGGGAGGAAGGAGGAGGGGAGGGGGCCGTCGTAGGTGCTCTGGCTGTGCTGCATGGGGGACGTTGGATGAGTGGCAGATGGAAGAGAGAGAGATAGAAATGGATGGTTGACTGTACTGCAGCGCGGTGGTCCGAGCACAGGCACGCGGCGGCGGGTGGCGCCTCCACTTGACTTGACTTGACGTCATACACGTCAGTAGAGATGCGCGTCATAAAGTACGTAGGAAAAGATATATATACCCTCGGAATCGGCCCCCCCCCTCATCTACACCACATCTTCGCCACCCGCCACAATGCAAGCCGCCGTCAGCCTCGCACAGGACTACATGGGCACAGAGCCCACCGTCACCAAAGCCGACTACAAGTCTCGAGAAGACGGATCGACCATGAGGGCACTCGCCTGGTTCGGCAAGGAAGATGTCAGGATGATCGATGCACCTATCCCCGACATCACCCAGGAGACCGATGTCATCGTCAAGATCACTGGTACCACCATCTGTGGCTCGGATCTCCACCTTTACCACTCGGAGATGCTGGGCATGCAGAAGGGAGACATCCTGGGACACGAATTCATGTAAGCCCTGCTTGCTTGCCTATATCTGGCTTACCATTTGCAGGGGCGTCATTGACCGCGTCGGCCCTTCCGTCAAGGCTCTCAAGACTGGAGACAGGGTTGTCGTGTCTTTCCAGATCGCCTGTGGAACATGTCGCTACTGCCAGCAGAAACTCTCTTCGTTCTGTGACAGGACCAACGATTCTTCCGTCATCACTACCATGTGGGGACAGCGAGATGCTGGCTTCTTTGGATACAGTCATCTGAGTGGGTCTATTCGTGGACACAGGCTGGTGGATATTCAGCTCATCCATCTTTCGCAGCTGGAGGTTGGCCCGGCGGACAGTCCGAGTACGTTAGGGTGCCTTATGGAGAAATCAACTGCTTGCGCATCCCTTCTGATGTTCCTGGTAAGTTTTCATACCGGTATGGTTGATCAATGACGACTGACAACCTCGCAGATGAAAAGGCATTATGTGAGTAGCATGGAACAGGTTAGGAGGGGAACAATAGGGGTGAAGATGGGAGGGCTAGAGCGATGCCGGGCTCGCGATCACATTCACTGACAGTCCATCAGATCTGTCTGACATCCTACCCACTTCGTACCACGCTGTGGTCGACACGGGTGTGAAACCAGGGGACATTGTCGGTATTTGGGGTCTGGGTCCTGTCGGGGTGAGCACTTTGCCCCTTGGGGTGATACAGCTAGCTGACAATTTCGATTAGCTCTCCTGCGTTCAATGGGCTCTCTTAAAGGGTGCTTCCAAAGTTTACGTGGTCGACTCGAATGACAGTCGCTTCGCTCTTGCCAAAAGGCTTGGTCCCAAGGTCATTGTTGTGGACTTCAAGAAAGAGACGGTCACCAAGCGCATTCATGATGAGGTTCCAGAGGGTCTCGATGGTGAGCTTACATCAGGATGCCTCGATAAATTCATCTTACCCCTTTCTAGTTTCGATCGACTGCACAACTTTCCATGAGCCCAAGACGATTCTCCACAAGGTTGAAAAGGCCCTCATGCTGGAGACCGATGTCTGCGAGACACCTAACGAGATGATTTGGCTCGCCAAAAAGCTCGGCCGTATCGGCTTGATTGGTGTCTATTCGGGATACACCAATCATTTCAACATCGGCGCTCTCATGGAGAAGGGTGTGCGATTCATTGGCAACGGCCAAGCTCCCGTGCATCTCTATTGGCAAGAGATTCTTGATGACTATATCAAGACGGGCAAATTTGACGTCAGTCTGCTTGTCTCTCATCGAGTCGATCTGGAAGACTTCCCGCAACTCTACAACAAGTTTGATAAGAGGTATGCGGGAGTGGAGAAGGTTTTCGTTCAGACGAAGGCCAGGTAAGTGAACGATGCGTCTTTTAGATATAAAGTTGACGCAGAATATTTTACATAGCTCGCCTCCTTCGGCCGGGTTCCCTCAATTGACCAAGGTGGACGATTGGGCAAACAAGATGCTTTAGAATGAGATCTGTCGAGTGTAGCTTTCCATTTGTAGCCACAGTCTCCAAGAACAAATCTATTATTGATGAGAAACAATATGCACCTTAGTAAAATTTACCCAGATCCATTCTAGGCTCATCAACAAAGCCCCTCGATCCATTCTGCCATCTCAACATAGCACGGCAAGCATTCCAATTTTCATGCCAAACTTATATGCTACAAGCTCGCTCTATGCAAATTTTTCATTGCCTGTGAGACTCGATACCGGGGGTTGCACGCCTTGAAAGCAGCCCTTCTCCCATCATTCCCAATTCCACGTCCCCTACCTCTTCCACATTGACCTCATACCTCTGCCCTCTCCTCGAATGATGAGATTCAGGAAGTCGCTCAAATCCTTCTGCTGCTTCAAACTCGTGTCTCCCATATGATGTGCCGAGCCCTATCAGAGCCAAATTCAGCAACTGGTAACGACTACATATGATCGGCTTACTCGCGAGTTCCTATTCGCCGTCCACCGCACTGTAACCTGCAGGCACGTTCTTTTGCTTCTGGTTTCCATTAAAGGGCCCAAAAATCCTGCTGACTAGACCTTGGCCAGAAGATCCGTCTGTTCTGGTCGGCAATGGCGACGGTCGGCGAGAGATTGGCAAGGAGGAGAAAGAGGATCTGTTTGAGCGATGCCGACGGTGGACGTTGCCGACCAACGAAGATGTCTCGGACCCATCCCGATCCCCATCCTCATCCTCATCCTCGTCATCCGACTCGTCGTCTTCGTCGATCTCGTCCCCAAACAGTTTGTCCATATCCTCCAGAGCGACCCCACGAGTTTCGGGATACACTGTGTCTGTCAGCTGTTGGACGTAAAGAGCGCATGGAGCTCACAAAAGTAGACCAAGACGAAGGACATCGCACAGAAGAAGGCGTGCATCGGGTAGAGTCGCCACCCAATGAGCTCCTGGAAGAGGGGCGTGGAGACGCCGACCCACCAGTTCTGTGATACTGCGTTTAGCTTTAACAGATTTGCGATAACAAGTACGCACCGAAATCCAGTTCTGTGAAATCTCCGTCAGATAATGCTTGATCTCAGGTTGTATCGACTTACAGTAGCAGTAGACAAGGAAACGCCCTTGGCTCGGAAGGCCAATGGCATGATCTCGGGAGGATAGAGCCTACATATCATCAGATCTATTCACATAAGAGAGCTTCACTCACCAAGGAACTGGACCCCAAGACATCCCAAAGGCCGCATTGTAGATGACCACACAAATGACAACTTTTAGAAATCAGCGCGAGGCTTTACCCATCTTCAAATATATCCACTTACCGGCGTTGGGAGTTATTGCCTGATCGATGTAGATCCACCATCCCGTGGCGGTCAATGCAATTGACATCGCTACAGCGCCTGTAAGGAGGATAGGCCTTCGGCCCGCCCGGTCCATCAGATACCACCTGGGTTAAATGTCAGAGATGATGCGTCTACAGAGTTGAGACATACGGAGGCAGGGAACTCGCAACGTAACAAAGGGCATTGATGCCAGTCATCAGAATGGCGTCCCGTCCGATCCATCCAGCCTCTGTCAAAGCTCATCAGCGTCAGCTGACCAGAATGACGTACCACTCACGCTCGAAAACAAGAGCTGTCAGCTGGGTCAGTAACCGTACTCGAGGGTCTCCAGGGCTGACTTACGCGCATAGTATGAGATGACTGAAAGATGAGTATCAGTAACATGTCTCAAATTTTGAAACCAGGACTGACCGTTGATACCATTCTGTCAAATTTCGTCAGTTTTCAGCAGGAAGGAGGTTCAAAGAGAGCTCACAAGTTGGGCAAACAGTTGACTGCTCATGGCGATTAGGACACGGCCCTTGTAACGCCTCCACAAGGCCTTGTAGCTTCTATCACCAACCGCTCGCTAAAGAGCGAACATGTAAGCGCCCATCTGACATAAATAAGGACGATCGTACGTCAGCAAGCACAGCATCTCTGATCTCTTTGTATTCTGCTTGTACAGTGTCTGCGTCCAGAGCTTTCCCCTGGAAATCAGCGATGACAGCCAGGCCTTCTACTTCTTGATCTGTGTCCACCAAGTACCTACAGATGGTCAGTATGAGCCTGGCCTTTAGCTTTAATCAGCTTACCGGGGCGATTCGGGGGTTACAAAACTCCCAAAGAACAAGAAGCCTCCGCCGATACATTGGACAGAGAGAGGAAGTCTCCAAGACCAGTCCGACTGGAAATAGGAGCAAGCATAGTCAATCCACTGCGAGGGAATCTGTTCAGCTGTCTGCATTGTCAATGGTCGCGTGTAGGTACACACCACGGACGAAGCATATCCAATGATATTACCAGTGAATTCGACTGAGCCGAGCAATCCACGCTGGATTTGTGTTAGTCAACATCAGAACGATAGATATGGACGCGGTCCTTCTGCTTACATGGCTGGCCGGGGAGATCTCAGACTGCGGCGGGTCAGCATGTCATTTCAGAGATCATCTCCGGGGTGCCCACCTGGTATATCGGTACCACCATGCTCAACATTCCGACGCCGAAACCACTTATGACTCTGCCAAACACCATGCTGTAGTAACCCACACAAAATGTTTGAAAGGCTCCCCCGATTGTAAACACCAATGCACCCGTCCTGAGAGTCATCCGTCGACCATAGTTGTCTGCGATATGCGCGGCAGCCAAAGAGGTGACTGGTATCTGTGTAAGGCGATGATTTCTATAATTGGGGTCAAGGAGGCTCACTGAATGCTCCAATTTCCAAGACAGCTACCATACTGGGCAGTAGTCAGCGCGTGCCCCGTCTGTCACAGCCTAGGGAACACTTACTTGCCAAGCTCTGTAGATGTCGGCTGGTTGACTGTGATAGCTGTAAGAATGGTTCTGATCAGCCCCACCACAGACTCACAGTAGGCTCTGTGAAAGATCAAGTCAGTGGTCAATCCTCTGGTGCTCAGTTGTAGATAGCCAACTTACTTGAAGTATGGACCGGTAATGACTCCTGCAAGACGGTTAGCATATCCAAGGGATGGCTCATGATACGACAAAGTTTACCTGACATGACTCTGCAAGGAAACAGAGGTGTCAGTACTGGGGCACCTATAGGTCTGACCTTACCCTTGATCATATCTGCCAGTGTCATCAGTGGGCATCCTGGTCTCCTGATATCCCAGACGGACTTACCCGAACAACCATACTCCGATACTCAGGAAGACAGAGACGCTATAGAGCAGCGAGTTCCCTACAAGCTTGTTGTTGGTCTTACCCCTGACCACGGGGATGGCTGGATCTGACATGCTTGTCTACGAGTGAAGCAGTGCGGTGTGGGGCGACGATAGGCAGGAAGACAGAGGGTGATCGCGGGATTAGGGATAAGGGGGTGCTCGGATCATGTATAGACTGGCCAGAAGGAGCGGTTGTTGCGCGAGATAGAAGCAGGATCAGTTGCACAAGACAAAGCACGCTGCCATCACTGCATCCCCCGCCGAGCCTCTGCGGCGGCCCTCGCCTGTACAGTCGCGTCGGCGTCATGTGGCGGCGGCGCTCCTTTCTCCATCCATCCTGCTTGCCATCGTGAACGTCTCGACCAGCCTCATCGCATACCCGCAGGGCATGGCCACCACACGCAGATCCACACTTCAGTGCTTGTAGAGCCTGCTCGGCCTGCTTCGCTCTTATCCCTGACCAGCCCATACCCCGCGCCGAGTGGGCCCCCTCTTCTACCCCGCACATACATATTGGGACGACGGCTGTATGTCTTGTTGGTTCTGGCGGGCTTTGCAGGCAGACCAGTCGGTGCATACTTGTAGGTCTCCATTTATTGATGCACAGATGATGGACCTGCCTGCGTTTCCATCCGGGTGACTGCAGAACATGCGGGCATGCGGCATCTGTCATCCGCACAGTCCGTGCTCTTCTGGACGTCGTCAACGTGATCAACAACGTCGTCGTTTGTCGTCCGTTACCACGACTGTATCAATTCCTTCTCGTAAGAAGGTGCTCAACCGACCGCAAACTCTAGCAGAAAGACATTGTGAGACCGAGAACTAGATCCTACAACGTTCGCCAGCAACGACTACGACTTCTTTTGCGTACACGCCATGGTCAAGCAATCTGATCTCATTGGGAAAGCAGCTCCATCTCTTCAGCTACCCAGAATCCCTGATGGAAGCTCATACAAGCTTCCGCTAGGTCAAAAGGTCAGTTACACCATAGGAAAGTCCACGAAAAGCTGCAGAGCTGACTATCCTACTAGCCCATAGCTCTTTTCTTCGTAAGCTCACCAATGATGCTAAGCTACACACGCTGACTTTGGCGTCTTTCCTCCACAGTTCCCTGCAGCCGGCACTATGGGATGTACTATGGAAGCCTGCTCCCTGCGAGACGCCCGTGTAAACAATATAGTGTTTCAGAGGCATCCAGAGTTGGAAGTCGTGGGCGTGAGCGGGGGTAATGTGTCCATCGTGGTCCCTGGCGTTTAGAGAGCTGACCTGCCTGCAGATCCGACTGACAAGCAGACAAAGTTTGCAGACGAGCACGGCTTATCATACCCGATCCTCAGCGACATTGATGGGCAAGCACGAAAGTCGTATGGTGTGGGTAACCAGTTCTTTGGAATGACCCCCGGTGAGCAAATACTGCGACCCAACTGCAGGTTTCTGCTGACATATACGGAAGGGCGAGAGACATTCTTCATTGACGAAAAGGGTATCGTGCGCGGTGTATGCGACAGCTCTATCAACGTTTTGTGAGGCTGAGTCATATATCAGGATATGATGATGCGCTGACAAACTTTACTCAGCGAGCATACCAGGTTCATACAGCAGCAGCTCGTTGCCATTGAGAAAGAGAAGAGAAAGATCTAACAGACCATGCTGCATGTGTTGATATGCATTTCACCCGCGCTCGGCCATCAAATGCCTTCTACAACCGCGCCTTTACCCTCCCTCTCTGCCTCCCCTACCAGGCTTGCACCCTCGCTTGTCGGTCTGTCTAACCGTCTGCCTGCGAGAATTTGTTTGACTTCGTCGAGAGACAATGTCTCATACTCTACGAGAGCCTCTGCCAGCTTGTTGAGATGTCATCAGACAATGGTTCAATTGGTCGGGTTTCCGCTTACCTTGTGAAGTTCGCCTTCGTGCGTCTTGAGCAAATCGGCGGCTCGGTTCATACTTGTATCAAGAAAGCTTGTCCTGTGTGAGCATTCTGACAGGCGATTCCCCTATCGCTAACGCTTACCTTCTGATCTCGCTTTCAATCTCATCCTTCTTCTTGCCCGACAAGTAGACAGATTCCTCATCGCCATGTGCCACCAACCCAATCTTGTCGCTGAATCCGTAACTCTGATGACCGAAAGTCAGGAACAAGTTTTTTTTTTTTGTTTTTTTTTTTTTTGTTGACAATCCAAACGTACTCTGATCATCCTGGCAGCAACGTCTGTGGCACGCTGAAGATCACTCGAACATCCTGACGTGACATCATCGTGCCCAAAGATCATGTCCTCTGCCGCACGACCGCCCAAGGCGACATCAATCATCGCGTTATATTCGCGTCGTGAGTACGAGTCTACGTACAGTCAGTCGAGATCACGGTAAATTGATCCACACACCTTTGTCCTGTTCCGGCAACTGGAAGGTGATACCAAGGGCCTGGCCTCGAGGCATGATCGTACTGTAGCTTCAAATCAGCATCACACCATCCAAAAAGGGTATATACTGACACTTTGTGAAGCGGCATGGCGCCGGGTGTATGCAACGCAACGAGGGCATGCCCACCTTCGTGGTAAGCAGTTGCCCTCTTGGAAGCCTCAGTGACGTAGTGTGATTTCCTCTCGGCCCCCATGAGAATTCGGTCTGAAATACATATCAGTGCTTGACCCTCATGCAATCTAGAGACGCACCCTTGGCCCACTCGAAGTGAGACAATTGGACCTTGGTGGCACCATCACGAGAGGCCTTCACAGCCGCTTGGTTGACCAAATTTTGCAAGTCTGCCCCGCTCATACCCGGACAGCCTCGAGCAATGACGCTAGGGTCGACGTCCACGTCAGACTGGACACCGGTCATGTGATGCTTGAGGATTTCGATACGTCCGCGAACATCGGGGAGACCAACGACGACTATTGACAGTTAATCAAGGTTTTCACTGTGACAATCAGTGGCTCACCATGTCTGTCAAAACGTCCAGGACGAGTCAAGGCCTTGTCGAGAGACTCGGGGAAATTGGTTGCGGCGATAACGACAACGTTCTCAGACTGTTCGAAACCATCAAGCTCAACCAAAAGCTGGTTGAGGGTTTGCTTCATGTAGTGTTGGTCCTTGGCACTTCGTTTGGATCCGATGGCATCCAGTTCATCAATGAAAATGATGGCCGGGGACTTTTTCCTGGCAGCGGCAAACAGCTCGCGCACTCGCTTTGCTGAACTTTTGTTTAATGATGGTCTACTCGGACAATAAGTGCGTACCTCCGACACCGACAAACATTTCGTCAAAGCTTGAACCAGAAGCAAACAAGAAAGGAACTTCGGCTTCACCAGCGACAGCACGAGCCAACATGGTTTTACCTGCAAGGAAAATCAGATATTGGTCAGTTGTGAGCGAGTGACTTGCCTGTTCCGGGAGGTCCTGTAAGAAGTACGCCCTTTGAAAGTCGGCCACCGAGTTTGTCGTAACGTTCGGGGTCCCGAAGAAAGTCGACGATCTCGGAGAGTTCGATCTTGGCCTCCTCGACGCCGTGGACATCGCTAAACTTGACGATTTTGCCCTCTTCAGGTTCAAACTCTACCGGGCCGGGACCAGCCTTCAATAAACCAGTGTTTTCCATCACCATAGACATTACAGTGAGGATAATGAATCCCCAAAGAAGGAAGCCACCGACCCACCGCAAAGCACGCCAGGCGTTCATCTGTGGTGTAGGCGGCGCCATCTGAACGTATATGGGATTGAGAGGTGTACCTGTACCAGATGAGGAAGGCGAAGAGGTATTTGAAGTAGATGGCGAGTGGCCGAGGAGTGAAGAAGTCAAGGAAGAGGCCGTCGACTGGACAGACGAAGGGGACGGTTGAGATGTCGAAGGTGGTGAAGCCGTAGCAGGTGACGTCGATGAAGAAAGAGGCGAGACTGGAGAAGGAGAAAACTTAGATGTCGGGGCAGATTTGGCGCCGATAGTGGCAAGTAAACGATCTCTTCGACGAACCTTCGAAACCACCTCCGCCATACGGCTCGATCGAGCCAGCGCCTCCATGTATATTCCCCACGCCTCCTCGCTTCTAAGAAGAGCATGGCTAGCAGAGCCATCTTCTGCCAGCGCCACCGCATCGTAGTAAGACGCAAGTCCAACGTACTCCCCACCCTCTAGCAGGGCGCGCACCAGAGCCAACTGAGCATCGGCATTCTCCTTGTTGGATTGAGCGGCGATCTCAAGCTCGGCAATCTGAGATTGGAATGCGGAGATGGGATGATCAGTCTCATTCGCAATGACCTCGGGGGAGACCGATGAGGGCTCGTTGCTCTTCTTTGATCCAAAGATGGCGAACGGGGTGGGCGAAAAGTGGAGGCTTCTTGAGGGAAGCTTGAGGGCCGAAGGTGGAGGGTGAGGAATGCACCTCGGTACGAGTAGCCCCTGTGAGAACAGGACTCTTGCCTGTAGAGGTCTGAGGGCCATGAGCAAGAGTAAGCAATGTAAACGTGAGAGAAAGAACGTAAAAAGTCAGAAGTGATGCATGATCTCGTGACGTGGGCGTGTGCAAAAATGCGGGCATGTCCGCGCAAGATTTCGGCGAGACTATTTCTGAAGGCCTGCTGCATGTTGTTGTTTCGCACGTATCTTCACCATGAGACTGGACGCCACCGATCTCCGCTACATCAGTGCCGATGAGTTCCGTGTACTCACCGCAGTCGAAATGGGCTCCAAGAATCACGAGGTGGTCCCTTCAAAGCTCGTCGCAGAGCTCTCCCAGATCAGGGGCGGCAATGTCAAAAAGTCTCTTGGCGAACTTGCAAAGCGCAATTTGGTCGCCCGCGTCCAAAATGTCCACTGTGGGTCGAACCATCCCCTGTGAAAACTGCTGACGTTTTTGTAGACGACGGTTATAGACTCACTTATGGTGGACTCGACTATCTCTCTCTCAGGACCTTTTCTCGAAGAAAGCTCCCGAGTGTCCACTCTGTGGGTTCCAAGATTGGTGTCGGCAAAGAGAGCGACATTTACGTCGTGGCGTCTGAGGAAGGCGAGAAGCGAGTATTGAAATTGCACCGACTCGGAAGAATCAGTTTCCGAGCCATCAAAAGCAAGCGAGACTACTTGGGGAAGAGGAAGAGCGCATCTTGGATGTACATGAGCCGCCTGTCTGCTCAGAAGGAGTTTGCGTTCATGAAGGCGCTTTACGATCACGGCTTTCCAGTCCCTACACCCATAGACCAAGCGAGACATTGTGTTGTCATGTCGCTCATTGATGGCTACCCTTTGTGAGCACCGATGTTGCATCATGTGCATCAAGCTGACATATATCAGGCGCTCAATAGAGCAAGTTGACGATCCTGCCGAACTCTTTTCCAAACTCATGGAACTCATCATGCGTCTTGCCCAAGCAGGTCTCATCCACGGCGATTTCAACGAATTCAACATTATGCTCTTGCGAAAGACTGGCGAGCCTATCGTCATTGATTTTCCCCAGATGGTCAGCACAAGGCACGAGAACGCTGAGTAGTGGGTATATCTGCCTTTGCAAAGTCCCGTCTGACACGTGTACAGCTTTTTCCAGCGAGACGTTAATTGCGTGCGACGTTTTTTCAAAAGACGTTTCCGATACGAAGCCTTGTCTTGGCCGACCTGGAAAGATGTACTTGAGACTGAAGAGGAAATCGAGCAGCCACAACCTGCCGCGGGCGAGGTCGAAGGTGACGCTGAAAGCCAGGCCGTGGAGTCGCAGCCAAAACGAGTCCGGATCGATCTGGAAGTTGAAGCGAGTGGCTTCGGGCGGGCCATGCAGCGTGAGCTTGAGGATGTAAGTGTCGCTCACAATTCAAATGTGCGTTTCAACTAACGATATATACGTAGTACATGATCGAAGTGCAGGACATACCTCTTAGTGATGAAGAAGACGAAGATGATGATAGCGAAGACGAGGACGAGGATGAAGGCGAGGACGAGGACGAGGAAGGCGAGAAAGCTGTCGATGAGGGTATGAAGGACGAGGAACCTCTTGACGAAGCCGCTATGGCCGCTCGTCTCGAAGCCCTGCGTTTACATCGCGCTCTCGGTAACGACTCTTCGGGTGAAGAGGCCACCGACTCCGACCACTCCCTGACCGACCCCTCATCTGAGTCCGACTCTGAAGACTCTGACGACTCGGTCGGCCCCGCCCGAACGGACTACACCTCTTACACACCTTCCGCTCGCAACACGCGGCGCCACCATGAGCGAATTTCAGCCAGTAAACTTGGCGACAGGCAGGCTGGGAAAGATGCGGTGGCTCAGCAGGTAGAAAGGGAGAGAAAGCTGGTGGAGAGGAGGTCTCAGAAGAGCGGGGCGAAGGTGGGCAACATGAAGGGGCACAAGTGGAAGTCGAATGCCAAGTATCTCGTAGGCAAGGACAGTGGATGGTAGTCGTTGATGAGTTTGACTTTTCTCTGGGTCTTTTCTTGTACATTTGTATTATGAATATGTGTCACTGCCTTGATTCTAGAGAACACCGCGAAGCGTAGAGTATGTTGTACAAGCAGCGGTTCATTACAATATCGGCTACACAAACATGTGTCGAGTAGTGTTCTCGTACATATTGTACAAGTGCTCGAGATGTACGACTACGAGCATGCGCAACAACTTCCGAAGTGGTTATTGTGGAGTACTCGAGTACATACGTAGTCAAAAGTTTGTAACACTGTGGGAACAAATGATGTCATCTGGACATTACATAGGTAATAACGAATGATGTCATCTGGACATTAGGTATATAATCAAAGGTCCCTCTACAACATATCACTCTATAATTATATTTATCGCACCAACAACCACATCGCCAACACCATGTCCAAGACCGGAGCCATTCTCTTCGTGTTCACTTCCGCCGACAAGCTTCTGAACGGAGCCGCCACTGGATGGTATCTCCCCGAAGCCGCTCATCCTTACTACGCTCTCGCCCCTCACTTCCGCATCGACTCTGTGTCTCCGAACGGCGGCGAAGCGCCCATCGACGGTAACTCTGTCAAGATGTTCACGGACGAGGAGTCTCAGAAATTCTTGAACGACTCCAAGGCGCAAGAGCTGTACAAGAAGACTAAAAAGGTGGCGGACGTCAATGCGGCTGATTATGATGCTATATTTGTTATCGGAGGCGTGAGTCTCCAGAATAGTTGTTATGTCTACTTGACGTTAATATCACCATGCTTTGTATAGCATGGACCTCTGATTGACCTTGCTAAATCAACTGAATTCGCAAAGCTCGTTGAAAACTTCTACACTTCTGCGAAGGTTGGCATGGCTGATCGACCGGAAATTCATCTGCTGACTGCTTTGTTATATAGCCTGTGGCTGCTGTCTGCCACGGTCCCGGTGCTCTTGTCCTCGCCAAGAACCCCGCTACCTCAAAGTCAATCATCTCTGGCGTCAATGTTACCGGCTTCTCTAACGCCGAGGAGGCTCAGACTCCTTACAACGATTTTGTCAACATCCTCCCCTTTAGCTTGGAAGACAAGCTCCAGGAGCTGGGCGGCAAGTATTCCAAAGCAGAGCAGGACTGGGGAGTAAAGGTCATTTGGGACCAGGGTGTTTTGACTGGTGAGTGAATGCCGTCTTCTGCAGTTGCCACCGTGCTGATGTATTGATCGAAAGGTCAAAACCCTGCCTCCGCCGGTCCCCTTGGTGAGAAGCTTCGAGAAATTCTTTTGGCCTGAGTATAGTTTGTAGAAATAGCTCTGATGCAAAAGAAGCAGTACAAATTGATTACGCGGGTTGTTGTCGTACTTACCATCCGGTGACCACAACAGAATACATACATACCTTGCAGCAGACCACCGTAGCATGGCAGAATTTGGGTATTATACTCGCCCACAGGTGGTCCACAAGAAGGGCGCCCCGACCCTAGTCGACCTTTTTCCGACGAAGTTTCAAGTCCCGGTCATCAACAGGTCATCAAGTTCACATGTGACGTAGACCTCGCGCCTTTGCGGATTTGCCGCAGAAAGGCGCGCGATGACTTTCCACCTCTTTCTTGCAACTTTCTTTCCACCATCATATTCGCTGCCATCCACTTTCCTCCAATTCATCGCCAACGCCCCTAACACACACACCGAGGATCACAGTCTACCATGGACGCCGAACTGCAAACGTATAAAGACCAGCTCGCCTACGTCAACCTCTCCCTTGAATCCGACGCGACCAACGATGACCTTCTCAAGCTCAAGACGGAACTCGTCGAGCTCATAGACCTGACTGAGCAGGCAATGGGGCACTCTGCGGGGGGGTCCAAGGGTGGGGATACTTCAGGCAAGGGGAAGGCGGCTTCCAAGGGAAAGGAAAAAGAGGTGACAAATTGGCAGGACCAGGGTCAGTATAAAGCCGGCATGGACTGCATGGCTAAATACAAGGATGGGAAATGGTCAGTCTCACCAACCGCTTTCATCTTGGATTCACTGACACTGTACCCAGGTATCCAGCACGTATCAATGCTGTCGTAGGCTCCCAGGAATCTCCCCTGTACACGATCACATTTAAAGGATACACATCTTCCACCAACGTCCCTCTCTCCTCATTGCGCCCTCACGATCCCAACGCGCCCATCCCGCAACCACAGAAGCGCAAAAACGAAGAGTTGACGGAAAAGGAGAAAGAAAAGAAGAAGAAGAAGGGCGATAAATGGATGGAGACCCAAAAGCAACGGGCCGACGAGGTCAAGGAGAAGAAGAATGCTTGGGAGAAGTTTGGCAAGAAGGCCACCAAGAAGGGAATCCATATCAGCGGGTGGGTTTGTTCTGTGGAATATATATTTCAAGCTACTGACAGCTGTGAAGGCTGGAAGGCAAGTCAGTGTTCCGTACTCCCGATAATCCATATGGTAAGTCCTCGGGTTATGCATAGTTTCTCATGCTAACATTGCTTCACAGGTCGAGGTATGTTATATCGAAGCTAGCAATGGAGGCCAATACTAAATTTTCTCAGTTGGTGTCGTCAACTCCGGCCGAGGTGTGACCAACTACGAACGTATGGGCAAGCACAAGTTTGATGAAGAGCGAGACGACTAAGTCCACTATTTCCGAGACATCTTCGTTTTTTGGCCTTCCACACGAAAGTTGCTGAGTGACCATCATTATGCTTATCTAGAAATTGCATTGCTGCCAATCATCTGGCCAGTGTGACAAGTGGTATGTAACAACATATGGACAACACTGGCTTACAATCGCGTACTTGTTGAATGCCGAATTTGAGAGTCTTGACAATCACCTTTATGTGGCAGTTCTGGGTGGAACAATGCGCGATTGTCCGTACGATTCCACAATGGCAGTCACAATACAGTGACATAGGAATGCCACGACAACGTGCCTTCTTGCGTTCAACTGCTTGAGAGACAGGCGGTAACGCTTCAAGCTTCGTAATCAAGCTTCGTAAACTTTCCTTCCGTCTCCCATGATCCAATACCTGCGGTCATGGATGGATGCCACTTGGACTAAATCCAAAATGCCCAAAGCAGAAAGCCTCCGATACACACCCTTACGTCTTATCAGCACTACTGGTCGGCTCTTTTCATTGGAACTCACAAATACCCCAGCACTGCAAGCTTCAGATCCAGCGATCTGGCTTGCGCTACTCCCCATACCGCACAATTCAGACTCAGCAGTGCACCCACAACAAGCGTCATCAAAGACATGAGTATCCGCATGTAGATATTCGGTTTCCGAATAGCAGTCTCGAATGCCCGACTCTTGAGGGTATCAGAACTTCGCCTGCGCGTGCTTTGCATGGCGAGAATCATCAATGCGGCAAGGAGGGCTGTGGCGATGGCTCCAATAATTACGTGGGCTAGCAGGAGCGGCGGTAGACCTTCCACGGGAGCTGGCCAGGGGGTGTCGTACAGATACTTTTGGTGCCTGGTGCAGAGCACATTAGGGGCGTTCAGGCTACAAATTCGTTTTCCAGGACTTACTGCACGGCATTACCCCCTACGCTGTATCCTCGCGCCCCAATCTCCCAAACACCACTCTCATCTTCATACTTCCATACTGGGAGGCTGTCGGCCCCGGCTGCAAAGAGCAGGGCACATATGAAAGAAGGGACGAGGATCAGGAGGATAGCTTGTGCGCGAGAGCCGCCGAAGGAACAGAGGAAAGGGTTCAAGGGGCTGAACGGATTGCGGTGGGAGCGTGGCTTCTGGCGACGGGAACTGGACCGTTGTTTGCTCATAACTTCAATTTTTTATGATGCAGTAGCAGCGCCCATACAGTATGATAGATACATTGTCTCGGCTCGACCACCCAGGGACAACGGACAGTCTTGGTCAAGCAATAAAGGATCAGTCTGCATATGCCCAGTCTATCCAATTTCGGCAGAGAATAGGCATAAAGATACATGTACACATGCATATGGATGATTGTTTGATAAGAGCAAGATATTTGCAAGAACGCTCTTAGCCAACACACCCCAACTACCTTCTTCCGCCTACATCGTTCACTCCGACTTTACGCACTCTGCGAGATAAGCATCAAGCATCTTCCCTCGCTTTTCTATATGGCCCCTCATCCATATTCACACTCCCTCGAGATGTCACCACTCAGACCGAAAACTTGTTCTTGTTCTGCTTCTTGTCCGAATCTCTGTGCGCATCAAACGTGACCTCTGTCTGGTAGCCTGCCCCAACAAGTGTCGAATCGAGATCATGGCCAAGTACACTTGACTTGAAGTGTTGCCCAATGCTGAGGAGACGGGCTTTGATGGTCTCGGTGTCGGGAGAAGATGCGTCGGCGGCTTCCCGTGTCCAGATAGAGATACGGAAGCTGTAGCAGACTTGTGAGCTTCCCCCTACCTCGGCGACACATATTGAGCTTACAACGCGGGTCGAGGGGAGACAATGACACCAGTCACAAGATCAGATTGGGTAGGAGAGGGAGCAACTTCCGCCTTGCCAGAGGGGGTCTCGAATGTCTCACCAATGGCGGCGAGCATCTTTTGTACACACATCAGCATTGAGCAGTTTATCTTTGAAGACGTATGCCTCACAGTATAGAGCCAGATCTTGTCAATCGTGCTTTTACTATCCGGGTTCTTGGGGATTTGAATAGCCCACTTGCCGCCGTTCTTGTTTTGGGGGTCTTCCCATGCAGGGACGATACCGTTCTGAGAACTTATCAGTGGAGCTAGGATATGGTAGATGTAGATTACCTTGAAGAGGTAATAGTTGGCCTTTCCGGGGAGCTGAGAGGGAGGGACAATGTTGTTGTATAGCCCCCAGAATTCCTCAACACTGTCAAACGAAACGACCTTTCGGATGTCGTCCATCCAGCTACCTGCTCCTTGAGGCAGAGTGGGGGTGGTTCCCGGAGTTTTGGGAAGGTTTTTGGATTGGGGAGAGTCAAAGTAGAGTGTCCAGTTGGAGAACAATGGATGCTGAAGCGTCCCAATGGTCAGCTCGGCTCCGCAAGAGCAGCAGAACAGCACTCGGCCTACCTTTACGTTGAACTTGCTGGCGTCGTCAAAGACAGTCTTGACCTTTCCATCATCTGCGGCGGCATTCTCTTCGATCTCCCCTTCTTCGAGGGGCTTCTCGGTGGCAGGCGGTGAGCTGGGGTTGTGGATGTTTTCCGCCTGGAGGGCGCTGTTGAGGGTGTTTGTGTTGGCGGCGGCTGCTGGCTGGGGTATGGCGGCGGACATGGCTGTGGTGGGGAAGAGCAATGTGGATGCAAAGAAGGACGCCTGCTGAATGCCTCAAAGGAAGAAATTGCCTTTGTCCATGAAATTGATTCCGCCGGCACGTGATGTGGTTACAAGCTATATCTTTCTCTGATCTTTCTGAATACAGGGTGGATACACCAGGGATACATAGCAGGCGCATACTGTCTCATACATCCAGCACTGCACAAGCCAACCCTCGACATGGACGTGGAAACCCCCACGAGACGCGCTCAGGATCCCAGCACCCCTACCCAGAAACGCGCATCCACCCCCGACACCGGCAGTGTCAGAAGCACCATCGAACAACGGCGCGCACGAAGAGAACAATTCCGCAACTTCTATGGCCTCAAAGGCGAAGGGCTCAAGGGCGGAGTGCCAAACGGGGACAGTCTAGACATCGGTCAGTGAGGTGTCACGCATAGGGGCGCCGCTGATAATATTGGCGGCAGATTCACCAGGATTCAAAGCTGGCGTATACTATGAAGACCTCGTCTTTCGGTCTGACCTGGGCACTCTTATGAAGGCTGCTTCGTCCCTGGCTGCAGGTAGGACTGTCTCTACACTGGGTCGTTAATGTGTGCTCATGTCTATAGATATCGGCGCTCTGCAGGGCTCGCGTCACTCTTTGGTCTACAACCACCATCATCAAGTTTGTCTTCTCTGCGATTGACATTCATGTACTGACTATCAGCAGCTCTTTGCTGCCGGCGACACCATATCAAACCTCAACGTCCGCACACCTCAGCTCCTCTCAGTCGTCACAAACCTCCAACAATCCTTCTCTTCAATATCACAACTAGCAGACTCTGTAGCCCTCCCACAGGAAATAGGCGGAGGGGTCAACAATGACGCCCGTCGGAAACGACAAGCAGAAAGGTGCATAAAAAGGCTACGTCTGATGTGTGAAGCGAAAGGTGAGACTGACCAGGCATGCCGTCTCCGAATGGTTCTGACACTGTCACAGCACCATCGCAGGATATTGCGGCATATCTGCAAAGCGTGGATGAATTACTAGGAGCGGCCGCAAAGGATGATGCCTCAATCGAGAGTGCTCTCAAGGAATTAAGAGGTTCGGTGCCAAGTGCCTGATATGCGTCGTGTCATAAGTAATTGTGAGTTGACGGTACGTATACCAGGCCGGCGCAGACTGACCATCGTGCAGATATATGTCCCAAGTCGACTGTACCATTCTTACGAGATTATTGACGAGATAAATGTAACAATCATGTAGAGTACATAAATATATTATACAATATTCCAAGCAGCATCACGCATCCCTATGATCCCTGCTAAAGTAGTCTTTGAGTCGCTTCAAAGCAATCTGACACAACACGTTAGTCTCGAGTTTACTGATCACGGAGCGGTGACGTACATCATAACTCTCCTTGTAACCCGCGAGGTCGTCCTCCTTAACTTTGACCTTCTTCACCTCCTTCAAATGCCCAGCATGCTGCAACATTCCCTTGAAATGAAGCGCTTCCTGTTTCTCAACCAGCGACCAGGCTGTGCCTTCCCTCCCGGCTCGAGCCGTACGTCCAACACGATGCACGTATTTTCTCATATCCAAAGGGATATCATACGAAACAACGTGGGATACGGTAGGTAAATCCATACCTCGTGCGATCAGATCCGAGCAGACAATCCTAAAAAGGGTATTTAGGTTCGAAGTCTAGAGCCCACAAGTCGACTCACAGATCAATCTTGCCCTCTGCAAATTCCGCCAACAGCTTCTTCTTCTCCTTCGTTTTCATACCACCAGTATACTCCCTGGCCACTACCCTATTGCCGCCACCACCTCCTAAGACATACGCATCCTCAAAGAACTCCAACAGCTTGACGAGCCTCGTCGCGCTCTCCACACTCTTGGCAAACACCAGCGCCTTGTCTACTCCGAAATCTGGGTTATGAATAAGATGAATGAGGTTGAGCGGCTTGAGCGCGGGCGGGAGGATGAGCATCTTCTCAGATAGCGAGGATGGCAGAGCGAAATGCTCGCCAATGTTGGTGGGTATGGAAGGAAGGGACGAGGATTGAACAATATAGTATTGAGGGCGTTGTAGGGCGAGGGCGGCGACTTTCGAAGGATCTCTGGTGAGAGTGGCCGAGAACAAAAGCTTCTGGCACTATCTCGCGATATGTTAGCATGCTTCCTAGACTGGTGAGGGACACACTTACGGTAGATGGTAGAGGGTCGCACCATTCACTACTTCTGTCTTCCAGATGAAAGCTCTCCATCCAAGCTGGCGAGATGGTGTCACAGACTTGTCTGGAAACGGTCTCATCTTCTGGCTGGGACGTGGGTCGCGTGTAGGCAAGTACCTGAGAGAGCCAATTTTGGAAGCTTTGGTTCAGCAGGCGATCCGCTTCGTCAATCACCATGAAGCGGAGGTGTTGGAGAGTGAAGTTGGGGGTTGAAGCGAGGTGGTCCATCAGTCTACCGGGGGTCGCAATGAGAATGTCAACTTTTGAAGAGCCACCTAGAAGTCTGCGATCGATATCAGTTTTGAGTAAGCAAGTCTAGAACGCTGCTCACTTGGTGTCTAGATCGGCTGTGAGCAGCTTGCGTTCCTGGACAAAAGAATGATGTCCTGTGACGACACCGATCTGAAAACGATCAGTCAACTTCCAAAAGTTTAAAAGAACACTCACCGACAATCCCGTCCCTTTGGCAAGAGCCTCCATAGTGTCCCGCACCTGCATGACTAAATCTCGAGTAGGCAAAACAATCAACGCTCTCAACTTGGTGACCGTCCGACGAGAGAGTATTTCAATGATAGGGACGGCGTAGGCCAAGGTTTTACCGGAGCCTGTCGGAGCCGATATGAGATAGTCGGAGAGAGACGAGTATGGCAGAGGGACCAGTCGCAGCGGTAGGAGCTTGGGGAGTATAGCAGCTTGGACTGCGACGTGGTGTCAACGATCATTCCACCATAGATAAGAACGCTTACCAGCAAAGAAGTCTTTCACGCCCGTTTCCTTCAGACGCTTCTTCATGTTCTCACTCAGCGCTTCCTGCTTGCCCTCCACTACTAGCTCTCCCACGCCGACAGATAGGGATTGCTCCACAAACGTGGCATCTTCCAAGCCTTTCGGCAAACCTTGGCGAGCCAAAATTTGGCTATCAGGAGCCGGGGCCGAACGAGGAAGAGGGAATGCTTCAAGAGGAGGAGATGCTGATTTTTTACGAGAGGGTGTTTCTTCGTCATCCTGAACCTCTGGTGGTACTCCGTCGACGTCTATAGCTTCGTCTGTTGATTCTTCACTGGAACCACTCGACGCCTCCCGGGCCGCCCTCGTAGCTTCTCTCTTTGCCCTTCTCTGCTCTTTTCTTTCGCGTTTCTCTCGTTTCTCCCGTTTCTCCTTCAGCCTTTGTTCTTTCTCATTCAAGACGACCTTTGATTCCTGCTCTTTCTGATCACCCTTCTCCTCCAGACTGGATCCATGGGGCGCCACGGCATCTGGCTTGCGAGGCCCGGTTGCTTGCTTGAGAGCTTCGAGGACAGGGTCTGGCTTCCACTCCTTGTTCTTGGGGGCAGCGGCTTTCTTTGCTTTTTCGAGCTTCTTTCTCTTCTCAGTCTTCTTCTTGTCTCTCTTCTTTTGCGATTCGGGCTGCCGGGATGGATGTCAGCATTGGCTGATCGACCAACAAGCGACTTACCTTTATTTTCTTCTTTGCCTCGGCAGCGGGAGCTTCAGGCGCCGCTCCGCTCACTTGTCCATATCTACGATCCGGATGAATATAGCTGGAAGTCCCTGGTTCTTCTCCAAGCGTGACGGGGGCCATGGACATGCTGCACTTGCAAGTTGCTGATCTTTGATACAGCCGCAAAATAATCTGCTGCAGATCCTGGACGGTGGAGGTGCGGTGACCGTGGGAATCCTGGACGCGTCGCGCTTTGCAGGTTGAACAGTGAACTGTATCTAATCAGACCATGCATCCGGCTTTTTCATATCAATTACAATCAATCTTTCAAGGCCATAACACTATCACACAATGCCGTGGCTCATGAAGGCCGAGCCCGACTCCAGAGTCGTAAAAGGCAAAGATGTCAAGGCAAGTCCATGTTGTCACACGCCATGGTAGCCTTTTGTCTGACTATATGTATCAGTTCTCAGTCGACGATTTCGAAGAGATAGGGTATGCATGTGTTATGGTAACTCGAATTGCGGTACCAGCTAATGCTTTCCTTGATGAATAGCGTGTCCCCTTGGGACGGTGTGTCGCTTTTGCTTTTGTTGGTTGATGAGCTGCTAATACTTTGGTACAGGTGTCCGCAATCATGAAGCAAAGAAGATAATGAAAGATATGATGAAGAAAGGGGACAAGGTAAGCTGTTTCTTGCTTGTAGGTACAGGCGTATCGATCAACGATCTGATCGATAGTAGGTCCTGTTTTATCACAGCAACTGTAAGACCCCAGGGGTGTTTGCTTTGGCCGAGGTCGTTAGAGAAGGATTTCCAGACTGTGAGCTTACTATCTTTGAGAGCCATCCGAGTCTCATTCTGACAGATCCGTTTAGATACTGCTTGGGATCCGTAGGTGCTATCGCGATAGGCTGTTTGTTGCGGCTGACCTCCACAGAACACATCCTTACTACGACGCAAGGTCCTCACAAGAGTCTCCGACGTGGTATATGGTCAGTCTGTTTACCCTTCTCGTATGTCCTGATGCTGACGCACGCCAATAACAGGTCGAGGTCAAATTCCAGAGTCGGTTAGCCCACCCTCCGACTCTTGCCTTGATAAAAAACATTGCGACACAATCAGATCTTCCAAGCGAAATTGCCTATGTCGGTCAAGAAGGTTTGGAGGCTATCAAGGCTATGGCGCTTGTCAACAGAGGACGACTCAGTAAGCTACCTGCATCTTCCCAAGCCGCTGTCTTACGCATTTACTAGGTGTCCAACCTGTTACAGAGACTGCCTATGAGGCGATTGTCAAACTGGGCAGCCAGGGGGGGTGGGAAAGCCTGTCGGGAAAAGCTGCGGGAAGCAAGAGTTCCAAGAAGGCAGAGACGACAAAAGCTGCGCCACCGTCTCAGAAGCACGTAAAGGAGGTGACAACAAAGTCACCAGCTGCGCCGAAAAGGTCCCCCTTGAAACAAGAAGATGGCGATCGCAGGCGCAGCAAGCGTACAAAGAAGTCGTCAAAATAGTCTGCGTCAACTTGTGGCATGCACAGGTGCGATGCTCACGTATGCAGTGACAAGGGTCGTGCGGTGTGCACTTTGGCCGGATGCGGAGGCCCGAAAGGCACGGCATGTTGGTTGACAAGCAGTGACCATCAACATGCAGATTGTATGTCCCTTGCGCAATTCCTTTCGCTCTTTTTGTTCTCTGTTGCTTCTCTTCATCAATATATCAGCATCATGAGGCTCGACCTTGTGAATCACATGGCCCTCTCATCCTTGTATATCGCCGGCGCCTTTGCTCTCACCAACCCAGCCCCTACCGTCCCTCCCGTCGACAGACGCTCGCATACAGTCGCCTTCCCCTCCTATACCCACCCTTCATCACATACCGAACATGCGCGGGAGGACACGGAGACCCAGACATTAGCCGCTACGGCGACGACACTCGGCTCAGAAGACACGACGGCCTCGGGTTCGGCCACGACCACTCAGTCTTATAATCTGGTCACTGTCAGTACACCGATAGCTCTCGCTGCGACAATGGGGCTCATTATGCCTAATCCTTGGCGGACGTTATATACAGGTGATATGTGCGTTAAAGTGCTGTCACAAGCTGATTGACGTATTGCAGATCTCGAGTATAGCTTTGGCTTCATCGACGCCGTATCTCAACCCGCACCCACCTATGGAGGATGGATTCGGCAAGTCACGCCTCTGATGATACTATCCAACCACACGGTTGACGTCTTCACTTCGAGTGGGACTGACGATCCCACGAGTGTGGACGCTATTCCAATAGGGAGCGACGGGCTCTGCGGGTGAGTCTGGGCATAACCATGTGGCATATCGCAGCTAAATCGCCTCAGAGCTACCGTTGAAAAGTCGGCGGTGGCATACAGCTTCAAGTTTGAAGAACCGGGGTGGTACATGTTTGTTGTCAATCAGACTTACATGCAGGCCAACGTAGTGCGTATATTGTCGGCTCCCAAATCACTTTAGCTGGCCCTGTTCAGACCAGCAACAACCAATGCACCCATCCTATCCTGCAACAGGATTCATTCTTTGCGACTCAGACCTTCTCCATCTCCCCTCGCCCAACCTGGTCTCAAGGTCCCCTTGCACCTACCAGCGCGTACGCCGTCTGGGCAGCTGTGACCACGTCTACCCCTGGCGATCTCCCATACGATGAGCAACCAATGTCAAAGAGTCAAAAGCTAGGGGTGGCATTAGGGGCGGCTGGAGGAGTCTTGGGGGTAGCGTTCATCGTTGCGGTGCTTTGGTGGGTCAGGAATAAGAGAAAAATGGAGTCAGAGGTCAGTCCTGACTGCCAGAGGCTGAATTCTTCCTGCTGATGGTATCTAGACGCTCGCTTTCTCACGCCTCACTCCTCAGGCCCAGGAAGAGTTCCTGCGTGATAACCCCAAGTCATTCCTCAATCCAAATCACCCTCGCTATGCGCGCAATGACGCATATGGCGGTGCTCCTGCGCCGCCCGGTACAATGGCCCACGGACTGTGGTATAGCCAGCAACTTTGGAACCACCAGGTCATGCAGCGACCACAAGCGCCATGGGGTGCTGGTTTCAGCTGGGGGAGCTCCCAGCCGATGACAAGTACGGGAATGATGCCAAGCCAACAAGCATATGGACAGCATCAACTACAGCATCAACTACAGCAGCCATTAATGTATAATAGTAGACCCATATGATGCATTCGCATTTCTCCACAACGCCAGAAATTTGATGGTTTGCTCTCACATCCTAGAGTTTGGTCGTACTGCCAAGAAAAAGGGAAGACAAAAAGCAAAAAGTAGTCCGGACGCCCTCGAAAGGACTTCCAGACCGAGCCAGATATTGAGTCGTTGAACCACCCGAAGGTAGCACAAGGCAAGGTCTTCCCCCTATGGACCATGTGTCGCCGTGCTATGGGCGAAGACCTAACCTTCCCGGCCACTAAGTGAAGGCAGCTAATCGAGAGGCGACAAGGTAAGTATGAAGGCCGTGGCAGCTTCTGCGACCCGCGTTTCCACTTCCGCGGATGGAAATTACCCCCGTTATTACTCGCGTGGCCTTCACGCCCCGAACCAAACAGTCCCTTATATTAGCATCCTCGCTCTTGTCACGTCTTGTGGCTGCACTATCGCTGTCTCCTTCTTCCCTGCCTCTGCCGCCCATCTCCCAGCAGAATGGCATCCCAGCACAGGATGTCAGTGCCATATCCACTGCTCTCATCCAACCTCAACATGCTCAGTGTGACTCTTCGACGTTGGTCAAAGGACCCTCGTACGCCATTGCTGGACTCACATTCTCACCCCCCATCTGATGTGCTATAACTGGCCCGATCTCCTTGAGTCACTTGCGTATCCCGTGCGAGTGCACCCAGGCGCTGCGATGTATAAAGGGCAACCCCTCTGCTGTCCGATCTCTCATCCCCCACTGTCCGTCGTCTGCCCAATTGCTCCTCTGCAGCACCACTTGCCTCTCGTCCGACACCTCCCAGCCACATCCCGTCATGCGTGCTAGTTTCTTGGTCGCCTTTCTTGCGCTCGTCGCCACTGGTACGTCTGCTCACGATTTTCTGCCCCGCCAGTTGGCTAATTTTCACACAGGCGCCTACTCTGTTCCTCGACCCCAGCTGCAGCCAATCAACGAAACCATCAAGGCTACAGAGTGTGCCTGCGCCCATCCCAACCAAGCGGTCATATCGGTTGGTACTGCAGATTCTCCCGCCGATTCCGTTCCCACCGGTATCCCCATCTCCGAGGTCGACTGTCCCTGCGCGTATGACACTACCAGCCAAGTCATCGATGCTAGCGACTACTCTGCTGAGCCTGCAGTCCGCGCCCTCGACCCATCTCTCGCCGAGTCTGCTCTGTCTGACCAGCTCACCAGTGGCAAGTCTACCGACGGCACCAGTGCTTCAGACGCTGCTGCGCCAGGTGCTGGACAGAGCGCGGATGTGGAATCCTTGAAGAAGGCGGGTCTCGCTCTCCTGGCCTCCAAGTACGGAAGCATGCTGCCATCCGCCACTCCTACAGCTGCTGCTGCCAATCTTGGGCGGGGCGGCGCTTTGCCTAGTGGGCAGAACATCGACATGGAAGCTTTGAAGAAAGCTGGACTTGCCCTTCTCGCATCCAAGTATGGTAGCATGCTGCCATCCGCCGCCCTTCCTTCCGCTCGAAACGTCCCTAGTGCCGCTACTTCCTTCGCCCAAGACTTTGTTGACAAGTACAACGAGATTTCTGCCGGTGCAGTCGACGTCTGGCGTTCAGAGAACTCTCGCGGGTATGTCTCGGAGCTTGCCGACGACATCCTCAACAAGACTGCGGTCACTGGCAAACATGTCTTGGAAGGCGCATCTCATGTCCTGAACAAGACTGCCTCTCTCACCGAGAACACCGTCGATAAAGCACTGTCTCTTCCCAGCGAGGAGCTCAAGCTTCTTGGCGCCCCTTCTGTTGCCTATCCGGCTACTCCTCTCCAAGGCACAGAGACTGATCAGCTTGATTCCCGATTCGTGGATGAGATCCTCAATGAGGCGGCCTCTTTTACTGGTGAGGTGGTTGACAAGGCGGCTTCTTTTCCTGCCGAGGAGCTCAAGCTCTTGAAGACTTCCGAAAGAGGTTTGGGTGTCATCGTGAACGTGTCTGCAGAGCTGAGGGACAGTGACGGGGAAGCTGGAGACGCCGACGACGAGGAGCAGAGTGACGACGATACTTTCAACGCGGTCGGCCAGAAGTTTCCTATCTACCCTCCCCCTGGGTCTTGGAACTAGGTGCATAGGCCGCTGATTTTCCATACTTTATTTGTCGAGAGGCGTTGCTGTCTTTGAAGGAGATGGTCGTTGGCGAGGGCGTACGAGTGATGACGACATTATTTTGAGGAGATGATATAAAGCATGAGTTGCCTGCAGCACTTGATTGCCTTTTCCTGTGCCTGTGTTATCAAAGTGCAATCCTTCAAGAGTCTGCTCATTCGAGTTGCAATGGTAATTCGGCATGCATGGTCGCGACGATGGGCCGACACGTGCACGCGGACGAGGGGCTTGTGTCGAGCCAGGTGCACGGCGGCGCGGCGGCGCACGCAGCAGCAGCAGAACGCAGGTTGATTTTCCGCGTTACGTAATGGTCATCCTCAGCAGCAGCAGAAGAAGAAGAAGAACGAACGCAGTAAAGTGTTGACAGTTTTGAACTACTTACGAAACCAATATACAATCCGCCTCCCACAACCTGCTCTGAAGCGCACATAGCAGCAATATGGTCAGAGAAGTTGAACCGCCGACAGTCCAGCAGGATTTTCTCCTTGCCGCTTTAGCCGAAGGGAAAAGGCTCGACGGCAGGCTACCCCTCGAAATGAGAAAGGTGCAATATGTCTTTGGAGAGGAATTAGGTTGTGTGGAATGTAGGATGGGAAAGACGGCGTGTGTCCATCTCTGATTCTCTTCTCGGTCACTGGGCTTACAACGAGATGCAGGGTCCTGGCCCAAGTATCGGCGTCAATTGTCAAACCTCGCGAAGATCGGCCGTATGAGGGTTTCCTCCTCATCAACTCTGAGATTGGGCCTATGGCGAGCAGTGTTTATGAGCTTGGACGGTGAGTCGTTGTCTCGTACTTTGGTACAGGAGGCTGATCCTCGATACAGGCCAAGTGACGACGAAGTGTTGATAGGCAGATTATTGGAGAAGAGCATCAGGCGTACTGAGGCTGTGGATCGGGAGGCCCTGTGTATCATTGCTGGAGAGAAGGTTGGCTTGTTGAGAAGCTCGACGGAATATGAGCTCATGTTCTTCTTAGGTCTGGCAACTCCGCTTGACACTACATTTCTTGTCAGACTCGGGAAACCTCCTTGACTGCGCTGCTCTGGCGGGTATGACAGCTCTGAGACATTTCAAACGGCCGGATGTGGAAGTAATAGGAGATGAGATCATAATAGTGAGTGGCAATAGCTGTTTTGCACGGAAATTGCTGACGATGGCGAAGCATTCGCCTGACGAACGCGCACCTGTTGGGTTGGCCATCCATCACACTCCTCTCTGTCTGACCTTTGCCTACTTTGAAAAGTGAGGTACCTTACTTTTCGAGGCTCTGATGATTAACATACTTTCAGCCTTCCCCCCATCCTAGACCCTTCCCACCTCGAAGAAGTTTTGTGTTCTGGCACCCTCACCCTTACTCTCAACGCGCAACGAGAGATCTGTGTTCTGTCAAAGGCTGGAGGGACTCCACTTGCAGCAGATGAGATTATGGGTGTTGTCAAGATTGGCGTGGAGAAGGTGAGGGAGCTGGTGAGCAATATGGAGGAGGCCTTGGAGCTGGACAGGTCAACTAGGGTCACGGAAATACAGTAACAGTCGGAGATGGCGAGCAGCATATGCAACGTACTACATGTAAAGTGATATAGCCAGCATGGCAACGTAGTCTTTTTCATGTATCTGAGGGAGCCGCCGTACGCTCTTGAGGATCTGCTTTGTTGCGATGTGGACACTGGCGGGCCACTGGCCCACTGCTGATTGTTGACAAAAAGCCCCGCGCCGAATGATCCCAGCTTTAGCGCAAAAGGGAAGAAGAGGCCATTTATTATCGTTCACTTTCAATCTTCTTGACGCATCATCTCAGCCAAAGTCCTGCGCCGCCCGCCTGCCGCCAGCCCGCTCCAGAGAGCCCCCTACAGTGCATACACCTCGCCACAGCACTCGCGTGTTCCCAGCACAGCCACGTTGCACCGCCGGTACCCTCGCGACCTTGCAGCGTAGAGGATGGACCGTCTCTTCAGGTGCGTCTCTCGTCTCTGCGCGGAACCATACACTGACCGAGCACTCGTTCGATACAGAAAGAAGACGTCTGAGAAGCGGCCCAAATCCAAGAAGGGAAAGAGCGAAGCTCCCTCAAAGCTCGGAAATGCAGGCATTCCAGATGACAACTCAAGGGTGGCCGAGCCTGCCCCAAGTCTCGATTTGGATTTCAGAAGCAGCCTGATGCTCCCTTCGTAGGTTCTGTCTGGCGTATCTGGCATTCACTAACTCGTAGTATTCAGCCTCTCCCAGCGATTCTCTGTCCTCATGCCTTCCCTGTCGACTGCCCCGGAGGAGTCACTTCGGGCTCTGCTCGCCTCTCAGCGTGCTCGCTCAAATGGCCCTGCTTTGACTATGGAAGAGGAAGAGATGCTCATTGCCGAGCTGAGAGGTGATGAAGAGGGTGTGGACGAGCGAGAAAAGAAGTCGCCGGGACTGGGCTCTCCAGGCCAAATCTCTCTATTCAACCATTCATCCACTTTCCTTACATCCTCCGTCTCGAGCCCTTCGCTGTTGACGAGCTCTGATGACGGGGGCAGTTCTTCACCACTTCACTCGGCCACCAACTTCACTGGCTCTCCGCCTCCTACATCGACATCCTTTTCTTCGTTCAAAACGTTCGGAGTCGGCTCGAGCCCTGAGCAGCCGTCAGAATCCTTCAGCAAAGCCAAAGGCATGTCTTACGGAATAAGTGGAGGAATAAATCTCAGAGACGGGGAATATATGCGACGGGCGAAGAAGCACGCCAGCTCCAAGGACTTGAAAGCCAGTCCCTCTGCGAAGAGTGAGAAAACGGCAAGGGAGGAGAACGGGGTGCCGTCCATGATATCCTCCGAGAAGGCAAATGCCTATTACAAGGGCTACCACACTCGTATTTCCCACAGTCCCACGAGGTCGGAAGTGACAGCAACCCCTACATCTTCCGGTCCATATGGGGGTCCCCAATCTCGTCCTCTTCCGACGGTCGTCACCCAACAGCCAGAACCGAATTCTCCAGATTCGCCCTCCTTCCCTCAAAGAAAACAGCGCAAATCTTTGCTGTCCAATCTTTCAGCTGCACAAGCCAAACGTATCTCTATGGCGCTCGAGGAAATAGGGGGTGAACTTCAAAGAGGGAGTAGTCTTGTGAGGAAGGACACTCTGCGTAAAGCGGTAGTTGAGGAGGAGTCGAGGGCAGATAATGAGGAAGTACTTGCGAGTGAAGATAGCCAAGGGGCACTCGCGACACTCAGCGAGCTGGAAATTGATCCCTCGCGACGACCCGATGTGCTCTCAGAAGGAGAAACTTCCCATTCAGCAACGTCTTCAGTCTTTCCATTCAAAACGTCGCCTACGAATAGCACCTTCACAGGAAGCACAATTGCTGGTACCACCGAACCTGGATCTCCTTCGCGCCTTCCTCCATCTCCGCGCTCTCATAACCTCCGAGCAGTCATTGATGATGATGTCCCTCCAGTGCCAAAGCCGATAAACACCCCCACCCGCACCACCCCTGTCAGGCACCAATATAGCTTGTCCAACGCCTCTTCGTCATCTACGCCTACCCAGGTCCCTCCGAACCCAGCCTATGTGCCAGGTCAGCCGAGACCAATACGGTCACACCATCACTCTGTCAGCTCGACATCGTCTAGCAGAGCTGGCACTCCTAGTGGACCGTCACCACTTGATGCTCTGAAAAACTCATCTCGCTCGGGCACGCCCCGAAGCCAATCTCCACTCGACGCTTTGCGTGCATCCACATCCACGACGTTTTCGGATGTAACAAGTGTTACACCATCACCTTTACAGAATTACGCCCTGGACTCGGCAAGAACTGGATCTCTGATGAGATCCAGGAGCCTGCAAACTTCAAACCCATCTCGTCCCGTGGGGCTCGATCTCGTCCGACGTCGTGCAGGCACAGTCGTGCTGGGCGAGACTGTAACGCCTCCTCGCCGGCTGACTTCTCCTCATGGAGCTCGACGTGGCTCTGAAAATGAAGACATTGCCGAGGAAGATGAAGACGTAGTCGAACATGAGGATGAGGAATCGACTCCCGAGCTGCGACAGGTATCCAGCCGCCACAGCGTAGTAGTCTCCGGCTACGACCACGACACCGCTACCACCGTCGTGTCACGGGCTCTTGTCAACGAACACTTACCTATACCGGGTGATCATATTGAGAGGACGGTGTCGGCCCAAGGAACCATAAAGACGCAGGAAGACACGCCCAATCTGTCTCCGCGTGCTTCCTCGGACACACTAGACTCTGATTATGCTCCAGAGTCTGATGACACGCAATGGATCGATGTACTTGGCAGTCGCAGCCGAGAATCACTAGTCATTGAAAATATGGAATACGCGCAGGATGACCCTGAGGGTATGTTGCGAAAGATGAGTGGGCTGGGAGCGGAAGAGTTGGCGATCCTTCAAGGGAAGCTAGTCGCCAAAGCCAAATCAGAGAGGGAAGCTATGGGTCTTGGGGACAGTCCAATGATTCCTGTGAGTTTGTCCTGTCCATGTAGTTGTTCCGCCTGACATATTATCCTGTAGGCCACTCCGAATATGCCAGTATCGGTTCAATCTGCCGTCCAGCGGTCGATGTCCCCTGCAGTGATGACACCGCCTACATTTTCTTCAATCTCGACTTCGGGGAGCAGGGCTGCTTCGCCCCATGGGACAGCTGGCTTCTCTACCCCCCCGCCGCACAGTGCCGATCATATACTGGTCAAGCAGCCCCTACCTGCAGTGCCCAGTCGTCCGCCGCCTCCGGCTCCCGCATCCATTGCTTCCTCTCGTCCGCTTTCGCTCGAGACCAAAGATGCCCTGGTTACTAGCCCGGCAGCTCCTGAATTGACCAACAACGACTTGGAAACGGAGAAAGAAAGGGATTTCCGCACTCGCATTGCAGTTGCTACTGCTTCTCTGAACCGCAACCCCCCGGAACAAGGAGGAAGTCTTGGGCGTAAAAACACGAAGCGTGGGATGGGCATAGTCATTTCAGGGCCCAAACTCTTGTCCTCCACAGCAAAAGTGCCTGTTGTGCCTCTGTCTCCGGACAATCCTCACACGATAGACCCAGCAATGGCAAAGTCTCTGGAGAAGACGAGTGGTTCAGGCAGTAAAATGAGCCAGAGGTGGAGAAAATTGATGCGGAAAGGCCCCTCCATCACAAACAGTGAAGTGTTCAAGCAAACGCATCAAGAGTCACCGGCTCCTCAGTCAGCCCCAATCCAGGCTATGCGTTCTCAGCCACCACCCTCACTTACACCTTCTCCCGTTCCTGCTAGCCTGATTCAAAGATCCAATTCTCAAGCAGCTGGAAGAACCCTTGAGGCTCCTATCGCCTTGAGAGAGGACAGCGTGCCACCGCCTTCAGCACCGCCAAACCTCAACATGTTTAGATTCCCATCTGACAAGGTTGAATCCCAGAATATGGAGGCCAAGCCATCGACTGAGCACGCCCAGCAATTACCCACACCCCCGAGCACTGCTCCTCCCACTGCGCATGGTTCTCAGGCGAGTGATTCAACTGTAGCCAAATTTCTCGAAGCTGGGCGCCAGCTTGGACTGTCGGAAAAACAGCTCAACGAAATGCTGATCCACAAAGGAATGGTGAGCCGCCCGAGCGACATTCCCAAGCACTTCCCCCAGTCGCACGCTGCTCCCGAATCGTCCGCCGCATCCCAACAATCACTCCCTGCGGACCCTCTATTTGCAAAAGAGAGGAAGGGCGGTCTTTTGCGATCTTTGTCGAAAAAAGCCAGAGACTTGCCTAATCGGGTTCGTACACCCGAATCTCGCAGGGAGACTGGTACACCCACTACACAAGCCGAGCCTAATCAAGATCGCACGATACTTCGGCGCACGATGATCATGCCCGACGGGCTGGTCATTGTCCCATCTACCCCTCAGAAGGGCGGAGACGCTGTGCCAGGCTCGCCAAATTCATCGTCTTTGGGAAGGTTGCCCAGTCATCGTCAACCATCTATCCGGCGAAAACCTGTCAATCTGTCCAAAGAAGATCGGGAGCTGGTGTCTCACAGTCCACCAGCCACACAGCCCAATTTCAACTTTGACAATGTGTCATCGAGGGGGACGCTCACCAAGCTGGAAGGACAAGGGTTGGGTTTGCTGGATCCTGGAACGGCTTTGGGTGGAGATTCAATGAAGTCAAGAAGCAATGCTACAGGATCTCTTTCGGGGCGGTCAGTCTCTGCAATGTCCCATAGGTCGTCAACGGGCGGGTCGGTATTGGATATGTACGGCAATACGGGCACAGGAGGGCAGGAGGTCTTACAGGAGAGTCCTGATGGGGCGCAGAAGGCCGGAGCTTCCTTGGTCGCCGAGCAAGGTCCAGCTCAGGCTGTCGAAATCCGGTGAGTACTTGCTGTGGTCTCTGTCACACTTGGCTGACTCTAGTCTAGCGAGTATGCAGACGGCCGAGTCATTTGGTCTATTGTTGATGCGCTGAGAACCTCTGTCACCAACTCTGTTGATGGCGAAGATTACTATTTTAACCGAAACCACTCGAGGACTTCATCTTACGCCTCCACGTCTTATGCCTCTACTCGAAGAGACTCTGTTATGACTGGTTTTGACAGCGACGTTTTCACCAACGACAATAGAGCCGGGCCAATGGGCGGCAAAATCTATGCTTTGAGTAATCGTCAGAGCTACAGAAAATCTTTAGCAAAACCCAGACCCCCAACTGATGTATGTTGACTTTGCAAGAAGATTTGCCAAACGCTGACGTGATCATAGATTTACTTTACGTCTTCGCGAGATGTAGCGGATCTGATTGATCATCTTTCACGAGACCTCGAGGCTTCGCATGGTCGCATTGGTATTCTCCCTTCCGATCAATCACCGAATCCGGAAGAGCATACGGCATTCGACCACATCTATGATCAAGGTCAGACTCCCCCTTCACCTTCAGGCAACTCGCAGTTTGAGGACGCCCCCTCACCCGCTCCTATCCCACGGCGCGCCTCCAGGGCACCGACGTTCAGGCCGCCCAGCAGTGCTTCGGCCCTGGCCGCTGTGGGTGGGACGGGTCCCAAGAGACAGCCGTCTCTCAAACTTCGCCAGTTTGGGCATTCGGCTCAACCAAGCGTCGCTTCAACCATGGCTGAAGATGCCCGCAGTGCCTCGTCGCGGAGTTTTGCGAGCTCGGTATCGGGGATGGGAGACAGGCCTGTGGAAGACAGGCTGCAGGATCTGATTGAACGCATGAGGAGCGCGGGGGCAGGCAGATGATTTGACAGGGCGAAGGCATCTTGGAGATATGTTGTTTACAAGTGGATAAGTGTGTATAACGAACTTGATACGGAAATAATGCTTTACAATACACATACGTGCATACATTTTGTAGTACAATTTTGAATGATGGTCTCAGACTATATGCACTTTATGCCTGGCTGCTTTTCATCTAGTTGAGGTGCTACATATGATACATGCTTTATGGGTCTCTATACAAATTCTATGTATCTGTCGCAAAGGCTTATATATCACCACGACCCTCGGCCAGCAAGACGTCGCTTTCCCAGGTCTCTTAGGCGGAAGACCCAGTTTCGCTGGCCTTTCCGGCAAAAGCGTCAGTGCCGGTGAGGTTGTAGCCCGAAGGGAAGTCTGAGGGCACCCCAGAAGGAAGCGTTCCAGTGAAAGTAGGGACAGCCTCGGAGCCATTGGAAGCAGAGGTGGCGTTGGCCACAGTCAAGGTCTGGCTAGTTGCGTTGGAAGCGCCGGCAGGGGGTCCTGTAGAGTTGACCTCGGTTGCGTTGACCTCGATCAATGACTGACCCGCAGAGGGGGCAGAAGAGTTGACCTGGGTAGCGTTGACTTCGATCAAGGACTGGCTCGTGCCATTGCCGGAGAAGTTGCCGGATGGGGCAGAGGAGTTGTCGTGAGTGACAGAGGCGTTACCGTAGAAGGGGCCATCGGCAGACGCGGTGGAGTTGTCGCCGCCAGGTGGGGGAGAACCGCCCGAGGGGGCGCCAACGCTGGAGTCGGAGCCTTTGCTGTTGGCGGGGGCGGCAGCGACTGGAGGCTGGGTCAACATGGGTTTCTGGCAACATGGAGCAGACGTACCAGAGGCGACGGCGGCCAAGAGAGAAAAGACGGTAGCGAATCGCATTGTGAAAGTAGTGTGCTTTTGAGTTGGTCGAAGGAGAGTGGAGTGGGTTTACAGGATTGTGACTTGTGAAAGCGTTGCTCGATGGGACTCTGGGAGTGCATGGGGGGTCTTTATATACTTCGGTGAGGATGCAGTGCATGGGATGGGGTTGACCTCGGAATGAGCAGCACTAGAGAGTAGAGACTCTAGAGAGGCAGTCTAAACCTGCGCGCTGCAGTGCTAGTAGTGCCTTGTCACGTTTGAAAACGATTAGATCCCGGGATAACAAAGTAGCCGCGTCGCAGTCAGCGTCATCATGTCCTGAATCGCACACTGCATATGTCCTGACGCGTCAATGCGTTGTTCCTCCCTTTTATCGAGCTCGCCAGCGTACACAACAGCGACGCGATACAACTCATCGGCAGGCTGGTCCAGGCTCGCCGTGCACGGCACCCGTCCCATTTGTCTCAACATCCTGTCATGGATCGCTCATGACGAGGCCCTGAGCAACGGTCCAAGGGTTTCCGCCCGAAGACATATCATTTGCGCGGCTTGGTATGAGACAAGGATGGCCTTGAAACCGACAACTCAGGATCCGTCAAGACAGAGTTGATGGTCGCGACGCGTCGACGCGATTCGGCCCCGGGTCTTTGATCTTTCTTTGGCTTTTGGCCCGGCATCCGCCGCCTAGTCACTAGTTTCTGGGACGGTATCCGCTACGTGTCCTGCGCTATCATGTACATGAACCGATCGAAGATCTTGAAGATTATGTATGTAACTGTAGCATCACCGCCATGAATGCGGCTCGAGTACCTCGAGTGACACCGTACCGAACTGTTACGTCACTCCGAACCCCAGATCTTACCCGAGTTTGACAGAGCCTGATATGCGACTGGACGCGTTGCGCGCATTTTGCGAACTGGATCATCGTTCACGCGTACGGGTTGGAGAAGGACCGGTGATAGTCATGATCACCTAGACCAATCACTGTTTTATGGAATACATTTGACCCAGAAAATCTAGACAAACGATACTGTGGCACTTTGTTTATAGGATGATGATACATTGGCGTGCTCTATCCAACCGTTGTCGTACACACTCGCAAAGAATTTAACACGGCTTCAGCAAAGACGACGTTGTGAGCGGATCGCCCAGTCTCCGCTTTCCTCTTATGATCTTGCGGCCCTTGGGCGGGTTGAGGATGGAGGACCTGGGGTGTGTGGGCTGTGCATTGGCTGCCATGGCTGTGGGATGGGATGGATGGGAACATGGGATCCGAATGAACTGGCTGCCACACTCACTCTCAAGTTCAACTGGATCCTCGATTAGCACGCTTTGCTAATGGAGTACAAAACGATTAGGACTGGCGTCGCGTGGCAACGGAGACTCGGTGCGAGGCACGGGACGAGGGGACGAGGGGCTGACAGGAAAGGACATCACTCGCTCATCGCTGCATCAAGTGGCCCGTGATGGCGACGAGGGGGTGAAGGCAGCGGGGGTATGTATTTATGCAGCCATCCCGCCATCGTCCCGTCCATCACCACACCATGTCTTCCATCGCTTCTGCCTCCACCCCCCAGTCCCCAGCCCCCGCCTACCCCGCCAACGAGCGTCACCTCGCAAACCGCAGGTCCACCGCGTCCATCAAGCGCAAGCCCGTACCCGTCACCCCTACCGGCCCCGAGTTTGCCCTCGAGCTCTCCAACCTCTCGGAAGGCACTCCCAGCGGCTCTGCCCCCTCGACTCCTGAGCCACCCGTCTACATTCTCTCTGTCGACCCCACCCCCACAGCTCCGTCCCCCGAGAGCCCTGAGACCCCCACCCAGCCGCCTGCGTACTCTGGGAACGCTAGGCCGCAGTACCCATACGACCTTAGCTTGGGGCCGCCGAGCGATGTCGAGCTCATGAGCGAGTCGCTGCCTACCTATGAAGAAGAGAGCACGATGGAGCCCAAGACGCTAGCCAAGACGCTCTGGAAGTATGGCTTCATCTGTCCTCTGCTTTGGCTCATCGGCATGACCATGTGAGTTTCTTCTTTTCTCCTGTGGCATCGCTGACTCTGCTTAGTATGTGGATCCCCCTGAGGCCAGTGGAAGACGAAGTCGACCCTGAAAAGGCGCAAAAGCTCGAAGAGATGATTGTGATTCTCCGCAAGGTGTGTTCTACCTGTGGCATCATGACACAAGCTGACTTGTTTCCAGACTGAACTCAAATACGCCAAGAGGTGTACATGGGCGTTCTGCGGGTTCTCTCTTCTACTAGCTTTGATCATTGTCATTGCGGTGGTCGTGTCGACTAGATAGCGCGATAGATGAGATTTTGTATGACTACTTTTTGGGCTTTTGGGATGTATGTGTTGTGCACTGATTCATCGAGACCTTCCTTTTTCTAAAACTTGGCAAGATATCCATTGAAAAACGGCTCCTCCAACCCCTTTCCGTCCACTTTTACTGCCTCAGAAGGACCCACAAATGCGATAAAGCCTTTGAATCATTAGCATCTGCACTGATACAAAGAAGCAAACGCACGAGCGCACTACTAGGTCACCAGGATGGACGATCGTCTTGGTCCCGTCGTGTAACTCCATCTCGAGTTCGCCGTGCGTGATCACGAGATAGTCTGCCAGGGTCAGCGCATGTAGAGTGGAGGAGAAACTTACCGATAGTCTGGGTGAAATGGAAAAAGCCATCTGCGCTGGGAGGCAGATCTACTTGGATCAGCCAACATCCAACTTCAACTGACACATGACTCACCAACATACATACCGCACACTGATAGCATCGTCATGCGGGATCTTGTCCGGCCTTGCTTCAGCCCACTCTACCGCCTTTTCTGGCTTGGCGACGAGGTCGGGCTGGAGAAAGAGTACCTGGGCTTTGAGTGTGGCAGGGTCGGTGTCGGCCGAGGGAAAGTGGTGTTCGAGGAGGACGGGGGTGCCGTCCGTGGCGTGGGCTGCGACGAGTCGACGGGGTGGGGGCAGGGAAGACATTGTGCATGGGCGGGAAGGGGCTGTGTGGTTACCACATTTTGCAGTGTTGGATGCTTACCCCATGCTCCCGGGAGACTGAGGGTGGAGCTGGAGGCATTTGTCAGAGGACCTCCGCCGAGTGCAGCACCGGGGAACAAGTGGCTGCCAATACCACTCATTGTACTCAGTATCAGGCTGAGGAGTGAGGACGCAAGTGACCTATTGATACATACAACCACAGCTATGCCCCCGAGTCTATGAATCTCACAAAATCACCCACTTTCCAGCCTTCCCGCGCTGAGCCCTTCTCCACGCCTGCTGGCCGGGCCTCTGTCGCCCCTTCCATAGGCTCATCCTCATCCGAGCCAAACAAATCATCATCCTCGTCCTTGTTTTCTTCAGCCTTTTCCTCTCCGCCCTCATCCTCGTCCTGCCCGACGCGCATGACCCAGTCAATCTCCTCTGCGCGCCTCTCTACCTCCTCCGACACTGCCTTGCCCTTCATCCCATCCCTCTCGATCCTCTCTGTCAACTTTTTTCGCAAATCCTCCAGCTCCCTGTCCGACATGGCCCGGAGCTGGTCGTGCGTCTGCGAAAACGCGCGGGGTGGTTCAGACTTGCCCTCGACGGCAGGCGGGGCGGGCAGGGGCATGGTGTTGATAGCTTGGAAAAAGGCGTCTTGCGCGAGGGGAGAAATGCCCGAGTCGGGAGCGTCAGGCGGGGGAAGGGGGTTCAGAGGGTGGACAATGTACTGGGCCAGGAGCGGGTTGGCCGGTGGCTGGCCGGCAGTTTGGGCCCGGGCTGGGGCAGTGAGGGTGTTGGAGAGGGCATTTATACGGCCGAGCAGCAGAGAGTAGCGCTGGAGGAGAATGTCCCTGCAGAGTGTCAGCACGGGAGGTGGTTCTAGTGGACATACCAGCTGGGGAGGGAGGCATCGTGTGCGCCGTTTGCGAGGAGGGCCCTGAGTGCGTCGATGTCGTTGATGGTGGTGGTGAGGCGGGGGAGGAGGGCTGCGAGGGCCGGGAGGGGCAGGGCGGGGGGCAGCGGGGGATGGTACTGCATCTCGCCGCATCGACACAGCCAAACGCTCTTTGCACGACGCTCTTGCCCCATCCGGCGCGGGGGCAAACGACCCTCCACTGCATCCATTTCTTTCTTCAACACCCCCCAGCAACAACCCACCATGCGTCTCTCCCTCCTCGCAGCCGCCCCCCTCATCGCCGCCGTACGTCTACCCCTCTCTTCTGTCCTCACCCTGACATCCTACAGGCCGCCGCCGCCGCCTCCCTCTCCTACCGGGCCGACTCGGCCCCTGCCTGTGCCCAGGACTGTTTCGATACTGCCGATACCCAGGATGTGAGCAACATCCACATGGACTTATGACTCCACAGCTGACATCTCGCCCAGTCTGGATGTTCGTCTGGAGACACTGCTTGCTACTGCAAAAACGAGCTCGTTGTTAGCTCCATCCGATCATGTCTCTCTTCCTCCTGCAGCACCTCCAATGTGACGGCCGCTGTCGCCTATGGCGAGTCTGTCTGTGCCGCAGCCGGCGCTTCAGTGTCTATGGGGTCTAGCTCCACTAGCTCTTCCGGTGCTTCTAGCACCAGCTCCTCCGTTTCGGCGTCAACAACTTCTAGCTCGGCCTCGTCTTCAGATGCTTCGTCAGCCTCATCATCGCCTGCGGTTTCAAGCTCTACGTCTAACGCCCCTTCTTCTAGCGCTAGTGCCAGCAGCTCGAGCGAGAAGAGCAGCTCTTCAAGCCAGGCTGGTGCGGTCGGTGGTGGTGCGGCCACCCAGGCTTCTTCCAGGTATGCACATCACTTCGGGCTCTGACAACAGCTTACTCTCTCACAGTGCCGCTTCCAGCTCTTCCAGCACCCATTCTTCATCTGCGGTTGCCAGCTCTACCAGGTTGGTCTCGAAATCCTTTTTTCGTGTTCTTACGGCCTGATTAAACTCTAGACGCGGTCTTTGCGCGTCGACAACGTCATACCATTGCTGACTTTTTGTTCTTTAGCAGTGCCCAAGTTTCAAGCTCCAGCTCTGCCGCTCAAGAGTCTTCGAGTCAATCTAGCGGGGTCAGTACTGCTTCTGCATCCCCCTCCCAGAGTGGTGCGGTGGCTGCCTCGTCAGCATCCCCCTCTTCTGAAGCCTCGGGACTATCTTCCTCGGGAGTTTCATCTTCGGGAGTTTCATCCTCCGGTGCTTCCTCCCCTGGATCATCCACGGCTTCATCCAACCCCTCGTCTTCTCAGACCACTAGTCTAACGTCTTCATCTCAGGGTGCCGTTGTTGATGGAGCCTCATCCGCCTCGGACGAATCTTCTACCGCTACCGGTTCATCTTCTACCCCCGTTTCCACCTCTGCCCAGGCTTCTTCGGCTTCCAGCGCCGCGTCTTCTGCCGCCCAATCCTCTTCTGCGGGCTCTTCTGGGGCCGGCTCTTCGTCCAGCGCAGCCTCTACGTTCAGCTCCAGCTCCAGCTCGGGCGCTGGAAACCTCATGGTTAACGGTCCCTTCATGGTCGCTGCCCTCGTCGGTGGTGCTTTGTTGGCTCTGTAAGCCCATTTGTAAATTGATATTGGGATCTAGTAACACGGCGATCTACGCCTTTATCAATCATATATATTCACGTGCAACGCACACGATGTGGTATATACAAGGACGATTTTTTGAATTTGGGACTTGTTTCATGGACTTGAATCATCAATGCATTTGTTGGTTTTATTTCGCGCCTGATGTCCTCTTCATTTCTCTGTCCAGAGCGACATTCACAGCTCCCAATGTAGGGGCCATCGCCTATACGCTGTCAGCTTGATCACGCAGTATGCAGTTGACTCACCTTTCTGACCCTCTCTGGGTCGAATCCACTGATCTGCGCTGTGTGCACGATCGCCTCCACCTTGTTCCCCGTCGTTTTCAGATACCCCGCCATCTTGACCGCCGTTGCCTCTCTCGCAGCTGGGGTATTCTGTCCTCCCAGGGCACCTGCAGGGGCGGGCAAGATGGCAGACCAGTATTGCCGCAAAAACTCGGTGGCTGCGTTATGGCATGACCTTATCTGTTGATGCAGTATCTCGGAAAACGGTGCTATGCCCCCACATCAGTTGTTTGCTCACTTGTAAGCGAGAGACTCACGCAGGACAGCATTCTCCCGGTTCGCTCTCGCCCATAAATCCTTCACCGTAGCCCCCGCCCCCGCCTGTCCATCCCTCTGTCGCACAAACAGCGCATGCCTCTCCTCCCAATCGCCATCCCCAATCACGCTCGTATCCGCCTGCGGTCCTGGGTTTGGTATGCACACCGACGCAAAGTCTGGTTTGTATGACCGCATATCAGAGATCGACTTGTCCGCCAAGCTGTAGAGCTCGCCAGAGGAAGCGTTGGGGAGGATCCCGGTCGGCGTGTCTTTCGAGGACGAGTCGGGAAGTGAGGCCGAGGATTGGACGTTGAGGGTGATAGTGGCCGGGGCGGAGGGGCCGCGCAGGTCGGCTAGATCAATCTCGCCGTAAATGTTGAGATCGCCGCCCAGGGTGTCGAAAATCGCAGACTGGTCGCCCGTCCTGTATATAATTTAGCCAAGTTCATCTTGCTCGCGTGGCACTCACGATGCTCGAAGAAGCTTCTTGGAATGGTCGTTGAATCGGCGGATGAGCGGCAGAGCACTCCGTTCTCGGCCGGCCTGCATCGTCACATCCCTAATCGACGTCGACTCTCCGTGATCTTCTTCCGTGGCAGCCAAATCCAGATATCGTTCGACGCCATCACGGTCAGGCATCTGTTGCCTCGGCTGGAGGTCTGTGAGATGGTCAGCATAGCAAACAGCAGACATTGAGGAGCTTACTCCAATCTGGCTCCTCCAGATACTGGTCAAAGATGTCGTCCTTCTTCCGAGAGATTTCATCATTGGCAGACTTTCTCACACTCGCACGATGTCGCTCCCATAGTTGCGAAGTGAAATATCTCGACCAGAACTCTGTCTCACTGATCTGAAACAAGGTCAGACGCAAATCGTGGCACACGCGGACAGGACTCACTGCAGGAACGTATTTGGCATAGGCGTCTTGCACCACCGGAAATTCTTCAAAGATTTCTCTTGTGAGTTCCTTGGATAGTTTGAGGGTGATGGGGCCGTTGTCCGCAGTCTTGACACCGACACCGGTACCACCAGTCGTCTTGCCTTTCCTGCCGGCATCCAGATCGAATCGGTCATCGAGCAGGCGTGACGGCCGGCCAGGCTTTTGAGCGAATGCCATCTCTTCCGCCTGTATCAGAGCCTGCAAAAGTCAGTCATTGCAGCCTCGTTCCACTCTATACTCACTTCTCGTCCCTGCCAGAACTCTTCCTCTGTGATCTGTCTTCCCAAAACAAGCTCCTTATGCAACATTCTCAAAGAGTCATTCTTCTCCAAGACCTTTTGGCGAATCTTGTTGAGTTTGCTCCTGGCTGCCCGCTGTGCCGGAGGAAGAGGTGAGCCAGTGGTGGGCGTCCCGGGACCGCTAGAGTCGTCCGCTTTCCTCTTGCCTTTTGCGACATCTGAAATGGCTATGGCGGCTGCTGTACTTGGTACAGCAGCTGGAGCCGGTCTTGGAGCAGAAGTGGTAGGGTTCTTGTTGGCGGCGACAAAGGGTATGAGGATGTCTTGGACGACTTTACGATCGTCTTCGCGGGTTTTGGGGTTGGAGAATACAAAGAGCAGGCCGTTCTCTGGAACATTGTCCTTGAAGAGGACTTTGAGACTGATGCTCTTGGATCCAGTTTTACTTGCGAGCATATCTATGGGAGTTCAGCGGGTTTCTCAGTTAGAGGGCTTTGTACGCACTGATAGCCCTGTTCATGGCTTGACTCTGTCGGTCCATTGCATCTTTCGTTTTTGGCACCCATGATATGTGTGTTGGGGTGAGGGTGAGGGTTCCAGGTGTCTTTTTGTAATCGGCGTCAAAGCGTTGAGAGGAAGTGGACATGCTTGTAAAGTTGCAATAGGGCGATTAACGATGCGCTGATTTGCGGGAGATGAATGGCGCTCTTCCAACGTCACGGCTTTTGCCGCATAGTGCGGAGGGCCGAGGGCAACAAGAGGGCAAAAACCAACAAGTTTGGAGCAGCTGGGAGAGGATGCATACCTCGGCATCTGAGGGGCTGCCCAAGTCCTCTCCAAGGCTGTCCCTGCTGGATTGACTCCAGGATGACGCGGCGGCATGGGTTTGACGATGCTCCCATTCCACACCGCCGTCATCATAAAAACACGAATCACTTTGGATCCTTCCCCTTTCGCACACCATAACTCATCCAGTCTGTATAATATCATTTTCTTTTGGTCTGACTTTAAGGTCTCCTCCCCACGCTCCGTAAGCCCCATTCTCATTTCTCCTCTGAAATATACCCCGCCCCCTCTCCTTCACGGCTCGTTTCGCCTCTCGCACCACCGGCCCAAGCAATGACGCTCTCAAATGGGGCTCAGGTAGCTATAATCGCTGTAGCCTCCTTCGGCTGGATTCCTTTCGCAGTCATTGCTATTCACGTCTCGCGACGTCGCAGACAAGGGACAGCTCGGGTGAGTGTGCCTGCCTGCAGTCTGAAGTTTGAACATCGCCTCGAAAGGCACCTTCTGATGAGTCACCTTAGGGCCGACCCCTTCCAAACTTTTCTTTGCCCAATCTCATCCAACAGCAAGCCAATATTCAACCAGCTACCAGTCGCACCAGGCCAGCCCTGGGGGACATCACCAACCTCCAAAAAGTCACTTCGCCCCGCCCCAAGTCGCCCAGCTTCAAACCCGCCATGAAATCACAATCGAGCGCGCGAACTCTCTTCATCTTCCTACCAATACCCACAAACAGAATTCTCTCAGACGCAAACCCCTTCCGCCTTTTCTCGTCTCTCCCAGTCAAGCAAAAGTGGATAGCATACTCAATCACGCGGACCTGGCCGATGGAACTCCTCTGGAGATTGAGCAAATGATGGCAAAGATTCTAGGTGATGGGACAAGCTGAAGGGCGATTGGATGTCAAGTCGGATGCGCTTGCTGGAGATGTGTAAGAGTCGGTTGCTTTCTGGCAGAGGGAAACATCAAAGATGGGATGTAGTAAGCGAGAGGCGGTGGTACATGGGGCCAGTGTGACCCAGCGGCGGACTGTCACTTGGTTTCTTATTCCTTGTATACATAGAGGCCACTCTTGAACATTCATAACAGTCAGCTATATCCACACACTTTTTGAATTAACAATGGACTTTTGTCTACATGACAGCGCTTGATAGCGGCTTTCCTATGAAAATGGCTAGTCGAAACAAGGTACAAATTTGATTGATAATATGGTATGACAACCCGCGTACGTCTGATGCCCAAAGATGTTCGTGTGATACCAGACCTCACTGGAATCTTCGGTCGTTGTTGACTCGTATAGTGATCGTTATGGTGACAGTCTTCGTGATATTGTTGGTGATGGTATGGTTTGTCGTGATGAAACTCGTGAATGATGGCAAAGAAGCCTAGAGGCCGTTGTTGGCTCTATGCTTGGTCGAAGTAGAGTGCATGATGCCACTGAGAATGACAGAAACGTCAGCCTGTCCTCGGAGATCGTCCAAGAGGATGACCTACAGTGCTCGGAGAAGATCGTTGCCGCTTTGGCAATTTCGGAGAGTGATGCAGTAAGCCCGACAAGTGGTTCGTATACGGATATGCTCGGAGGGTGTAAGCTACGCAATGTCAGCCAACAAGACCGAGTAAAGTGGTAGTAATTTTACACATGACAAGACAAATGCTACAAGGAGCTGGTCAACACCATCCTGCCAGTAGCTGTCTTCTTCAAGACTCACTCAGATGGGCTTTCCCGATAGAAGACGTGGCAATGGTGACAATCCCTGGAGTACGTCTAGAGATATCCATGAGCTGGCATCTCTGTCAACAGATGTGACTTACCCTTCGTCCTGCTTGCATATTGCTTCTACATATCTGGCGAAGCTCGCCCGACCCCCTTCAGTCAGAGCGATTTTGGCAAGGTTGACCCCATGGTGGGTTGTTGCAACAGGAGGATAGGAATCGATGATTGCTTCGCACGTCTGTTTGTATAAGCTCGGGAAGCTGACTAGCTTTGTGACGACAAAGCTAGAAAGTAGATTAGCAATTGTAGATGTGGAGAGACAGGTTCGTTCACTCACTGGCCGTATTGGTTATTGGACACCATCGATATATTTTCAACAATCTGAGGTATCTGTAAGCATGAGCAGACTTGGCAACAAGACAAAATACCTCTTGAAAACAAGGGATCATCAGGTCATGGTTACCAAATACTTCAAAAACTTGCTGGACTGAGATGGAGCCATGCTAAGCCGTATCAGTACAAGACGGGACTGCAAGCCAGATAGTCATTTACCTCGTTGACACAGGCCAGGTGAGCCCAGCGGCCAGCCATCTCCAAGTTAATTCTGAACCAGGAGTAAGCATAAAACCGAGCGGTAATCGGGAGTCACATACTTGTCAAAGACGTCCAACTTTTTTGCTTGACGACATTTCTCGAGGTACTGACCACCATCAGTATGTCAACATTCGCCAAGAGAAGCTACACACCTCCCTCCAGAGTCTTCTAGTCCCAGTCTGCATCGAGTCAAAAGCTCCGTGTTTGAACAGGGCTTCGGCAACAGGTTCCTACCCGTGTATGTCAGCTCCCCGCCGGTCGCCCTCAACGGTATAATAGTCATTGCTCACCTCTAGCTCTTTGAGATTGATAGCCTTGCAGAGGACATGAGTACCAAACTTGTTGCTTGCGATTGGCACAATGTCATGCCTAACACTATGATCAGCCTCATAGTTGCGTTCTGGGAGAATCGCTCTCACCAAATCATATCCAGGAAAGCTTTCTTGTCGGACAGGTTTCCCCTCTCGAGAAGCTGCTGGCAAAGGTAGTTTCCACAAGAGGTGTAGCACAGAGGTTTGGCCCATTCGATGATTGCTCGCGTAAGAATAGAAGAAGGATCAGAGGTATCTGCGACACCAAATCGAGTCTACAAAGAGCATCAGCCAGGGAGAGGGGAAAACATTCGGTGCCAGTGAGCTACTCACAGTCAAAGCCTTCACCGCTGTCTTCAAGCCGGCACTATAGCACCCGAATCAATCACAGTAGCATATGTGGCGGGAAGACAAGGAGGCTCACCTTTCGTGATTGTTCTTGGGCTGGCAGTATGCCAAGGTCCATACGATGGCTCGAATCAGCTGAGGAGGCATGGCGGCAAAGTTGAAGGTGCCCTGAAGGACGCTATGGACAACGACGGGTGGGGCAGTGTAGGGCGGAGCCTGGTGATGATCCTGCTGAAGAAAACGTCAGCAAATGTCACTATTATCTCGACTGGGACTTGCATCGTCCGATGATGATTCGGCCTTTCCATCAAAAGTGTCTTTCGATCTACTTCGAGCATCCCGGTCGTAGTTGGTGGAGGACGAAAAGAAGCTTTTGATCTCGGATGCGGGTGTCAAGATGGCAGGAGAGGCGATCGGAGGAGGGGCAGGGTTGTGGATCTCGCGGGCATGTCAGAACTGTAGCCTCTCCTCAAGCAAGAGATGCTTACGATGTATTCCCGCAACCGCTTGTTGTCCAAGGTCAGTCGCCGAATCTGGGCGTCGGCGACAGCCAGCTTCTGTCAAATGCGTCAAGAAAGGTGCCAGCGGGTAGGAAGCGTACACACCTCCTCCAGATGTTGGTTGAACGAAGTTCTAGGGGTCATCTCGGGCCTCCAATGCGGCTGGATAGGGGGGCTCCATGGTCCGACATCTAGTCCGGGAAGGATCAAGGGGCTGGAAAATTTAGGTGGCAAGATCTCATTCTGTGCATTGTCGAGCTATACCCAGAGTCAGCGGAGAGCAGATGGACAGCGTGAGAAAAGCCTACAGAGCGGCTCAAGGGCTGATCCCAGGAAGTATGGTTCAACGGCGAAGCAGTCAGATGCTCCGAGTTGTGTCGGGCCAGGCACCCAGATGTCACCGGGGACGTTGATCTAGCCAGACGATCTTCGGCGGAGGGGGCGGCCCAGCTGCTTGACATCTTATCGCCAGAGGGGGGGTGAGAAGACATTGAGCCGTCGTCGTGTGACATCCATGGGGAGAATGGATGGAAGGTGGACATGGTGCGGAGTAAGATGGGGATGTTGGATGATGGTGGTGGTGGTACTTCGCGCCGGTGGGTGTGGGTTGTATAGTGATGAAAGGTGAAGAATAGAGATGGAGTTCAAGAGATGGGGCCAAGCTGCACGAGGGGTGGACCTGCCGTGGAGATGTGGAAGATGAGATGCAAAAGCAGAATGGGGATAGATTTCGGTGTGAAAGGCGTCAAAAGAAGTCGCGACAAACCGTGGGGCCCCGGATCGTCACGTGGCCCAGTCCATCTTAAAACGCGCATTAGATTTCGTTGGAAGTCACGTCCGCACCATGCAGCAACTCCTCAGTAGGTAGCCGGGCGGCCTCCATGCCAGCTGCTGACCAGAGCTCTCCCAGATCCCTTTGCCCAAAAGTACCCCGACGCAGTCGATTCCACCCTCTCCACCCAGGGCGCCTGTCTCTCTTTCAATCCATCAGGACCCTACGCCGGCCACTACCTCGCCGTAGGCAACAGCTATGGCAGAGTAGAAATTTGGGATGTCGAGACCCGTGGCGTAGTGAGGGTCCTCGAGGGGCATGTGAGAGCTGTCGAAAGCCTGAGGTCAGTATTCCGCGCGAGCGAAATCATTGTGTCTATCTGACATGTTTTATCAGCTGGTCTAGAAACAACAGATACCTGTTGTCAGCATCATCGGATGGTACAGCTCTGGTGTGGGATCTGTCGGCCCTTCCACATCCCTTGCTTGTGCCTAGGACGCCATTGACAGAGTCCCAAGCTGATTCTTCAAATGCTTCCGCTTCGACGTCACGCCTCAACACCATTCGATTCGATAGCCCAGTAACCAGCGCGTCTTTCAATCCGAGAAACAGCCGAATCCTACTCGCAGTTCTGTCTTGTGGCGAGGTCGTTCTTGTGGATCTTCGGAAGGGCGGCGGAAAGTTCAAGCTGGAGTATTCACCAGGGGACGAAGAAGAGTCTGCATCACGGAAAAGGTGATCTCGCCTTCTACTCGTTCATAAGATAGTGCTGATCCATCGTTCCATACAGAGTATCCATGACCTGTGCAGACTTTTCTCCTTGTGGCTCCCGTATATACGCGGGCACATCAAACGGAATGCTCCTGGTCATCGACCCAATGTCTAGACAAGTATGTTTCCTGCCACACTTCTCCTGATTTCTATGACTAAAAGTATCACAGGTGCTTCACCATATCAAAGTCGCTAACGCATCTATCCGCCAACTGACTTTGGATGCTTCCGGCTCGTAAGCCTGTTTGCTATTTCTCATTGCTACCTCAGCTCACGAACGTCCTAGTCACCTAATAACCTCTGCCACCGACCGTGCTCTCCGTCTCTTACAAGTCGACCCCCTCACTCTCACCCTCACCGCATTTCATCGCTTCCAAGATCTGGTCAACCGTACTCCTTGGTACTCTGTCGGCTTTTCTGGGGATGCCGAGTATGTCATGGCTGGTGCAGCTCACAAGTCGGCGCATAACGTCTTCATCTGGGATAGGGAGAGTGGAGTGTTGGTCAAGGTACTGGAAGGGCCGAAGGAGCCGCTGATAGCGTGTGCCGTAAGTGTGCTTCTTCCACGTCTCTGATGAAGATTGATCTTGGGTACAGTGGCATCCCACTAGACCTATCGTCGCATCAATATCATCGGGAGGTGATGTGCACCTGTGGCAAACAGCTTCTCCAGACAATTGGGCCGCTTTTGCTCCAGGATTCGAAGAACTGGAAGAAAACGTCGAATACGACGAGCGAGAAGATGAATTCGACATCGTAAGCCGTCTCCTATGAGCTGATAGCTGCCGTCTTACGCAAAGCAGGAAGACGAATCTGAACTCAACCGACGTAAAGATCTTGAAGAAGATATCTTTATCGATGTCTTGACGCCCGAGCAAGACTCTTATCCTCGTCGTGCCAAACCCATATCATCCTTACCGGGCAACCTCGTTTTCAAAGATGAAGGTGAACAGCAGCAGGCCGAACGGTTGGCAGAGGCGATCGCCGAGGTCACTAGGTGGGCAGATGCGGATACAGCAGGTTATGTCGCAGGAGCCGAGAATACGTCGGGTCTGCAAGAGGGCAAGGGTGCGAATGACGGGGATCAATGGGAGGGGTTCTATCCATCACAAGATCTCTTGTCAGATATCAGGGTGGACGAGGATCCCGACGCGTAACTACATTAGATCTATAATAGACTTGCTCTTGCATTACACAGTACAACCTGTACAAAAACACATTACAAACAACCTCCATGACCCATAATGAGGACTAACATCATCTACGGCTCCTGAGAAGACTATTTGTTGGCGTCTTTTCTTCGAGCCTCGTCTACGCGAAAAGTTAGCGATACTCTGCACAACTCGCCGCGACACCACTCACAAGCTTGATACGCCGCCTTCAGCGTCTCATCTTTGTCACTCGCGTCACCTTCCTTCCTCTCCGTGCTAGCAGTCTGAGGCCTAGGGGGGGCGGGAGGAGGAGGACGAGCGGCAGACTCGCGCTGCTTGGAGGCAGCTGTTTCAATCTTTACAAAGTCCTCTTGCGGCTTGCCCACAATATCGAATGCCTCTCCCATCATACCCAAAGCAACAGCCCGCAGGTGAAGTTTCTCCTTTGACACATTCGGGTCTGTCAAGACAGCATCACAGGTCTCTCGGATGACGCTCTCGACTTCCAGCTTGACGCCTTTCCACATGGTCCGTAGGCCTTGCTCGGAGGCTTGCTCTTCTAGTTTGCGCAATTCTTCGGGAGCAATGCCACTTTGCTCCGCAGCTTGCAGCCGTTCAAAGACGGCCTTGAGCTCCATGGCGGATTTGATGGTTGCAAAGGTGTCGGAGACGACACCGATGCTTGATTTGGCGCCGTGGAACCATCCGAGAGGGGCGAATTGTGAAGAAGCCTAGGGCGCGATCAGCGGCATGGACAGCGAGCTCTGGGTAGGACATACCAGATGCTGGGCAGACTTGGCTTGGTATTGTTTGCCAATGGCGTGCAGAAGCTCAACACCATAATTTTCGTCCTTCAAGTCCTCCCCTTCCAGACGGCAAATTTCCTATCATGTGGTCAGCTTCATCCCAGACACTTTCTACAACAGCACTCACTTTGAAACTAGACCCCACAAGCTTGTCATCTGCGCTTTTCGCGGCTTCCGTAAAGATATTCAGCTTGTTCACCAAGTTGACTGCCAGCTTATCCACTCGAGCCTTCCTTTGCTTCGCCTTCTCCTCAGCGGCTTCCCGATCTCTGAGAGCTTTTTTCTGCAGACCCTCAGGAGTCATGACAGGCTTGCCATTGGGCCCCATGGTATAGTCTCCAGCGTCTTCACCTTCTTGTTGCTGGAAGGCTTGCTTCATGTCTTTACCTACAAACATTGTCAGATGATACGCGCCGCTGGTAAAGCAGACGTACCTATACTGATATTTCCAATCAATACCTCAAAGCGACCACCACCAAACATCTTTCCAAAGACCTCTTCTGGGTCGTGGAAACCGCCTTCCGGCTCAGACATTCCACCGCCGTTCTTCTGGCCAAACTCGTTGTATTTGTGCCTCAATTCGGGATCGGACAGAACTTGATAGGCAATCGAGATCTCTTTGAACTACAGTAGAGCATCAGTACCAGTATCAATGTATGGTACATTCACAAACCTTTTCTTCGGCATCGGGGTCGTCGCGATTCTTGTCTGGATGTAACTGTGATCGTGTGAGCCAGAGTACAGGGAATCAGAGAACGTCCACATACTTTGATAGCAAGGCGTCTGTATGCCTTTTTCACCTCTTCAGTCGTACATTGACTGTCAAGCGCCAAGATGTTGTAGTAGGCCATATCGAGTGGGTTCTTGTCCGAACCGATCCTTCTAGATTTCGCAGGAGCAGAGGAACCACTCGAGCCAGTGGCTGAAGACCGAGCATTCGATGGCTTGGGCTGGGGATGGGTGAACATCTGCTTACATCTGCATATGGAAGATAAGCATGAATATACTGGCAAGTGGCGAAATACTCACCCTGCACAGCGGACTCTGAGGGTTCCGATGAAGGTTGGGGGGACCATGTACTCTTGCTGGGACTTGCAGCTGGGGCAGTCTGCTGGGATGTATGTACCCCGCGGTCTTGATTCGACGATAGAGGACATGGTGGGATGGATTGTGCAGTGAAGTAGCACTAGACTGAAATGTCTGCAAGATCAATGCAAGATCAATGTGCAGCGCCATGACGTCCAGAGGTATTTGGTCCCGCCGCGGAGTTCGCGTCCATGTCCGGCTGGGTGCACCAACTGAGCAGCGAGGTTGACTTGTCATGTCCTCTCATCCAACCAGCCCACAATGGCAGCAGTCCATCCCCCGGCTGTCCAGAGCTACCTCCAAGACGCCTCTCGCTATCAGGCCATCGACAGGATCCTCGACAGAAGAGGGCCCTGGACAGACGAGAGGTTCGAAGGCGGCAGTGCTGTGAGTGTAGTGCTCTGCGGAATGGCGTATCGCTGACGAGAGGAGAGTGCAGACCAAGGAATTCTTGAGAACACAGTCAAAGATTCTCGTTATAGGTGCCGGTGGATTGGGGTGCGAGATTCTGCAGAATCTTGCTTTGTGTGAGCAGTGCAGCCAATCTTTCTCGTTCGCGACTGACATTACAAACCAGCGGGCTTCAATGATATCCATGTCATTGACATGGACACCATTGATATCTCCAACCTCAACAGGCAGTTTCTGTTCAGGTACATTCACAATATATGCTATGGATCATTTGACGCTGACAGAATACAGAGAATCCGACGTCGGAAAGTCAAAGGCTCTGTGTGCAGCGGAATTCATCATGAAGCGGGTTCCCGGATGCAAGGTCACTCCGTGAGCTTCTGTTCTGTGGAAAGAGAGCCTCTAATCAAATTCCTCTAGCTACCATGGCAAGATTCAAGATCATCCTACTTCTTACTATGCCACATTCGATATTGTGGTCGCCGGTCTCGACTCCATTTCTGCCCGGCGATGGATCAACGCGACTCTGGTCCAGATGGCACAAGATGATGGCGAGCTATTGAAGCCATTGATAGACGGTGGTACAGAAGGCGAGTAACCTCTACAGCGGCACATGTTTGGTACTGACGATGGGACAGGGTTCAAGGGACAGGCTAGAGTCATCTTACCGACGGTGTCATCTTGCTACGAGTGCTCTGTAAGTCATTCGCCTCTTGGTGAACATACTCTGACATAGTTAGATTGACATGCTCACCCCTCCTACCGCCTTTCCCATCTGCACCATTGCCAACACCCCCCGTCTTCCGGAACACTGTATCGAGTGGGCGAGCGTCCTAGAGTGGCCCAAGGTCTTCAAAGGCAAGCCTCATACTTACTCCTCGTAATCCTTGCTTACCGGACGTACAGACAAGAAGCTCGATACTGATGACCCTGACGACATTGAGTGGCTCTACAAGGTGGCGTCTAGCCGCGCTGCCCAGTTTAAGATCGAGGGTGTGACATGGGCCTTGACTCAAGGTGTCGTCAAAAACATTATTCCCGCCATCGCCAGTACCAACGCCATCATCGCCGCCTCATGCTGCAATGAAGCCCTCAAGATTGCCACCGCAAGTGCCCCCTTCCTCAACAATTACATGATGGTGAGTTGGTGGAATGGCTTCGGGCGATCCACTTATGAAGAGTAGTATGTTGGAAACGAATCCGTCTACACATATACCTTTGAGCACGAGCAGAGGCCAGACTGTCCTGTATGCGGCGGTGAATCTCTTTCCGCGGAAGTCAGCAAGGATGCGACATTGGAGACGTTCATGGAGACGCTCTCTCAACGTCAAGACCTGTAAGTTGGAGACAAACGCGATGTGGCTTGCTGATCGCTCTCCCAGCCAAATCTCTCGACCCTCCGTGTCCTTCTCCAACGGCAAAGCTCTTTTCTGGCCGAGTCCTCCCGATGTGTACGAAGCTACCAAAGGGAATCTGGAGAAGAATTTGAAGGACTTGTTGGCGGGCGACGATACTGTCGTTGTGGTCGATCCCGCTCTGCCTGTGAGCGCGAGCGTGACAATCAAGTTTGTATGAAGGGATGGTGTAGAATTAGAAGTAACAACAGATGATGGCAGGGGTGCGTGTCTATAGCATATGCATGGGCTTGGGCAGACATATTGTGACACGGAAGATGCAGAAGATGGCCTCTCGTGAACGGATTCGCCGCTTGCTGTGTCATCGCCGCCCTCATCGGGAAATGCCCGAAATGCGTCGCGATGGACATTTGTTGTCTCATTCTTGTTTTTGTTTGTATCTTGTCACCTTCCCATCCCCGCCCATCCCACACTGCACTCTCTGTCCCCAACACCCCCTTCCCACGCCTCCTAGCGACCAGGCCCAATCAGTCACATCGCCTCCCAAAGTTCCCCATCGGCCGGCCGTCTCCTTTCACTTCGCAACGTCCACGGCGGCACTTTGGTTCAGATATGAGCGCCTCTGCGACAACAGCAACACCGACCACATCCTTTTTCTCCAATCTCTTCCCCACCAACTCCGCATCGGCCACCGGCAGTTCCTCTGACGAGGACGATGGCACAGGCAGGAGTAACACAAATGTCTACTATCTCGTCGTACGTCGGCTATCCTGTGTATGCGCTGGCAGACGATCACTGACTCTATCTACGCAGTTTCTTGGTGTCTTAGTGGTTCTGATGCTTATCGCACTGTGCTTGGCTGTCCGAGCTATGCGTATGAGACGGCGGTATCGGGCTGCGGCGCAGGCTGCCTTGGCCCGGGGAGAGACTGTGCCAGGTTCGATACGAGACGATTTCTGGGGCATGGGCGGGCTGGCAGGGTGGAACTCGGACGGGTGGGATAGATTTGGTGCTGTCGGTCCAGGCGGACTCTGGAAAGACAGCAAATGGCACAAGCTGCCTGTCTTGACAGAAGCCGAAGCCGCTCAGGAGTCTGAGAAGGCTGATTATGAGGCGACGGATCTATGGACAGAGGATACTCGGGTAAGCGGTCCATATCACATCATAGCTTGAGCTCACGTATGTTCACAGCCGTTGAGTCTTCAATCAAGGAGAGTTCTACCCGAAGAATCGCCCATGGACGCTCTGGCGGGGTTACAACCACAAAATGTTCGCGCGCGAAACAGACACCCAGCGCTATTCAATCGCTCTCGCCCCACCGATGCCTTGGATCGCTCCAACCCAATCGAATCCAAACAGAACATACCAGAAATCGATCGGTCTATAGGGACGGGCGAGCCGCTGAGAATAGGCGTAGTCATTCAAATGCCCAATTCGGGCATCTCCGGGCAGAGATATACTCAAGGAGAGGATGACGAGCAGGTTGCTTGGGAGAGTGGGATGGAGATTGGATTGTGGGAAGGCGTGGTGGAGGGCAAGCTGGCGAGGGATTCGAGTGCAGATTTTGCGAGTGCGAGTGTGCCCGTCAGGAGAGAAGATGGGGGAGGACTGGCTCGGAACAGGTCAGAAGACTCTTACGGGAACGCGGACATCGCCCTGTATCGATAGCGTGGTGGCGAGAGCGTCAGTCGCATGGGAAGAAGAGGTTTCTTGTAAGTATGGTAAGTGTGACTTGTTGGCTATGATTTTGCTCTCAAATGCTGACCGATTGACCCGGTAGTAGTGTATTTCCTCAAGCTATGTACCGTCATCTTTATACTGTTCGATAGATAGGTCTTTCGGACAGATGACGGGCTAATGTATCGTTCTGGGTATCAAACACGTGCGAATGGGAGTTTGGGACATACGGCGCCATAAGTTGCATGTCAACGTGACAGTTCTTCGCCTACGTATACTCGGACAAATACACAAACTCAGTCATGACATGCGCATCATCATATTATTTTGAGCCAATCTAATCGACTGGATTCCTTGAATTATTCGAATCTTCTGTCTGAACGTGTATGTAATAAAGATCCCAAAAAAAGAAAACAGGTCACCTCTCTACTCCTTCGCCTTCTTCATGGAGAACCGGCTTGGGCTATCCGGGACGGTTTTGGAGCTCACACTGGGAGTCCTCATCCGAGAGTTGGTGCGCAAGTGTCCACTGGGAGGGCTGGCCACACCAGTGGTCCAGTCGAGCCGGAGCCGCAAGAGACCGGTGCCACTGCTGAGCTCGACCCAGACGTCAGCGTTGGGCACAGCAGGCTGGATATGTCGCCAAATATCGACTTCGGCTTCACCGAGCTCAGGGTCCTTGCCGAGAGTGTGGTGGTCATAGACAGTAACGTTGAAAGTTGACGTGGTGGGAGCAATGTTGAAGTTGAAGGTCTCGTTCCTAAGAGACACGTCAAAGGTTTGTTTTGAGATGTGATCAGATGACTTACCATTCTGGCGTAAGTCCTTTGATATGCTCGGTCTTGTAAGACTTGCCACCGGCCTTGACAGTAACGTATGGCTTGGCCATATCTCTGTCACTCTTCAGGTCCTTGGCGTTGAGAACAGTGACGCTCAAAGTTCCGGGCTCGCTAGGTCCCGCAGACTCTCCGACGGGAAGCGTAGTCGCGTTCTGAGTAGGCACTCCATCAACGTTGGTGCCGGTAGGAGCAGATGTCTGACCGGCAGGGACGTCGTAGCCATCATTGGCGATGGCACCGGGAGTGGCGGGTGCGCCAGTCGAGGGTTCCACCATGACTTCCTTGCCAGACTTGTCCTTCTTCTTGATGAGACCAATTCGTCGACCAGCAAATCCACCGACGGTGCCAAGACCAGAGGCAACACCACCAGCCACAGCGCCTCCTCCTTGGATCACGCCCTTGCCAACGCCTAGAGGGACACCACCAATCGTGGTCATGGCCCTGCCAGCAGTGGCGAAGGAACTAGTGTTGTGACGAACTCGAGCGATAACTGTTACAGTGTCAGACTGATCCCATACAACAGAGGACGAACATACTCTCGGGGGTGAAAAGCATCCTGAAGGTGAGAGCGCCCTTCTCGCCGCGCTTGTCGGTAATGAGGGGCAGGGTTGACTCGAAAGCCTCGAAAGGCTCAAGGGCAGCAAGATCGACAACGTTGCTACCAAGAGGAGTAGCGGTTCCGACTCGATCCCAGTCAAAGACCTCAAAGTTGAACTTGGCGGCGACACGAGAGGGTACCATGACCTCGAAGCTCTCGTTCCAGACAGGGTGCACAGTCCTGCATGCTGTCAGCACCGCACATGGACGCATGTAAGCAGCTCACTTTTTCTTTGTTTCAGACTTGAACACCTTCATGCCGTTCAACGAGAACACGACGTAGGGCTATATATGGTCAGCAAACATCCATGATACATGTGACCATACTCACGTCAGACTTGCCACTTCGGTCAGCGCCGTGGACACCAGTAGCCTCGACGACGTCAACTCGAAGGATACCCATGTCTGGGCAAAATTAACTCTGATGACTGGCCATTTGTAGGTGGACTCACTGTTGATGCTCTCACGAGGCTCGAGAGTAATGTCGACAGGCACGAATCGAGCAGCCAATTGGACAGTGGTCTTGTTGCGACCTTCCTCGTCAACAAGAACAAATTCGGAAGGAGCGTTCTGTGTGCCCAAAGTCAGGGGCCATCAAACGCAAAGCTCAATCCAAAGCGACTCACGATACATTGTTCCAAAAAGTCCTTGGTGTTGGTCTTGAACTCGGCCACGACGTCCTCCTTGCTGTTCTCATCAGCAGCGTTGATCCTCAACCAAACTCGGCTGAAGTCGAGCTCCCTGATAAAGCCCTCGCCGACTTGGTCCCAGGTGGGGGTGTTGCTTCGAGCCTTCTCGGAAGTGAAAGCAGGCCAGTAGCCATCGTCCAACATGACTTCGAGAGAACCCTTGCGAGCAAGGTTACCAGAGATGACTTGGAATACCAACAAACCAGATTCTGAATGGGGGTCAGTTACCCGATGCCTATAATGAAGACAGACTTACGGTTCTGGAGGATCTCCTCGTTGGACATGACGATTCCTTGTTCGGGGTCCTCAGCAGCAGTCTCGGGCTGGGCCTCTCCATCAAGGACAGGGGCAGGGGCAACGGTGCCGGTCGGGGGAACCTCGCCGTTGGTGATGGGGGCAGGAGCAGTGTTGACTTGACCGCCAAGGGCGTCGACAGGCGCAACCTTGACCGAACCGTTGGCCTCGGGCGATACTTCAGCAACACCAGTGGGCTCAGTGCCACTGACAGCAGCCTCAGCCTCGGCGGCCTCGGCAGCAAGTTCGAGTTCGTTCTTTTGCACATCAAAGGAGACACCACCTCGAAGAGACACAGCAGGCTTAAAGTCGACCTCGTAGTGGAGTTCACCCTTAAAGTGGTTGGCCTTGTCGAGTTTAATTTGATCGCGTCTGATTTGGTGACCGGTAGAGACATAAGGATACGCTTGGTCGTCGCTCTTCTGGATGTAGTCGCCGGAATTGATCTCGACGTAACCGAGGGACCTGTCCTTGCCTATGTTTTGGTAGTCCATAAGCTCAAGGAAGAAGTTTTCGCGGGTAGAGTGGACAGGGACATAGACGATCTGATCCCATTCAGGATTGAGATTGCTGTTGATGACCTCGGTACGAGTCACGACTCGGTTGTTGCCCATAACCCTAACGTAAGGATCAGATTTACCACCCAAAGCGGCCTCAACGTTCTTGACGTCAACAGCCTTCTTGAGCCAGACACGAAGAATACCGATGGGAGGGATGTAAGAGTTGGCACCACCAATGGAGCCAGTCATGGCAACAGGTTTCCACTCGGCAGACATTCGGATCTTACCGGAACGAGAACCGGACAGAGGGAACCAGTCCTGCTGTTTCTCCTTTGCCTCGAGCAAGTCGGCCAACCGGAGGGTGACCTTGCCCAAGCTGGGGTTGGAAGCAAAGTCTCGGTTGTCGGTGATATCAACGGTGAAGACAGAGTTGTGCTTTTCGGGAACCAAAAACTCGGTAGCCTCTTCCCAGATAGGTTGGTTGACATGCTTGAGAGTCTTGGTCCTGTGAACCTCTTGTTTGCTGTTACCGAGGTAGACACGAGCGAAGGGGTTGAGAGCGCCACCACTGAGGGCGGCGCCGGAGACTTCGAGGTCCTTGGCCTGGTGAAGGGTAAGACGGACGATACCAGTTTGAGTGTCGGGGATAGGCTCAGGGGTACCATCGGCACCCTTCTCGGCCTTGAGCACGGGGAAGTAGGACAAGTCGTATCGCACCTCGCCTCGTTCTTTACCGCCGCCTAGGATCTTGCCGACATTGCCTTCCTGCTCGGCGTCTTCAGCGAGGGAGCCGAGCTCATGGGAGGCGGTACCAAGCAAGGTATCGGGCCTGTGGTCGTTAAAGTCGTAGACGTTGAGGTTCAAAACATCGGCCAAAGTGTTGATAAGGAGGAACTGGGTCTCTTGGAAACTGGGGTTCGGGTTGGAGTTAACGATCTTGGTCTGGCCAATGGCAGGCTTGGCGCCGAGAGAGAAAGACACATAGGGGTCGGGGTCGCCTCCACCAAGCTTGGTAGCCTTGAGACCACGAGCATCCGTGACGGTGACTCGGAGGACACCGATAGCAGCATCAAGAGGGGTACCGGACAAGAGTTGTTCCAAATCGATAGTGAACGAGTTGGGGTCGTACATCATGGGGCCAAGGTTGGCATGCACCTGGTCGCGAATGAAGGGCGCAAGAGCAGGGATACTGTTGATGTCGAAACCAAGAGTCTCACCACCGATGGGCTTGAGAACGTAATCAAAGGTAGGCTTTTCAATGAAACTGATGTCGACGGTTTGTACGTGGGGGAAGTTGGTCATGAGCTTGAGCTTGATCCTACAACAGTATCAGCGGCTGTCATCTGCATCCGATGCGACAGAAACGGACCTCATCTTTCCAGAGAAGCTCATATCCTCCAAGAGGATGGGAAGCGCCTTGGACACGACACCTTTACCGACACGGATGGAGAGGACGACCTTGGGGTTGACCTGCTTGGCCTGTTGGCGAGGAGTGACGTCTTGGATGTCGTTGGGAGTGAAAGAAATGGCCCAGTCCATAATCACAATGTCCTCGGGGCTGTGAAAAGTTGGTCAGCTACTTTTCATGAAACTGGAAAAGGGCGCTCACGTCTTGGGGAAAGTTCGTACGTAGTCGATTCGAGGAGCCTTGGTACCGACTTCAAAAAATCAGCTCCATTGACCATGACGGTACGTAAACGTACGGGTAAAAGTGGTCATGCGGATGCTGTCTACACCAGGAGGGGCGACGCCGGCAAGGGCAGCATCAGTACTTGCGATAATGGTCTGACTCAAGACGGGCTCGTAGCTGCCATTGGGTCAGTTGCTGTTACTTTTCGCGCGACGGCATAACTCACATAAGCCAGAATCGTTCGAGGAAAGAGTTGATCCAGTCTGCGCTCTCGGTCTCGGTGACGAGTCTTGTCTTAACGAGCTCTCTCTGGATGTCATCCCGGGCTCGGTCTCGGGTACGTTGGATAGAGTTGGAGTAGTAGGAGGCGCAGAAGGCAAAGATAACTAATACCCATCCCCAGCCAAGACCGAGGGTGGTGAAAAATCGAGTAGCGAGAACAGAGAAGGCAATCTAGAGCATCTCGGATTAGTACAAAAAGCGCAAACTAGAGGATAGGACCTACGATAGCGGCATTGTGGTACCAAGCGCCGTACATGGTCTCGGTGCTGGCACAAAGTCAGTGTACCTCGCGCGTCTGTGTAGGTGACTCACAGGTAGGTATCCAGAAGACTCGCTTCTTGTTGAGCCTTCGCATTCTGTCCAAGACCGGCTGCTTGAGCCCAGCCAGCCTTCACCTGCGGGTTTCGTCAACGACCATCCTCTCTGACCGCTGCATCTATACTCACCCAAGTAGGCACTGAAGGAGCGGCGTTGGAAGGAATAGCACCGGGCATGTTCTCCTGAGAAGCGGTCAGCAATGTCGCCCGCTAGACACGCGGTGAACATACAGCGTCACCGCTTTGCCCTTCAGCGCGGGACGCCTTGTCGATGTCTGCAAGCGTCACGGTTGGCTTGGGCGTGTTGCCAGCTGTAGATGTATCGATGGTGACAGCTGCAAAGAGTCAGCATGCGGCGACCATGAGTGCAGAGACATACCTCGAGCACCTCCCCCGCTTCCCGAGATACCTTCCTTGACCTTGTCCCGGCTAGGCAGTCCGAGCTGGGCCTTGGCCTTGGCGGCAGCGGCAGCCTTGACAGCGGGCGACGCATCGGGGTCGAACATCTGCGGGGTATGGTGTGAGAGCGGTATGGAATTTTCAAGCGGCTCAGACATACGTGAACTGCGGCACCTTTGAGCTGGTCTTGGTTGACTACACCGCCGACGGCCGAGCCGACCCCGCCGACAAAGTTGCCTGGGGCCTTTGCGAGGTTCTGGAAGGTCTGTCCGTTGGGGATGGCATGGTCGAATGCCTTGATGATGGGCATTGTGCCGGATGGAGAGGAGGAAGAGAAGTGTTTGCATCTCATGCCGCGGCAGCCGGTGAATTATAATTAATTATAATTAACGACCAACAATTCCAGGATGACGTGAGGCGCAGCACCCCGCCCTGCACTATCGCTTTTGCTCCCGCCCCTTGGCTAATCCCGAACTGCTCCCGCCCAAACTCCCCTCCCCAAATTTACATCTCCATCTCTCATTCCTTCTTCATCCTCCATCTCTCCTCCAACAAGCCTTCAGCGCCCCATCAAGCATGCAGCTGCATACCTAGTCGTGCTCAGCAGTACCGTTCAGCGCTTCCCATCACGCCACGCCATACCCCCATCACCCCATCACCGACCTATTCCTTCGCACGCCTTTTTTATTCACGATCGACGCTCAATTCGTTAGCGCTCGGACGGGGAAAGAGAGGCAAGATTGATACCAGTTATGGCCCAGGGTGTGAACTCTGACTTTAGTCGGTTGGAGACGACATCTGTTGGGCTCTAGTCTTTGTTTGGGAGACTCGAGCTGCCGGGTAGATTGGGACATCTCTTTCATAGCATCATGTATTTTGTTATCTTGATCATCTGTGGTGATGCAAGAAGGGCTTTACACAGACACGGACACTGCATCACGCCTTTGCACAATCATTGCACTTGGGAGCAACTTGGGAGAGATGTGGGTGTGTCGGCATTGTCCGCTCGGCGCACCGGTGGTCCGGTGCTCCCGGATCAAGCTTGTTTCGTTGTTGTTTCGAGATCCCAGAGTATCATATTCTTGCACTCACTGCACAAGATGTCTGCTGAACTCGACCTCGACTCTATCCTCCAGTTCACCATCCAGCTGGCTCTCGATGTGCGTCCATGCGCACCTTGGCCTGCCCTCGCTGACCCCCTACCCAGGCCGGCAAGCTCATCCGAGAAGGCCAAGAGAACCGCTTCGCCTCCGAGAGCACCCATGAAGATGAAAAGCTCAACAGTGTCGACGTGAGTACTGAATGCGGGTGAAGGACACGAAGAGTAACCATGCCGCCTAGCTTGTGACAGAGGTCGACAAGGCTGTTGAAAAGTTCATTGTCGGCAAGATCACCGAGGCCTATCCGGACCACAAGTTGTACGTGTATCCCAAGCCATGATACGCTCGCTAACCATATGGCAGTATTGGAGAGGAGTCCTACGATGGCCAAAAGATCACCGATGCGCCTACTTGGATTGGTAAGTCTTATTGCCAACACGACGCCGTATGTAGCTGACGCGTTTGCAGTCGAGTGAGTATATAGAAGGACTTCTCGTGTATGAGATCGCCTTGCTTACAATATCAGCCCCATTGATGGTACTACCAACTTTGTGAGCACGAGTCCCTCCTATTTCCTCACGTCCTGACGCCCTTGCGTAGGTTCATGGCTTCCCCATGGTCGCCACGTCTATAGGTCTCGCTGTCAAGGGTAAACCCGTTGTCGGTGTCATCTACAACCCCTTCCTCGACCAGCTCGTAAGTCTTTGCCTCTCATGACTGCTTCTGCACCCTGTTTACGTTTTCTCAGTGGTCCGCTGCTAAAGGCATGGGCGCCTACTTGAACCAGAAGAGGAAGCTCCCTATCACTGGTGCCCAGAAGCCCTTGCCTTCTTTGGGCCAGGCTTTGTGAGTTGTGCTCAGTCGAGCGAGTGCATGCGACTGATAGTTATTCAGGATCGGGGTCGAGTATGGCATGTCTCGCTCTCCCCCCGCCCTTCCTCGAAAGGTCGCCGCCTTCCAGAAACTCACAGCGCACGCCGACCACGGAGGAAAGATGGTCCACTCTCTCAGGAGTCTTGGTAGCGCTGCCCTCAACATCGTGCTGGTCGCCAGTGGTGGTCTCGATATGTGAGTCCACATGCTTCTGATGAGGCTATACCCGCTGAAAATTGCTCCAGGTACTGGGAAGTCGGAGTGAGTAGCCTGGCACAACTTTGGTAATGCATCGCTGACCCTCGACTCTTCTAGTGCTGGTCTTGGGATGTCTGTGTATGTCAAAGCTCACCTTATTGAATTGTGTACGTGCTGACATCCAATCAGGCTGGTATCTGTATCTTGGAGGAGTCCGGTGGCCGATGCTTCGGAGCCAAGACTACAGAGCACACCGGAGAGGTCGATGCGGAGCTTATGGGTAAGCATCGTCCTGATATGACTCTTGTCACCACCTGTGTGAGCTGTGATTAACTTTCATACAGCCTCCAGAAAGTACCTCATGATTCGAGGTATCAAAGAGACCGAGGCGAGTCCACCACTTCCATTGGAGCCAAGACCTGACTTTTTCGCAGACCGAGTCGTCTCTTGACCAGCAAAAGAGGTTTATCAACGAGTTCTACGACTGCCTCGAGGATTTTGAGCCTTAAATACCTAGCCGTTGTCCCTAGCTGGTCAGGTTGATGTGATGCACGCTGAAACATGTACGGAGAGTCCATCATAAGGCAACCACGAGTCACTCCAACCCAGCAACCCGGGCTATCAGGTCCAACGTGCCCTCAGCCCATCCAAGATCATTGTGCCCACCGTGTATCCCTTCCCACCATATGACTTGGCCTTTCTCCCCTCTCTGAAAAGATCGCACTGTCCCCCATCCTTCGTACTGTCTTTCTTCGAACCCTTCGACATCGTCCCCTCCAGTGACATACGGCGCCATGAGAGACCCAAACAGTACAGATGAATGTGTGTGAGGAATGGTGTCATCGTTGACAGCGTGGAGTAGTAATACCGGTGCTGCTACGTCTTGCAGGGCAGCACGGGAGCTGAAGGGATGCTGCAGGAATGACCGGAAGTAGGCTGCAAAGATTGGTTAGCAAGAGTTTGCAGTCTACAAACCAGACCCACTTTGCAGGCAGGGTATAGAGCTCAAAGGTCCCAGCATTGGAATGAATTTGAAAAACCTAAAACTATCATGACCATGAGCTTTGCGGTCCATGTACTTTAGTAGCGTGGCGTTCTACCTGGTGAGAAGCTCTGTGACGGATGAGAAGGGCGCAATCAAGACAAGTGCTCGAGGCGTGATACCTGATTGTCTCTGACTTAGTTTATACTCTTCTGCAGACTTACACCCACCTTCTCGAGCGAGGAGCCCACCTAGACCTGAAACGACGCCTGTGCCCAGGCTTTGGCCGACCAGTATCACTTTCTCCTCTGCGTTTTCAATCCCAGTGAAACTCGTCACATAATCGAAAGCTGCCCTTGCATCCTCAAGCACACCTTGCTCTGATGGACTGCCAGTAGAGTCACCATACCCGCGATAGTCTATGGCCAACACGTTGCAGTCGAGTGAATTGGAAAAGGACGAATAACTACGGACGCGATGTGATGCTGCCCTGTTTCCAGCCTGTGCCGAAAGTCAGTTCTTCGTATAGGGTATAGACTAGGGTAGGCATGCTGACATTGCCATGAAAGTAGATTATTGTGGGCCTGTCTCGGAAAGCTTGATGAAAGTCTGACGCAGATAGAGCACTTTTCGGAGGGAAAGGCGTGGACGCAGCATACACTGACCTCGGCCTGATCACCAGCAGGACCTGATCAGAGTGCTTCCCAGTTTGACGTGTGTGATGAACACTCACTCACAGTACATGCCATGCTCCGAGAGAAACTCCGTTAGTCGAATTCAGAGCAAAGTTCCTTGCTTTGAAAGCTGGCAGATACCCGACATCAGCTCACATCTATGTGACGCAAAATCGGTTTTACGTGCGAGTCCATACTGCTCGGAATGGGCAAAGTCGGCGAACAAGGGTATGGGTATATGATGCAGGAAGATGAGTCTAGACATGGCGGGCCTCAGCTCTGTAGACCATGTCGATGACAGCAGGGGCTCACTCTCGCTGTACGGTCCCGACGGTGAGAAGGACGAGGAAGAGCCCATAGACTCCAAGTAGGATGGCGGGGACCCAATGTGCCTTCTTGATGAGAGGGTGTACAGGCATGTCAAAGCGTGGGTCAAGAGTTGAATCAGAATCTCGCGATTGAGAGAATAGAGGTGAAGCCAAAGTCGGCGTCGGCACTCGGCACTTCTCGCGGGCTTGATTGGAGGACCAGCTAAAGCCACAGAGCAGTGACAGAGGGCACAGACACTGCAGTCAAAGCCGCCGATGACTGGTACAAGCGTGCAATCGTTATGTACAGCTCGAGCCAATGGACATCACAATGTAGACCTCACGCTCCTCTACTCCATGACGTGGACCGCGGAGCGATTCCGATCACCTAGAACCTGGCACAGATCTTCTAAACAAGTGTTTCATCTGATTATCAACAGCTTGGAATAAGCATAGCTGCACCCATTTCAATGCTTCCCATCCTCAAAGTCCATCACGACAGCGTCGACGACGCCCAACTCTCCTAGGGCACTCTTCTACCGGACAAGCGTCAGCGCCTTCGCAAGCATGTTTACAGACCCTGCTTACCTTGAACTCCTCGTGAGCGGGATCCTTGTACAGATAGTAGTCAAGATCGTTCCTGTTCTGCGATCACGACGCCGATCAGTAGATGTCCTGGCCGTCCAGGGAGTATATCCTACCTCGAATTCCATAATGAAAACGACCTCCATGCCCTTGTTTCGACCCTCCGTTTCCAAGACATTCCCACCTTTCAAGTCAAGGATGTAGGGCTTTTTGGTATCCGGGTTGACGCAAGATCCTTGCAGCAACCGCAATTTCTCGGTGAGGAGCCCGAGAGAGGCTTCCGGGTTGGAGATCTTGAAGGATACTACGTATCATCGACATGTTAATCTCGAGGCGGTATCACGCGGCAGTGATCCTACGCACCGATGTGGAAGATAGCCATAGTGTCCTGGTGGTATCTTACGATCCAGTAAGGTTGCAATAAGAAGTAACGACGGTGGAGCACGGTTCTGAGTACCCGGGCCCATGGTAAATAACGCTGTCATTAAGATTCATTAGGGGGAGGGTGATTCTGACGGAGGATGGATCTTAATAACAGCGCTATTCACCATGGGCCCGGGTAACACGGTCACAACGATCTATTCTTAACTGAACCCGATGGTGAGTCTGAGGCCATATTTTCTCCGGCCCAGGATTCTCCTCCCTATGTAGCAATGTCCTGGAGTCAAATTCATGCTGCACGAATCATCACAGTCTACTTTTACTGACACGGATTCCCCGTATATGTAGTCAACAGATGCCATGTCGGAACCCCGAAACCCAAGTCACGATCACTTCGCGGCCGCCTTCTTGTTCTTCTTGCCAAAGAATCCTCTGCTGCCTGCACCCTCCTCAACATCGCGCTGCTCCATACCTGACCCCGGCGCAAACAACTCTCTCAGATCCTCCGGGGGTACACCATGAGCAAGAGCTTCTGATGCGCTGATTGTGCTGGTGTCTTGGTGAAGAGATGCCAGGTATTCTTGTCCTCTGATCGTAAGATACTCTTCAAGCCTTGAGAGAAGAGCGTTAGCAGGACCTCAATTGAATTAGGGCGATACGCACAAGAGAGCATTTCTAGAGTTTGCCTTCCACGCCGCCAAAAAGATGTCTCCTGCTACGGGTACCAGCCTGAAAGGGGCGCACACGTCAGTCTCGGTCAAGTCATACTGTATGAAAAGTATAGTCCTCACCCTAATCCTGCTGATATAGCATTGTTGAAGAGCATCTTGTGAACCAGACTGTCGGGGATATCCAGCTTCTTTGCGGGCTTGACGATGAGGAAATAGTTCAGGCTTGCATCCACAGCATCACCAAGGCCGGGAATGATACCTAAAAGCTATATCAGCTTTACATCCCAAAGTCAAGAAAAGGCTAGTCCTACCAATGAAGAAGGTGTAGCCAACTCGGAAACCGCACAGATTCATACCCTTGTCGACTAGTCGTAACGGTCAGAACGCTGATCATGGTCACGCATGAGTACCTACGATTATGTGCTCGTTTCCTAATCTTGCGGAGAGCTCGCTGATCACGCTTGGAAAGCCCTTTAGGGAGGTCTCTCTAAGTATCGTGAGCTTAGACCCATAACAGACTGCTAGGAGATACGCACAATTACACGCTTTTGCTTTCCCTTTGCATCCACACTGAACGCGTAGAGGGGGTCGTCTGGCCCTTTTTTCGACAAGTTTGTCTTGAGCATCTTGGTGAACACCTTTCCAGCGATCGACATGTTGGAGGTATGAGGGTGGGCAGTTGCGGGCGGTTGAGCAGGGGCGATGCACTATGGCTGGGAATCTTGTTGTGGGAAGTGGGAGGGGGCGGTGGGAAGGGTTGTGAAGATGCAGAAAAGAAAAGGTGTTGTGATATTTTCCTTCTCTGATGAAACACAGCAACGGAAATCGCATTGTGCTGGGTGGCAAATCACCGTCGTGACGCGTAACTGACGTTGGTGGCGCGGAGCCCCACGTAGGGACGTTCAAGCTCGGGCAGCATGTTGTTCTTGCAATAGGTATATAATCTATACACAGATGCATGGGGCATGGGGCATGGGCACGCATTGCTCTGATGGCAGATAAACTTCTATAATATGCAGAAAGATCCGTGTTCACCCTTTTCGATACAGTACGTTCAAGCAAACCTATGCAATGCAAACTATGCCAAATCACCCAGATCTATTATTTTCACGAAATACCTCTCTGCTCCGGTACACCTAGCGCTCGATTTCGGGCTCCACAAAAGAAACACTCGGCCCATCCCCTGTACTCTGCACACTCGCAGTCCTGGACATGGTCAACGCGGGGTTCCGCCTGAAACCAGGGTTGTTGCTCCCATAGTTGGCCTGTCCCGGAGCAGTCTCAGACGACATACTGGTATCCTCAGCAAACCTGACAGCTGGTCTGCTGGAAGACATTGTCCTGGTAAGTGGGATACCCAGGGACTGGCTCTGAGTGCGAGAGTCGTCGGGAACGGATTGAGGGCGATTGAGTGCGGATGACGGCGCCAGCAGGGAAGAGTCGGGAATGGCAGTACCTTCTTCAAGCCGCGAGGGAGAACTGGATGACTGCTGTCGTCTCCCGAAAAGGCGAGCACGGATGGATCGCCGAGGTGGGCCTGCACTATTTTGTCGAGAGACATGGATAGCAGGTGGCCGTTGATACTTTCTCGCCTGGCGAGTAGGCTCCTCGCCTTCAACATCCTCATAGTCTTCCTCATTTTCTACTCCCTCCGAGCCGTGGGAGAATCTGTGGTTGTGGTGGCCCATTCTACCCTCTTCCGCCAGAGACTCTGGGCTGTCAGTCCTCTCTATACGAAAGGGACTTTCTGACATTTCGGAAGGAGTGCCGACAGGCGTGCCTGCAGGTCGCATGAGACCCAGACCCAACCTATCAACGGCGTTCTTGCCACCATCCTGAACACGCGAGGTGGCGTGTTCAAGACTCTTTGGCAGATGTTGAAGCAACTCGTCGAGCTCCTTTGATTTGAGTCGATGGGGGTGGGTAAAGCTTTCACGCTCAGGCTTCTTTCCATCCGAGAAATGGTTTCTGATGACCTCAACCTCTACCTAAAACTTTTGTTAGCGAAAATATATAACAATGTCGACGATGGAAATACCTCATCGCTGTCCTTGGCTTTACGCTCAATCACCAGATGAGGACCTTCCCTATACTCTGCCAGGGGCGGTGTGCTCCTGCCTCCACTATGTATGATCTCGTCTCCCTCCTCCTCCTCCGCCTGCTCCACAGATGACTTGGGACTTTCGTCCCGCGATGTCCTTGACCTTCGCGGCTCGAGCTCGACTGTTTCTGCTTCTTCGCTTCCCCGACTTGATCTCCGCCTCTTTTCCACCATCTCGATATCCTCGCCCGGTCTGCCTCCAGACGAACTGCTACCGCCACTGTCTTCTTCGACAATCTTTCCTCCCAGGTGGACATTGGCCTCGCTGTGCAAGGTATCCCTCCGCACGATACCCAGATCGCCCTCCTCATCGTCATCATCTCGGTTGATGACAATGTCTTGACCAGGAACGACGCGTCGCGCATGGGTGGTCCACGCCGGCTCGTCGCCCCGAGTATCCATAGAGAGATTGCGGGATCGGGTGTAGGTGATGGAGTGGACTCGTCGACCGAGGGAGAAAAAGGGGATTGACATGCCGTCTACGCTTGTCAGATGACCCTTCTACTATGAAAGTACTCACGGGTAACGACCGAAGACAAGACCAAGAATGCAGTGATAGGGCCAATGACTTCTCTCAAACGATCAACGACTTCGGTATTCATGTCGGCTTCTCCTTCAGGCAGAGACGTTCGAGCGAGTGTGGAGATAAAGATGGCACCGACACCCATGGGACCGAACCACCCTGTAAACATGGCTTCTCGGAAAGTCTTGATGTCGGGAATGAATTTATAGCAAGCAATCATGGCGGGAAGCCGTCGGACGAGGAGGACGAGGAGGGCCAGCACCACCAGACGCCATACTCGAAGCTACATTCTGGTCAGCGGGACTCCTCCATCAACGGGCACAGTACTGACGTCAGGGGTGTTAAAGTTTGAAAAGGGTATGAGGGCGCCAATGTAGATGAAGGCGGCACAGTTGAAGAGCAAATCGATGACGTTGGAGAACACTGCATCTTCAGTGGCCTTGTTGAAGAAACCACTACACACAATGTCAGCGTGGCAAACATGAGGGGCTTATCTGACTCACTCCCAAGCAAAAGCACAACCACAAGCAAAAGCGGAAAGTAAATCATCACTTCCAAGTAGTGAAGTAACACCTAAGGCCTGATAAGCGACAATTCTCGATTTTGCGGAAAGGACTCACCAATGGTCATGACAGCCAGACTGACATACTGGGCAACATAAGACTGCCTATCCACCAAGCGCTTCCTCTCTGCGAATTTCATGAATTTTCTTGCACTGAATCCAAGCACGGCACCAATCAGAATGCCAAGAACAATTTCATAAGCCCTGCCATATTTGTCAGCCAGTCCGAGAATCTTTTCCAAGCAGCCTTACCATGTCATGTAGAACCATTCTCCAACTGCGTGGCCGGGGCTGTTGTCCAGAAGGAGGTAGAGGGCGATGTAGAGGAAAGGAAAGGCGGCACCATCATTACTTCCACTTTCGGCGGATAAAAGATGTCGGATATGGGCAGGCACATGTTGGTCGGCAAACTTGCCACCAACAACGGCTTGGGCCAGAATGGGATCGGTAGGGGTGACACCGGCTGCGATGACCAGCGAGGCGAGGAAATTGAGCCCTGGAATCAGTCCCCAGATCAAAAGGGCTGAAATCATCCATCCCCAGAGCATACATGGGCCAAGGAGGAAGAATAGTGATCGCCAATGCCTCTTCATGTATGCCTTTGGTCCACACATCAGCATGCTTTGCCTCCCCCACCTTGTCAAATCAATAGGATACTCACCTTTGGCAGTTCAACACCGACTGCAAAGACGGAAATAGCAATGACTACCCGGGTGACCTCGAGCGTGATCTCGTCCACGGTATCGTCATTCCCGTTTGCCCAGCCTGAGGGATTGAAAAGCCTTAAACAATGAGGACCGATGATGATTCCGATGACTGTTGCGAGCGGGGCTTCACCGATGTACAGCTTTTCCTTGAGGAACAAACTGAGCATGCCAAAGAGGACGACAAAGCCACCGAGGAACGTATAGGCCAGATGGGCGGCATTGACTTCGAACGGGCTGAAGGCCGGCATGGTTGCTGATGGGGGAGGTGGATGGGGGGATGAGGGGATGAGGGGAGCCTAGGTCATTCCTGCCTGGGGCGGGGGGAGGATGGGCGGAGGGATGTGGTCAGCAAACAAGAGTAGAGTAGAAAGAGACACAAATTGAAATTCGCGCCAAGCGTCAACACTCGGATGCCTCGGCTTCTGCTGCTGCGTCCTTGCTTGGCATCCCTGCTTACGTACACACCTGCCACACCGGCAAACGCCGCAACCCCGTCACCGCTATAAGGAAATTGTCGACGTCTTACTGTTGCATGCATGCACCACCATCCACCATGTCCCGCCCCCTCCAAGCCGCCCTCAGAGCCCACCTCGCCCCCGTCGCAGGCCCCTCCACCCCCCGCCACTTCGCCACCTCCCAGCCCGCCGCCGTCTCTCAGCGCAAGCTCGTCGCAAAGCGCAGAAAGGCAGCCAACATTGCCCTCCAGGCATCAAAGGTCCGCAGGCCAGAGAACGTCGACCCCGTCTTGGGCAAGGTCTACTACAAAAACACGCCCGTCACAAACGCGTGGGAAGGATGCCGGTTACAACGGATCCTTTTGGACTACAACTCGATAGCCTACTCTATGCCCCCCGACTATGCCAGCGGTGAACGGCCAGATCTGTTGCTGCCGGGCGTGAGCAAGGAGGATGCCGACCTGCTGTTCAGCGCTGTCCCCCATGCGAGCTCGGAGCTGCGGTTTGCTGCCGGTAGTGGCAGCCCGGCGACCGAGCGGGAGCAGACGCAGCAGAGCGAGACTTTGATGCGTATACTCGACCTGAGGAATGCTGCCAAGGAGGACGTCAATGCGTGGAACAAGAGGCGGATCGTGGACGAGTTTGGCGCTGGTACCGACACTGGCAGCAGCTCGGTACAGGGTGAGTCGATCCAACTGCGCTGCTGCATTGGCTGACAACATCATCAGCTGCTCTCCTGACCGCCAAAATTCACAATCTTCTCGCGCATATCGAAAGCAACAGCAGAGATACCTCCAACAAGCGCTCCCTTCGATTGCTGGTGCAAGAGCGTGCGCGACACCTCAAGTATCTGAGACGGAAGCAGGGTCAAGAGGTATATGAAAAGCTGTTGGAAGATCTGGGGCTCAACAAGGAGGCCGTCGAGGGAGAGCTGTTTATCGGGTTCTAAGTGAGTGCATTTCCATCGCTTGTTTCCTGTATACCACCTTTCTTGCGATTTCGCGTGATGCTTAACAAACCTGATTTAATGAGCCTGAGCCTTTTGGTCTGGACGACAACCTTACTTGTTCCTGATACTTATCCATTCTCTTTACATTTGTACGACATGTTTAGGGATCATGGCTGACCGTGCTATTCTACAGGCGCTGGCTCGAGGACAATCAAAACCTCTCCTTCCTCCACCCCTTTACCCTTCACGACACGGACCTCGCCCACCACGCCGTTCCTGCCCGCCCTCACATTGATCTCCATCTTCATACTCTCTAGCACACAGAGAACCTGATTCTCCTGTACCACATTGCCCTTTTCCACTTTGACTTCGATCACTGTGGCGGGCATGGGTGACACAAGATTGTCTATGGCACTGGATGAAGAGGCGTCTGTACCAGTAGGGTTGTCGAGGGCAGAAGGGTGGTGCGTTATAGTATAATGAGATGATGACGAAAAGACATGCAGTCTCTCTGAACGATTCACAGCGGGTACAGGGATAATGGTGCTGGAAAAGCGTGTAGTTCCTAGCTGAGCCTGCAGGTCGGTCGCAGTGTTCAATGATCCAATCACTGTCTGCTGGTACACTTGTCCCTGCTCGTCTCGGATGACGACCTCGTAGCCCACGTCGGAAGCTACCAAGTCGACGTAGACGTCGTCGAGGCTGTAAGAGCTGGTACTGACATCGCCGAACCGTCTGTGAGCAAGAGTAGCCCAAGGTCCAGCTGCGTCTTGAGCAGCCTTGTCTCGAAGGACGAGGTACAAAGCTACCTGGGCCAACACCTCGTGAGGGACGACTCGGGGCGGGAATAGCTCATCGTGGTGGCTCTGGCTACTGTCAGTTTGTATCGCTTTTAGCTAGATATACTCACGGGGACAAAGCTCGTCTCGACGGGTCCGCTCGCAAACTTTTCATGACCAGCAACCGAACTGAGGAAATCAATGTTGGTTGACGGCCCGACAATCTGGTATTCTTTCAAGGCTGAAAGCAGCAGGGCAAGGGCTTCTGGTCGGTCTTTGCCATGGACAATGAGCTTGGCAATCTGCTCCACATCAGCCAACCCCATACTTTATGCGCCAAGGCTTACCATAGGATCATAGTGCGAGCTGATATCGTCGCCCTCTCTAAAGCCCGTCTCCAACCTATGGGGAGTATTGATAGGTGCTCGAGCGTGCAAGAGCCGTCCAGCATCGGGCAAAAAGTTGCTACAGGTTGGTGAGCCGAGTCCCAAGTAGTTGAGCCCTTACCTTTCCGGTCGCTCGGCGTATATACGCGCTTCGAATGCGTGCCCAAGGCAGGGGATCTGGGCTTGCGAGAGAGGAAGTGGGTTGCCTGCAGCGACCTGCCGCTTGTCAACGACAATCCCTAGTGAGTATCCACACTCACAGAAAGCTGCCATTCTATCAAATCCTGGCCAGTGATCATTTCTGTGACCGGGTGTCTAGAACTCGTCAGCGGGATCCGATCCCATACCGACGCTTTATACTTACTCGACTTGCAGACGAGTATTCCTATAGTCGAGTCAGCTCGGTCCCAGACGACTTGTACCCACATTTCCATGAAAAAGTATTCTCCCGTCTCGGCGTCCATGATGAACTCGACAGTGCCGGCACCCACGCTGCCAGAGGTCAGTCTATGAACAGCAATGCTCAGCGCTCACTAGTTGATTGCCTTGGCAGCTGCCACGGCCTTTTCTGCAAAGTCTCGCCCCAGCTCGGCAGATAAGCCGGGGGCAGGCGCCTCTTCGATAATCTCTACGAGACCATCAGCATGCTCTGTGAAATGGCTGTTACCCACTTTGATGCCTCCTCTGCACCGAACAATCCCTCTCTCGCAGCGCCACACATTCGCCAAATTGGTCCCCAAACACCTGCACTTCCACATGTCTTGGTCTCTCCAACCACCTCTCCAATAAAACCTCGTCATTACCAAAGCTCTTCTTGGCTTCTCGCTGTGCGGACAAGAGCTCATCTTGGAAAGAGTCGGGGTCACGGACGACGCGCATACCTTTGCCGCCGCCACCGTGAGTGGGTTTGATGAGGAGAGGGTAGCCTGTCTGTTGAGCGCCTGCAAGGAGGGCGTCAAGGGACTGGTCGGATCCGTGATAGCCTCTATGAGTGTGTGAGTCACGGTCTGGTATTCTACTGTATGCTTACGGCACACATGGGACTCCTGCAGCTGAGCATGTTGTCAGCGGCGTACAGTGCAGTGGAAGTCAAACTTGCCGATCATGATATCTTTGCTTTCCTTCTTACTGCCCATGCTCTTGATAGCCTCAACAGGAGGTCCAATGAACACCAGCCCAGCGTCTCTCACTTGCTCGGCAAAGATGGGCGATTCCGAAAGAAAGCCGTAGCCTGGGTGAATGGCCTGTTCATGTGTCAGTCCTTACTCGAGCCTCAAGAAAGCGCAAATATACTTGAGCACCCGTAAGCCGGGCAACCTCGAGTATCTTGTCCATCCTCAGCTGCAATCTCTTGTTAGCCCTGCACACATAGTGGGCATACCCGACTTGCGTAGCTCTCAGAGCTCGCCGCAGGACCTATACAGTATGCTTCGTCCGCCTGGGCAGGGTCAGCCTTAGCTCTTGAAGCGTACCGCCGGGTGCTCACCATCTTGACGTGAATACAATCTTTGTCGGCCTCGCTGTACACCGCCACAGTGGCCACTCCAAGGCGTCGGGCTGTACGGATGATGGCACATGCAATCTCGCCCCTGCTCATCATCAGTTGCTGCTCACCGAGAGCAAAACGCACCTGTTGGCGATGAGGATCTTTTTGAAAGGTTGCTTGGCAGACGACACTGGGATTTCGCTTCTCAAGTCATTGCCTCCAATGACGATCCCAGGCTGTGCGACTCCTGTGGTGTAGTACTGGGGATATAGGGATGCCGATTGAATTTTGGTGGTGGTGTACCCTCCGAGAGAAGCAAGCGGCACACCAGATCTCTGAAGACGACGTGATGCGGGCAGGATACCGCGGGCGATAGAGTTTGTGAGCGCTCCCATGCTGCAGTATCAGAGTTGTATGGAATGCAAAGAGACAATGCATCCCTGTTCGAGTGCCACATCTCACCAGAAAGCAGTCAAGTGAGCTATCCACCCCGCGGTCACGAGCCCGGGTATGTTCCGAGCCGGAACCAAACAAACCGCGCGCGTCGGACATGTCTTCTTGCTGGCGATAGAGTATCCAGAAGCACATTGCGACCACTGGGGCCAAAGTTTTCATATCATATAGTCAAGAAGTATAAATCGAATAATTTGGAAAAGGACGCCAGGGCCTTGATCCCTGCTCCCACTACCGTCCAGCGATAGCTCCATAAATGCCTATAAACAGGTGAAAGATGAGAAATATAAATCATGACAAGCTGGATAGACGTGTAGTATCAACAGATTATGCTAGCCGGGGTGCGCCTGAGCACGCTTGGCTTGCAGGTATGCGGCTTGACGGTGGAGGTGTCGTTTGGGCATACCGGCTGAACGCTTCGCGACGGTGTTTCGCTTCCTGTTCTTCTTGCAGGTCTTGCCAGAGGTACCTGCAGTACTGTCAGCGATGGCTGTTGGAAGAGATTGAAGACTTACTGGTAGCCGCTTGTGCACCCAGAGATGTCGAACCAGCGCCGAGGGACACTCCGACCGAGGCTCCTCCGGAAGACTGGGTGGAGGTGGGAGACGCACTGGCGGTGGACGCCTGGGAAGACTCGGCTGACGAAGAACCGGCCGAAGAAGACGAACCGGAAGAGTTTGAGCCAGAGCTAGAACCGGAAGAAGCAGAAGCACCGTTCACAACACCAGTGCTATATGATTATCAGCATCGGCCACCATTGACAGCATTGGCTTACGTGTAGCCACCAGAGTAAACGCCAATGCCAGGGAACTGCCAGAGAGTCAAATCATCATCCCAGATGTTGTGCTGCTCCTCCCAGTCGGAACTGCCAAAGCAGCCAGGAAATTTGCAAGTAAGAGAGGGGAGATTAGAGCCTGAAGACGAGAGCTTGATCTCCATGGCGATGGGGTAGTGCTGGGGCTTGTACTCTTCGTGAAGAGCGATGAGCTCATGCCTCAGGAGGTAGGCGCCTGTGATCACGTCAGACCATGCAGTCTCAAGTCTCGGTACTCACCAGAGGGAAGATTAGTGGGCAGTTTAAAAGTCCACTGGAGACCGTTTGCACCCAAGACGTCGGTAGGCCACTGCTTGGTGTGGGCATTGTAGTTGTGTTGGGCGATGGAGAACCAGTCAAGGGTAGTAGCGTCGACCTTGGAGCAGTTGTCGTTGGGGCATTTGGCCATCATCTCACCGATCGGCTGCACGTTGATCAGTGTTGGTCCGACGGTGTACCTGAGAGCGACATACGCCCGGATGGCCGGTAGTAGGCCACTGGTCCCATTGAACGACAACTTCGTCGCCGGCGTTGGCATTGATTGTTCCGACGGGAGATATGTCGTCGAATCGCGAACAAACATCATACCCACCAGTGGCGATGTTGTTTGAGGTGATGTCGGCCCAGCCGAGGTCGAGCTTTTCAGTCTTTCGCTAAGACAGTATGAGAATGGTTACAGAAACATTGGGCGGTGCCTCACGGTATATTTCGTCTCAGGAATCTGGCCGTATACGGGGTCTGCGCGTGCCAGTCAGTCATCAGCCATCACCCCCTTTCAATGGAAGGCGCACCTTGCTCGCGGTACAGGGCGGTGTAGTAGTCGTCGAGTGTCCAGGCGGGGTACTGCTGGCCGCCGACGGAGACCCAGGAGACCTGGCCGTGGGCTGCGACGAGGGGTGCGGCAGCGAGGAGGGCGAGTGCGAGAGAGGAGAGCATTGCTATGGTGAGAAGGAGTGTGGTGCTCTGTCAAAGAGTGGGGTGAGCCGGGATGGGAAATGAATCCGCCTTATGTACTCGCGGCCGTCACAGGTGAGGAAAGCGCACGGCCGTGTTTGAGCATGTTCTTGTTCTTGGCACCAGGACCCTTTGTTCGACGCGTCGCCTCGGGGATGCACGGGGAAATGCATACCCCTACCATCCTGTGGCAATCAGTCGATCAGTCGCACAGAGGTCTCGTCAGCACGAGGCACAAAGTGGTAAACGGTACAAGGAACTCCTTCCATCACCACGATCAAGATACAACTAGAGGTTTCGTGCATTGGCGACTCGGGGCATACTACTCTGCCAGTCTACCAACGAGAAAAGAGAAACACAAGAGGAGGCGAATGGGCAGTGCGGCCAGATGATAGGAGGAGGAGCAAGGACGAGGACATATTGTATGGTGCGCTCAGTCATAGGTCATACCATAGAATGCGGCGCAGGGGTCCTTTTCGAGGAGCAGTTTGATAATCCACCAGAGTGGCGTACCAACAATGACGTGATTGTGCATCCCTCGATGCATGCCTGAGTGCAGCATGGTGCGACGGTCATCGCTGCCCACTTGCCAACAACGTAGAGTGGTTTTCCATTATTGTCTGGTAAGCATGAAGGGGGTAGTCTTCAGCGCCTAGTAATGGCGGCCGTGAGTCTTGAACAGGCCAAGGTTCTGAGGAGCGACGACAGAATGTCAGACTACGTACGTCGAGCCAGTCTTGGGGTGAATCTCAACTAGCGATCTCCGACGTGCGGATGGGGTTGTTTCCAGAGTCATAGCGCCTCATGAGCTTATGAGGGGTTTTGGAGAGGCCGTGGTACCAGAAATCGATCTCGAACAGGGTCATCACACCGGGACAGGCGAGCTGCTATCGTCACTGGGGATGGAGAGTTGGGTGGTGTAGGCAAGCCTTGATGAATCTGGGGGGGGGGCGGACTGGCGTCTCCAAGTCGATCTGGCAGCAATTGAGGTCTGAGATGGAGCATGGTGAGCACGCGGGGACTTACAAGTAAAAGAAAGAGCAGATAGTGCAGAGGGGTGTGGAGAGCGAGGGAGACTTACTGCCAAGACGCCCGGGGTCCCCCTCACGATTTGAACTATATCCTTGACTCTCTGAAGGGCATCTACGAGAGAGTGAGTGAGCGAGTGGACTATGTAGCGACAAGGGCAGCTTACTTACCCATAAAGCCGAGCGTGGTGCTCTTCCTCACTGAGGTCGACTCTTCCTAGAGCGAAAGAAGCGTTTCAAAGATAACCACCGGAGAGCAACCGCTTGCTCTCGTCACGAGTGCCGTGATCCATTTCGGTAGAAGACAGAAATGTCTACGATTCTCATTGCCTCGATAGAAGAAATAGAGGAAGAAGCAGAAGCAGAGATACTTGACCCTGGCGCGGGCATGTCCGCGAGCTGTACGTATGCACGTCAAACGTTGAAGGCAACCGAAGCCAGGCCCTGCATCTCATTTCTGGCACGACCCTCGATAGGCATAACAGTTACCACCTTACATAGCACGACTGGATCATTTCAAAGCCCCACGCCCATATCACGCTACACGTCGTCCGAAAGAGCGATTGCGACAAGCCGACGGGCATGTTGTCGGCCGAGAGCCAATTGTGTCATCCCTTTGCCCAGAGGCAACATCAAGGGCAATCACTTGCCACCGACCTCAAGTATCAATAGAATACAATGTGCATACCAGAATGGATCTAGTTTAATGTGATGAAAATGATGATGGAGACATGTCGTATGTAGCGAGACATGAACTTAAGAAACGTGATATATGTTCAGGAAGAGAATCAAATGTCGTCGCCGATGGAGAGCGAAACCTTCTCTCCTGGCTTGAATGGCGGAAGGCCTGAGGAGATGTCAGCAAGGTCAGGATCAATGGTAGCATTGACGTACCAAGGTAGGGACAGCTCCCGCACCTGAAGGCGTCACCGAGATAGCAACTGCCACAGCTGCTGGTCTTCTTGGCCTCTGCCCGCTTCGCCACAGGCCATACCCCCTCCACACCAACGGTCGCTGTCTTGAGCGCCTCTGGGATATCATCGTCGCCCTCCAAGAAGAAGGCCTTTTGAGCCTCCTTGACGGCCGCCGCACTCTGCTCTGCTTCCTCATCCTCGAGCTCCTTCAGTCCACAGGTACAGTCTTTGCACGCCCTGCGCCGCTTGACAGGCTTGCCCGTCTCGTTGGGAAACACACAGTCTGGGCGAGCACGGTCGGCAGGGGTGAGGAGCGACTTGCCGCCATCAGCAAGGATGGGAGAGTCTACAGCCCACAGGGCGGCCTTCCGAGCCTTGTCACCATTCCGGCGCAGCTGCAGAGGCCTCGCGCCCCCGTTGAGAGGGACGGCAGATGTTGTAGGGGCGGGAGAAGGGACAGAGGGGACGGCGGGAAGTGATGGGGCCGATGGAGCAGTGTAGGCGAGGATGGAGGCGGAAGGTGTCGGCAGGACGGGAGTGAACTGGTGGGCGGCGAGGGTAGAGTGGAGCGTGGGGAGCTGCGGCTCGCTATTTGATGGAAGGTGGATAAAGAGTTGTGTAGAAGGTGGAATAGACGGCAGAAGATTGGACGGGAGGGGGAGGGGAATGACGAGGTGGATCGTGAGGGGAGCGGCGGGCAGGGAGGTGGCTGGAGACGGGCGGCGAATCAGCTTGGGCTCATAGGGGTGTCAGGAGGGGCAACGCACCATTATCGAGAATACGGTCAATCATCTCGCCCTGGACCTTGGCCATGGGCCCGGCGGCAGACTTGAGCTCTGTGAGGATGTGCTGGTAGTCGTCCGACCTCTGCATAGAGCCGAGGACGAGCTGGGTGGAGGGCCCCGAGGCGGCGTTGGCGTGGACGGCGGTCATGGCAGTAGGGGATGCGCCGAGGCGGGAGATGGAAAGATGGAAACAACAAGGGACGGCTGACTCAGTCAATCAGCACCCTCCGAATTGGGTGCCATCATTTTTCCCCTTACATAAGCACCCTTTGCTTCCGCGAACACCCGCCCGGCCATATCCGCCTTGCGTCATGAGTCAACCCCCGGCGCCGTTTGCTTCCATGCATGCGCGATCCAGCACAGAGTATATGTACTCGGGTGGCCAGGCCGTGCTGGGCTATCCTGCCTCCAAGGAATCCGACGAATCCCGTTTCCGGGGTAGACACCGTACACCAGATTAGATCCCGGTGCGCCATTGGTCAGTGGAGCTCTATAGGCGTTGGCCGATACCGGAATGTTCGTATGGACTTAATAAATGGAGCGAGCGATCGTGCAAAGTAGAGTCCGGGAGTCTGATGATCAGCATTCAGACATAGCGTCAGCCACGGCGCATAGCGTCAGCACCGTTCATGGCACTTGGCCGGACGACAGCCCAAAACGCATCCACCATGCCTTGCTCCCCCACCGTGGATCCACGCCCGCGGCCAAACAATAAATGTAAAACATCGTACCATCGCTCACTGGACTATGTAGGCGAAGCGAAGTCGCCCGATTCCGATGTGCGCAGACAGACGCGACGCGTTGATAAATGGCGGAAATTCACGTGTAGGTCACGTGATGTGCGGATGGAGCTGCCCGAAGGGGAAATTCGGGTGGGATCTCGGAAGGACGAGGAAACGAAAGAGGCACGATGAGCTCCAGCCGGGATCCAGTTCTGTCACGCCATCGCACCAGTATATATAGCGCGCCCATCGCCTGTTTTTTCCATCCCCCCACTCCATCTATCTTCTTATCAGATAAAGCTCCACAATTCACAACACAACACCTATATCCCCACCATGAGCTCTGTCACCCAGCCCATCAACTTTCCTACCCGCCCCTCCTTCTCTTCCTTTTCCTCTCCCTCTTCTCCCAGCTCTTCCCCATCCCGCTCCAACTCGTACGACCTCTCCACTAGCCCGCGAGTCAGCACCTCTCCTGCGTCCCACCCCTGCCCCCACATGAGCCAGCTCGTCCAGAGCCTGAAACAGGCCTGGGGCACAAAACAGGACAGCAGGCAGGAGAAGAGGTGGTAGAGCGTGATGCTGTAGACAGGATCGAGAGCCGTTTCATGTACATATAGGGGGATCTAGAAAGTGAGTATTTCGATGTGGTTTCACGTTCAGACGCTGACTTTTGTAGCTGGAAAGAAGCCCAAACAAAACAAAAAAACACCACGTTGTACCACCACCCCATCCAGCCAGGCGCATACCTACATATAATGCCATGTTTATACCATTTCGCATTCCTCTCTTTCTCTCTCCCTTGTTCGATAGCAGATGTTACATACAAAACGATGCAGTTGTTGTCGAGATGCCTCTCAAGCCCATGTCCGATGTCGGAGTGTCTTCTGCGGTCCGGTGAACGCGTGTCAGTTTGTGCGGTCAAGCACGAGTCGGGGGAGATGCCATAGCCGGTGTGCATAGGAGGGAGCGTGGTATGTATGATCGGTATGACTCGGATAGAGACGCTGGCAGGTGGCAAGACGTCACGAAGAGTGAAAGTCACTGGAAGACCGTCCGGAGACCAGAACCGCGGTCCACCGGGCTGGGCACCGGTTGCTTTTGGTTCATGATCACTCCACAGCCCAAGCTGTGCAATCACTCCACAGCCCAGGCTGTACAGTATCAGCTGCTGGTATGAATAATTGGACACTCTCTTGCTTGCAGCCGAATCTGAAGCATGCAGGGGACGTTCGGAGTACAGAGTGACACCGCTCTTGCTGGAGTCGTACAATTCCTGCTCTCATTCATCATATTATCATCACCTTGATGAGTACAGTCCATCTTGATCCCGGACATACCCCACAGCCCTTGGATCCGCCACGAGCACCCGACATACCAAGTCAACTTCGATCAGCTCTCGCATCGGAATGAGGAGCTCCTCCCTGACGCCAATATCAAGGCGGCATCTCTTTTTATCATTCTGTACTCGATTACAACTTCACTGACATATATCCTATCCAACATCTTGTCTGGCAGTCTTTGCCCCAGTCAAGGGACGCCTGTATGCTCCGCGCTAAAGAAGGCAACAACTAACGCTGCGATGTAGGCGATGAGACCAATACCATTGTCCCCCGCCTGTTGTCCAGTTAAAGTCGAATGTCATCCACAACCCCCAACATCAGTTCGCTATCACAAGGACCCTTTATTTCTTTTTCTGCTATCGCCTCCGACACATTAAGAGTCAAGACTACCCACTGAACGGATCGCCGTATCCTGTCCCCCTAGGCCCCCTGCTTCTATCCCGGGCACCTGCTGTACTCGTACGGTATCTCCACCACTTCCCACATCGACAGCGGGGAACCCCACTGACTGCGCTTTACATCTATCGACTGGCTCTTGAGTGTATGAGTCTCGCCCTGGCCTAGCCATCTCCAGTGGTGTGGTTGACAAGGTCGTATGCATCTTATGTACCCTCGTGCACAAGATGGCAACAGTGCGACCCGCTCTGCAGTGAGATCTTGCTCTGCAAAGTGATGACGCGACTCGATATGGTGTGTGTGTCTGATGGACCTGTGACCCCAGACGTGCCCAATCCCACTGGGAGCGGATATGCTGCATGGTGTGGCGGGTGCCGCTAAGAGACCTCGCTGCATGTACGCGGTGTCGATCGCACACACAGAACGGGGTCCTGCACTGGCCGCAAACGTTTCATCCCCTGTTGCGCGGCCCCTCCCCCCGCCCTCTGGGTGCGACACCCCTCAGGGCCTGGACCAGCAGTGCACTGTTGTTTGCCCGGTCTTGGTGGGCGACGAGGCAGAAGGGCACAGGCAGATCGGGCCACCACTGGCAGCGAGACCACATTTTCATGAAGACATGGTCGCCAATCGCCATCCCAAACTCCCCAAACTCCCCACGCCCCATTCCTGCTTTGCATCTCCATCTCCTCCTATCAAAGAACCATCACCCAAAGCCCGCCTCCGTCCACACCGCTGCCGGATCAGACCAAAGGCTCACCAGTCACCACGATCCTCATCAGCCCTTTGAAGGACCTCCAGCGAGAAGCATCGAGAGATCTTCCCCACAGCGTGAGTCGTCATGTCGCACAAAGCAGCCCCATAGGCCCCATAGACCTTCATCTCCTCGTACTTCCGCGCCACGTCTCTTGCCCGTATGCCATGAATACTGAGGCTGACCTTCGCACCCTGACACCGCTTCCCCCTGCGTCACACAGGCCCACACGTCTGCTTCACTCGCCGCGTATCTGCCATAAACACCATCCCTCGTCTTTCCAGCCAGCCCGGCACTCACCAAAAGGGGCATATACACGTATCAGACTCACTGCTGTGCCAGCCAGCGTCTTCATCGTTGACCGACAGGTCCTGTAGCCCATCCAGAACGTTGGACGATAGCGTCTATCCAGGGTGAGTCCCAGCCTTTATAACCAGGACAGCACTCACTTTCGTTGATATCCATCCTCCTTCAAAGTCATCTTTGCTTTTCACGAAACAAGCGATATTGCTCCACAGCCTCAGACCCAGCCTCACACGAGCTTTGACGCATCCGGCTAGACTTCATCACTTTACTCTCCGTGAGTCCTCTCTCTTGCCCCCTCTGCCCCCTGCCCTCCTGCGGCTTGTTTGGTTCGCCATCACAGGCCGATCGCTGGTACCCTGGCATGACCCCTTTCGACCAACGGGATTTCTCGCTGGTGCATTACCCGCTGCCTCCTTTGTTCGCCTTGTTTGTTTGAGGTCTGGGGCTGACTCAATATCTCCTCCTGCTGCTTCTGCTCCCTTCAGCGGTGGTCCCCCAGAAGCATACCCCACCTGGAACAACTTCCCACCCTTAACCCATCTCCACAATTTCCTTTGTCCACTCACCGCTTTCATCTCCCTCTCGTCATACGCCTCTCGTAGCACCTCGCCACTAGATCTCGTAAGTGGGTGTTTCATCTGCGAGATTCCAAGGGACTCCACAAAGACCGAGGCTGACGTCGTGCCATCTCCAACGCCACCCTTACTCGCCTGTCCTTTTAACGGACCAATTGCCCACCCTTCGAATCTCTTTTCCCACTTCATTCATCGACTTACACTGTCCTTGATAATCATCTCCACCTTTGGCTTTGACAGTCATTCGCAATGTCTTCATTGGTTCAGTCCCAGTCGTTCGACGGTGACCGTGGTCAGGCCCAGCAGAATCTGTACTCTTCGCCCGCAGGGTCTCCGCGAGTGTCGCGACCTCCCTCGCAGGCGTCCATCCATGTGCCTCAACAGCCATCGTACTCTCCCCATCTCCCTGCCGAGTCGCCTATGCCAGTCTCGGCTTACCCCACCTACCGACCCTTCGCAGACGGCTTGACCCTGCCCCCAATCCCCATGAACGGGACGGGTATCTACCCCAACTCAGCTCCCATGACCTACTTTCCTGCCATCTATGACGGCCGCAGCTCCCAGCCCATGATTCGAACCATCTCTCATGCCCACCCCATGAACTCGGCCACGGAACAAACCGAGTCTTCGCGCTACTCTTCCTCGCCCCACAGCGCCAACGGCCAACTCGTCGACGCCCCTCCGACTGCCGGAGCCCCGTCTGGTCCTTGGGGCCAGCCCTCTTTCAGTCTTCCAGACGATGCTCGCCTGAATTCCATGTTTGCGTCCAACGGCTACTCCATGTCCCGTTCCACCTCGGGTACCAGCGAGGGTCCCGAGACCAGGTTGCTCACTCCCCACATGGACTACCGCACAAGCCCAGCCGAGGCAGACATGAGGCAGGTGAACGATAGCTTGGCGGGGAAAAAGTATTACCCCCAACTCGCGTCCTTCACGCCCAGGTTTGATTTGCAGAACCACGCTCTCGGCTTGGGTCCACACCCCCAGCCGGATGCCTTCTTTGGCAACAAGAGCTATGGCGCTGGGTCCGGGGCTGCATTCTCCTTGTCGGAGAAGCGAGGCGGCGAGAGTGAACCCGTCGGTGAGACCGAGTATGAAAGAGATCGACGCGAGCAGATCATGAGCAACAAAAAGTTGCTGGATGATGTCGGTCTCGGTTCCAGCGTGAGTTGCGAGAGGTAGAGTTGGGATGGGTTGCTGACGATAACAGTTGAGCTTTGGCTCCAAGCACGTCAGTGGCGGCAGTAGCGGAACATCGACTCCCAAGCGCAAGGCATCCACCCCTGTCAAGAAGCGTCTTCACCTCGAGGGGCCTGGAGAGTATCAGAGTGAGCCGAATTATTCTTGGCTCGGTCAATGCTGACTTTTCAGTGCGAGCATCTCCGAGGATCCGCTCGATGAACCGGAGCATCTCCTATGCCAATCTCGACGGAGGCTCTGGTAGCGATGACAATTATGGCTCTTCTGATCCCGAGCAGGAGCAGGACGACGAGGAAGAAGAGTTTAGGCCCACCAAGCGCTCCAGAGGTGGTAACGGCTACAGGCAAAAGTCGGCGTCCTACAGCAGTAATACTAGTTCCAAGGTAAGCACCATGACAATAGCAATATATGGAGCTGACATACCTCGCAGGCCGCCAAGCCTCAGCTTTCCCTCTGGGGTCTCCTCCAGGTCTACTCGTCCATCCCCCACAACTTTCCCCTCTTCTACTACACTCTCAACAATGATTTGACCATCAACTCTGACTCTGTGCCCCTCATTGGATCCATCCCGTCCAACTGCTCTCCGGTAGCCAAGGCAGAGACTCTAGCAGCGTTCTTCCATCGTGGTCGAAGAGTCTTGGCCCAGCTTGATGCGTTCACCACCCGATGTGATCGCAAGTACGAGGGTCCGGAAAACAAGTGGCCAGAGCTCGACTATCACACCAGGATCGCGGTCCGAGATGTGCGAAGAAAGATTGTCGAGAGGTGCGAGAATTACAAGTACACCCGAAGAGATATCCTCGACAAGTGAGTCTCGTCTCTTGTGGTGCGCGCCTTGCTGACAAGACTTGATAGGCACCTTGGTCGTGGCAAGTGGCAGCCTATTGAAGACGGCATGATCGAATGGCGGGTCGGTATGACGGTCAACGACCCCGCCAATGACCTCGCCAACGTCACCTTGACTTTGCCCACCCCTCCCCCTGATGCCTACGCCCAGTCGATGCGTCAGACAGCACCGCCTCCCATCTACACTGACCGTGCCATCAAGCCCTACCCTCACGGTCGTCGTATCGCATCAGCTGCTCCCCGCAATGTTAGCGTGGTCATGGGCGAGCCGGATGAGCACGCCTACCCTTCGGCAGCTGGGTCGTCCGCCATGTACGGATACGCCGCGCCGCCTGCCAACATGTACGGCGAAGACCAAGTGCCGCTGAGCGTCCAGATGCCTGGATCTGCCTCTTCGGCTGCTGCCCGGGCCGCCAGTATGGAGGAAACGGCCAATGCTGCTGGGTGGAATCGAGGGGCAAAGAGAGGACGAAGCTCGAGCGAGGAAAGCGACGCCTGCTCTGCGGAGAGCGAAGAGTAGGAGCGTTCTGTGTGGCATACCATGGCATTGAGATTTAGCATTTTGTATAAATAACAATCGATCAACACTCACCGATTTGTCTCTTATAGTCCTTCCCATTTCCTGTGATTTTGTATTCCTTTTGTAAAGAGAGTCTTTTCCGTGGTCACCCGCGATTGCGAGTCTTGTATGATAGTCGTTTGATCCGTATAGCGTTCTTCAGTGGTAGGATTTAGGTGTGTAGTTGGCGCCATGCATATATTCGTTCGATATGTTGAGACAAGGCTGCTGTGATAAAAGTCATACGGATGCACAGTTGGTTCTTGGTGCTGGGGAAAGCGAGCGGGACCAAATTGAATGACAGATCGATGACACTTTTGTCAACATTTCAGCATCTCAACGCGATCATCGTATCAACTACATCTCGTCGAGCGGAATTCCTACTGCTGGAATAGATACTCGACTAGCCATGGAGTTTTCCAATTTCGAAGGGGCTTCCCAGGTACGTCTCTCCTTTCTTGCCACCTTTCTTTATGCTCATCCCCTCATGTCTACAGTACGGCCCCGATACCGACGATACCACCTCTCTCTATTCCTCCGTTCCTCCTTCAGTCATTACCGCGCCTACTATCAGCGGTGATCTTGCTAGTCAGATGGGCGATATGGGATTGAACGGGACTGTTGCCGGAAGTGTTGTCGGCCATGGCTATGGGGATGAGTACGACGAGGAGGCGGAAAGAAACACTTTCGGAGAGGGCATTGAACATGCTTGCAGGTATGTGACATGCGGGTCGGGCGGGATAAGCATGCTGACTTGCGGGGTAGCTACTGTGGTATCCACAATCCGCAATGTGTTGTCAAAGTGAGCTTTGGTGGCTTGCGAGATGAGCCAGTGCTGACTCGGTCATTAGTGTCTGCACTGTACCAAGTGGTTTTGCAACTCGCGTGGCAATACTTCGGCTTCTCACATCGTCAACCATCTGGTCAAGGCAAAGCACAAGGAAGTCATCCTTCATAAAGAGTCGGCTCTTGGAGATACCATCCCGGAATGTAAGCGGCCTTGTATCGTCGAAATGTCGAGCTCACAGTGTGGCAGGCTATAACTGTGGTAGCAAAAACGTTTTTATGCTTGGTTTCATTCCCGCAAAGAGCGATACAGTTGTCGTGCTTCTCTGTCGGTGAGTCAGATGATCATACCCATCAATATGCTGCTTACACCCACTAGTCAACCATGCGCTGCTCTGACCAACTCGAGAGACATCAATTGGGATACCTCGCAGTGGTCGGCAATCATTGATGATCGCCAATTTCTTTCGTGGCTCGTCAAGGTACCCTCGGAAGCCGAGCAATTGAGGGCGAGACAAATATCCCTGGCTCAGATTTCGAAACTAGAAGAGCTTTGGAGAGAAAACCCGGATGCCAAGCTCGAAGACGCCGAGGCGCAGTCTGGAGAAGAAGAGATGCAGCCGATCTTGCTCAAGTGAGTCGTACCGTGTTTTGACTTGACCTGACCCTTGGTAGATACGAGGACGCATACCAGTACCAAAACATCTTTGGCCCCCTCGTCAAGATCGAAGCAGACTACGACAAACGCATGAAGGAGTCTCAGACGGAGAACGATATTACCATCCGATGGGACATGGGTCTGAACCAAAAGCGACTCGCGTGGTTTTGCATGCCCAAATTGGAGAGCGGTGAAGTGAGGTTGGCGGTGGGCGACGAGCTGAAGTTGAAGTTTGTTGGCACTTCAAACAGCGTCGGCGTAAAGGGTCTTGCAGCCTTGAGCAAGGGCAACTGGGGAGGAGCTTCAGAGGTTGCTTGGGAAGGGATTGGTGGAGTCGTCAAGATCCCCAACAGTGAGTTCGTCATCCGATGCTGGGCCACGCTGATGTGTGGTAGACGCTTCCGATGAGATTTGTCTCGAGCTTCGCAGGAATGACGGCGTTCCCGCGGACTGTACTCATGGGTTCTCGGTGGATTTCATCTGGAAATCGACCAGCTTTGATCGTATGCAAGCTGCCATGAAGACGTTCGCCATTGACGAGAAGAGTGTCAGCGGGTATATTGTGAGTGGCTGGTTCAGTAGGTGTACAGGTGCTGACTGCGTCAAAGTATCACAAGCTGTTGGGTCACGAGGTTGAGCCTCAGGTGCTCCGTACGCAGATGCCCAAACGATTCACTGCCCCCAATCTTCCCGACCTCAACTCTTCGCAGATGACTGCTGTCAAAGCTGTACTCCAAAAACCCCTGAGCTTAATTCAAGGCCCGCCCGGTACTGGTAAAACTGTCACCTCGGCTTCTATTGTCTACCACCTCGCCAAGATGAACCCTGGCCAAGTGCTTGTCTGTGCCCCTTCCAACGTCGCCGTCGACCACTTGTGTGAAAAGATTCACCTGACCGGATTAAAGGTCGTGCGTCTGGCCGCCAAGTCTCGTGAAGCGCTGGACTCGTCCGTGTCTTTCCTCTCACTTCACGAGCAGGTGGCACGGGCAGACACCCACACCGAGCTTCAAAAGCTGATCCAGTTGCGAAATGACCAAGGCGAGCTGAGTCAGAGTGACGAGCGCAAGTACAAGGTTTTGGTGAAGGCTTGTGAGAAGGATATCCTCAATGCGGCGGACGTCATTTGTGTCACCTGTGTTGGTGCAGGAGACCCTAGGTTGGCCAAGTTCAAGTTTAGGACCGTCTTGATTGACGAGGCGACCCAGTCTGCCGAGCCTGGTGAGTATCCAAACTTATCAGTGGGTGTTCCGCTGACTCGTTACAGAATGTATGATCCCCCTTGTCATGGGATGTAAACAGGTCGTCCTTGTTGGAGATCACCAACAGTTGGGCCCTGTCATCATGAACAAAAAGGCAGCCCGTGCAGGTCTGTCCCAGTCCCTCTTTGAGCGCCTCGTCATTCTCGGCAACCACCCAATCCGACTGCAAGTGCAATACCGAATGCACCCCTGCCTCTCTGAATTCTCCTCCAACCTGTTCTACGAAGGCACACTCCAAAATGGTGTGACTGCTCCCGAGAGGTTGAGGAAGAATGTCGATTTCCCCTGGCCAGTGTCAGACACGCCCATGTTCTTCCACCAGAACCTTGGAACTGAAGAAATCTCCTCAAGCGGTACTTCTTTCCTTAACAGGACCGAGGCTTCCAACGTGGAGAAGATGGTCACCAAGTTTTTCAAATCTGGCGTCATGCCAGGTCAAATTGGTGTCATTACACCCTACGAAGGTCAACGATCATTCATTGCATCCTACATGCAGCTCCACGGGTCCTTGAAGAAGGATCTCTACAAGGAGGTCGAAGTAGCGAGTGTCGATGCCTTCCAGGGTCGAGAGAAGGACTATATCATCCTGAGTTGTGTGCGAAGTAACGAGCACCAGGGTATCGGTTTTTTGAATGACCCGCGAAGGTTGAACGTGGCGTTGACCCGTGCCAAGTATGGTGTGGTCATTCTGGGTAACCCCAAGGTTCTTAGCAAGGTAAGTTTGCGATATCAGTCAAGGACATGGCTGACATAGCGCAGCACCCTCTTTGGCTGTATCTCCTGACCCACTACAAGGAGAAGGGGTGCTTTGTGGAGGGCCCGCTCAGCAACCTCCAGCCCAGTATGGTGCAGTTCAGCAGGCCCAAAAAGTCTTTGGCCGCGGCAATGGATCCTTTCAAGAGGCGAGAGACTTCTGCTGTCGAGTATCTGAACAAGAGTGCGTCATATAAATCAATCGTTTTCTATGCTGACATTTTCCCAGCTGTTGGCCAGGGTCAAGGTCAATCTGCTGCTGCCGGTCGATTCGACCCCGCGTACTACCGAACGCACAATCCCATCTCTTTCGTTCCTCCCGACGCCCAGTCTGTCATCTCTCAGGCCATGACCAACTCTGGTTTCCCCATGTTCCCTGGCGGTAAAAACAAGACCTATACTGGCTATGCCTCTAGCGTCGTCTCGCAGCAGCCTACCGATAGCGGGCTTGCCCCTCCCCGTGCAGGACAGTCTCAGTTTGATAGGTTTGCTCAGCAAGATTCAGTTGCAGGGTCTTTGGGCGGCAAAGGAAGAAGGCTCTCGATTGGGAGTGAGGCTGCGAGCGCGTCCATGTACGCCTATGGCTACAAGGCCGGGGAGGATGATGTGCAGAGCATTGCACCGAGTCAAGCTGGAATGACCGAGTTCTAGTAGCGAGATTGAAAGGAGTCTTTGCAGCTGCGCCGAGTGAGAATCGCTTTACGTGATCGCCGACCAGTGAGCCAATCTGCTGAAAGCCATCCATTTGGCTTTTGTGGCTCCCTGCTACGACCGAAGAGGTCACAGGAGGCTTGTGTACATCTTATATAAGGATGGCCACCATGCATACTGTACAAGATCAACCGTTGTTGTAGACTCGCCATTCATCCCAAAAGATACGATCGAAACCGATGCTATGCTTGATTGTACATGTTTACACCAACTTGGGCTCAGGGACAGCTCGGATCTTTTGATATTGGGCCATGATCAACTGCAGATGAAGGTCAGTAGAGTGGTCAAAGTACTGATCATGAGACCTACCTCGTTGAAGACAAGAGTAAAGATGGTGTGGGGGGTGATACGGAGGAAGTGGGCGGTGGTACCCTTGTACCATCCAGGGATACCTTCAGCCTTGAAGGTCTTCCAGAGGCAGTCGATAGGGTTGGTGTACAAAGCGCCACGGACCTTGCCCGTGATGGGGTCCTTGATAGTGTTTTCTGGACCAGTCATCAGCTCACGAGTCATCATATACTAAGGGGGGACTTGCGGTTGTACATTCTTGTGAGAGCCTACACAGAGTTAGCTGTATCAGAGCGATATGGTATATATACGCACAGTATCGGCAGGCTGCATGGCAAGGCAGACGACAACACCAGAGACGGAAGACGCAGCAAGGAAGGTCCAGAAACTGTCGGCCGCCATACCAGCATTGGACACGAGGTAGCTCTTGGAAAGGTTGTATGAGGGTAATTGCACGGAGGAGCCCTGTATAGATATTAGCTAAGGTAGACTGGAAATGCCAAAGCGACTTACCATGGCGGTACGCAAAATGGCCGTGCTGACACCTCTCCAAAGACCAAAGAACCCATCGGTCTTCATGATGCTAGTGAGGGCGGCAAAAGAGTTTGGGTAGTAGTGCTGGGCACCAACGGGCAGCGCTGGAGAGTAGGCCTGCATACGGGCTTTGACGAGGAAAAGGGGAGATCCGAGAGCAGCTAGAAATGGGTCAGCAAGGTTTCGCCAAAAAGATATCACACATACCACCGATACAGCCCGTGAAAGCACCAGCAGCAATGGCAGTGACAGCTACGCTATCTTCGGGATTCTTGCCGATAGCTGTGTTGAAGAACTTTCTGCAAGGCTCGTAGAAACCTAGACGGGAACCATTGAGGAGAATCTGCAAGGTTTATGAGTTTTGTCATCTGTAACTCGGACACGACGGACCTGGTATCCATACTGTCATGATAATCAGCTTAGCCATTTAGGTCACAAAGTGCACTTACAGCCGGCATCAGACCTCTTTGAAGGCCTCTGATTCCTTCGTGCTGCCATGTCTTCTTGAACACATCACCGACGTTCTTGTACACTCGAGGCGCGGAAGGGTCGTGCTTCTGCAGCTCTCCCTGGAGCTGCAGGCGTGTTTTCATAGTTTCGGGAACATTGGCTGCCAGAAGTATGAGATGCGGCCTTGTCATCTCTTCTAATAAGACTTACAGATACTGACAGCACCGACACCGGCTAGACCACCACAGATGAAACTTTCAACAAGATTGAGAGGCGGCTGAGCTGGCTTGGCCGGGGTAGGGACCGCGGCAGGAGCAGCCTGGGCAGTAGTGGCAACTGTAGACATTCAAAGGTTGGTTACGCAGAGGTTCGAGACGAGATGGAAGCCGATGATATCGAGAGAAAGAGATGGCTGGCACTGATTTCTTCCGGGGCTTCGAGGGGAGGGTGTCTGTTGGGATGTGCGAGGGTGGCCGTCCTGTGCAGGGAGTCAGTATGAAGAAGAGGGGAGAATGGCAGAAAAGCAGAAGAATGACCCAAGAATGACATCTCGCATTGGGTCTTGTCGCCCGAAATAGTCTGCAGTTGGGCCAATTTTCCGGCCCAATTTCCAAAACGCCTTCCCAATCCCAATCCCATCTCCTCTTGCATTCTCGCATCTCATCTCTCCCATCCACCATGTCTGCACGCCGCCCAGCAGACAACTCGGCGCCAGGTCAGCCAGGCCCCAAGCGCCCAAAGACCAATGCTCCCATCGACATCGCCGCCGTCCGAGCCCAGCTCGCCGCTCGCAAAGCTGCCCTCGAACAGCAAAAGCTCGGCGGGGCCTCTCCAGCTCCCGCTTCTGGCTCTGCCTCCCCGGCGCCCCCTACCCCGGGTCCTGCAGTCTTGCCTAAAGCACCGGCTATAGATGGCGGCATACAAGCAAAACTCGCAGCTGCACGAGCCCGGCTCGAAGCTCTCAACCCCGCCCCCGCCCCTAAACCCAACAACCCCTACCTTTCTGGCTCTGGCAATGTCCCCAAAACCGACTCTCCACAACCAGCGGTATCATCTGTGGCTCTTCACCCGCTTTTGATGGGAGACAACAACCCGCAACAGGCCGAGAAGGAAAAGAATGAAAAGAAGGCCATGAGGGATCGGTACAAGCCTATGGCACCGAAATTCTCCTCTGTAAGGGCGAATGCATCGGCAGCACAGGCGCCTTCAAGGGCATCCCCCGCCGCACCTCCATCTGCTGCGACTAGTTTCAACCCCTATGCTTCAAACTCGGCCTCGGCGTCGCCTGCGCCGGACGAGGGGCGAGGGGCTACCCGCAAATCGCGAAAGCTGCAGTTTAGCAGGCAGGGAAAGTATGTGGAGCAGGGAGATCAGTTGCGAAATGAGCAGAAAATGGAAGCGTTGAGGTTGAGGATCGCAGAGGCTAGTAGAAAGGCTGGGTTGGATAGTGAATTCGATACCCTGGAGAGGAGTTTCAAGGTGCGTGCCGCTCTATCGTTGGCAACCATCTGCTGATTGTTGCACAGAGGCAGCCCCCTCCTGCTATAGAGTGGTGGGATGAGGCCATCCTTCCCAAGGGTACTTCATACGAGGATGATCTCGAGCCAGCCTTTGCCGACATGGTCACCAACACCGCTTCGCTCATCACCCACCTCGTCCTCCTACCTATCCCCATTCCTGCCCCTCAGGACCGCAAGCAAGCTGAGCGTGTCTTGATGCTCACCAAGAAGGAGCAGAAGAAGATGCGCCGACAGCGTCGACAGGCCGAGTTGGAAGACAAACGCGACAGGCAAAAGATGGGTCTCTTGCCGCCCGACCCTCCCAAGGTCAGACTGGCAAACCTTATGAAGGTCTTGACGAGTGACGCGGTTCAAGATCCGACCAAGGTGGAGGCGAAAGTGCGGAAAGAAGTGGCAATGCGAGCGTACAAGCACGAGAAGGATAACAATGACAGAAAGTTGACAGTCGATGAGAGAAAGGAGAAAGAGTATAACCAGATGTTGGCCAAAGAGAGGAATGGAATCCGTGGCGCCGTTTTCAAGTAAGCGTCTCCATGTTCAAACAGGAGCAATCTGACTCGACTGCAGGATCAAATATCTTACAAACGGCCGCCACAAGTTCAAGGTCCGCGAGACAGCCAAATCAGATCTCTTGTCAGGCATCTGTATCTTCCACCCGAAATTCGCTCTCGTGTTTGTGGAAGGTGTCGACAAGTCTGTCAAGCACTACAAACGTCTCTTGCTCAACCGTATTGACTGGACTGAGCAAGCTCGTCCTATGGACGGGTCAGACGGGTCAGACGGTGAAGGCGGCAAGGGCGGGGCGGATGGCGATCAGGACTTGGCGGATAACAAATGTGAACTCATCTGGGAGGGAGAATTGACTGAACGAACGTTCAAGATGTTTAGGGCGAGGCATGTCGAGACGGACGGAAAGGCGAAAGAGTGGTTGACGCCCAGGTTTGAGGGCATGTGGGATTTGGCCAAGAGGTGGAAGTGGGAGGGAGAGGATATGTGATTCTGAGGTGTTGATGGGCATTAATATGCATGGGTTACACGTATAGACTACAAGGGCGAGATAAAGACCGGCCAGCCGACCAGCCGCGTGAAAGGGATACTAGTTGTTGGTGGAAGTCTGGTCGCCACAGCCGAGACACTATACGAGTGTTAACTCCTGTCCCAAGGCAAGGAAGATGAGACATACCTTGTAAAAGATGGTACTACCTTCATCCGCAGATCGCAACTGCATCTCCTTGTAACTCAGACCGATATGACCACATTTCTGACACTTTTCCTGGGCCTATAACGAGTTTGAGCTCATCCCTTGAATATTCAGTCAAGTGACTCACGACAGGATCTCTTCCCTTGGCAGCTTCACCAGCATCCAGCTTGTTTTGAACCAGTGCCCGCTTAGATTTCAGCACACTCGGAAAGGCGTTGGGAGAGGAGTAGGTCTTTGTAGGAAGGTTTTCGTATGCTGCGCCACGGTCAGTCACGTCTGTACTCCGTCATGTAGCTCCCTCCCCTTGTTCGAGCATGAGCACACTGACATGAAGCAGGCTCTCTCCTTCCACATTGGGAACAAGCGATCTCCGTTTGGTCGTCCTGGGGCAAGTCGAGCAGGGCGCCGCAAGCGGGGCAGAAGAGTAATGAGCCGATGCGGTGGGCAGAGACTGTGGCAGGGGCCATTGCAGCAGTTGATGGGACGGGGTGGGTGTATAGTATAGGTATAATAGGTATAATAGGTATGGTATAGGGGTTCAAAAAATACTGGGCCGACGGACGGAAAACATGTGGTGGAGGCTGATTAGCACATTTGGTTCCGCTAATCGCCCCGTCTACTTTATATCTCCAGTCCTCCCCATTATCCCTCCCATCGTCGCCATGCTCGACCACATCTCCATATCACATCAGAGTGAGCCACATCTCTCCCATAAGCTACTGCTGACTCTTCCAGGCGGCCTCGTCCTCTGGTCCCGCTCCTTCACCCCTGCCTTTTCCGCTCTCGCTTCAAGCCCAAACTCCCCCGTCAATGCTCTCGTCAAATCTACATTCATCGAAGGGAAAGCTGTTTCCAATGGCGAAGAAGAGGGTCTGGAGAAAGACGGGTTCAGTGTGCGGTGGACGGTTGAGAATGGGCTGGGTCTTGTCTTTGTCGTGAGTCTTCTATTACGCTTGAGGACACTCGCTCATGTCATGGAAGGTCGTGTTTCCGGCTCTCTTACCTCTGGCGTATATTCCGCAACTTCTAGAGCGTACAAAAGCACTCTTCCTGGCCCTCTTCCAGCCATACATTGCGACCTTGGTCGAATCGTTGACCGCTGGCGGTACTACCATCTCGGCTGCAGGCTCGGCATTGAAGGAGCTGAAAGACAAGATCAGCGAGGAACGATGGAACGATATCTGGGATAGATGCTTAAAGTCTTGTGAAGGGGCAAGTGATTCCTCGTGCTATAACGACTCGTACTGACTCTGAGCAGGCAAAGAAGAAGCCTCTTGCCAAGCACCTAGCAGCGTCCACCACCTCTACTCCGGGCACCACCTCCCCCGAGACTTCTGATCTCGATTCCTCCGCTACCCCACTTTCCGCCGAAGAAATCGCCAAGAATGCTCAAGCTATGCGCTCCAAGATGAAGGGCGGGGGCAAGCGTCGTGGCCTCCGCGACGGGCTGTCCCCTTCCCCATCCCCTTCGCCGTCACGCCCAAACAAATCGGCACAGGCAAAGTTGATGCGAAAGTGGGGCGACTCGCCGGCGAGCAAGGCCGAGATGGAGGCGCTGGACTATTCGTCGCCGGCGCCGGAGGAGATCAAGGTCGATACGGCGGCGTTGGTGTCGGTAGATGCTCTGGGTGAAAAGAAGGATAATGGGACGTATGAGGTTGCGGACTGGGATTTCAAGAGACCTGCTTTGTCTGGGGGCGACTTGCCGAGCGAGGAAGACATTCTTGCGAGAAGGACAACCAAACTGGCCCTTTCTGATGAAGATGTTCAGCAGTCCACTTGGTCCAACGTCTTTTCCCGTCTGACGGGGAGCAAGACGCTCAGCAAAGACGACCTTGCACCGGTCCTTGTGGAGATGGAGAAGCACCTCATGGGCAAGAATGTCGCCAAAAACATTGCAGAGAACTTGTGCGAAAGCGTGGGCGCTGCCTTGGTCGGCAAAAAGCTCGGTGGATTGAGTAGCGTCAAATCTCAAGTTCAAGCCGCCTTGAACACATCCCTCACTCGTGTCCTCACCCCCAAGTCATCCACCGATCTCCTTCTTGATATCCAGCGCAAACGCTCCTCGCACCTGTCTACGCTGTCTACCTCGGACGGTCCCGACCCGTACACCCTCACATTTGTCGGCGTCAATGGCGTCGGCAAGTCTACCAATCTCTCCAAAGTCTGTTTCTGGCTGCTCCAGAATGACTTGCGAGTACTTATCGCTGCGTGTGATACATTTAGAAGTGGGGCCGTGGAGCAGCTAAGGGTTCATGTGAGGAATCTGGGAGCGTTGGGAGAAGAGATGGGGAAGGGCAAGGGAAAGAGGATCGAGTTGTATGAGAGGGGCTATGGAAAGGACGCGGCTGGGATTGCCAAGGATGCTATCGCTTATGGTAAGTGGTCCTCTCCTGTCGCTTTTACAAGCTAACTTTTCAGAATAGCCAAACAAAATCATTTCGACGTCGTCCTCGTCGACACTGCCGGTCGAATGCAAGACAACGAGCCCCTGATGCGTGCGCTCGCCAAGCTCGTCACTGTCAACAACCCAGACAAGATTGTCTTTGTCGGCGAAGCTCTTGTGGGGAATGAAGCCGTGGATCAGTTGAGCAAGTTTGATAGGTCGCTGAAAGACTTTTCCGGCGCGGGGTCGGGGAGTGGAGGAAGGAAGAGGGGTATAGATGGGATCATCTTGACCAAGTTTGATACTATTGTGAGTGTCCCGAGTCACGTTGATATGATGCTGACCCTTTGCAGGACGACAAGGTCGGAGCAGCGCTCTCCATGACTTACATCACTGGCCAGCCCATTCTGTTTGTCGGCTGTGGCCAAACGTATACGGATCTGCGCCAGTTAAAGGTGAATCATATTGTCCAGGCATTGTTGTCATAGAATCTCATTCTCAATCGTTATCATATGTAATGGGGTCGTGTCTTTTGGTATGCAATTGTATGGCTATAATCCGTGCTCCACTCTCAGACGTTGGATGAGCTTTATCGCCTGGCGCACTTCCTCCAACTCGAGCTCCCCTTCCTGTGCGACGTCTCTCCACGACTTTTTCATCTTTTCCTTCTGTAGCTCCTCCACCCTTCCTGCTAGCTCATCGCGCTCCTTCTTCGCACCCAGCAGCTCCTTCTTGGACTCTGCCAGACATTTGCGGATATGGGAAGTAGAAGGCGGCGTCGCTCTCCTCGGCGTAAACTTTGGCCTCCGATACTCGGGCACCCTCTCCGGCTTCCACTCCCCCAAACTATCTCCCAACCCATCCTCGTCCGCAAAACTCATATCCATATCCATTAAATTATCTTCGGCAGCTTCTCCAGTGAAGCCCAGTGTGGTGCTTGTGTGGCTAGCAGCGCTGCGCAAGCGTGGAAGGAGGGGCGTCTCGGTAGGCAAGGTGAAAAAGGGATTGGTGGGCGTGTAGGGGTAGGCATGGGTAGCAGCGGTAGACGGAGGAGTTTTTGTATTTGTAGTGATTGATGGTATACGAGAAGGACTGTTGGTAGCTGCTGGCGTGCTCAGGCCCATGTTGGCTAATGCAAAGTGAGCACGCGCAGCGTGTAGTGAGATTATTGAGAAGAGACATACCATCTCTCAGCCACTGCAGTCCCCCGACTCTACCCAGAGACCTCACAGCAGCCTTCTGAACATCCTTTCCGTCCGACGCTTTTCTGGTATCTACTCTGCTTCTGAGAGAAAGAGAGCTCGCAACGGAAGAGACAGTCCGCTTTGGTCCCAGCGGGTTGCTACTGGCAGCTGGCCTCAGGGGCACTGCAGCGGTCTTTGTGTGAGTGAGAGTAGGTTTTCTAGGTGGCGAGCAGATGGCAGAGGGAGATGGGAGCCTTGAAGTTTTGGGCAAGGTTAAAGTCGATCGACTGGGAATCAAGCGACGTTGTGCGCTTGCGCCAGTGGCAACACCAGGCTTGATCACATCGGTTTCCTTTGCAGTACCCGCTATCGCTGCCTTGACATTAGGCTCCGGGACTGTTATTCGCCCGTCGGAACGCAGGCCAGCGCTAGTTGGTTGCCTGGAGAGTGTCGGCCGTTTCAGTCGTGCAGCTGGCGGGACAGAGGAGGTCGGTGCAGGGAGCTTGGAGGGGATGGTGGTGCTTGGAGGACGGAGGGAGGAGTGGGAGGCTGGGCGGGGGAGGCGTGTGGAATCCATTAGGGGTGGATGTACAGATGGGAAGAGAGCTGGCTGCGGATGGAGACAAATAAGGTAGAGAAATCAACGAACGCGGTAGACACCGAAATCAGCCGCGTCGCGCCTGGCTGAGTCGTGGCTTGGCTTGTGAAACTTGAGGGCAGACAGGGATGGCACAGACGGGGTGGCTGTGTCGGCAGATGGCTGTACATGGCATGGGTGCTTCCGGTGATGCTGGCCAGGATCCGATGCATCCGGAATACTCGGTGGGGGAGCAGGGGCCGTGCGTCTGTTGTGACGAAGATTTGCTTCCGGTTCCGAGGCCTTCTCTCACGAGATGGCGTTTTTGTCCTCGCAGGCTCCGTCAGCAGGCCCTGTACTCACTTGGTATCACACAGAAGTGGCAGGACCCCCAACACCCCCCTTGCCGCCCACCCTGCACCTTGTATATACATCCCCCTCCTCCCTCTACATCCCCCTCCGCCACTCCCAATAGTGCCCGGCGACAACCATGGGCCATACGACTATTCCCCCACATCTCATCGCCCTCCTCTCTTCTCCCCAGACCCCCACAAGCTACGCCACAGACGCCTTGGAAGAATGGATCCTCCACAGGCGGGCAAAGGGCGATAATCTCTTCGAGACCTCCGTCGGGCTAGTAGAGCTCGAAGACCGGGTAAGCGAGATGGCACCATGTGACGAGGACCTGACTAACACCCACGGCCAGACACCGCCGCACCTGACCTATGCATTCGACCGGGCGAGTTATCTCACCAATGTACCCCACATCAGCGACCTCTCGCCACCCACCGGCCCCTTCCCGCTCTCGCGCTCTGCGTCTACATCTACAATCCTCGCCCACCTCTTGTCCAGCCCGCCCCCGACCATCCAGCATTCCCGAGAAGTCATTCTCGAGTATACGCTGGCCAGGGAGACCAAACTGCGAGAGAAGAAATCGGGGAGGGCCGGCAAGGGGACTCTGGGGCGGGAGGCATTCGAGGATATCGCAAAGCGGATGGGAGAGATCGAAGACGGTCTGCGGCAAAACTCTTCCGACAGTCCCAGGCGAGGATCTGTACCGCTCCGCGATGCCTATCCTTCGCCCCGGTCCTCTCAGGGGATCCCAGAGCTGAGCGAGAACCAACAAATCGGCTTGACACTCATACTGTCTCTGCGCATGTCTCTCTCGTACTTTACGCTGCAAGAACTTGCCGACCAGCTCCTAAAGCTCGCCCTAGGGGACGCTGAGCGAATGCTTGTTCAGCATATACGGCGAAGGGTTCCAGGAGAAGGTCGCTGGGGTGTCGGAAAAGAGCTCGAGTTTGTGGAGGGTCTGGTATGTTTGGTTCCCCCCGAGATGGACGATGCTCATTGCGCACAGACGTTAAATCGCCGACCCGCACTCCGCCCCGCCTTCCGCTCAGCCAAAGCGCGCACTCTCCTCCCGCCCAAGGCCGTCTACCCCGTCTCGCTCCCTGCGCCGTCCAAGTCGCAGTGCATCAAACACATCCAGGCCCTCGTCAAGGAAGTCGAGACGAGCGGGCCCGATGCCGCCGCTGCGTCTCTCCAGTCGCACGCCCCTGCCGGAGCCGCTATTGGCTCGCCGGGATTCACCGTCAAGAGAGCCATGGGCAGCCCGACTCCTGCCTTTTCCCGCGAAGGTACCCCAGTCACAAGCCTTGCTTTGCCTCCCGTCCAATTCCCCACCGCCCGACGAACAGAGTCCGACCCAACTATCATCTCCAACTATGTCCACGAAATCATCTCCGAGTTTATCACCCGTGAAAAACGAGATTATATGCTCAAGTCGAAATGGTCCAAGACAGGGCGGGCTCAGTTGAGCAAGGACCTGGGAGATATCGAGTCGGCTTTGTGTCTTGCCAGCAAAAATGCGGCTTCGCCCCTTGCCCCAACTCTGATCTCCACCTTTCTCATACTCCGCCGCACATTCTTCCTCCCTCCGTCTCCTCTTCCCCAGTCGATCGCCGAGCCGTACCTCGACATTCTTCCCGCTCCGCCTGACGCCGACGATGTCGCTTTCCGCGAGCCTACTGTCAGTTCGACCACCGCGGCATTATATGTCAACCCGCGTCTAGATGACGAGAGGGCGTACGACGTGATGGAAGAGCTGGTCGAGTTTGAAAAGGAAAAAGTCGAGGGAGCAGGGGGATCGGAGGAAAGTATGGTGGGATGGGCTATGGAGCAACTGGAAGCGGTGCAGAAGAGGGTGAGTCATCTCCAAAGAGTCGAGGGTGGTTGACTGACTGACAATGAACAGTTCCCCGACGGATCATATGCCGCGACGTTTGCCCGCGTCAAACAGTCCCTCGTCAAACCCCCTTCGCCCGTGTCATCGACATCTATCGCATTTGCGCCTTCTCCCACCTCTTCCGTTCACCGCCGTACCCGTTCTCACGCCTTCCCTGACGCACAGTATAGCGCAAACACTGGAAGCCCGGTGGCTGTGGGTGTGCTCAAGGCTCAGCATACCAGAAGCCGGAGTATGCCAGGCCGGAAGGGTACGTATGATGAAGAGAATGAAGAGGAAGCGAACGCGTCCTACCAGCAGCCAGCCCAGGTGCCGACACCAGAGACTCAATCAGCAGAATCTTCTCCACCTCGAGTAGGATCTATTGTCACCGAACTTCCCCAGCTCCCGCCTCTTGTCATCACGCCTCTCCAGATGGACGCCCGCCGCGCCTCTGGAGTGTCTACTGTACCCACTTCTGCTGGCGGGTCAGCTGGAGGCGGGTGGTGGGATGTCATTTCGGCGGTGGGCAAAGAAGATCGGAGTGGATCACCAGCGCCGTGGGATGAAAGTTCGGACAAGCGGTCAAACGGAATGACACACTCTTCTTCCGGATACTTGTCCAACCCGGGGAGTGTGGGTGCTCCCGGGCTGAGAGAGTCTTCTAGCCACGGTAGTCTTGCTTTGGGAAATAGGACGAATATTGAGGGCCCTTTGCCGCCTGGCGCTGAGGTTGCGAGACTGCCAGGAGCGCCGGCCGTACCAGATTTCACAAGACCCATGATGTCGCTCGATCTGAACTCGCCCGAATCATCCCCCAAATCGATATCTCCCCCGTCAAAGACGGATAGAGGCTTGTACGCGTCTCAAAATGAGGATGTGAGAGCGTCGCCTGGCATACCGCATGCGCTCTCTTCGCCGCCTCGTGTTGGCCACCCGTCGTATGACCAAGACCGCGAGCGCTTACCACCGCCTCCTCCTCTGAGATTCGACCAACCTCGAGGCACTACTCTGGGAAGCAGCAGCAACATCTCTTCTCCTTCGATGTCAAGCGCGACACCTACACCTACAGGGATGCAAGCTCCCAGACTATCTCCTGCGCCATTCTATCCTACTTCTAGAGGCACATCGCCGGTATTGGCTCCCACGACGGCGACGGGCCCTTCCCCGCCCGCGCCTTCTGGGTCATCTATAGCCTTTGCCCATCCGCCCGACGTCCCAAAGTCGTCGCCCTCTCCTCCAACGCCGTCTACTACCCCACCCGTCAAGGCTTCCAAGCTTGGTACATTTGGGAGGACAATGTCGTTGGCCAGGAGCAAGTCCAAGAAGGAGAAGGCGGAGAAGGAGAAGGAGAAGGAGAAGGAGAGGGAGAAGGAGAGGGAGAAGGAGAAGGAGAGGGTCATGAACGATCCAAAGAGGTGGAATCGAAGCGCCGTACAGAATATAATGGGGCCTCCTGCTCGCTGAACGCTAGAGGTGTCACTGTAGCCAAGATGAGGTTTCACGAGTGGCGGGAAGGATGGTTTTATGTTTGCTTTTTGTTATCGTATCTGGGACCTGCTTGCTTTTGACTTGCTACCGGTGCTGACCATACACGTCTATAAACAACGTACTTTAATGCTCTTATGTCTGGGAAAAAAATGATGGTGTAGCGATCTTTATGTCTAGATTTTATGTTTTCTCTTTTGGTCGTCATTGGTATCACATACATGCAGATATTGTCATGTTGTCTGGGCTGTTCGCAACAAGTAGTAGCATAGCATCTCGAAAGCACAGGATGGTAATAGATATGGAGAACAAGCATTGTCCGTTGAAAAAGCAAAAGAAACCTCGAAATATAAACGCGCAAAAACCCTGGTTCGATATGGCACAACAATTGACTAGAACTCGCTTCCTCAGATCCTCCTGCCCATATCCCTCTTTTTTTCCTTATTGCCGCCTCCAAGCCCATAGCTAGCCGCAGCATCATGGAACCTGTTTTCCTGTTCATCCTCGTCGTCGTCGTGGTACAATGCGTAAGGATCTTGCGTGTAAAGGCCACTCTGCGTCTGGTTCCCGTTACCATACACGTTGTCCTCAAGCACAGCTGCCTGTGAATCAGAGAATGGTGTACCTTCGGTGGGCGTACCAAGGGCCACGCCCCATTCGCCCCAGGCAGCGTTCGCCCTGGAATCGACCGGCGTAAGCTCGTCCGGCTCAGCATAGAAGGGGTTCTGGTCGTCCAACACACGTTGGGCGACAGCGGCTTCACGCTCCTGCTGGGCTTTGATGGCGAGAGGACTGGGTTTGGAAGGTTTGTGGCGGTACATGGGGTCGACGGAAGCGGCGGCGGCGGCATTGTCTGCTACGGCCATACGCGCGACAGCACGCGAACCCTTGCGAGACTGGGAAGATGACTGCTTCTCCTCAGACTTGGAGCGCTTGGGTGAGGGGACGCTGGATTCTTTCTTGGAGCTGGTGGGTGAGGTGGGTGAAGTGGCAACAGGGGCGCCTTGGGACGCCAGAGGGGCTGTGGTGTCTGAAGAGACAGACTTTGAGATCGGTGCTGTTTGCTGCACTGGGGCATAGCTGCCCTCGTACTGCTGCTGCTGACTGATTGATTGTTGCCCAACAGGAGACAGAGGCATAGGCTGACCATACTGGTCATAGCTGTAGCCGTACTGTTGCTGCTGCTCGATCCCAGGCTGCGTCTGCCAACCCTCATTTCCATTCCCATACGCCTGTTGAGCCGCGTACGCCCCGTAAGCCGCTTGAGCGCCATTGGGAAAGTTCCGCTGGGCCGCACTGGGCGGAGGAGAGAGGGCGGTCGACTTGTCTTTGGAGCTCTTCTCACTCGCAGGGGATTTGGGACCACCAGGGTTTTTACGAGAGGTCGAGGTGGATGGACGAGGGCTTGCCTTTTCGGCAGCCAGACGGCGTTTGTTCTTTCTTCTCTGTGCTGCTTCCCAGCGTTCCTGTAGCCCAGTCAGTATGGCGTCTCCAAACACAAACTTTATTACTGACGCGCTTGACCCTTTTGCTCCTCTTTGTCCACCACCACCAGAACGAAAACACTCCGATCGCCAACGCCATCCCACCGACCAGCGCCGGGATAGCGATGGCAACAGGGAATCCGCTACTAGAGTCGGAAGAAGGGGCAGATGTTGATGTATCGTTTGCAATGACAGAAACGGTGACGAAGGTGGACCTCTTGAGATTGGGAAAAGATGACGCGAGGGGGGTCGGAGTAGGTTTGGGGAATGTTGGTGACATTTTCGAAAGACGGATACCTATTTGGTGGGGAATGATTTGAGGAGAGGGGGATACTGAGGAGTGAAGGGTCAGCGCAGGTCCTCGGATTCTCGATCATCCCCGTTCAGTCGTCCGCAGACCGCAGACACAATTGGCACTCCGGAAGGATTTTCTCAGAGCGATAAAGGATGCCCCTCCTTCGATGACATTTCTCTGCTGTCACGCCCGCGCTTGAATGGAAGCAGGAGTACCAGCAGTGTCCGTCGTGGCTATGTTTGCTGGGATAGCTGAAGATCCTGCCGTGCCAAAGGCCAAGAGGCGACGCGTAGGATGAGAGGGCGAGACTTACGAGGAGGGGGTAAGGGATGGTGTGAGAGGGGGTGTAACGAGGGTGGGGCTACTTCCCGAGCAGCAGTGGGCGAGGAGGCGAGAGGAGAAGAAGAAAGAAGAAAGAATAATGCATCTCGCTCAGCGCGTGGTTACTTTCCAGGAACAGAAACATCCCTGACCGTGTTCCTGTTCCGGCAGCGATCTCGTCTCTCAGCCCGAAGTGCAACGGGTGACTCGCCTCAGTCGTTTCTATACATGCCAGTGTCGGACTGGCCAGGCGGGCGTATATGTCAGGAGGATCACCAGCATTCAACCTGATGCGAAGTCTATATATGGATGCATCAAAGATGTCAAGGGATTTGAAAACGAGAAAGAGAACAAGCATCTGTCTAAGACGCCCGGGAACATATTCCAAGAAGAAGATGACAAGTATAGAGCTGCTCTGATGTAAGAATGCCAAATTCTGATCAACACGGGTCAGCCAAAGTCCGTACGGATAGAAAATGTCAAGGACTTACACATGACAATTCGGGGCTCGGTAATGGAGGTGGAGATCTGAGATGTGCAAGTCAGTCTATGCCTGCACATCCAATGCAAGTACACTCACGCTCTTGTGGGGCAAGACAGAAGCGCCGTTCACATACAGTTCATCCTTTATCGTCACGTCGTCACCAAGAACAGTAATGTTCTCAACCCTGTTCCACCTGCCGACCGTGCTGTTCCATCCGATGATAGAGTTGGCAATCCAGGTGTGGTCTCGGACGGTAGCGTTAGACATGATGACACATCGCTGGAGACGGACACCGGGGCCAATCTTGGCGTCGGGACCGATAACGACGTTGGGGCCGATGACGGCTGTGGGGTCAATCTCCGCCGACTATTGCGCCATCAGTATGCTATTCTCAACGGGTCCAATGCTACTTACAGGGTCAACCAAGACGTTTCCACCGTACACCCACTTGTTCTGAGCAGGGTCGGTCAAAAGCTTGGAATGTTGGCTGGTCAAGTGAGAAAGATAGAGGCAGGTACCCGCAAGGAAGTCCTTTGGTTGTCCGACGTCCATCCAGAAACCTTGGAGGTCAAAGGAGTGGAGCTGGTGGTCACCAGCGATGGCGGGGAAGACCTCCTTCTCGATGGAGGTGGGCCGGAGCTGGAGAAAGAATGAGAACTACTTTTGACGAGATAAGAGATAGTGCGCACCTCAATACGGTCCAAGACGCTGGGGTTGAACATGTAGATACCAGCGTTGATCCTGTTGCCAACAAACTCGACAGGCTTCTCGACGAATCGGTCAATGACAGTAGAGTTGGGCTTGGTGACAACGACACCGTAAGCTGAGGGCTCCGCAACCTTGGTCACCATGATCGAGCCTTCACACTTGTGGGCAAGGTGGAAGTCTCTGTGAGAGTATAAGTTGAGCCTATACCGTAAAAGCTGTGAACCCACCGGAAGGCCTCAAAGGGGTAGGTACAAGTGACATCCGAGTTGAGGACAAAGAAGGGAGAGTCATCCTTGCCCAAGATCTCCTTGGCAAGAGCAAGAGGACCAGCTACGCTTCCATCAGAAAACCGCTTTGGGGCTACAGACAAGATACGCACCAGTGCCGAGAGGCTCAGTCTCCACACTGAAGTGGATGTTGATACCAAACTCCTCCTCAGTCTTCTTGAGGACAGCTACCATGACCTCGGGTCGGTAGTTGACAGCAAGGACGACATCCGTGACGCCGGCCTTGACCAGGGCCTCGATCTGGTGCAAGCTAGAGCACTCGTCAGTATGTGCCACAGGCTTATAATTTTCCGCGAGGCGTCTTGAGGTGTCCAACGACGGCCGAAGAGATAATAACCCTCAAAAAGGAGATCTCCGTCGCGTCCCGATCGCCACGACACGTGTCACAGTCGCGCGAAAAGAAGCAAAAAGATACCCACATCATGGCCTGTAATGGATCCAAATCGTCAGCAACGCGCCATGCACGGAAAGATGACACGCGGGAAAAGGTGACTCACCTTGTTACAGAACTCGACGAGAGGCTTGGGCCATGAGAGCTGTTGGAGACGATGAGCGATTCTGGTCATGTCGGCGCGTAGATGCGCCCCGTCTCGACATGGCCTTTGAAGACGACGTACAGGCGGGGGGCAAATGGATGGGGGGGAGAGAACATACGGTCAAGGGCCTGAGACGAGTACCGAAACCGCCGACGAGAATCAGAGCGTGGAGGGGAAAGAAAGTTAGCGTTGCCGATCGCCAGGGAGTGGAGCAGAAGAAGGAGTTGGAGGAGAGGGGAGGGGACTCATCTTCATTGTGGTGTGTGGTGGTGCTGGGTGGTGGGATGGCGAGATGGGAAGAGGAGTCAGATGAGACAAAGATGAGACAACTGAAAGATGAGATGCAGCGGTGGCTATTAGGCCAGGGAGGCTGCGGTAACTGGCGCGCCCACGGAACCAAATCTCACCCAGGCACCATCATGCATTTTTTATTTCTTATTCGGTCCCACAGCTCGCATCGAAGATTTCAACACCGGCTCTTCCCATCCAAATTCTCAGTCACCCCACCACCTCACCCACCATGCGTATCGAAAAGTGCTACTTCTGCTCCACCAATGTCTACCCGGGGCACGGCACCATGTTTGTCCGAAACGACTCGAAGACTTTCAGGTTCTGCTCGTCCAAGTGTCACAAAAACTTCAAGATGAAGCGAAACCCCAGAAAGGTCAGGTGGACCAAGGCCTTCAGGAGGTCCAACGGCAAGGAGATGGTTGTCGTGAGTCAATGCGTGATACATGTTAGTGGAGACGCTGACAGTCGTCCAGGACTCTACATTCGAGTTCGAGAAGAGGAGGAATGTGCCCGTTCGATACGACCGAGAGCTTGTGGCTACCACCCTCAAGGCTATGGAGCGAGTCACCGAGATCAGGCAGAAGCGAGAGAGGGCTTTCTGGAAGAACCGGTGCGTTCACTGGCAGTTCATCAAGATTTGTGCTTATACACCTGCAGAATGTCTGGCAATGCGGCCAAGAACCTTCGCGACAATGCGCTCGAAATCGAGCGACACATCGAGCTCGTCCAGCCCCGTACCACCTCCAAGGCCAAAAAGCAAAAGGCCGGCGAGGCTCTTACGGAGAAGGAGGCGGCGAGAGAAAAGATCAAGGTCAGGGCCGCCAACAGGAAGGCTATGGCTTTGCAGCAGATGGGCGAGAAGGGCGGAAGGACCAAGAAAGAGAGTCGGTTGATACCCGCCGAGGGCAGCGGCATGGGCATGTCCCTCGATTAGATTGCTTCAGCGCACAAATTTGGGGATTGTTGTATGATACGACATGTACGATATCATTGATTCACGATTGAGCAAGAGCTGTGGTATATGCGGTGTTTCGGCCTGATGGTCTACCCTCGGAATGTGATTCTCGTCAGTGCCACTGTCAGCCATGGTCGGGATCGAAGTACAAAGGAAATCATGACATCTGATATCTACTCTACTTCACCAAGCTAAAGCTTGACTCTCGCGATCAGCTCCAGGCTGAGAACTGGACAGTTCCGGGCCCAACTAGTCAAACCTCGACAATTTGGCCTCACGCGATTCCATCATACCCTTGTAGGCTTCCACCTTCTCCTCCCTAGTAGCATTGTATGCAATCTTGGCTTGGTTGAAAGCTGCAAACGTTGCATTAGCCTCAGGACATTGGCAGGGTGCAGCAGCAGCTTACGGTTGTCCGGAGACTTTTGGAACTGCTTGTAGAGGATGTCGCGCATCTGATTCTGGCGCAACCCCTTGTGCTCATCCTTGAGGATGGGCATTTCACGTTCAAGGTAGGCCTCGAATGCAGCCTTGAATCTCCTCTGTATGGCTGTCAGCTATCGTTCAGAGTATAAAGAGCAAGACTCACTTCGGGATGGGCGTCAATCATGATTTCGGCCTGACTTTATCAATTCTGTTCTGTTCAATGGCAACAAGACTCTTACCTTGGCACCGACAGCAGCCTTATCCGTCTTTTGGTTGACAATCTCCATGGCGTCCAACATCTCATCCAGGCCCTTCGCACTCAGCTCCTTCGTCTCCTCCTCTTCCACGCCCTTCGGCTTCCTCAACCCTAATGGGTCGTTGATAGCGTAGCCGGCCACGCCGAGACCAGTCGGTGTAAGCTTGTCATTGTTCTTCTTCTTGGCGCCAGCTTTGGGGGCGGCCTTGCCCTTGTTGGGAAGAGAGGCTTCTTCCGCGGCGATGAGGGCGTCTTTCTCGGCCTTCTTTCGAGCTGCATGATTAAATCAGTCATGCGCTCAGCTACATTTGGGTGGCAAACACACCTGCTTCAGCAGCCTTGGCAGCAGCAGCATCAGCCTTCGAGCTACCCTTGGCTGAATCACATATTAGCACCGTTGACCAGCTTTGCCTACAGAGGACATACCACCAGACTTCCATTCGTCGGCCTCCTTGGCCTCTTTGGCCTTACTAGCAGCCGCTTGCTTCTTTTCCTGCGATCATATGCATCCATCAGCTCAATGGCACGACGCAGTATATGACCTTGAAAGGCACATCTACATACCTCGTTCTCAGCCTTCTTGGCCCGGCCGCCTTCCTTCTTTGCGTTACCGCCCTTGGGAGCCATTTTGATCAATCTTGTCAAGTGATTGGGGTTAGGTGTTGATCTGTAGTAGAGTAGAGTCGCGACTTGAGCTTGGCTGGAGTGAAAGGAAGAGCAAAACGGCAAAGAAGTCGGAGAAAGATGACGCTGGTACGAATCAGTCAAGAAATAGTGGAGGTCAAATAATCGATTAGTCTAATCTTCGGCCGCAGAGCGTCCGATTACAAACGCATTACGAACATACGATCATTCAACGTTGCCAGTCTCAGACACATGTACAATAGTGAAGAGCTTATGTCAAATGCATCGAGAATAAAAAGCAAAAGACATCCCCGCCTTATACTCTTCGGTCCCTGAGATTATGTTGAGTGTGATTTTAGGATCTTGAGCAGGCATTTCACCCTTCAACAACGGTAGTATGTACTGGCACAGAGAAATCAATTGGAGAGCGAAAAATGAATCTGTAAAAGACCGAAATGGAAGCCCCCTCTATCGATACTAAAGAATGATACGCGAGTGACGAGACTAGCGGCGGGTCCACTTGAGTTCGAGGAATCGAGCACCGGGGTAGACGACACCAGTGAACACAGCGGCGAGGATCCATCCAACATCGCCACCGAAGGGGTCGGCAGTGCCACCAACCTTGGCGCCAACTGCAGCTCGTCAGCGCGTACATTTCGAGGATAATTGATGACTTACTAGGGCCAATGTACCAAACCTGGGCCATACCCAAGACGGCACCAGCAACACCACAGCATCCCGCAAAGATTGCGGCAAGACCGATTGGCAGCTTGTCTGACCTGTTCCAGCTTTCGGAAGCGTGGTAGTTGTCATAGTTGCGTTTACGGAAGATGATGTGTTCCTCAATGACGACGGTAGCGTAGATGGCGAGCCAGTAACCGAGGACGTTGAGGAAGTCTTCGAGGGAATCGGCAAAGTGGTTGGCGCCAACGATGGAGATGGGAATGTAGATGCCGGTGATGACGAACGGCCAGACAAGTCGGGGGATGGCGGCGAGCCAGTTGGCGACGACAGAGACACTCAAACCCATAGAGTAGACGTTGACGGTGCTGAAGATTGGTCAGAGGAGGTTCGTGATATGTACTTGATGAGCTTACTTGTTGGCAACGACGGAGAGAACGAGAAGGGTCATGAAGAATTTACCACCATTGCCCATGGGAGGAACTGCATATATTGTCAGTTTACGAATCAAGGAGTGATAGATAAGACTTACTGAAGACGGCGCCGACAAGACCACCAAGCTCGTGCTCGGCATAAGCGTCGGCCCAGGGGGTGTAGACAGTAGCAGCAGCACCGATGGCGGCACCGAGCCACTCGACCAGGAGAAGAGGGACAATTAGACCAAGATAAGTCCAGCCAAAGACGGCTCGAGACTTGGCCTCGGACGGCATGTAGACGTTAAAGTCACTGGACAAACTAGACCAACCGATGGTGAAGCCAAAGATGGTACCACCGAAAGAGAGAATACCAGCGGCCTCGGCTTGTCCAACACCCATGGGGACATTGACAAGGTGCTTGGCGGCGATACCGACCATGACGAGGAAGGTGACGAATGTAGGCGCCCAAGAGTACCTTTCGTAGGTGTGGACAAACTTGTAGCCGAAAAGACCGATGACGAGAGTGACGATGGCGATGATGACGGTACCGACGGCATCAGAGATCCTGTATTCCGAGACGGCGACAAGGGTCTGAGCACCAGAGATGGTGTTGATGATGGACCAGCCAACACAAGCTATACAGTTCAAAAAGGCCACCAACTTGGCACCGTAGAAACCCCAAGAGTATCGGGCAGAAGTCATCTGTCGGAGACCGAGTTTGGGACCGAAAGTAGCCATAAAGGATGGGATACAAGCGGTTCCAGCGTTGAAAAAGAGGATGGCCAGCATCGAATCGCCGAGACCAAGATCAAAGAGGAGGGGACCGAGGATTCCGATACCGAAAGTAGGCAAGACCATGTTGGCAGACATCCAGATGAAGGTGTTGCCATACTGCGAATGATGAGACGATGCGATCCGGAATGGATGCAAGACTCACCAGTCTCTTGTCTGTTCGATCCGACTCGGACACACGCTCGATACCTCTCTGCGCGGAATGAGCGTATATACAGCGGAAAAGTATGCAGCACTCACCGACTCGATACCCATCTTCTGCTCCAAGGATCTGTTGAATCTGTCAAACTTTGCCCATCGCCCGGTGGGTTCTCCGACTTCGTGTCGGCCAGAGTACACTCCGGGGTCTACGGCGGGAAGGCCCTCGAAGGCTTCTGAGCCGGAGGACCTGGATCTCTTGCCATCTTCGGCGGATTCGATGCCCTTTTCAATGTCCGACATGGTGACTATGTGTGTGTTTTTGTCAACGACTTGCGCTGTGTGGAGATGGGATGAGGTGAGATGAGATGGAGTGTTTTAATCACCTTTGATAAGGAGTGGAGGCCGGTGGCCGGTGGCGGTGGAGCGGTAGGGGCGGTGAACGATAAGGAAGGAGTGCTGATAGGAAACAGAGGCCGGTGTGGGCGGAAATGCGATAAGACGGGTCAACTGATGCCAGGGATGCGCTCACTCTCGAAAAAAGTTGGCAGCCAACCAAAATTTGAGCAGTGCCACTGCCACAGCAACACGCGGTGCCCGATAAGCGAACCCCCCGAAAATACCGCATCCGGTATCCCTTATCAATTCCTTATCTCAGGGCACGTCTCGTTTCCCGCGTGGCAGTTTCGACAGACAGCTTCTCTGGCGGGCACCGCCGCCCCCGTCTGCCGATTGCCGCCACGGCCTACCACCAGTAACCACCACGAGTTTCAAAATGATAAACATCCCACGTGCAGAGGGTGGATGTGCCGCCAACACCATGGACACTTCACACGATATTGCACAGTCTTCAGCACACCCGCATCCACCATTATCTCCCGTGCTCACCCGCGCCACCACGCGCCCTCGACCGCTTCCTCCCTCCAACCCGCCCGAGCCACCGCTTACTCTCCTGCACCCTTCGCAGTCATACCCTGCGTCCCCGAGAGATGAGCACGCCGGCCATCACGATAGAACAAAACAGGGCAAACGGTCATGGGCGAGCTGGCTGGGCAGGGGCATGCGGAGAGATGTCATGAATAGACTACCATGGTATTGGAGCGACTGGGCAGACGCTTGGAATTATCGCGTCATCCCCTCGACTTGGGTACGTTTGTTTGCTCCGCATATGTCTGGTCTGAGAGACTGTCATAGTTCACCTTTTTCGCCAACGTCTTGCCTGGCCTGGCCTTTTCTCTGGATCTCATAGTGAGTTGACACGTGATGATCGGTGCTGCTGCTTATGCACTTCAGGAAACGACCGGCCAGTATGGCGTCCAAGAGGTGCTGCTATCCTCTGTACGCCTCCCACTTACTGAATAATACAGCTTGCTCACTCCTCATAGTTTATGGCAGCCTTCGTAGCCTCCTTCCTCGGCGGGCAGCCTCTCTTGATCTCTGGCGTCACAGGACCCATCACAGTATTCAACAAGACCATATACGACATTTTCGAAAAGAACAGATCCGACGGTCCCGACTATCTCCATTTCGTCGGCTGGGTCTACTTGTGGGCAGCAATCTTGCACTGGATAGCAGCTGTCACCAATGGTCAGTCTTCATTCTAACTCTGAATTGGACTGACAAGAGGACAGCTGTGCAAGGGCTCAAGTATGTCACCCAGTTCTCATGCGATACCTTTGGATTCTATGTTTCTGCTGTCTACGTCCAGTACGGTATCCAAGTCGTCACCCGCCAATTCGGGCAAACTTCTACCCCCAGCGCTTTCCTGGGTATCATGCAAGTCGCCTCGATGCGTGCTCGTGTTTAGCTGACCTCTTCATAGTCTTGCCATATTGACTCTAGTCATACCGCACTATTTCAACGCCGTTGCGCGATCGGGATATGTGAACAAGCACTTTCGACGGTTTTGTTCCGACTATGGCATGCCGATTACGATTATTGCCATGACCGGCCTCGCATACTGGGGCCGCTTTGACCAGTCAGTGCTTTCCTCGCTCTGGCCTCATGACATTGCTGATATTGACGGTAGGTATGTGCTGGAATCCGACATGACCCTCCCCACCACTGCCTCCTCCTTCCAGCCAGCTAGTGACAGACCATGGCTTGTGCGTTTCTGGCAATTAGAAGGCAGATGGGTCGGCATAGCATTCCCGTTTGGGCTGGTGCTCTTCATCTTATTCTACTTTGATGCCAACGTTTCCGTGAGTGGCCTCTTCAGACCATGATCACAAGATGGGATTTTTGATGGGCGAACAGTCTTTGATAGCCCAAGGCTCAGAGTATCCGCTCAAGAAACCAGCTGCCTTTCACTGGGACTTTTTCCTACTCGGTATCACGACCTTTATCGCCGGTCTCTTGGGTATCCCTGCGCCGAATGGTAAGCATCCAGCAGATGTTAGTCGTGTCACTCTGACAATTTGATCAGGTCTCATCCCGCAAGCTCCGCTACATACAGCTTCCCTCGTCGTGATGGGGTACGAAGACGGCTCTCGCACCTCGTACCAGACTACGCTGTCTCCGGGGGAAAACCGACAGGCACTAAAATTATCTCAGATGGAGAGCGCCAACAAAAATGACACACCTGAGGACGGTACAGGAATGAGAAGACGGAGGCGAAGGAGTAGTAGTGTACAGAGTCACACGGAGAATGACGCAAAAAGAGAGGTGCCGGTGGCTGTCGTTGAACAAAGAGTGTCCAATCTTGTGCAGGGTTGCTTATGTGAGTGTCAGGGCTGGCTGGACGATACTCATTCATCCCAGGTCTGATTCTCATGACCAAGCCATTCGAGCACGTCCTTGGATTGATACCGAAAGGTGTCTTGGCTGGGCTTTTCGTAAGTCTCGTTAGATATCTCGAGACAGCAGACTGACGACAGACAGTGGTACATGGGCTCAGACGCGTTACTTTCATCGGGCGTATCTGCAAAGCTGTTATACCTTGTCCGCGACAGACGCGCTACCTCGCCCTCGGAACCATTACGCGCTGTGCGTAAGAGCAGGATTCTTCTCTTCACGGCCGTCGAGCTCATAGGCTTTGGGGCTACATTCGCCATCACTCAAGTGAGGCCAGCTCTATCGCTCGCGCCAAAAGCTGACTTTTGCAGACCATCGCTGCGATAGGTTTCCCGGTCATCATCATGCTTTTGGTCCCTGTCAGAGTGTTCATCGTCCCACATCTAGGGTTTACGGAAGAGGAGCTGCAAATTCTTGACGGGCCCGTGGCTAGTCCTTTTGTGGGTTCAACTGTCATATGGTATCTCGCGTTGGTGGCTGACCCTTCCACTAGACCATGGAGTCTGTAGGGGCCTCAACATAACACATCGATCACCTTACATGTTGTATAGTACTTGATCACATCATATATAGGGATCTTCTGAACCGCCATAACCACCTTCCGATCGCGTTCTTGCCTCATAACTTTGTGCTTGGTCTCGATCATGGATACGGATCTCCTGCGGCCTATCCGTCTGAACACTAGACCACATGCATGCATGGCCTTGGACTCCACTCGAGCCTGCGATCGTGCAACAAGGAGACTAACCCTTACGTAAGATGTGACATGCCGATATAACAGCAGCAGCAGCTGCAGCAGGGGGGCGCGTTGAGTTCTCGTTTTCGCAGAGCTCTGAGTGCTTTCAGGCAACCTTCTTTTCCCGAACATCCACCCCCGCCCGGACGGAATGTCCTGTAAGTCGCCATCCACCCGCCACCTCCCACGCTTACCCCGCCGCCAGCCTGGCTCTCCTTCCCCAACAGCGGTGAATCACGTCGCAGGCGACCATCCCCCTCCGCGTCCACCTCCGACATGCCCCCCACATCAACCCCAAAAATCAACATCACCCCGCAGACCCAACGGCTGGCCATCCGTGGTGTTCTCGCCTTCTTGGGCCTTTTGATAATTCGCGCCCTCTTTTTCTCCTCCTCCACCAGCAACGAAGAGATTCAATCTCATGGTGTTTTGGAGCGGGTGCTAATGTCCGACAAGTACCTGGACGTGGCGAAATACCCATTCTTGCAGTCAAGACAAGGGAGGGATGATAGAACGTCCCTCTTTGACGAGGAGGTCAAGGAAGGTGTGCTGGATTACTGGACAAGATTCGAAAAGCCCTTCATCACCGACAAGGCCACCGCGCATCTCGATACCCAGGTCATGAGGACAGTTATCGACGACTTGCTCAAATTTCACGGATGGGTCGCGTCCGCCTGTCCCACATTGATCAGGCCTTTTGGTCAGAATAACAGAGAAGATCACTACGAGGATCTTGCTGCCAAGGACAACCTCTACTTTATCGCCATTGTCATCCACTCTGCCGACCATTTCTTGGTGGACCAGCTTGCCATTATCGTTCAGCTCGCGAGACGGCTGGGCACGCGAAATATCTTTGTGTCTATGCTTGACCAAGCTTCTACCGATTCTACGCCTACCCTTGCCGATCTGTGTGAAGCGGTCATGACGATCCTCGGTATCGCGTTCCGTATTCGACGCGTACCTCCCATGACTGTCGACCCTTCCGCCGCGTACTATCCCCTCGAAGAGGCAGAGGCGAGAAACCTCGCCCTTGACCCTTTGCATGAGCTTTGGAACAAGAGGAGCATTAGGTTCCACCGAGTCATCTGGTTGAAGGGTTTCACTTGCCCCAACGATGTCTTGGAGAGCTTGAGGGTTAGCGAGCTCAACAGCGCTGCTATGGTTTGTGGCATGGACTGGGCGGAGCACAATGGATTCTTCATTTTCTCCGACAGGTGAGTCCTACAATATATGGGGCATTGCTAATGAGATAGATGGAGGACCCGAGACATCGAAGGCGACCCCTTCCGAGCAGCCAAGTCCAACTCCAAGCCCGAAGCTGGGCCTCCAAGGGACAAGGCTGGTACCGAAAGGTTCTCTCACCACCTTCCTTTCCAGACGTTCTGCTGCGAATCAGGTACCCACGTTGTCGACCCCGAGCAATCCTACTACCGCAATATCCACTACCGCGCTTCCTACACGGCCCACAACCTGTCTACTACCCAAGAACAGCCCAGGTGGGACCCCGAGACTCCTTGTATGGACTCGACTCAGATGTGGTTCTGCCGAGACTTGTGGACTGATGCCGCCAAGGGTGGCCTGAAGGATGGTAGCAGGCGAAAGGGTCACGAGAAGCTGGGCAATCACAAGAGGGACGGCGTTCCCGATGTCGCCGCGAGGGCTCCCGAGCCAGTCCCTGAGCCTGCTGCCGAGCCTGAGCCTGCTGCTGCGGCCGGTGGTGAGGACGAGGACTCTGGTACCGACCTCGACGCGATGAACGAAGACGCCGCCAACCCTGCTCCCGAGCCCCTAGCGCCCGAAGAGCTCCCCGCCTCTGCCTTCCTGATTCCCAACTCTGCCTACACCCCTGCCCGTATCCTTGTCAACCCTCGGTGTGTCACGACTTATGGTGGTGTCTCTCACACCCAGCTTGCTCTTGATCTGTTTGGCGGGCCTCATGCGGACGAGTCTTCGCATGAGGGGGGCAACTATGTGCTGGAGGACTGGGCGGGACCTCCTGACAGCTTTGTGTGTCAGGAGATGAGGACGACTGGAGGTAGGACAGCTCCCAAGAGTCAGCGAAGAGTTGGATTCTTGCTCCAGAACGAGGTGAGTGTATCGGATGTCAATCGTCGCACATGCTCATGAACGCGCAGGTCGGGATGTCGAGGACATGATAGACTAGGGCCTTTTTCTTTGAATATGCATGGGCTGTGACAGAATGCTCTCCGATCCATATGATCGACACAAAGCTGGCCGAGTCTTCTCTACGACGCAATCGCATGAGCGTTGGGCAAGCTGATGCGGTCGCAAACCCAGTCTACCATCTCAAGAGATCTACATATACATTTATTTACCAACGGTCCAAGACGTGAAATTCTATCATCTTCATACATTGACACTGATCCTCTCCACGGTACCAGAAAGCGACAACCCCAATATCAAAGACCCTCTTCTGTTCTCTTTGCTGTCTGCTGCTTCTCGATCTCTGCTCGAATAGCCACCTCGGGGTCAACCACCTCCTGAGGGGATTTCAATAGGAAGACCATCACTTGGGCAAGCACGCCCATGAGGAACACGAAGATGGTCGTGGCGCTGAACCCCGGTATGTATCGAGGCTTATCAGTCGAAGGCCAGAGGAATACCCCATAGATGGAAGCTGAGTTTCCAAGCGCATTTACCAAAGCGATAGCGACGGCGCGCTTTTCAGCCGGTTGGGAGATGACGTTAGGCACCCATGTTATGATCTGAAGGGCACGCGTCAGCATGATCCTTTCATCGCAAGAGCGCAAGACTCACAAGTGGACACAGGGCATATACACAGCCGAAAGCAAAGACCAGGAAGACGTATTGCACCATATGGTGTGTCGTACAGGTGACAATGATGAAGCAAACAGTGCCGATTGCGGAGGCGATGGAGATGGCAAGTGGTTTGTTTTTGTAGTAGTCGGCGCCCCAGCAGAAGACGAGAATGAATAGGCTACGCTACGTAAGTCATGCTGGCCTGCGAGCTTGTTCATTGACTTACAATGCACAGGCGTAGAGAGGGATGGTTCGGAATTGACCGAGATAGCCACTCCAACCGACTGGAGAGATCGTCAGCATTGTCTGGGGCTCGCCAATGATATACTCACGGGCAGCAACGAGGGTAGGGACAAAATACTGAATAGTTTGGGCCCCTGTTGCCAGCATGTAAAGGACAACAAACATCCAGGTTCTCCAATCCCCGAAAGCCATCTTCATAGCGTCCCAGTGACCGAGTGGGCCTTCAGCCCCGGCAGTATTGCCCAGGCCTTCATAGGCTAGTCGTTGAGAAGCTAGGAGCCGTTCTTCGGGAGTGAGAAACTTGGTGGTAGAAGGCCAGTCGGGCATAAAGTACCAGGTAAAGAACCCCAGGAACGAGGAGGCAGTCCCTTCGATGATGAAAAGCCATTGCCAGCCTGCGAGACCTTTGGCACCATCGAGGTATTGCGTCTAGACAATACTGTCAGCACGCCAGTCTTTGAGGACGTTGACTTACAATGACACCAGCAAGTAAACCACTGAAAGCCCCGGACACAGCCGTGGCAGTATAGTAGATGGAGTATCGGCTCGCAAGCTCGTATCTCTTGTACCATGAACTGAGATAGAAGGCAACGCCGGGGGCGAACCCGGCTTCGATGACACCCAAGGCGAACCGGATACCAGCAAGAGCTTTCCAGTTGGTGGCGGCAGCCATGGCTGCAGCAACGCCTCCCCATAGGATACAAAGACCGCTGAGGTATATTGATGGTCGGGCTCGGGAAATGAACAGGTTTGAGGGGATCTCAAATAGGACGTAGGAGATGAAGAAGACTAGCAGGACGATCCAATATTGCTGAGATGTCAGGTTGAAGTCTTCTTCGAGGCCACCCGTTCTGGCATTACTGAGTACGGTCAGCGAGTATCGTCAATGTAAGAGTGAAGACCTACCCGATGTTGGCGCGGTCGAGATATGACAGGGTGTACAAGGCCCAGATGCTTGGAAGTATTCTCTTATCGATCTTCCTTACCAGCCTCTTCTCTGCATCCGAGCCGGGGACATACTCGGCGGCGAGCTCGACGGGGTTCTTGGTTTCCAGACTCTGCTCGTGCCACTCTTCGTCTCTCTTGGTGGTGTCAATGCTGGCGTGGCGGTGGCCAGACATGGTGTCGATTAATGTCGGGTGGTAGACTATGGATCGATCAAGAGGAGAATGCTCGCAGATGTGGACTTTATATGATTCCAGCAAGACAAGCTCCGTGACCTGTGGGCCAAAGACAACGGCAAATTGACGTGATGTTTCCGGCCCAGATGATCAACAGATCTCTCCATCTCTATGGAGTTATGGACCAACTAGCAGCTGCCATCATGGAGCAGACGGGTGCGGACCGGAAAGGTGGAGGCAAGACGAGGCCCCATTGCGGGGAGATGGAGAAGACGAAGGCAGATAATTGCCTGAAGGAGCGATAACAAGCAAGAGTCGGCCCGGCGCCGGAAGACCCGGCAGCGTCTTTGGTTCTACAGTTCGGGTGGATGTAGAGAGCGTCCATAGCCGCTGCCTGTCTTCCGCTTCTCCAGCTTCTCCAGCTTATTTCTATGTATCCACAGCCACCATTTCTTCCTGCCATCTCTTCCTGCCACACCTAGCCACAATGACTCCAACTCTCCAGAACAACCTCACCCTCGACATCCTCGCCAAGGCAGAGGCAGGCGGCTATGGTATCGTCGCCCAGACTGTCTACGATGCCAACATGGCCCTGGCTCTTGTACGTGCTGCAGAGCGTAGCAAGTCGCCCGCCATTCTCCAGCTCTTCCCTATAACACTTGCTGCTGGTGGCGGGCCCTTCCTGCAATACTGCCTGACCATGTGAGCCTCTTTACCGAGCGCCGATCTTCCGTTCCCATGCTGACGCAGAGAAGCGCACACAACGCATCTGTCCCTATCTCGGTGCACCTCGATCATGCGACCGACCCCGAGCACTTGGAGCTTTCCATTGGTCTCGCGGAAAAAGGTATCAAGTTTGATAGCATCATGGTAGACGCGAGCCATGCCGAGACGGACGAAGAGAACATTTCAATTGCTGTTCCCTACATCAAGCGTTGTGCTGCCGCCGTAAGTGGATATGCGGATGTGTTGAAGAACATTATTGACTAGAGCTGTGGCATAGGGTGTTGCTACGGAAGTCGAGCTGGGACGACTGGAAGGTGGTGAAGCCGGCCTAAGACAGATTGACGGAGCGATGTTGACGGACCCTGCCAAAGCCGAAGAATTCATGAAGGGGTGAGCCTGTTTCCCGCCTATGACCTTAGCTCGGAGCTCATGATCTATTTCACCAGGACCGGCGCTCACATCCTTGCTCCCTCATACGGTGTTGGTGTTTCGCTTTGACAAGACGACCCGAAAGACTGACAAACTTTAGAACCTGCACGGAAGCTACAAGTTCATCGGTGGCCCCCAGTACGATCTCTCCATGTAAGTGGCCTCCCTTCTCTCGCCCTCCCCCATCTGACTCTTCTTCGATAGCGTCCGTGACCTCCAGACCCGTTTTAAAGGCAGAACACCCTTTCTTTGTGCCCACGGTACCGACGAGATCCCCGACTCTCTCTTCCAAGATCTCGTCAAAGCTGGTGTCAGTAAAGTAAGTGTTTGTCAACATCGATACCATTCCCAGAGCTGACAAGGATGTAGTTCAACATCAATTCTTGGGCAAGAGACCCGTACTGTGAGACACTCGGCAAAGAGCTGTCCTCCAGCTCGCCCTTTCCGGAAGCGTCCGAGAAGGCTATCGAGGCATATGCCAAAGTCTGCGACCACTTCTTTGAAGTTCTGGGGTCAAAGGGCAAAGCGGCTTGATCAAATGTATAGGGAGATGATGCAAACAGATAAACTTGATAGATATGCCTACATCCGATGAGAGATATACTGTTACAAATGAGATCAAGCTCTATTCATTGGCGAGCTCCTCCAATGCCAGCTCTGCATCGTCCTCATCCTTCGTCTCGGCAACGCCTGCCGATTCCGTCTCTGTCGGTTCCGCCGCTTTAGCCTTGTTGTTCTTTCTCCTCTTGAACCTCTGATGCGATTCTGGCTGGAAGGCGGACGGGTGCACTCGGATAGCACTCCAGATGTAACCTCCCGTCGCACTCGTCACCATCATGGGATGTGTCCTTCCTGGCAATACCTGGTACGTCCTCTCCCAGCTTTCGCTCAGCGTATCGTTCAAAAAGCTCGGGTCTTTCTTTGACCAAGAGAGAAGGTCGGCGAGGACTTGTTGGTAGGGCGAATAGACAATGAGGGGGGAGGAGCCGAGGAGGTAAGGGGTGAGGCGGGGGACGACGGACAAGGGGCTGAGGTTGGAGGCAACGATCAAGCTGGGGGGCGTCAGTGGGGATCAATGCGGCGATTAGTTGGACTTACCCGTCCCATCCACCAAGATGCAGCTCGTTTCGGGTATTGTTCAGCTCGGCGATTTGGGCCGCTCGTCTTCGTTGTTTGACACCGGCCTTTTGTACATTGGTGGGTTCTGGCTCATCGGCTGATGGGGCCGCAGCTGTAAAGACGGGTCAGCTTTTCGCCCCGAGCGGTCATGACAAAACTTACACCTCTCATAGCTCTCTTCAGCTTGTAGCCAATTGAGCCATTTCACCGCTTCCAACTCCCTCCTCGAAAAATTCATGGTCTGCAACACACCCCAAGAAGGCGGGCTGTCGTTGTCTGTCATCAACAATATCCTCCCTTCACAGCCCATTCTTTCCAGGATGGCGGCAGTGACAAGACCACCGGTGTCATCGACGACAATGTATCGGCCCCCGGGACGAATGTTGGCCATCGTGAGCATTTGGGCGAGGGTGTCGTCTCGCAGGTAAAGGATGGTGTTGGCTGAGCGAGAGGTGTAGTGGTAGAGAAGGTTGGGGATTGTAGGTGCCAGAGGGCAGATAGTCTGATAGAATCTGCTTCTCGTCAGACACGCATAAACACAATATGTGTATGAGACTCACTTCTTCTCCTTTCTTCGTCTCCATTTCTCTTTGCTAAAGTCTGTCTTGAGTTTGAAAGACTCGTGACGGGCCTGTTGAGCCTCAATGATCTGATCTCCAGTCAAACCCTGGGCTCGCAGTTCGAGAATCTCTTCTTGAGTCAACATTCCCTTGCTGTCCTCGGGAAGATCTTCGATGAGCTCGTTGGTTTCAGCGACATCGTCTGTGACCATGTCAGTGATAGAACTTGTTGGGTGTACTGCGTACGCACCAACAATGACATCTGCCAACCTCGCAGGCTTCATCGGTCTCAATATATTGCTCCACCCAGGGTTGCTCTTGGGTACAACTACCTCCTTGCCCTTCCATACCTTCTTCTTCTCCTTCTTGCCCTTCTTCTTTTCACTCCCCTCGGCTGCTGCCGGTTCTTCCGCTACGGGATCGTCCACAGCAGGTGTACCAGCCTTTGATCCGGATCCGGGGATGATTTCGTAGGTGATGTCGTAGTGCAGGCCGATGAGCTCGGTGGCAGGGAATGAGCCGTACTTGCCGAGCTGAACAAGACTGTCTGAAGTCAGCTCTACACCAATGAGTTTTGGTAAGACCGTACGTTTCTTTGTCAACAACGATAGACTTTACAAGGTCACTCGGCAGGCGGAGCATGACATTGTCTCCTTCCTTGATACGAGTGACTCGGCGAAACATGACTTCGCTGAGAGGTTCTTGAGGCTCGTGTGAGGCTGTGGCGGTGTGGGTGTTGGTGCGCTTGGAGCCCTCTGCAGCTGTGGCGGGGGCTGTGTCCTCTTGCATGAGGACGTCGGTGGCTGCTGCAGTGTCCGCCATGTTGCTCTACTCTACTCTACAATCCCAGATGGTTCAAAATTCCTACAACAGCGGAAGTATAATATTACATAAGCACGCTCGTTGTTGTTGGATAATCGCATTTCTGTACTTGTCCATTGCTTGTCCACCATGTCCCAGCCCCCGTACGGCATGTCATCCCGCTCGCCCCCGCCCCTCCAGCACCCAAAACCCACCCACATCGCCTACCCGCCCCCGGAGCCACCCCGCACCCCCGCCCAGAGTACAGACTCCTCCCCCTACTCCCACCCCCAGCGCATCTCCCAGGATGGCTATGTCCGTTACTCTTCCCCTGCTGTAGCCGACCCCATGGAGGGAAGCACCTCTGGCTTCAACGCGTACGCGCCCCCATCCCATGGCAAACAGCCGCAGATGCAGGCTAGACAGGCGTACGCGCCGGAAGGGCAGGGCGGGTATGGCGCACCAAACTATGGGCAATGGCCCGGGATGAACGACGCCACTACTCAGATGGGTGTTCAGTTTGGAAAAAGTGCCGTCGCAGCCGGACAGGAATATATGGAAAAGAATGTAAGAACTGCATCCTGATGTCACACGAGAAAATCGCTCATCATACCTCAAGTTTACGAGATTCCTGCCCCTCCAACTCATCAAAGTGTCCTTCTCGGTCACCAACCTCTATGTTCTCAACAAGCTTCGACTCGTACTTTTCCCGTGGCGGCACAAGCCTTGGTCGCGTCAAACTCGGCGGACAGTAGACGGAGCTGTGGAAGGCTGGGCAGCTCCCCGAGACGACATTAACGCTCCTGATCTTTATATTCCCAGTAGGCACGACACGTTCGAGGAATAGTCACATCCTGACAATACTCTAGCGATGGCCCTCGTGACCTACACCCTCCTTGCCGCCCTTGCATCTGGTCTGCAATCTCGTTTCCACCCCGAAGTCCTCGGCGTCTCCTTTTCCAAAGCCCTCGCCGTCGTCATTACCGAATTCTGCGCCATCAAGCTCGGCTGCTACCTGCTTGACGTGCGAAACAGTGGCGCATCGGGGGTGGAGCTGATTGGTTACGGAGGGTACAAGTTTGTAGGGATCATCATCACTGTCTTGAGCAGCCTGTTGGGGATGGGCAGGATGGTGACAATAGGAGTGTTTGTCTACGTTTTCGGAGCCAATGCTTTCTTCTTGGTATGTTTGACGTGCTTGATACCCGGCTCTAGCTAATGTCGGGATAGTTGCGTTCTCTAAAATACGTGCTCCTCCCAGACGCATCCGTCTCCTCATCTGTCGCTACCCTGAGCCACGCCCAACGTTCAAGGCGCATCCAATTCTTGTTCTTTGTGGCCGTCGCTCAAGTCCTGTGGATGGGCTGGCTCTCAAGAGTATAGATCACATGTATCGTACAGCAAGAATCAAACCCCATATACAATTGCATCTTCATGATATTCCTTATCTGTGAACGAACCCTTGGCTTGAGATCCTCATGTCTGGCCCTTGATTGACCAGCTACTTTTTGCTTGTCCTTGTTGCCGAGATCATTGCTTCAATAACGAGATTAGCTGAAGATTCGGGCCCGTTTGCTTGCCCGACGGACCGATTCCGTCCCATGATCATTTGCTTGCAAGTTCAAGCTCACCTTCTTTGCATAGTTTCCGCAGACGAGCCCCTGGAAAGAGCACTTCTCTCGACAGGGATATAGAGGGGACGGTCATACCCCGGCGTATCCGGCTCCTCGTTGCGGCTGGAACTGGGCAATCATTTAGGCTGTTACAACACTTCGGTCCTCTCTGCGGCCACACCTGGTCATGACCAATATCAGTTGAGAACGAAACCCTCTACTTCTCTCAACAGACCTGTACTACGTCTCATTCGACATCCAGATTGGCATCGATGGAAGTGTTGAAATGCTAACATCTGGGGGAATCTAGTAGTGATTTACAGGGCCCTATAGACCCTACTGACCGTTCAGGATATTGCAAGTCAGCCGCAGGAGACTGCATGTGACCTCAATCACCATTTGGGTCCGGCAATTGACAGCAGACCACATCACCGGCCCAAAGAAGAAGGAATGCAAGGAATGTAACGACAATGAGTGGTCAGAAAGGACAAGTCTATCGAAATGGAGAGGAAGAGCAGATCATGGGAAGATGAGAGTGGAGTTCAGTTCAGTTCCAGCTCAATTCCAGCTACACCAACCACGTCGCGCCTTATATCCCGAGTACTTCAAATCCCTAACATTATAACAGAGGCATATCTCACGAGAGAACACCGAGAATTGAGGTCCTCTTGCATCTCACGGGAAACGAGTACAGCGTGAGGTGCGCTTCAATTCTGACGCAAGTAGTGCTATCACTCAACGTGTTCTTAGCAGATCTGAGTAGATATTGAGTGCCCCAGGACTATCCCCGAAAGGCAGGGCTGATTGTCTGACCCGAGACCGAGGCAGGGGTCCAAGGCAAGGGCACAGATAACAATACGCTAGGTGATCAAAGGAGGTCAATCGGCTTCATTCTCTCAACCATATATGCCATGCACCAAGGTGCTTCAAGCTTGTCTCCCCTCTTGATATTCGATGATACCTCTTCCGAAAAGGAGCAGGCCAACACTACGTATGCCGCGAGATCTCGCAAAACCTTTCCACTACTCTCTAGCGGACCCTCGGGCAACAAGCATGCCGCCACACATCAAATCCGCGGCATACCCCGGACGATCTCGAAAAGAGAAAAGAGCCCCACATCCACTATCGCAGGCACGCCCCCTTATCGATGGAAGATACCGGCGGCAGATGGCAGCCTCTTTTCCGTCGTCCTCAGACTTCCGAGGAGACATCGTTTGCGGATCTGACTGGAACAACAAGGGTACAGCAAGTTCGCTAGAGCGATCGGCCGGCGGGCAAAGACTACTGCCCTGTTCCCCACAACTTGAAGCCACAGAAGCCCGTAGCCTAGCGCACCGACCAACTCAACGGCTACATTTGAACGCATACGATGCATTTCGAGCAACTTCCGGATCACAATCACATCTATAGAAGATCACACCAATCACACAGTATTCTATTTTTTTCGCTTTCATTTGTTCGTTTTGAGGAGCTTCTACCATAATGCTACAACCCTTCCGTCCTGGGACAAGATTCGGGCGGGCGCAGGACTCGGAGTGGTGACATTTACTCGCGGTCGATGGTGTGGAGGTCGAGGTCGGCGGGGTCGGAGGGAACGCTATACAATAGTCAGCTCTGTACAAGTCAAAAGCGATGTGGGCGTACGAGAGAATTCGGAGAGTGTTGGTGTGGCCAAGACCACCCTTCCAGCCCTGGACGGCCATGACGGTAGCCTCGGGCTTGATGATACCAAGGTTGAGGGCACTCTTGAGACCGTACCTGCAAATTCATTAGCTTTTGATAGACGACACTTGAAAGGACTCACCTGATCCTGTTGTCGACGTCAATCTGCCACTTCTCCGCGGGCACACCTCGGGGCTCGGGATAGTAGACGGGATAAACACCACGCGAGAGGTGCATCTGTCGGGCGTTCTGCTCGCTGCGGGTGACACAGATGATGGGGCAGGCAGGCCTGTACTTGGACAAGAGCCTGGCAGAGACACCAGAGGTGGAGAGGACAATGATGGCGCCGGCGTCCTGCTCGATAGCGGCGGCGACGGTGGAGAGGGCGAGGGTCTCGGCAGTCTCGGTGGGTCGGGGAGCAAGGGCACGGAGCTGGTCGAAGAGAGGGGGGTAGGCAATAGAAGACTCGGCGAGGAAGGCAGTCTCAGCCATCATCTTGACGGCCTCGATGGGGTACTTGCCCTTGGCGGTCTCACCAGAAAGCATGACACAGTCAGCACCGTCAATGACAGCGTTGGCGACGTCGGAAACCTCGGCACGGGTAGGTCGGGGGTTGTAAGTCATAGACTCGAGCATCTGGGTGGCACAGATGACGGGCTTGCCGGCAACGTTACACTTGGCAATCATCATCTTCTGGGCCATAAAGACCTGAGAAGCGGGGATCTCGATACCGAGGTCACCACGGGCGACCATAACACCGTCAGTCTCTCGAAGGATCTCGTCAAAGTTCATGACACCCTGCTCGTTCTCAATCTTGACGATAATCTTGATGGCGGCACCCTCGGGGCCAAGCACCTTTCGGATCTCCTTGACATCGTTGGCGGAACGGATGAAGGAGGCAAAGATCATGTCGACACCGTTCTTGACACCAAAGGCAAGGTCGGCCTTGTCCTTCTCAGAGAGAGGGGGAAGGTCGACGGCAGTCTTGGGAAGGTTGACACCCTTTCGAGAAGAGAGGGTACCAGAGTTGAGAGACTTGACTCGGAGCTTCTCGCCCTCAACGGCGATGACCTGGAGGGAGAGAATACCGTCATCGACATAGATGAGCTTGCCGGGGGCGGTGACCTTGACGATATTGGCCTACCGAAGAGAGTCAGCCAATGTGAACGCGTCGGGCGAACGAGGCGCAACGAGGCGAGGCTCGGAAAGTTCGGAAACTTACGTAGTCCATGTAGATGTGCTCGGCGGTACCGGCCTCAGCGTAAGCCTTGTCGGTGGTGACCCAGAAATCGTGACCAGCGGAGATGGGAATCTAGGAGACACGTTCGTTAGCGCTTCCTTTGGGGATTTGCGGTGCGTCGCTAGCGCCAAGAGAGGCGGCTCACGTCGGTGTCATCCTTCATCAAACCAGTCCTGATCTCGGGGCCCTTGGTGTCGAGGGCAATGGCGAGGGGTCGGCCGGAGGGGTTCTTGGCAGCGGCAGCTCGGGCGTTGTCAATGACAGACTGGTGGTACTCGTATGAACCGTGAGAAAAGTTCATTCGGACTGTTATCGTGTCAGCGCGTGTCGTAGAGGAAAGAGAGCATCACGCACCGACATTCATACCAGCGTCAGCGAGCTGGACGAGGGTCTCAACATTGTTGGTCTTGGGGCCGATGGTGGCGATGATGGAAGTCTGCCAAGGCAAGAAAAGAGGAGAAAAAAGTCAGCTCCGTGACGACCGGGAATGAGTGAAAAAAAAAGACAACGAGAGAGACACACCTTTCGCAAGAACTTCTGCTCGGGAGCCATCTCGTTAAAGTTGGTGCTCAAGCCTGACAACCAGGCGAGCTGGGAAGAGGGGGTACCGGCCATGCTGTAGAAACCTTGGGGCTTTGCGGTAGAGACACTGGAGGTGTTGGTCTGGAAGAGGGGCACGAAGGCTTCGGGAGGGGGAGGGGGGACGGTGTTGGCGGCAGCGGGGGGGAAGTGGCCGAGGGTCATTATTGATTTTTGATGTGGATGGGAGAAGAGAAGAGAAAGAGATTAGTTTGTGCGGCAGTGGTTCGAGTGGGGCGGGTGGAGGCTGGTTACGTACTCGGTCGGGTTGCTGTGTGCAAAAAGGAGGAGGCGGGTATGTATGGAGTGCGCTTTGTATCGCAAGGGGGGGGTCTTGCAGCTCGGGTTGTGCATGCTACGTATTCTCCCCAACGCCGTCTTACCCATGCCCCGCCCGGACCCTGCTCGGCACTTATCACTCGCAGAAATGCCACCTCAGCCCCCTTTTTCCCCCGACGACTATTTCCTACACCAGGCAAAGCTCTTCAGCCATCTCGAGAAACGCCACAACAAGTTCGCTGCAAAGACAGTCACCGAGGCCCAGCGAGCACGCGACAATAGAAAGCACCCCCCGCCCAAGAAAGTATCCCCGCCTGCAGGAAACATGATAGGTTCAAGCTCCATTCGAGGCTCAGCCAGGGCCATATCCCAAGCTGCTGTATGTCGCTTCTCTACCCTCCGACCTATCCCGAATCATGCTGACTGTATGCAGCGCCCGAGTCTTACCCCTGCCCCCTCAGCATCCTTCTCCACCACCGCCCCCGCTTCCATCCGTGTAGCCAAGAACAAGCTCCGGAAGGTTGGCAACCCCGACGCTCTCCCGGCTGAAGAAGCGACCAAGATCCTACGAGTGCGCCTAGTCTTTCCCCAGTTCGCAGATCCCCGCTAACCTTTTATCCAGGCGCTCGAAGTAGCCCACCCGAAATCTACGTATACCCTCACCCTTACCACCAAATCTCACAAATCTGCCCTCCCCATCCGTGGTTCATTCAACCTCCCTCTCGACCCTCGCCGAACGTCCGAGACCATTCTCGTCTTTGCCGAACCCTCCTCCTCTTCTGCGGCAATGGCCAAGGAAGCAGGAGCAGCGTATGTCGGCGGAGACGAGCTCTTTGAAGCACTGTTATCGGGAAAGATCAACCCCACGAGATGTCTCGCCACGCCGGGTATGATGCCCACCGTTACACGATCTCTTGCCCGATTCCTCGGTCCAAAGGGTCTGATGCCAGCGGCCAAGCGTGGCGGTGTGGCTGAAGGGGAAGAGCTGGTAGAGCGTATCAGAGACGCCGCGGGCAAAATGGAGTACCGCGCAGACAAGGCGGGCACTGTCAGGATCAATGTTGCGAGATTGGACTTTGGAGTGCCGGCGGTGGAGCAGAATGTCAAGGCATTCATCAAGACTGTGAGGGACAACCAGGCGGCGGCAAACCAAACGGATGACCCGCTTGCAGCGGCAGCCAAGAAGAATAAGAAGAAGGGTGAGTTAATCCGTATGGTTCAAAGATGGCTGGGCTGACAATGTCATAGGGTCACAGATTACTGCCGCGATCCTGGAGTCAACGAATGGGCCTAGCATAGAGCTCAACGATGTTCTGTAGTGGGAGATGCATATAGTGTAGCGATGATTTGTCGTAACGGACACGAAAGACGCGTACGGCATATCCTTTGTCTTCCTTAGGGTGCTGCACAACTGAAAAAATGTCTACGTCAATACAACTCTGACCTGCGCATTGAGGTGTATACTACACCAGCTAGATACATCTTGTCCTGCGTATTGAGGTGTATATCACAGCTGGTAAAGGAATCAAAGATAAGACTTCGCGGTGCCAACCTCATGGAAGAATTCTCAGCCACTTGTCAAGCGATTGATCGAGCTGACACCAATACTTGAGCCATATTCAACTAACCATGCATCGTGCAATTTGAGCGAGTTTTTCTATTTCTACTTTACTGTGACTTGGCAAGGAGCACAGCGACACTACCAAGGGCCCTTCTGATATCTTGGTAGTCCACATCATGAGCTATTAGGTGGATTAGCTTCAACACTTTCGACATGGTTCGATTGACAACGTACTGTCCTCTACTTCACCCCATCGCTCGATTTGGCTTCTGACCTCGACGTGACTCGCGTCGGCTGCCTCGTGTGCTGTCAAGTGACCACGAAGAAGGGCGAGGGAGATGACAAAGGATTTTGTGGCATAGACTGCTCTTTCGAATGCTTCATTCGACGTCAACTTTGATCGGCAAAGAGACAAAAGTAAAAGAACTCACCAGCCAGCTCCCAAGCGTCCATCTCTTCCACAGCCTTTCTCAGCTTTCCGATGGTCTCCTCACTCTGGCTCACTCCTCCAAAGCCTTCCGCCAATGCCAACGTCACTCCAAACTCCTCCTTCAACCACGCATGTAAAGGGTCCCAGTGTTCCTTTTGCAGGCGGACAAGAGGAGGAGGAGCTTCGTCGGGGAAGAGGATAGTATCTGTTTGAAGGTACTTGAGGAGGGCGTCAATCACCAAAGGGCGAGTGAAGGGGTCTGAAAGACCGTCTATCGCCCTTGAAGCGAGCGACGTCTGATCCTTACTCAGCTTTCGACCTTCTCCCTCTACAATCAAGAAACGTACCACGGGCAGAGCATGCTGCTTCAGAACCTCATCCTGGTTCTCCCACTCACCACTGATCATGGCCGCCAACAATCTTCTCTCTTTCGGGATCTCGAGCTTTGAACCGGAGGGCGTCTTCAGTGCCCGGTGGTCGAGGGTGATTTGATATGATCCGGAAGGCAAGGAGGTGATGTTTGATGATTTCCAGAAGCGTCGAAGAGTTTGTTCGGCCCCTACTCAAGATTAGACTGGTACATCTTGAAGTAAGAGGACTTGCGGTTGGTTTGGGAGATGGCAGGGCCGTCTTGGACTTCAGCGAGACGCGCAGTCAAGCTGGTAGAGAACGCTCTGGGCGCAAGCAAAGCCCTGGGAGCCACATTGAAGGCTCTGTGGCCCATTCGAAGGGGGCGAAGGGCAGCCATTTTTACTTTTGGGATTAGATGATAGAGCAGACGAGACTTTCGAGATGGTGGAAAGTGGAGGAAGGGGCATTAGCGGAAGCAATTCCCCGATTAGCCAAAGCAGTCACAACATTAAGTGCGCTATACAACCCTTCCATCGCACTCTTTCTGCACCCAAAAGGTCACCATGGACCACCAGCCACCACCGCCGCCATCTACCACCTTCACACTACCCCCTCAGTCTCCACAACAGCCCCAGCACACCATACACCTCCCTGCTTTCAGTGCAGCTTCGCAAGCTGGGCCCTCATCTCAGCCTTACGTCCCGCCTGTAAACGGGCAACCACTAGCTGATGGGCCACCTGGTCCCAACCCTCGAGGGCGGCCACGTGGAAGTGTAAGGGTAAGAGGGAGGGGCGGGGGCTCCGGTACAGTCCCTCGGGGCGGGCGAGCCTCGAGAGGCTCGAGAGGCGGTGGAATGTCTACGATGCGGTCTTCTACACGTCTCTCTGAACGCAACGCTTTTGGTATCCAGAAACTTAAACTCTCCTTCAAGAATGGAGGTGCTACTACCGAAGCATCGGGAGGCAGAATGTCAAGTTTCATGGGAGAATACGACAGAGAGCTGGATGAAGGGGCGGACGAGCCTCTATGTTTTGAGGAGCAATTCATTCTAAGAGTGCCCGGAGAAGTGGCGGAAGGGAAAAGCGGACAAGGGGGGCTTAAGGATATGGTTAAGGGAAAGGGAAAGAGCTTGGAGGGTATCGAGTTCAAGTTTCTGGGTAAGTGTATCTTGTGGAAGAAGTGCAAAGCTGACATGTCGGTAGACTCTCGCCGAGCGGCTTTCAAGATTAACGGTACAACCTACTCTTCCAAGCTCGTCGATCTTCCCAACATCATCGAATCTCAAAAGACGAATGATAACAAGCATCTCTTTAAGATCGCCGACATCTCCCAGATGCTTGTCGTCGATCAGCCCGTCAAAGATGAAGCGTCAATAACGGCGTCACCGCTCAAGATAGACGAGTATATCTGGCCGCATGGGCTTACGCCTCCGATGAGGCACGTGAGAAAGAGACGATTCAGAAAGAGGATGAGCCGATTGACGATTGAAGTGGTCGAGGAGCAGACGGAGGAGTTGCTCAAGAAGGATGAGGAGGCTGAGACGACTTCGTGTGGTACGTTCTCACAGCCAATCCATGACGCATAACTGATTCTCGGATAGAACTACTTGATGCCCATCCAGATCCCGAAATAGACGACCAGTATTACATAGACTACAATCCCAACGGCCCCTGGCAAGGCTCCGAGTACGGCGAACAAGGATCCGAGTATGGCGGTTCGCAAATGTACGACGACCCTGGCTCTGTCGCACCGTCGCAGATGGAGGATTGGGGAGAGGGCGGTACAGACTGGGGCACCGAAGTTGGAGAAGGCGAGGGCGAATCAGGATATGGAGGTGATGAAGGGGATGGAACGTTGGATCAGGAGCTCGCGGCTGCGCTTATGGAAGGTATGGGCGGGGTGAGTGCTGTCGCGTACTTGTCATACACCGCTGACTGGAGCAGTCCGAACGCTCTGGCACGGAAGAAGAAGACGGCATTTCGGGCACCGACGATTCTGATGACGAAGGCGATGGTGACAGATCAGACGAAGATGAGGAAACTGTTGAAAGAAGGGGCAAGATCAAGCAGCTCACAGTCGATATCAAGAATTTGGAAAACATTATCGAGAAAAAGACCAACAGTTTTACTGGTGGAAATCCCATCATGGTCGTAAGTCGCCCCATGCTCAGCTCAACATGTCTGACGAGCAATTAGAAACGTTTCGAAGAAACTATCGCCGGCCTTCAAGCCGATATCCAGACCAAGATTGCTGCGCGACAGGCTATTGTCGACGAGCTCGGTCAGGCGGAAGAAGGCGCCGCCATTGAGGCCACCCGCCAGCCCCTCTCTATCGATGAAAAAGCGTCCTCCCCCGACGACCGCGAGGGTAAAGAATCCGCTGCAGCGGCAGAGACTCCCATGCCAGTGGATACGGATGCGGATGTGGACATGGATGAAGGCGATTACAGCGAGGCCCCTACACCAGCAGGAGAGAACCAAGAGGTCAGAGACTCATCCCCAGTGTACTCTGATGATGGAGACGACCTGTTTGGGGACGATGATGACGATGACGACGATGGGGAGGATGGGCCGCCTTTGCCGTTACCGGAAGGAGGCGAACAAGACGAGGAGCATGAAGACGATGAAGACGAAGGCGAAGAGGATGAGATGGCGAGGATGCTGCGTGCCGAGCTGGACGGCCTTGATCAAATGGGTGGTGATGATCCCGACGCTCTGCCGATTGAGCAGGATCAAGCGGATGTGGATGCCGCGGCGGCGCTGGATACGTACGGCATGACGGACGAGTTTGGTGGCTTTGAGAACCAAGAGGCAAATGCCGCCGACCTCATGGCGAGTCTCGACTTTGGCAATGTGGAACAGATGCCGGCGTCCGAACCTGAATACATTGAGGGAGGAGCAGGGCAGAGGAGATATGCTATGGGCGCAGATGACGATGATAGTTCGGAAGACAGCTACGGTGACGATTGAGGAAAGATATCCTTGTTGTATGGTTAGGAAATTGCAAAGTCGAGATGGACTGGATGCAATGATATATTACATTGATGACTAGAAATGCAATGAACGAAACACATATGAACCAAGTTGCCAAGTTTACCAACCCCCCACCCCAAGGCCGCTTCCTTCTCCCTCCTGCGCTTCCTCTTCCGCCTTCTCCTTTCCGAACAGCTCTCTGAGATCCACACCTCCCTTGCCGCTCTGCCCAGCCTGTCCTCTGGCTTGCATCTTCTTCCTCTTGTTTCCAGTCAACTTGACCTCCGCTCCGTCCTTCTTTACCTCCACAACACCCACCACAGCAGACTTGTCCTTGCGGTAATCTTTGACTGTGGTGGACGTTTCTTGAGCGGGGTTTCGAAGGTCAGCAGTGGGGTCTGGGGCAGAGGAAGTGGGTACAGGAGAAGGAGCCTTGTCGTGCTTATTTCTCTTGTGCGCAGGTTCCGGAGCTCGCTCAGAGTCGTCAACGACGCCATGCTTTCTCTTCTTCTTTGACGGCTTCTCAGCATGCTCGCTTTTCTTCTCCTTTCTCTCTTTCTTCTCTTTCTTGGGCTTGGTGCCCTCTTCTTCCGCGTTTTCTTCTGACGCAGCTTCCTGGGTCTCTTCCTCCGCACCCCACTTACGCATCTTGCCTCCAGCCTCATTGGCCCCCGTCGGCCTTTCTCTCCCAACTCTCCTCTCTCGCCCCTTCTTTTCCCATTTACTCTCTTGGACCTCCCCTTTCCTCTTCCTCTCCTTCACTCGGTGAGCGTCTACGATCTGCAGGCTGGGCAGATCGGGAGATGCTTGGAGAAGTTCCGAATATGTGGGGTGGGAGGTAGAGAGAGGGTTGGAATGGAGGGAGAGAGACCGGAGGTGGGGCCAGAGAGGCTTGCGTTTGCTTGCCGTAAGACCAAAGAGAGGCGCGATGGACTGGTAATCCAGAGAGCAATTACCCAGGTCAAGGACAAGGAGCCCATCACCGAATTGCTTTTCATCGCCCCCCTTTCCAACAAGCGACATGTCTCCCTTGCCCCAAGATGAGATATGGGCAGGAAGAGTGGTAAGGGAAGGAAGATTGTTCATTTTGACGTCTCGAAGAAGGGGAAGAGAAGATAAATTGGGGAGAGAGGCCGCGCTGAGACGGGGACAATGAGAGAAGGTGATTTTGTTGAGGTGGTGAAGGGAGGAGAGAGAGTGGGGGAGGGACGAAAGATTAGGAGAGTGCGACACAACTGTGCAAGCGGTCAGCTGTGGGCCGTAATTAGGGAATGCACAGACATACTGATCGAATTCAGTTGAGACCAGGATCCGACAACGTCAGAGTCGATTTCAGTCCATTCGTTGTTCATTGCGACGAGAGCCTTGAGGTTTGGCAGATCCTTCAAAGCGGAAGGGAGCTGTTTGAGACCGGTGCCGCTAATGTTCAAAACTGTCCGCTTCATCAGCTCGGCTTGATATTGCGACCTCGAAACTTACCAGTAAGCTCCGACAAGGTTCCTACCGCCTCCCAGCCCTTCTCAACTGGGCATCCCGCCAGATTCAGCCAAGTGACGCCCATGCCCTCCAACCAAGACACATCTTGGGCACCACTACCGGACAAATCCACCCTTCTGACATTCTTCAGAGATTCCTGTGGCGGCGGTATAGGGAAAGCAGACTCCGAGTATATCAAAGCAGCTGCACTGCGAACAGCTTTGGGCTTGTAGAGACTCGGGTCCTTGGGCTGCTCGCCTTGGCCGTAACGTTGCTTCCTAGGAGGTCGCTCGTCCTTCTTGTCTTGACCATCACCCGTTCGTGTCTCGGCAGACTTTTCTGATTTTGTGGTAGATGGTCCAGGTGCGGACTTTGAAGACTGCTCGGCACGCTTCCTGCTTCTAGCTGCTCCTCGATCCATGGTGGGCGGTATTTATCACTGAGGTCGAGAGCGAGTACCAAATTGTTGGTCGCGAAGATTTCATTCAAAATAGTACGTCGCGAGATTGATTACGTAAGTATTGACGAACTTCCTCGTAAAGATCAGATCAAAAGTCGGTCTGTATCATCTCTGGCATCTCTACCTCTCACAAACGGCTCCCCCCCTCTCTTCGCCATGTACGCCTCCACATCAAAAGTCCTGGCCAAGTCAGGCGGTCTTTCTCTCAGAGCCTTCTCAGTCAGTACTTTTTTATGTGTGTCGAGACTGGCTGATTTTTGTGCAGACTTCATCTACTGCCATGACAAAGAGACAGACTTTCGTCGAGCTGCTTCAAGAAGTTCCAGGACTCGGAAAGGCCTGTGAGTGTCGCCTGGCCACTTTGATAGACGACTGACCTTTGCAGTCGACCGAGTCCTTGTCGCTCCTGGGTACGCCAGAAACGACCTCGTCCCCGCTCGAAAGGCCAGGTTCATCCCGTTCAAAGAGAGCAGCCAAAGACAGATTCTGCGGATGAGTGTACGATCCCTTTGTTTCTTCTGCATGAAACGCCGCTGACGAGAATTGCAGGACTCTGAAAGAGCTTCCCACAGTCTGCGTATCGGTGCCCCCGGCTCGTCTGCCAGCTGGCAACAGCGCTCTGCCTCCGACCTTCTCCCTACCACCCAAGAACTTCTCAACGCCATCCACAGCATCAAATCACCCATCACCTTTTCTCTCCGTACCGTCTCACCTACCTCGACCTCTTTACATGGGTCTCTCAACTTGTCCAATGTTCACGATCGTATCGCGGAGAACTATGGGTTGACGTCGAAAGAGGTGGAGATCGATTGGGTGGAGCAAGAGAATGGGGCCAGGATGAAGGAACTCGGAAAGTGGGAGGCTCTTGTAAAGCTGAGGCATGGCGGGAGGGAAGAAGTGCCGATAGAAGTCGAGGTGGTCAGACTCGAGACCGCAGAGCAATAAACCGCATTTCGTGACATATGCATCAAGTCGCCATCCCTGATAAGATTATAGAAGAGTATGACAAATGACAGTATCATGTCTGCAAAAAGCTTTGTGTACCGAAAAGAGTTCGCGCAGAGGCCACAAGCTGCAGCATGTCAGCCTATCCCTTGTCCTTCCCGAGCGATGATCACTTACCTCTTCCAGTATATTACAGACCTCGCCCAACGCCTCATTCTCCGCCATACCATATAAAACCGCCAGCTCTGCCTGGTAACCCTCGGCCATGGTACTGCGGGTGCTCTGCGTTTCTCTCGGATGATGATGATTATGCCGAGCAGAGCGCAGATGACGAGAGTGTTCTTCAGTGACATCCATGAGCTCAGAAAGAGGCACGCGTGGGGAGGGAAGAAATTGAGGGAGGGGGCCACGCGAGCCATATGCGTGACTTGAAGCCCATAGGTTGATAAGTACAGTCGAAATCTTTGTCTTGTCAGTACGACTCTCGTTGATGCAAATACACTGACAAGTTCTCGCCGTAAGGGCAGCACATCAAGGACCGTCTCCTTCCTGGGCACGCTGAATCTAAGGATTCTAATCTCATTGAGTGTCTCCAGTAACCGCTCAATCGCGTCAATGATCTCAGAGTAGAGTTTGATTGGCCGTGGCAAGAGCGAGACTTCTTGCTGCTGAATCTTCATGAGGGTCCGGCTGAGTTGAATGTTGCGCTAGAGAGTATGAATATGATATGGACACTGGAACATGAAAGGGCTCACTTTGATCTTCCCCTCAAGCTCCTCGTAACGTTTATCATCGACGCGATACACCAGCGTTGATCGAACAAGATCCCGGCTCATTCGCAAGTCTGTAACTCAAGTCAGCCACTTCAGCTTGCTTCAAGTCCACTAGACTTGCAGTATTCAATGAGACCCTCCAGCGTTCGCGACACAACTCTGAAATACTGGACCCTTGCGTGGACCGGCCAAAACCAAGTGCCCACCAGGACAGCAGCCACCACACCAATGACAATATCCACGAATCTATTCCATGTCAAGAACCAGTCTGATTGGCCATCGGACAGCCCCAGATATGGTATGAACAGGATGGGAGGGAGTGTGATGCCGGTGGACGTCCCCAGGCCTGGGATGGAGGCGAAGAGAACATTGTATGATATCGGGATGGAGCAGACTGTCGCGAGCACCACTAGGCCGTACGGGTTTCTCCCTGCGATCAATACGCACTGCGCACCCATCAGAACGGGGTATCGACAAAAGTTTGTCAGTAGACTCACAACAAACCCCACCACAGCTCCAATAAAAGTCCCCAACGCTCGCAAGAATCCCACCTTGAGGATAGCTCCCGTGGTGTCTTCGAGCACAAACATGTAGCTCACGACCATCCAGCCGCCTCGTGAGGAATGATACCAATTGCGAGCCGAATACCCCGGTGGCATCCAAGCTGGGACCGAAAGGAGGCAGATGCCTCCTGCAAGCTTGATCGCAAAGAGGACGTGGCGGGAATGTTTGACGTCGTGCATGAAACGGGACATCAAGATACGTGCTGTCTCTAATGGTCAGTACGGTGATCGCTATTCCAGATTGGTGAGACGTACTCTTCACCACTTTGTGCTGGTCCCAGAAAAGTTTCCATGCGCGTCCCAGGCGATGCTTTGGGCTGGTGGTTGACAACGCCGAGTGCTGTTGATGTAAGGTGGCAGACACAAAGTCCATATCCTGAAATTCCTTCTTCTCGTCGTGCGGCAGTGATTCATCTGGCACCAAATTTGGCTCCTCACCTGTCTCGAAATGAGCAAAGTCCGGTCTCGCAGACATGACTCACGTTGATGATCCCTGTCCTCTTCGTTATCACTTCTATTAAGCCAGAGGAGCCTCAAAAAGTGCATCCAGCCGCTGAGAGGCTTTTCATATGCCGGTGCTTCATTGAGGGTGGTCGCAAGACCTTGTATATCCTTTGCCAAATCCAACAGCGTAGTCATGACAAAAGCCAAACGATAGCGATCCCGATTATGCAGCACGCTCCTTACTTCGACAGTCTCGGAAAAGGTGGCCGGTACTGGGCTTCTGTTCAGCGGAGAAGTCGCATATTTCGATGGGGATGCGCTTCGACGCACGTCGGACTCGCTGTCGCTTGTGTCGTCTTTGTCTTCCCCGCCCAAATCGCCCAGAAGGGATCCCAGCACATGCTGGACGCAACCGACTTGCTCCTCCAAACAAGCTTTCGCGCCGGCCAGTCGTTCGTGCGGATTCATCTCCGCCTTGTCTTCCTTTGCTGCCTCTACTGCCCAGCCGAACTTTGCCGGTAACTCTTGCTCAATCGCTTGAAGCGCCTCAACCATAGCACCAACAAGCGATTCGCTCCGTTCCTTGAGCCCGGGATGTTGCGAGAGCGTCAAACTAGAGCTAGACGCTTCAGGGGGTAGCAAGCTGGTAAGATGCCGAGGTTTCCGTCGATGGAACACCTCAGAACGGCTTTGTGAGCGGATGGAAGAGGAAGCACTGGGCACCGGAGTCCGGGCCTTCGCCCCTCTGGGGGTACCGGGTTGGCTGTGGGGAAAGGTTTTGTTCAAGGCAGCCTGGATACGCTCGCCGGGGCTTTGACTGGTACCTAGGAGAGGGTTGCGAACGATTCGCTGGAGAGACTTGACCACGGTTGGCAGTAGGGGTAGCTGTCCATCGACAGATGGCGTGGTACGAAGATAAGAGGAGGACGAAGTTTGTAAGTTTGATATTGTCGTTTTCAGCTTCTTTGCTAGTTGATCTTGACTAGACGGTAGGCGCGCTCGATCGGGCTGAGACTCTAGGCTCTTTGCCGTAGGATACTCCGCTTCAGAAGGTTCTGATATAGTAGGAGAAGAATTTTCATTCCCGGTGATGTGCTGGAGCGATAATGGCAGGAGGGTACAAATTGTTTTGAGCGATTCTTCCACCTGAGCGCCAAACTGATGTGATAGAGTGTGATGGGGAGCAAAGATCAAGGTTGAGATGAGGGGTAAAATGCCGGCAAATATGACAACGTAGAACTGTTCGAGAAACAACGCGGCTGTCATCTGAGAGGATATGAGATCACCGCCGTCCCTTGACTGATTACGACTCACATGCGTGATGGTCTGCTGGCCGGTCAACATGAATATAGGAAAGAACACCATGATCTTGCTGAATGTGTTGAACCTTCGGACAGAGCTTCGGATCAGACCGGCTGTTATCTGATGAGTCCAGATAGCCCCAGTATTCCGTCGAGTGCACTCACAGGCGATGCACAGTAAAGCCAGACCCACGCCGAGTATGGCTCGAGTCTGATCAGAGTCGACACCATACCGCCGCCCACACCAAGCAGCAACTGCCAGGACTCCAGAAGACCAAGCGATGCCTATAGTTCCTCCGGCGATACCAAGGACTGCGCACAGGTCAGGAGAAAAATCTGTGAGCGTCTTTGCAACTTACCTGTGAGTTCGATCTGAGGACCTATTCTACCTCTCGGGAAGAAGAAGATCAGCATCGATGTATAGACAAGGAATGCCCATCTGTAAAATGTCTCGTCAGCTTCTGATCATCTGCAATGTGAGAGACTCACTGGCCGGATATCCCCCCCCAAGGCTTGACGGCGGAAAGGACAAATGAGAGGAACGATGCCAGGGTGGGAGCCGCAAGAAGGCGTAGTCTCGTCGTCCAGCGCATGTTGAGGGATATCTGAAGCTATATAGACATGTCTCAGATGAGGTGTATATGGACAGAGCGCGATTGGCCCTCGTATGATGAGACAGTATCTCGTCTGAATTCCAGCTTGATCACAACAAATCGGCGACCAAATGATGCTTCCGGTGGTGTTTACGTAATGCTGTATATCTAGGCACACTCCGCCGCGACGAGATTTTTGGATGGCATCTGCGAGTGTTGACAGCAGCTATACCTCCACAGCGATATATCATGGTGCGTACATTCAGCTCTTGCCTGCCATAACTCATCGTCCTGCAGAAAATCAAGACCATCTCCCGGTCTCTCGACGACCATCTCCCCTCTTCTTCCTCCGCCCCTCATCCCCTTTCTCGAAACCTCGCACCTCACCTACACCCCTTTTCCAAACCCAGAGAATATGCGCGAGCAGTCACCGCCGTCAAGATGGACCGAATGTTCGCCAAACCCTTCGTGGACGCTCTCGGAGGACACCAAGACGGTGTCTACTGTCTTGGTAAGGACCCTCGGAGAGCGACAGTGGTGGCCGGTGGCGGAGGTGATGGTGAAGTCATTGTACATTCATTAGCGCTCAGGCGTCCGCTTCTCAAGATTGCTGCTGCGCACAAGGGAATGGTAGGCGGGATTTGCTGGACGGCAGAGGCGAAAGATGGAAGGCGAGGGTTGATCACATGTGGAAAGCTTGATGGAACTGTCAAAATCTGGAGGAGCGGCGCGTTTGCGCCTGGTCTCAGGGATAAAGACGCATTCGAGGGGAACGAATTTGGTCTGGGAGATGGCGATGCTGGGTTCTTGGACCAAGCAGGCGCTATCGGAGAGTCCGGGTTTGAGTTTGACGAGGAGGCTGGAGGCGGCTTGTCAATCGACTCTTCAAAGAGAGACGCCCTGGGCCAGAACCTCGAGCCGGTTATGACCTATACGTCCAAGAACGGATTTAATGGCATCGATCACCATCGCTCAGATGCTGTCTTTGCCACGGCATCGAATACTGTTCAGATCTGGGACGAGAACCGCTCGGCGGCCCTCAGCAATTTGCAATTCGGCAACTCTATGGAAACTGTTACCCAAGTCAGATTCAATCAAAGTGAAACGAGTGTGCTGGCTAGTATTGGCAATGATAGGACAATGTGTCTTTACGATATCAGGACGGGTAAAGCTGAGAGGCGTGTCGTTACTCAGGTGGGTTTCCATACCAGTCATTGCCGATGTAGTACTGACATTCGTAGTTCCGAAACAACTCCATCTCCTGGTGCCCGACGCTCCCTACCGTCATTCTGATGGGCTCAGAAGACCACAATTGCTATACCTTTGACATCCGAAATCTTGAAACTCCCAACCAGATCTACAAGGGTCACGTTGGTGGTGTCATGGGATGCGACTGGAGTCCAACGGGAGAAGGATTCGTCTCTGGCTCGTACGACCGAACCATTCGCTTGTGGGACCGAGAGTCCGGAAAGTCGAGGGATGTGTATCACACAAAGCGGATGCAGCGGTAAGCCGGACCGGTGGACACTCTGATGGATACTGACAATTTGATAGCGTTTTTGACGTCGCGTATACCCCCACCGCCGACTTTGTTCTTTCCGCCTCCGATGATGGTAACGTTCGTATCTGGAAGTCTGACGCTTCCAAGAAACTCGGCCCCGTTTCCACCAAGGAGCGCCAAGCTATCGAGTACAGGCAAAAATTGGTCGAGAGGTACTCGCGCGAGAAGGGCGTCAGGGAAGTCAAGGAGAGAAGACATGTGCCGCAAAGTATTCACAAGGCGACGAAGACGAAGAGGGATATGATCGAGGCGAGGAACGTCAAGGAGGACAGGAGGCGAAAGCATACCAGAGCAGGGAGAGAGAAGCCCAAAGCGGAGAGGAAGAGTAGGTCCAATGCTCGTGTCGTCTCGCATGCCGCTAATGAATGCTACAGAAACTGTCATTGTGGAACAGAAATAGACTTGGTTTGGATTGTGATTTTTGTTGTACAAGACTTTTGGATGCATATCATCAACACGCACTCCCGACGACGAGGTTAGGCTACGGCCGCGACACTTTCTGGATGGATCTGCTTAGCGCTGTTCTACTGCCGTGTCATTCTTCGCACATTGCGAGGGAATCGGAAACGGGACATATCGTGATCCATCCCGGCATGCAACGGTACTTGAATCTACTGCTGCAAGTTTTGCCTCTACTACTACACAAAACGAAACCCGATGCCCAATGTTTGTGAATTCCATGATATGAACAAAAATCTCTATAAGCATGAGTCGAAACGGACGAAAAAGGTAATGAAGAAAGTAAGAAAATGTGTGCAAGTCGAGTCGGGTAGAAGAAAGGGACAAGGTTATATTTATTAGAGTGACAAATGGCTATGTAAGGTTGGGTTGATATGGGTTTTCATGGTCTTTCTGGACCCTTGGAATGCTGTGGCGAGGGGGAACTCTCGTATACTACCCCTCCCCTGCTGAATGTAGCAGTCTCGACGATCTCTCTAATTGGGATGCTTAATCTCCCCACTGCAGCCACTCCCCGTACGCATTGGGTCCTTCGCCCCGCACATAACTCTCAAAGGTCCTCTTCAAAACTGTCGACCAGCTCAGATCCACCTCATCGTCCATGTCTTCTCCCCCTATCACTTGCCCTTCTTCACCTAGACCTTCTCCGTATCCCTCGCCGTTTCCTCTGGGGTCGACATCGTCCCCAACCAAATGCGCTGGTGTATCCGAGTCGGCATCGCGGGCGGAAGAACGAAGGGCGCGTTCACCCTTAATGAAACGGTGACCCAGGTCAGGGAAGTTCCGTGAGGGGTCAAAGGGAAGCCACCAGAAGTTGTGGAAGTGGTAGGAGAAGGCGCCGCGGAAGAAGCCCTCAAAGCCGACGGGCTGGGGCGCGTTTGACTCGAATTTATCATTGGAGAATAATTGAGAGAATCTGTGTAATGTTAATAGAAGCCATGACGGTCAAGGATATGACTTACTCGGGGAAGTAGGGGAAAGGCGGTCGGTCTCTCTGGTACTTTTCCATATTCAACCAAGCAGGGTCAAACAAGGCATCGGGAATCATAAACAACAGCTTGTCCAGCCCAGCATCCTTCAGATACCTCGTGACCGTCATCGGGTGGAAGTCCAACCCATTCTCTAGAGCCGTCTTGAACAAAAAGGTACTGAGGGCTGAACCCTTGTGCAGTTTGAGCACAGCAGTGTTGTACTTTTGGTGCCAACTCCATCGATAGGCAAATTGACCACGGTAGTTCCAGAGCTCTTCCCAATCACGCAGGAAGAGAGTGTCGGCGTCGAGATAGATACCACCGAATCGATGAGTGAGGACGAAACGGGCCATGTCGGAAAGAATGACAGAGAGTCGGTCGTAGTCAGATTCGGAGGAAGAGCCGACCTTTTCAAACAAGCCGTCCTTCTTCTTTTTCTTGGGAACCTCTGCCTCGGCTTCGGCCTCGACGTCGGCGACGACTTCGCCTACCATAGCATATTCATCCTCCTCGTCTTCCGCGTTCGCCTCTGGTGTGTTCTGAGGAGGCGGCGCATTGTAGGTATTTCCACCAGAATTAAAGATGGGCATCTGGCGCCAGTGCGGCTTCAATTCGGCGATACCATCCAATTGCTCTGTGGTGTTCCACATTTTAAACTTGACAACGTCCCTAAACCTTTCGTGCATGAAAGGTGCCGACCACGGGTTGGTCGCCAGCTGCTCGAGCATCTCTCGCTTGGCAGAGGGATTGGGGACGGCAGCGGCAGGGCCGGGGTTGATCCACACCCAGAACTGAGGTCGGCAGGTCCCTCGGACAACGTCGGAAGTGTCAGTGACAGCATCAATGGGCTTGTCGAGGCCAAGGTTTTGAGTGTACAAGAAGGACATGACAGCCATGTAAGGCTTGTCCGTAAAAGGACCCGCCCAGAACATGTGGAATATTCTGGGGTGAAGTGGGTCGCAAGCATCACGAGAGTCAAAGCTCGCGGGCACAGAGTATGGTTGGGGCAAAGTCAAGGCTGAACGGGAACGGCTGCCGGCACGGGTCTCGGGGGCGCGGGGTGACCATGGATGGGACTGAGCAGAGGTGGACTCTTCGTAGTAGTGTTGCTTGTACTGGGCGAGATAGTTTCCTCTTCGTACGCGCTTGCTGGCGTCCATGCCGCCTCCGACTCTCAAAAACTCTAGGCAGTCTCGGACATACTATTTGTATTTTAGCCTGATCTGCCGGCCTGACACGTCCCTATACTTACCTTGTTTGTACCAAAATCACATTTTTCCCTGACCAGATCTAAATCCAGAATCGATCCAGGCATGGGCCTGGCAGAGAATCCTGTCTGGCTTTCGCGAGGATCCCAGACAGAGAGGTAATGCCGTTCGGGGCCGATGCCGACCAGTGAAGATTGAGGGGTCTTGTCGGCTCGGTTCTGGTAGGCAACTGCCGGCGAAGGAGTGATGGGGGAGGGAAGAAGGGCGGGAGGGACGACGGGGTTCTTGAGGGCAAGAGCGATGGGCAGATGGTCGGGCGCTTCGAGGTGTCAATGCCGTTCTTGCCATTTGAAACACGACTCACGCTGTTCCCGACTAGGATAGTGCCCACTTAATACCTCCCACTCCCAGATCATCGCAGCCTCTTCCGGCGTAATCACCATCGTGTCTGGATCCACGAACGGCGGCGACCACGTCCGGTCCCCGTCTCTTGTCTTTCTGAAACCCATGAAGAAGAGACTGAGGCCCAAAAGGGCTATTAACAACAGGAACAGCCGGATTGGGGAATTGAGTCTGGGTAGGCGGGCATATATGCGGGGGGGGATGGGGATGGGGAGTCTGAGGATGCGCTGCTTGGAGAGGGGATGGTACGGTCTGGGAGAGGCGAGGGCATTTGGGAGGGAGTCGCTGTCGGCTGTGAAGGGGATGCGAAGGGGGATGTAGATGGTGGTGAACCAGGGGGAGGGGGCTGGGTGGCGCCTGTCTGGGTCCCATGCGGTGGTGGGGAGGGGGGAGCGGCGTGGCTTGGAGGGGGTGTGGCGCTTGACCTGGCCGAAGAGCGACATGGTGCGGTGGGGAACAGACAACAGTCCAGCGACGATGTAGAGTAAAGTATGACACCCGCTGCGGAATCAAATCTGGCCAGCCAAGACACAGCCAGCGGGGCTCCCCGCCCATCTCCCTCTTGTCGCCTCCATGTCTATACTATACACGATGTCGGCTGCTGGAAAGGAAGACGCACCCCGCGTCCCTCACGCCCCCAGCCTCCACCAGACCCGCCTCTCCGCCCCCTCCATCGCCATAGACGGCCGCAACTTTGTCGATGCCCATGGACGTGTGCTTCACCTCAGAGGAGCCAATGTATCCGGTTCCGCCAAAGTGTGGGTTGGCAAGAGCAAATTGCAAAAGTTGATGCGCATGCGTGACGGCCGCTGACTGTTGATGTCCAGGCCGATTGCTCCCGCTCCCAAGATCCATGATCACGCCCAGGCAAGCTATGTCGGAAGACCGTTCCCTTTGGAGGACGCAGATGAGCATTGGCAAAGACTCAAATCATGGGGTCTCACGTTTGGTAAGCCGCATGGCTGCTGCAGGCCGCAGAATTTCGCTGACAGCGATCAGTGCGGATAACGGTCACGTGGGACGCCATAGAGCACAAGGGCCGTGGTATCTACGATGAAGAGTACTTGGCTTACCTCCGAGCCCTCCTGAAGAGCATGGAGCCGTATGGGCTGATAGCATACATTGTAAGCTACTGGCTCCATCATGGCAAAGCTGACGATGATCGCAGGCTATACACCAGGATGTCTGGTCTCGATACTCTGGCGGTGTAAGCCCCTTCTACCCAATTCAATATCATAACTGACAAAACCAGTCTGGAGCTCCTGGGTGGACTCTTGAATCTGCCGGCTTTGACCTTTTCAATGATGGCGAAGCCCTCGCTCTCTCTGGCGCTGCCTTTATTGACGGTATCCGAGGCGGCAGGCTGAGCGGTGAACGAGGACTTTGGCCCACAGGCTATCAGAAACTTGCCTGTGCCACCATGAAGTAGGATTCGACACTACACAGCAGCTTCAAGCTGACGACGAATAGCACCTTATTCTGGGGCGGTGAAACATTTACGCCTTCGTTCAAAGTTCCCACGCAGATTGACGGGAAATGGGTCTCGCGCAACATTCAAGCTCATCTGCAAGATGCATTCCTCGATGCTACCGCCCGGCTCGTCTCTGCCGTCGGAGACTTGGACTCTGTCATGGGCTTTGAAGTAAGTCCTCGCTTGGACTTGTCCGCCATGCTGACGTTCCGTTCAGCTCCTAAACGAACCTCATCCTGGGTTCATTGGTCTCTCAACGATCCACGAATGGGACTACAACACCGACCTTCACCTCGGTCAATTTCCCTCCCCTCTTCAGTCCTTCTCTATGGGTGCTGGTCATCCCACTCCCAAGGTACCCATCTACGTGAGGACGTTCCCCTTCCCCACCAAGATCAGCAAGTACATCACTGCCAACCCCGAGGGAGCTTCTGCCTGGAGCAAGAAGGAGTGTGTGTGGGAGAAGGAAGGGGTCTGGAGGTGGAGCGAAGTGAAGAAGGAGGCTACGCCTCTGCAAGAAGACTACTTTTCCAAAGACCGTGCTGGAAAGAAGATCGACTTTTACCAAGATTTTTACTTTCCCTTTATCCACAGATGGGAAGCAGTCGTATCCAAAAACACCCAGCGCACCAGGGGTCTCAAGGCGAGGATGGTCGAGCCTCTCCCTAACGAATTCTGTCCAGAATGGGCAGAAGAGTCGAGGCCTCAAAGCATGGTCTATGCGCCGCATTGGTACGACCTCAACATGCTTTTCAAGAAGCAGGCCGGGTTCATGTCTGTCAACGTCCAGGGCCTCGCCAGGGTAAATTCATTCGCGGCACTGCCAGAGCGATGCTGTATGCTGACTTTTGACAGGGCATGTTCCTCCCTAGGGCCTTGTACTTTGGGTTGGCAGCCATCAAGGACAACTATGCGCTGCAGATCAAGGGCATTGTCCTTGCTGCCAGACTCAAGCTCGGTCCCGTGCCCATCATCTTTGGAGAGTGCGGTGTGCCCATGGATCTCAAGTAAGAACACCACGTCGAGTATGAAGATTTACTGACGTTGGAATAGTGAGGAAGAAGCGTTCAGGACGGGTGATTGGAAATGGCAGGAGAGGTCGATGGACGCTCTGATCTCTGCACTCGAGGGCGCTCTCTTGGGATTCAACCTCTGGACTTATAACCCCTCCAACAGAGACGATATTGGAGACGACGTGAGTTGCGATGTCATACATGAGCAAACACTGATTGAGAGCGATAGTGGAACGCAGAGAACTTTTCCTGGTTTTCCCAGGACAACCGCTCCAAGCTGTTGAAGAAGGACGAAGATGTAACAGATGTGGATGCCGGTGCACGATTGCTCAATGTCATTGTTGTAAGTCATCATTGGTGTATCAATAAACCCTGCTGAATCACAGCAAAGCGGCCATACCCCATCGCGACCGCCGGATCCCCCACATCCCTTTCTTACGACCCCTTCCACAAGGCCTTCTTTTACCGCTGGCGCTCCCCTATCCGCACCTCTTCCTCCGCCCCAGACCTGTCTGAATACACAGAGCTGTTCCTCCCTCGCCGCGTCTTTACCCAGTCCAATCTCAAGTGGGCAGTCACAGCTGGCGGAAAGGTTGTCTTTGATTGGGAGAACGAGCGAGCATATGTGTGGTTCGAAGATTCTGCTGAAGTAGCCTTTAACGCCAAAGAACAGATGAAGACGAGAAGGATCGATATCTGGGTGCCCGAGGCGGCTATGAAAGATGTCGGGGAGGTTTATACTACCAAAAAATTTGCGATTTTGGTCATCATCTTGGCCTTTGGTGCTTTGATGGCGTATATTGCTCAGCAACACGAGTGGAGGAAGGACGATGTCATCTTTGGGCGAGTACAGGAAGACAAGTGACTCTAGGGTTGTAAACCAAAAAAAAATGACTGAATGTTGTGGTTTCGAAATGTAATGCAAGTGCATTTGTAACGTTGATACTTAGGCTTGTTCTTGCAAGATATGTAAACAGCTCTCGATCACACCCACGGCCTTGTCGCACTCTTCCTTGGTGACCACGAGCGCGGGCACCAGCCTGACGGCATCCTTGCCCGCTGTCAACAGCAGTACACCCCTTTCCCGAGCGAGCTTCACAAGCTCTCCAGGCCTGGTCTCGTCCTTGAAAGCGATACCCCTGATCAATCCCCGTCCTCGGATTTCCGCAAGCAATGAAGGGAACATGGCAGGGAGCTTCTCAATCAGCCCCTCGAGGTGCTGGCTGGTCTCGGAGAGGTTGCTTGTGAATGCGGGGCTGGACAAACGGTCGACGACGTGAACGCCAATCGCACAGCCCAAGGGCTGGCCGCCAAAGGTGGTGCCGTGCATTCCAGGGGAAATGGTGTTGGCAACGGCAGAACGCACCATGATGGCGCCGATGGGGAATCCGTTGGCGAGAGGCTTGGCCATGGTGATAATGTCTGGCTGGGCATCGGCAGGGAATTCAGAGTGGGCCCACATGGTGCCAGAACGGAAGAGGCCGCACTATAGGATTTTGAGCGACCAGTCAACATGTACAGATCAGATGGCGTACCTGAATCTCATCGTAGATCAAGACGGCTCCGACTTCCCTACATTTCCTGCCGAGCTTTTCAAACCAAGCCTTATCTCCCTCCCCGACACCGCCTTCACCCTGGATGGGCTCAACAATGACACCACATGTTTTGTCGTTAATCAACTCCTTCAGTTTTGCGTCGTCCATGTTGTTGTACTCGCCGACTTTGATGCCAGGGATCAGAGGCGCAAAGGGCGCTTGGTATTTGGGGTTGGGGGTACATGAGAGCGCGCCCATAGAGCGTCCGTGGAAAGCGTTGGAGAAGCAGACAATGTCCGTCTTGTCCTCAGCTATCGTTTTGCCGTATGCTCGGGCAAACTTCAGAGCGCCCTCGTTGGCTTCGGTTCCAGAATTCGAAAAGAACACCCTGGCACCCTTGTCCTCTCCTTGAGCATCTTTTGACAGTCCGATACCGCCGTTCTCCCTGGTCCTCTCAACGAGAACTTTGGCGAGCTCGCCAGCCGACTCGTTCCAGTAGACGTTACTGGCGTGGCTGAGCTTCTGGGCCTGGTCCGCCATGACCTTGTTGACGCCAGCATCACTGTGTCCGAGCGCCGTCACGGCGATACCGGCAGTAAAGTCGAGGTACTCCTGCCCAGAGGCGGTATACAAGTTACAAGACTTGCCGTGGGAGAAAAGGATGGGGGGGCGGGCATAAGTATTGAGGAGGTAGGAGGAGTGGTCGTCTATCACGGCGTGCGTAGCAGGGGAGGCTGCAGAGTCAGGGTGGGTGACATCAAGGTAGGCAAGGTTAGGCTACATCTCATCAGCATGTACTTGTACAGACCGAGCTCTGATACCTGCCTTGAGCTCTGTGGCGTAGCTTCTGGCCATGAAAGGCCGGGAGAAAGCCGTGGGGCGCGCGAGGCGGAACAGACGGGCAGACATGGATTCGGTGGGTGTTATAGATGCAGAGATGAGATTGCTTCTCGACAAGAGACTCCATAATTATTGTTGCGTCCGACTCGCCGCGCACACTTCTTATCTCGTACCTTAACGGGATCAAAATCATAAGCGAGTACTACGTAAATGAGCATCCATTCAAGTTGAATGATGAGGAGAGCAACAGTGGGTGAAGGTTGAGAGTACGATGCAGACTATCAGTAGGATGTTGGTCAAAACATTCGTCAAAACATTCGCATCATCAATGACCACATTGAATCACCAGATGGTCTCGACTGTACGTACTGGCGCGGGCCCGATGATTATAATGACTTTATACATTCCACTTATATGACTACGACAAGTGTCGAGTGACCCCTGTGTGTTTTTGAATGGCTGTAGCGCTTGCCCCGAGGCTAAATAAGGATGTAAAAGACCAGCATTGGTGGGCACCAGATCTGTGCGCATCCTCATCAGCGCCAGTAGATCAGGCGCCGTCGTCCTCAATATCCTTCTCGAACTGATAAAGCTGTCCTGTGACTGTCAAGCCTTGTGTATCTACGCCTGTATATGGAGTAGGGGGATACTGGTCGCATGCTGATTTATCGGCACCACTGTATTGGGATTGAGGATTGATGACCAGAGATTGGATCGCGCTGAGTTTTGACTCCAATGACGCGATGTATCTTTCCATGGCAAGGCGCTCTTGGGTCAATTGAGCGTTCTCTGACTCCAAGGAAGTTATTCGATCAATCTTTTTCATTCGCCTTTTTTGAACGGCTATTCTATCTGAATGAAAGTCAGATTAGATCACTATTTATTCGAAAGGAGATGCCACGATCACAACGGGAGGCCTGAGTAAGCTACTCACTGGCGATAAGATCGCGGACCGCTTGTTCTTCTTCATTCCTGTCATCTTTCTCATCCAGCTGCTCCCATGTATACTTGCTCAGTACCCGGGAGACCATGGGGGCGTGTTTTTTGCTGGATTGTGTGATGAGTGATGAAGAGTCTATCTTACTGACTCGGTCTGTAGGACCTCTTCTTCTGTCTATCGACGACACAGCCGATGCAACACGTTGACGCTTTGTAGACCCATTATCCGAGCTTGCTCTAGAAGAAAAGGTATTGGTGCGCGCTGGACGAGGCGGAGGAAGATCCGCTTCATGAGGAGGAGGGCCGGTGATCAGAGAAGGGCTGGTGAGAGAAGGGCTGATGAGTGAAAAACTCTCATCAGTCGCAGAAAGAATTGGGGGAGACGATACTGAGGCATCGCCTCCAATCTGTCCCAGCGCCCCATTCTGCATGCATCTCTGTCAGAACCCTGACTATACGGTAAAGTTTGTACGCACCGAGAAAGGCATTTCACTACCGTCGTCGAGGCTATTCAAGATATATTGAACATCTTCCATGGCCTGCGGGTCACTTTCCATGAAAGCCGCACATGCCGCCTGCAAACTCAAGGAGGTCTCGTCTCCATCAGGGGCAAAGGGCGACCATGGAGCGATCCATTCATCCTGCACGTAGGAAAGACCGGGGGTTTCGACAGTAGCTGGAGAGTAGGAAGCAAGAATATCTTCCTCTTGATCCATTTTGATATGGTTGTAATTGTGGTGCGAGGAGATGAGGCGGGAAAGAGGGGATGTAGATGCGTGTCTTTCATGTCTCAAGACAGGGCAGAGATAGTCTTACATGATGTACAATACAAGGCGCAGATATATCAACAAAGGTGTTATCCAATTCCGCAACAGGAGACGAGCCCTTTGATTTTGTTAAAAACGACAGCAGTAAGATTTTTGTGAGTGTAAGACGGCAACTGCTAAAATGGTCGTCCTTTGAGCGAAGTCCACCCGTGTCCCATTTCACTCCTGTGTCCCTGCATCCCGGCCAATCAGTTTAACGCTCAGCAAAGTTATTTGAGTGTTCTTTCCCGGGCCGGCCAGCAGACGTTGAATTTGACCCCACACTATCCCGGCTACACATGTATTGTCACCGCACCCCCCCTCCCATCATCGTGATGATTGTTGCACAGGCCGACTCGTATTTCGGTTTCAGGCTTGTAGATCGCATGCCTGGTATCTTGGTAGTCTCCACGCATCTTCTACGCCTTGAGAAAGATTGTCACTACTCCTGATGGTAGATGTGCTTTTGATCAGCGAGTTCAGTCAAAGGTTGATCCACTCTAGAGATTGAAATGGAGAGTCGGTACTCAGGATGGTACTCGCTGAGCTGGCTGATGACGCTGTCATGCAATGTGTCAGCTCGTACGATGAGTGGCCGCGGATGGCATGGTCTTTCGAAGCGTTGGCTTGTCGGCATAGGACATGTTTGTTGCATGTACTTAGGGAGGGTCACTGAGCACGGTCCAGATAGTCCAAAGGCCGTGTCTTGCAAGTGAGCCTTTCTCGCTTCTCCTCGGGGAGAATCAGTCCTTCGAGAGCGTCTACAACAGAGCTCTCCTATGCAGCAGTCAGTCATGGGCATTCACATAATCAGAGTACTAACCTCTCCTCCAGCCTTCCACTGGTAAGCAACCCAGTCATCCTCGTCCTCCTTCTGGGCCATCGCCCACATCTTGTTTCTGAAATCTTTGATGGACCCCGTACCATCATTCTCTTCATCGTCGAGAACCTTGCGCGGCTTGGCGACAGGTGGGGGTGGAGCTCGTTTCTTCTTCGGAGCGTCTTCGTCGTCAGACTCGGCATTGCCGTTGGTGGTTCGACGAGTCCGCGAGCGCTGTTCAACATCGTCGAGGTAGCCCAAAGATGTTCGGAATTGAAGAACACGAGAAACCGGGCAAAGGTGAACGGCGCCTGATGGGTTCCATGAGCAAAAGAGTTCTGAGAAATTGTCAATCCACTTACCATCTCTGATCACACCCGTATAGTACCCAGTGGCATTCGGCACCACTTCACTGCTGAGTCTCATCTTGTCGCCCCACTTCTCCTCCTTCTTCCTAGATGCCTTTTCCTTTCCCTTCTTGTCTTTTTCTTTTCCCCCAAACCCATAGCCGCCAACCGTACTGTCGTCACCGTTCGTAACGTCCACGACAAATCCCAGGTCGGAGGCTCGATCTTCACGCCAGTAAGCCGCGCCAGCGTCGACCGGGATCTCAACCTCTACCCTCGCCACGTTCTCCTTTACTCGAGCCGATATAGTCTTCCCTCTATCCCGAGCCCAAGTAGGCACACTGATATCACGATGCTGCAGAGGATACTGATATATATCCACGCCGCCTTGTTGCAGTAATGCGGGAGACATATACACAGGCAGGGTAGCTATGGGCTCATCGTCTGCGTCCTCTTCGTCAGAGTCGGCGGCGACAGCGGGAAAGGACCTCGTCTTGAGGTCAGGGAGAGGCGGAGAGGGCTGCCGAGGGATGTATGTAGTTGACGGCCCGGCGGCATCTTGTAGCGATGGGTGGGCTTCCGAGGCGGAGAGGTGGGGACCAGCTTCTTCGCTGGGTGCGATGGGAAAGTTGGTAAGGTCGGCAAAGTTGATAGAATCGGGAGCGACCTCTATTTGGTCAATGGGATGGTCCTGGTTGGACATGGCGGATGGGAGTGGGGTGGGTGATGCCTTTTGTCGTTTCACAACATTTGTTGTTGCCTTGACTGGAACTTGAAAATCCACGCGGAGGTAGCCGCTGTACTAGCGTGAGGTGGAGGCAAAAGACTTACAACTTGCAGGAGTCAACTTATCACAGCGCAGACTATCAGGCCTTCCACTCGATATACTCGCACAGCCGGGCATAAGCCAATTGAGAGAACAAAAAAATTCAGAATGTCCGCTACTCAAGAGAACAGAGCAGCCACTCCTGAGGATTATCCTCGCTTCATGAAGGTGTATGTATAACGAGGAAGCAGAAAGGGCAGGGAAAGGCGGAGGTGGGAGAAAGAAGTCAAAGATACCTGAAGACCTCAAATGCTGACATTAACTACAGTGCGCATGAGCAAGCTCTTAAATCCCTTTCAGAAGGTGGCATTCCCATCGGCGCTGCCCTCGTCCACCTGCCTACGTCGCGTATCTTGTCAACTGGGCACAACAACAGAGTACAGAAGTCTTCAAATGTGAGACACGGAGAAATGGACTGCCTGGAGAATCTCGGAAGAGTCAAGGAGGGACTGCTACGAGAGTGCGCCATGTTCACTACTCTGTCCCCATGTATCATGTGAGTGGATAACAGGTCTACGGAATGCTACTAATCAGGAACCAGGTGTTCGGCTACCTGCATCCTCTACAAAATCCCCGTCGTTGTTCTTGCGGAGAACTTGAATTTCCAAGGCGGTGAGGATTTGCTTCAAAGCCATGGGATCCAGTGTGTCAACCTCGACGACCAGGAAATCAAAAAGATGATGGGAGATTGGATCGAGAGCGAGGCTGGCCGAAAGGTGTGGAACGAGGATATTGGGGAGTTGAACGAGTGATGTATGTGTACAACATTGATGCATGAGCATTACCGTAGAGTACAAGTAAACCATTCCTTGACACTTTTTCTGTGCTTCACTGCTCACGCGACTTCTTGGCGGCTGCGAGTTCCACTTTTCGCTTTTTGAAGACCGAATGCGAGTCTTTCCCTCCACCAACCCCAGCCCGTTTGTTGGCTCTGCTCTCTCTAGACAATTCCTTACTGTAGAAACAAATTGGGATCAGCATTTGCGGACGCCAGAGTGTCATCCTTTGACTCACTTTACACTCTTGTTCTGCTCCCTGTAACTGATATTCTGGCCACCGGACAGGTGCTCCAAAGGTGCCATGAACCTCTGCACTGTAGGTCCAGTGCCACCCCCTGCAGGTTGACTCCCAGCAATCTTTTTCTGATGCTTGCCGCCATTCAATCTCATATAATGGTCAGCAGTCTCATTGGCGGCATCGCCTTGGTTCAGAACAGACTCGAGCAAAGACAATTGCTCGTCTACGGACGGGAAGACAAGGTTGGGCATTTCCTTGAGACCATGTAGCTCGGTAATGACCTTGAAGGCGTAACCTTGGTCAATGAGGAAACCCTGTCGTTTGGAGGAGTAGTACATCTCCTGCGTGTCTTTGGAGACCAACGAATAGAAGAAGGCGTTGAAGCCTTCATCATTTCGACGTTTGGCTCGTAAGATTCGCCCGAGACGCTGGGCTTCTTGACGACGGGACCCGAAGTGAGAAGAGATCTGGATGAGACAAGTAGCTTCGGGAAGGTCGATAGACGTGTCGCCAACTTTGGACAGGAAGATGGTGTTGAGCTGCGGGTCGTGCTGGAAACGTGACAGGATACGCAGTCGTTCTCCTTCTGGTGTTCCGCCGTGGATGAACGACTTGCCCAATTTCTTGGCATATGCCTGGGACGATCGTGAGTACAATGTAACAAGCGAGGTCGCAAGACTCACCTCAAGAGCAAACACGTTGTCCGAAAAGACGATGACCTTGTCTCCTCTACTCTCGTGATAGTTGATCAGGAATTGGGCAGCTTGGACCTTGTTTGGGTTCATAGCATGCAGTAGAATCCTTTTGCGTGAGGGGTTTCGCAGGTATTCGCGATAGAACTGCGGGGTCATGGGACACCAGACTTCAGCGCACTGGACGGTGGCAATGTGACCATTCTTTGCCAGGTCCATCCAATTGGCTTCGTACAGCTTGGGTCCAATCAGGTAGCCCAAATCGCCGATTCGATCGTCCTCTCTGACGAGGGTAGCTATCACTGATCAGTATCCCTAAACGACAAGCGATCACTCAACTCACCAGTCAAACCAAGTTTGGCGTGCACCTTGAAATTGTTGATACACTTTCGAAACATGTCTGCGGGCGTGACATGCACTTCATCCAACAGCAAGAAACCCCATTCTCTAGACCTCAAGAACTGCATCACCTTTTCAGCATCGTGCGCACGCTTGCCTGTCTTGGCAATCATGGAATAGGTTGAAATGACGATTCCGGCAGAGGTGCTAAACACTTCTTTTTCGCCTTGAGTAAAGCAGCAGATTTGGCGCTCAGAGATGTTTGAAAAATGGAGGAATTGTTGCTTCCATTGTGCAACGGAGACACTAAAGAAGGGTCAGATTCACAAGAATAGCACTGGAAACGACTCACGCAGAAGTGCACAAAACCAAGGCACTTTTCTTGATGGTGCAGGCAGCAGTTATGCCCACAAGTGTTTTGCCGGCACCACAAGGAAGCACAATGATACCGGATCTTGCACGGCCGTTACCAAACATTTTGGCCAGAGACATCTCTTGATACGGTCTGATGACGGTCATGGGTTTCAACTGGATATCGAGGTTGGGATTGACAGTGTCATTTCGGAAATCGTACTCTTCCAGAGCGGGAAGGTCGATATCCTTGCAGCGACGACGAACATCTTCCATCCGTTCACCAGAGACTTCGAAAGAGTGGACCTTGTCGTCTTCATCATCCATCTCGTCCGCTGATCCTTGTCAGTCTTTCACGTCGCCATCAAGCCTTTCAACTCACCTTCTCCGATACCAATGACAGCACCCAGAACTGCATCATCGTTCCTGACGCCTTCTGGCTCTGCCTCACCTCTCTCCAGCCTCCTGGCCTCTTCCGTTCCCGGGATAGCGAAATCCCTTCTCGGTCTGGCCGCCTCTTCAGCACCAAAGACTGTGGTCCCCATTTCTTTCTCTCGGTGCACCATGCACTCCTTGATCACCTCGTCATTCATCAACTTTTGCAGAAATTCGGGTACACTTGTTTCCAAAAAGTATCGATTATCCTTGAGGACGAGTCTGACTTTGCCGAATGAGGCAGTCCATTGTTCAATTCGCGCCCTCAGCCGTGGCGAAAGGGGAGTCTTGGCCAGTCGTGATAGTACTTCAATGATGACACCAGTTTCAAGACCGATCGACATGGCGGAATGGAGAGACGGTTTTGTGATGCGGTATTCATGAATGAGAGAAGGTCTATGAGAATCCTAGATGAGCGGCGTGATCAGCAAGCCAGATGAAGTCTCTCACCTGGAGACAGGCTCTGATATGGCCACCAAGAAATCTTGAGCCTGCTTTGCAAAGGGGGCGAAAGCTTCGACGATAATGTTTCCAACATCATCTACCCAGAGTGGCCGTAGTGAATGGTCTGACTTGAGCTCCTGATTGGAAAAATCGACGCCTCTGCTCCCTACCAGACCGTCGAACGCCTCGTCCTCATCCCCCGACACTTCCTCATCTCCAGCCGCCTGCGCATTTGTACCCGCTTGTTTCCTCTGCAGCGCCGTCAAATTGATCTTTAAGCTTTTCTTTGCCGGAGCTGACGAAGCTGACGACCCAGCGCCCGAGCGAGCATTGGCCTTCTTGGTGGGTTTGCGAGCAACGGGAGCGCGACGAGGAGCGCCGTAGTCTGAGCCGTCCGAGCCATCGGACTCGAAGAAGTCGAGGGACGAGGCGGGGGACGATACTTCGCTCATGACTGGTGGCAAGAGAAGCGAAGAGTGAGGGAGAAGAGAGAAGGATGACAAAGACACCTTTCAGCGTCGACTTGCGTATTTAGGTGCCGATGGCCGGTGGCGGCGAAGGGGGCGGCGTGCTCCGCTTGTGGCGGCCCAGTAGTAGTAGTAGTAGTAGCAGACAATAATCGAAGGTTGACAGAGGAAGTACGGCCTGTGCATATCTCCTGCCTGCTCGCGGTCTACGGGCACTGTGGGTCTGTGGCTGTACTTGTATGCATGGGCAAAATAGGCTGGCGGAGTGCAGACATCACCGTCCATGAAACCTGCGCGCCTGTGAGATCCAGTAGGCGCGCCTGAAGCTGCCGTCTGTTGCCACTTGCAAAAGTCGCGAATCGATGAATCAAGAACATCTTCAAGCTCTTCTAATCTTCTGCCCCGACAGCCCACACCCCACGCCATGGCTGACCCCTCCAGAAGCGACGAGCAGCCATCGCCGTCCCCTTCAGAGCCCGTCCATGGCTTGCCGAATCCATCAGAACCGCAACAATCATATCCATCGCCCTCCTCCAGCCTCTTCTCCCACTTGCGGCCTGCTTCCTCCACGCCCAGCGCTCCCACCTCAGATTCCTTCTTCCCCTCTATGCCCCAGTCATCAGCATCTCTACTCGCATCCTCTCTCAGCCCCACCAGGGTATACTACGATTCCCAGCTACCCTTTCAACAGGCCGCTGCCCCAATGACGAAAGAGGAGCAAGCCTATCTGCAAGCTCAGGCTCGGCTGCAGGAGATGCCTGAGAAATGCTTCAGCTGGTGCTCTCAGAATGCCATGGCGCAACCAACATGTCGAATGGTGTGTCTACGGAAGCGGGCGTTGGGGCTGAGCAAAGAGGAGCATACAGAGCGGCTACGGGCGAGTAGACGAGCTCTTGCTAGCCCCGAGGCCCTGGCCCGGCACATGCAGACGCAGGAGGAGGAGCCTACTGCCTCTTCCCGTGTGCTACAATGGCTACAATCCCCAATATCCACCCTCCATCAGAAGGTCATGCCATACTCCATCATCTATGTGCGCGGCTCACCTGATGGTGCCATCGGCCGGTACATGGAAGAGTTGGAGAGGGACGATGGCAATTACGATTTCAAACATATTTCGAGGGGAGCTGTGGCGCGAAAGGCAAGTGGTAGAAGAAGCGATGATGAGGAAGGGATGGAATACATGGAATGGGGTGATCAGGAGTGAGTTTGATCCATCCGACTCTTGCGAAAGCTTACGCCGTACAAAGATCCCTGCTACATCTCCCCCTGACCTCCGTCCTGTCACCAATCCTCTCCCTCCCAGCCAACATATCCCGTCTTTTCTCTCCCTCTCTACGTTTCATCTCTGCCTACACCACTTCCTTCACGGACGGTGGGCAAGTACGCATGATCAACAAGTTTTACGAAACTGTCCAGAACAATGGGGCCAGTGAGATGCTCAACAAGATCGAAAAGGTTGTCCAGAAAAGGGCAGAGGAGACGAGAGAGAAGAAGGAAGAGATGTTGAAGCAGAGGCAGCAGGAGAGGGTAGAACGAATGAAGGATATGAAGGATGTGGGGAAGGAAGTAGAGGGCAAGGGAGGCGATGGCCAATAGTAGATGAGGATACCGCACGCGTTGCTATAGATTTTAGAGGAATGTTGCTTATTGTAATGATCTTAATGCATCCGACACATGGACTCATCCATCCAATTAGATCTTCTGAGGTTGTTCTGTCTGCTATTAGTTTACATATCTCTGTAGCCACGCCAGCTTACCTTGATTATCAATGTAAACGCCTAGCTCTACTTCTTCTCTTATAGACCAGGTCGCTGGCCCATTTGCATCTGCTGACCAAAAGACTCGCCCATCTCTCTCCCGCCAGCTGAACCGTCCCACGAGTGCTGCATCTGCGAAAACAGCATCGCTCGTGTAGCATCGTCCATTTGCCCGAGATCGGGAGGCATGGCGACGTTCGGCAACACATGACCGGGAGTCGGCTGCTGCGGGAAGGAATGATACCCTATCGGCAGACCTTGGAGAGGCTGTGAGCCAGCAACAAAAGTGGGCCAATCCCCAGCGCTGTGGAGTGGAGCAGGATCGAGGGGAGCAAACTCGTTCGGTATGGGATGTATGGATGTAGGTATCTGGTTCGCAACAAGAGCGGGAGGTATCTGCTGAGAGGGGCCGGCAGGTGAGCGACTTTGGCTCGTCCGCAATGACAGGGGTATAGGATTTGTGACAACGGCCTGACCATCGCTAGCTAGCCGCTGGACTTTGATGCTGAAATTAGGCCGAGGTTGAGCCACGCATGGTCCAGCTTCTGGCGCTGCCGCAGGTAAAGCTTCAGGAGCATGGGTATGAGTGGAAGGGGTAGGTTGAGCGATGGGCTGAGAAGCTTGCGCGTGAGGTAATGGTGGAATAGGGACGATCGGAATACGGGCCGGTATAGGACCGGAGGGGGGTATAGATGACTGCTCGGTGGAAGGGGTATCGGGCTCTGCCCGAGCCACAGGGTTGGACGAAGGCATGGTGGACGGGATTTCAGCTGAATTCGAGGTCCGGGGGAGTGGCTTCTGAGATGCATTGTGAGACTGAGGCTGCGCCTGCCGTCTCGCTTGGGAAGAGGGCTCACCCTGGGCATCCTTCCCGTTGCCATGGGAAGGCTGTTTATCACGATTAGACTCTACGGCAGAGTTTTCCGCCTGCCCCCGCGCGCTCTCCTCCAAAGCCTCCATTTTGACCGCCTTCTCCGTGGGTGCATCTTCCGGCGCGTACGCGAAATCAATCCCATCCCAAATGGCGCCCACTGCCCTGGCGATCTCTTCAGGAACTATGACTTTGCCGTATGACCCATCAATCCACTGTTCGCGGGCGGCGGGCTTGATTTTATAATGACCCGCATCTTGCGGATGGATGGTGAACGGCGCTGGAATCTCGCCGGGGGCTGGACGGAATTTCGGGGCTATGAGGGTCAGGCCGTATGATGTCGCGAGGCCTGCAGGACCAAATTTGAGGAGAAAATCAGAATAGTGTTTCTCGAGCTTGGCTTGCATACTGGTCAAAGGGTCAGTTGTGGACCCTGGCGCAGACGTTGGACGTACCGAGGGGCTGTACTGGGCCTCTTTCTCTTCTTTCCATGTATGTCTTCGCCATCGCCATCGCCCATTCCCTTCACTAGCTAGTGTATCAGCTCTCGTCCTCATACATGCCGGTCTGAAACTCACGCCAGTCCCATCGGCTACGCCTGCTTTGCGCTGCCAAGGGCATTCCGTGCTTGTCCTGCAAATGCCGTCTTGCTACACTTCGACCATTTTTTCCATCGTACGTCTTTCCACACGCCCTACATGTGATCAACTTCCACTCCGTATACCCCTTCTGGCCCTTGATTTTATCCGGGTGGAGGATCAATAGATCATTGACATCGATAGACCAGCCGGGACCGAGGGGGCATGGCAGAAGCCCATTGGGAAGGCATCCCTTGAGTTGAAGGGGCGCCTGGGCTGGATCTTTAAACTCTGGCCAGAAAAGGGGAGCCGCATCGTAGTAGTTGACGAGCAGGTTGGCGTAGGGATCTTTGGCATCTTTGCCCTCTTTGTTGGCGCCGTTCATTGCTGCCGGGGTTGGGGTTGCGGATTGGGGGATGTTGTTGATAGCGGGAAGGATGAAGGAGGTAGAGGATCTCCTCGGTTTACGGGTGGATCCCTCTGCTGGCATGATGGGGGAGGGAGATTCGTGGGGATATGACAAGAGGAAGAAGAACGCAGTGAGAGTCATCCGCGAGGTTGAGTGAACGCCGCTTTTGACTCCCATTCTCAATCCTGATTTCCTGAAATGAGGCGTTTTGGGCGCCCGCTGGTGCGCCGGTGCGTTGGCTGCGGGGTCATTCCGGGCCACAAAACCCAATCACCCTCAGCCTGGCACGTCTCCCTCATGTATGCATACAGGAAGGTGCGAGATGAGCCATACCTATGTACTCTACAGCATGCCCGCTGAAAGGATTCCCGAGATCTGAGTGGTGGGAGATGAGAACACCAGCGGGGCCCTCCGTCTCCGACGCTCTCCTACCGGGTCAGATCGTCATACGACTACCGATCCTACTTAACCTATCTTTCTCTATTTCTTACTTGCATCAACTATACAAAAACTCACCCCACACAATGGCTGCCCCCCTATACGTCACCCAGTCAGGACGCCTGTGGCATGCTGGTCTCATCTTGATCGTCACCGTCGGTCTGCCAGGCAAGTGTCCCCCACCCGCATACCAGGATCCGCGATAACCATCATTTGCAGCCCGTGGTAAGACTCACATCTCGAGGGCCCTCGAGCGTTACCTCAGGTGGCTCGGTGTCAAGACTCGTGTCTATTCCATTGGCGACTACCGACGAAAGGTGCTCGGCGGTGCGGAGAACGTCCCGCATGACTACTTTCAGACCAAATGTAGATCCAGCTCTATCCTATCGGCCAAGCCGCTGACCAGATCACAGCGCCAAGATCAGAGGGCACGAATGCTTTACGGCGGCGTATCAGAACAGAGCTCGAGGACCAAATCATGGATTTCTACACCGTTCAAGGCGGCCAAGTCGTCATCTACGACGCCAACAATGGCAGTATCGCCGAGAGAAAGGCCACCTATCAAAAGTTTGAGAGCAAGGGTGTACATGTCATCTTCCTCGGTATGTCTCTTGCGGCCTGGCGATTCGTTGCTGATCATGCCTCAGAGAGTCTTTGCGACCGAGACGACATCATTACTTCCAATATTCGGAGCGTCAAGCTTTCCTCTCCCGACGTACGTTCCTTTGTGTCACGTCCGTTTGAAGGTTTGACTCATATAATCTATAGTATGCAGGTTGGGACGCCGAAAAGGCTGTTGCCGATTACTGGGAGCGAATCAGAGATCAAGCCGCCTACTATGACACCGTCACGGAAAGCGAGGGGCCGTATATCAAGGTCATGAATGTCGGAGAGAGGATCGACGTTAATCGTATTGAAGGTGAGTCGCTGCAATGATTCGAGGTGCCAGTGCTTATCGGCTGCAGGCTATCTACAAACGAGATGTTGTTTCTTCTTGATGAACATTCATACCAGACCTCGAAACATCTACTTTGCACGAGTACGTCTCCGGGCCATCCGTCATTCTATCCAAAGCTGACTACGCTACAGTCGGGGCAATCCTTCATCGAGCACTCCTACAAGGCTGATTCCGACCTGTCGCCTGCAGGATGGGAGTATGCTGAGCGTCTCAAAGCGGCTGTCATTGCTCGACGAAAGGCGCTCCGGGAAGAGAGAAAGTCCAAGGGCGAAACAGTGGGTGAAGAGAACCCTTTGCTGGTGAGTCATTCCTCCATCCACTTGTTTCCTTAGCTCAGCAGTGAATAGATTTGGACGTCAGCCCGTCGACGTGCCTACCACACTGCCTGGCCATTCGTCCAGCATGGGTACAAGGTCGTCCAGAAACCCATCATGTCGGAGATCAATCCCGGTGTCTGGGACGGTCTTTCTACGCAGGAGGCCATGGACTCTTACCCCGATGAATGGCAGAGGTTTTTGGCTGATCCGTATGCTCATCGAGCGCCCAGAGCGGAGAGCTACCACGATCTGAGTGTCAGGCTGGAGAGTGTCATCTTTGAGTTGGAGAGATGCCAGGATGACTTGCTCATCATCGGGCACGCTTCCGTCATTCGATGTCTGGTGAGCTCGTCGAGATCTCGGCTGTGGATGTGACTGACAATGATTAGCTGGCCTACCTTGTCGGCCTCCCTCCCAACGAAGTCCCGGCCGTTGAAATTGCGCGCGGTGACCTAGTCGAAATCACCCCGGCCTCATACGGTGTCATCTCTCAAGCCTGGCACTTTTGGTCGGGCGAAGGCCGAGGCAACATCTATGGCGAAAACCTGTACGAAAACTTTGCCGAATCCACTTCTGGTAAAGGCTCCGTCTTGCCCGACAGTGGCGTCAACTTTGCCGCGGACGCTTTGAACATGGAGAAGGAGGCGGTGGAAGAAGAGGAGAAGGAAAAGGAAAAGGAGCAGGGCAAGGTCGCGGAGGTAGCGGCTGCATTGGGCCAGGTAGCAGCGCAGGCTGGCAATAATGGGGGTGGAGTTGGTCAGGGTGCTAGAGGTCCTGGAAGGGCGTTGAGGAGGTGGGGGTCGGAGAAGGGACGGGGCAGGGGGCTTCCCGGGGTCAGTGAGATGAGCGAGATAGAGGGTGAAGAGCAGAAGAGGAACGATGCGGCTGTGTCTGACAATGAAGGTCAGGAAGGTGGTGCCAAGCGTGGACGAGCCAGTGAGTACACTGAAAACCTTTGCGAAATAGTGACTGACCGTTTTGCTAGTGAGTTTGTTGGAGATCTAGATGTGAACAGGAAACGGCCGGAGAACAATCAGAAGAAATCCCCAATCAGATGTGTAAATTATTATCTCGATGCAAAATGATCCGAATGAATATATTTTTGAACTACTGTACAAGCAAGCAATCTATCCAGATGTCTACGCTCGGTCGATCGTCCATGCCTCCATCTAGCTGCTCTGAGAGCTGTACCAGCAGATCTTCCGGCACATCATCCTTCGCCAGCAAACTCCAGTTCGGCGACTGACCTCCTCGAACCCAGTCGAAATCTTGCACCTCCGTATGCTTGCTGACATAGTCCTAGAATCGTTCAGCCGATGTGCTGATGTAACTCTTTCCACTCACAGGAGTCTGAGGCAGGAGCAGATCTGGATAGGGTCCGAACGTCAAGTTTTGGCTGTGTTCTATCACAGGTAGACTCGCAACGTTCAGCAAGACTTTTGTCTTTGTAGAGGAATGCATTCGAAACTATGATCATAGGTTAGATGCTGTAGTATGCTTGCGAGAACATACCTGTTGAGCACCAACAACAACTAGGCAATTGTCCAAGTCGGACAACATAGCACTGCCTGGCAGTACGGGCGCCAACAAGACGCATCTTGTCAACTTTTTGGCATGCAAAGTCGTCAATACCGGTAGTGCCGACTGACTTGGGTCTGTAGACGATGGCGATTTGCAAGGACGCAGGTCGATCAGGCAGTGGGACACGGATGATAGAGAAAGGGTGTAGGTCCCAGTGCCGGGGGCTAGCTCTGGTCGAACCAGTGCGCTGGAGCGGCCCTCGATTGTATGTGTATTGATCGGAGACCGTTCAACATTGGGACTTGTCTCTTCCCTGTCTGTTGACGGACCAGCTACAACAGTAGGGCTTTGAGGGGTAGCTTTCGCTGGAAGGGGTCTTTTGCTTTTGGCGAACGCAAACCGGCTTTTCGGTTTGTCTTTCGTCCTGAGGGTAGATAGTTTGGTATCCAGTCCATTCAGCTCCTACTGTCCAACATCAGTTATGTCGCTATTGCCAATCACGAAACATAACACAGACCTCGGTGTACCGCCCCCTGTCATATTTCGGTAGTCCTTCGCCGTAGGAGTCTACTAATTTGCGAAGATCTTGGATCAATCTTGCGATATGGGAGAGTGAAGCTCCTGGTGTTTCGCAAGCTTGCAGGATATCTGGATACGGAAGATATCAGTCATCGAACGACTTGTGTGAAGAGGTCTGACCTTGCTTTTGCGCATGGAAGTGGGTATGCAAGTCTGCCGAAGCCGTTGTTGATACAACGCCTTGCTCGTTCGTGGCCATCTTGCGCGTAATCCAGCTACGGGGTGTGTAGAACTTGGTGGGCTCTTGAGAGATGGCCTGGTCGTTTCTCCAGTTTCGAGAACAAACAATTTAGCTCACATGCATATGATGATTGATGAGACGCGCACGCGCGGTGGAGGCACGCTTTTTCTCTTCCGCCGATCTGTCCATCTCCTGGAGCCTCTGGGCCTCTGACCTGTCATCTCACAAGAATCAAGCTGAGAGGATCCCAACCCCTTCCCCCTCGCTCTCACCCTCTGATCCAGATGTGGACAGAAAAACCCTCGCACGGCTATCCCGTGCTCGTCATAGGCTCGCTAGATAGGCTTGCGTGACTCCAATTTGCCACGTGTCCCCCGCGTGGTGTCCCTTTAATTAACGTCAGGAGCATTTTTTGCTTACGTACTGCCTCCACCGATCGCGGTGGTGGCTGGCCTAGTTGGATCTTTTTTTTTCTTCTCCTTCCTCTTCTCTCCTCCTTCCTCTCTCGAATGCATAAGCAATAAGCTGTTCGCCACAGCCACGTGCTCTGTCTCTGTCCACTACTAGCGAACACAGACACCGCACCAGTTCTTCCTTCCCCTCCCACCCAAAAATTTTAGACGTCATGTCCTCCCCCACTGCCCCTGCCTTCGAAGGTGCCATCCCCTCGGGTGATATCCCCCCCGCCCAGCAGGCCCAGAGCCTCGCTCCCGCTGACCACAGCGTCGCTGCCGACGCCGAAGCTGTCATGAACAGGACCCCTTCCGTTGCCCCCGTGCCCCGTCCCGCCGGCAGTCTCTACCCCCCTGCTACCCTCAAGGGTATCGACTACGAGGGCATGCCTCACGAGCTCAAGTGGGAAGACGCCATGGGTGAGCCCGACGCCGTTTTGGAGCTTGCCGATGGCCTCGCGCTTGCCGGTCACTCTTTCGGTGCAAAGAAGTCTGTCGCTGGTGAATGTGTCTTCCAGACCGGTACGTTTTTCGTGGGGCCTTCTTGCGCAGGCGATTGACCGTCGTTCAGGTATGGTCGGCTACCCCGAGTCGCTCACCGACCCCTCTTACTCTTCCCAAATTTTGATCCTCAC